TGAGTTTGCTGAGAACTGCTTGTTCTTCTAAGCTTGCTTTGCTGCTTCTCAAGCAAGCTTCTTAGCTTGCTTTTGCCTATATCATCATTATTCCTGATCTTTCTTCTGTTAATATTAGTTGCAAATCTTATTATTAATATGAATTGTATAAAGTATTGTTTTGTACTGCTACTATTTTATTTTCTTATTTATGCATTGCATGGAGCAATTATCTGATAGTTCGATGTATGCATTATAATGCTATTTGTTAAGAATCTCTCTGAAGCAGAGTTCCTGTTTCTTAATAGCCTGAAGGATTTGTTCTGGTTTTCTAACAGAGAATCATTTGTATTGTATCTTCTCCGAGAAATGTGCCTAGCAGCTGTAATAGGTGCAGGAGATCTATGCTAGTTCGTAGTATAGATTGTAAAGTGAGCTAATCTGAGAATTCTCATCTTCTTATGCCTCGATATTCTGCAAGGAAATGCAGGTAAAGAGCTCTTCTAATCCTATCTTATAAATGAGATATTCAATCCATATTGTTTCCTTATTCTACCCAATGCTGAAGGGAAATCTTCCTTTAGGCTTGTTGGATATATTATTCGCAAGAAGCTTCTGCAGGCTGCTAGGTTGTTTGCTCTAGCTTGATTCTTCTATTGCCTGAGAGGCATTCTCTGTATTGCCTAAATATTTGTACTAGTAGCTAAGAGAGTATCATCTCTTATTCATATCCCTGATTATAGTGCTTAGCATAGATAATAAAGAATATTAAAGAATATCATTGCTAAGCTCTTCTTCCAACGCCTGAATGCTCTATTCTGCAATATTAGAGCAATCTGAGTTGCTACTTATAGGAATGCTAAATATGCACTCTCATCCTGCTATTGCTATTTGTCTGCAGCATTAAGACTTCTAAGAGAATTATTCTGAATCTTCCTTACTCGAGAGGTATATTAAGCAGTTATCATTATAGCAGAATGTTTAGCTGAGATTTCCATAATCAATAGAGTCTGATACTTGCTCCGAGAGAATGTTTCTGCTTAGTTAATTGGATTCCTGTTATCAAGCAATATTTATCTAGCATTCTTCCTGAACTAGTTGCTATTTATTCTTCCGGAGTTGATAGCAGTTGCATGTAATGTATTCTTGTTTATTGCAGTTGTAACAAGTAATGCTATTCCTCTTGCTATACTGCTTGTTAGCTGCATTGAGTTCCATGAAATCAGCATGTATAGTGCTGCTCTGAGCTGTACTGCTATATCGACTGCTATTCTTATTTTGGAGTTTCTTGCCTATATTAGCTGGAAATCTTCAAATCTAGCTTTCTCCCTTCTTAGATTTCTCTATCCGTTGTTCATACAGACAGTTATTGATACAGATAGCTTGATTGGAGAACATTGCAAAGTTCTCCAGCTAATTCTGCTTAGAGATTTTATTTTTAATATTATTCTTAAATCCCTTATAATAATGCTCTATAAGATTCTTATCTTTCTATAGAAGCTATGCTAAGAGTTGCTTAAATCTGACTGTATAAGCAGAAGCTGACTTAGTTTGCTTAAGGTTTATAAGCTGCTAAGCTGTAGTATATTCTTCGTTAGGATTACTAAAGATCTTCTTGAGAGCTTTCTCGAAGCTCTCAAAGAAATCGAATATATTCTTAATATTCTAAGTATATATATTGGAGTTATTCTGATGCTCTAAATAGTTGCATAAAGAAAGCTTGTATCAAATGAAAGCATTCTTTTCAAGGCAAGTTCCTGCAAGAATGATCTTTTCAGATTCTATAGTGAACTGGGTTGCATGATGCAAAAAGTATGCTCTGCAGTAAGTAAGGAATCCATGTAGTGTTTTTTGATTGCTATTATATATAGCAGGCTTATCCATCTTATATGCCTTCCCAGCACCACTGATAACTGCAGAAGTAAACTGCATCTGCTGAGCTTGTTGGGCTAGCTAGGTTTGCTGGTTAGCGATGATAGCGCTCTGAGCCTGCTGTTGCTCGCGCAGATCCTGGATACGCTGGGTAAGCTAGTACACCTGATTGATCAGTTCTTCCTGAGTAGAAGCACGCAAGAACGAAGAGATTCCTGGAGAAGCTATCGTATTCCGTATTGCTCAAGGAGTAACACTGAACCGTTCTTGAACAAGAGTTATCAAAATATAATGAGTACTATAGCAATCCGAAGATTCCTAAGTATACGAAGAGTTTATGCTAATAAGAGCAGTATCAAAGTATCAAATCCTTGAATACGGAACTGTATAAGTCCTAATAAGCAATGCAAGTGTTCACTGCCTTTGGAGCTACTCAGTATGTAAAACTGAATACTTAGATTAACAACTGAAGAACTATCTGAAGAAAATCTATCTAACAGTAGGAAATGTAAACCTTTATATACTTGATTCTTCAGTTCGGATAGATAGGATCGATGTCGACTCCATCGATTCCTTTATCGACGGGATAGACGTCGACTGTATCTATCCGCTAATAACCCTAACCCTGGGTTATATAATCGATGCTTTGTCAGGACGTTGAATCCTTGACACCTGGTCCCTGTTACTCGTGACCTGTTCTGTGACCTGCATGTTGGATGGGTCATAACAATTATGATTGGCGTTCCCGAGCTATAATGCTTAATATTTTTCAAGACTAATTTATCAGGGGCCTTTGTATATTGCTTCGAATGTAAGAATCTCTCTGTGCTGTATAGCTTCTGGGAAAAGAATTAACTGATCTTTCTTTTAGCACAGAAATAGATATATTACTAGAAGCTTTCAATACAGCTCATCTCCGAAATACAATACGAGCATTAAGAAGGGTTGTTACTGGCTAGGAAGTAGCAATAAACGAATAGCTGCTCTTCGCTGTAGCAAGAATACTGACAGAGCTTCGCTTCCATGATATATCACCGGGTAGTAATATGAGCCTTACTAAACGCTTGAAAGACTTCCACAACTTTCCCTGTCTTGAGGATGATGGCCAAATAACGGGCATGGAGATTCGGAAAGGTTGTGTGCAACAAGGTTGGGAACTTGCAAAGGCGCTCTTTTCTTTACTTAAGCATGTGCTACCCGTGCTGCTGTCTGTTGGTAGGAGCTCAGCAGCTTCTGCAGTATTTGTAATCCAGGAACTGCGAGAGTAGGAAGCTACATGGGAGAGAGACAGTACAATAACCTGCAAGTGTGATGCTATTTGAGATACGAGATAGCCTGATAGCATATCAGATAGGAAAAACAAACTTGAAGAAAGTTAGAGAATGTTTTATATTCTAGAGGCATAGCTGGAGCGGATATCTGGTAGCAGTAAGAGCAATCTTCCAACCTTCTATGATTCTTCAGTGCATAGCTCCATGATGATTTAGATAAGATCCATTCTCTAGTCATAATTGATGTTGCTATTATTAAGGCTTCTCTATTATATGTTATTCAATAGTCTAGTTGAAGGGATTAATGTTTGGATAATGATTTACTAGTAGTAAACTCTGTATTGCATTCATCTCTTCTGTAGTGATTATACATTCATTACCAATATTCATAAGGATATTTTCCAAACCTTTCATGCTCTAGAGATCAGATATCCGCTTCCGATTTGCTCAAGTATTGTACTGCAAAGGATCGGATAACTAGAGGAAAGATGATCCTTATATGCTGCTAGAGAACCTAAGATTTTCTCCTGCTAGATTTATTAGCATAGTTATTACTATCTGGTGCTCAATACATACGAAAATCGTTTTTAATAGCATTATAGTTATTTTCATGTAATTAATATTATTTGCAATCATCTTTGTAGTAGTTTCCTGCAGCGCTGAGCGAGAAGCTGACTCTTGCTGAAGATGTTGCAGTAACCGGTAATCCTTCTCGAAGCATTCTAGTTCATCCATAATGCTAATCATATCTCTGATCTTAAGCTATTCTTTAACGTATTTGTTCTTTGTATCTGCAGTAATGCATATGCATTTTCGATCTGCGCATGCCTAGCAGAACTTAGCATTTTTCACTGCAGAATATTAGATTTTGTAGCTGATTAATAGCATAAATGTTTTGCATACATGATTAGTTTGCATTAGCTATGGTAGTAATCGTATTTTCCATTTATTAGAGCTCTGTTTTGAGGCACTCGATATATGGGATAGGGCGGGTTGCTGCGGTTGACGCGCTATGTGCTAGTCCTGTTGCAGGTGAAGCTATAGAGCTGAGTAGTCTGAACGCGCCTGCCTAGTATGGCAGACTTGAGATGAAGCGACTTTTCATAGGCATCCCAACAAACCGGGTGGTCCACGTGCGTCTTCGTGTTTCTGAGGATAGCAGCTATTTCCTGGCGGATGGGTTGGGGAGAGAGCTGAGCGAAGCGAAGCGAGGGGGGGCTTGCGAAGTAGGGGCCCCTCTTCAGAAAAAATGGAGGGTACGAAGATAAGGAAAGAAAAACAGGAATGGATACAGCTATCCACAGTCTATTATAGTAACAAATGGCGCCCGCAACCGGAGTAAGCTTGCTTGCGGAGGCTCTACGGTATTTGACCAGTGTGGGGAATAGCAAGGCCTAAGAGCTTTGAGAGTTGCAAGGCAGAAGAGGAGGCACGTCGCACGCTGACACAGGTGGCATCTCACTGCTGATCAGCGATGTAAAGTATGTCATGCCTGTCTCAGAGTCAGAAGCAATAGCTCGATACCAAAAGAGATCGTCCTTTTGTATAAGCACATGACAATATGTGTCGGAAGCACCCGATAATCCTTGATGACGCGCACCCACACTGATGTTTAGATACGGTTGTCTAGGATGTGTGGCATCGCGCCTAAGAACCCTGCTGAAGCTGTTGCCACTTCCGTCATGCCTCCACTCAGCCACATGAGCAACAAACGAGCCACACCATTTTTCTTTTGATGTGGCCAGTATTCACCCTCATCCTTTCTCTTCGACACCGTGAAAACTTCTTGTTCAACTCATATTTGTCGTGACACCTTTTATGCTCCTCAGTCTTATTCATATCGACTTATACACATCGTGTGCTGCGATTTTGCAAACCATGTCCGAAAAGCAAGAAGCACAAACAAAAGAAGCCGCTTCGGCGGCCGAGGCATCAGGTCAAGCTCCACCGCCACAGGAAGTCGCCCAGGCAGTTGAGGCCGCCCAGGCAGCAAGGCGTTTTCAGGATGCCGCCGACGCACTCAAGAAGCAGGCCCAGCTCGCACGAGACCCAGCGGAGCGAGAGAGACTATGGACCGCGGCATATATGAAGGAGAAGGAGGCACATGGGGAGAGCAAGAAAGCTAGAAGTAAGTGATCAGGGGTCCCTCTAGACGACGAGACTGTGCAAGGGTTCTTTCTTGTCTTGGTCTTCATCCGCTGATTCGATGCATCAGTGATGGCAAGTGGATGGGGTCAGGGTGCCGGCATAGGAATTGGAATTTCTAGCGCTGTCGGCATGGGCTTGGGAAACCTCCTCGGCGCGATAGTGACTGGTGTCGTTGCCATCCCTGGCGGCCTGATCGGCTCAGGAGTTGGCGCAATACATGGCCCGTGGTACAAGTTGAAGGATGTGGTAGGCGCCGGCGGCGACGGGAAGACGGCGTCTGACAATAGCAACCCTGACGGCAAGGGCGAAGCCTCCGAGACGGAATCAGAAGACGAGGCACATATGGCTATTGTTACGGCTGCGAGGCAGATGGATGACCAGACTGCCGACAAAACGAATGGTGGAGGGGAGAGCAATGCGCACCCTGCTAGCGAAGCAAAGAGGGAGGGCACGGAGAGCCAAGGCCCGCCCAAAGATCAAAAGGCATAGAGAAGTCAAGAGAGGCGACGGGGAAACATGAGTTGGAGGGTTCTTCCACAAGATGAGGAGGGTGTAGGTGAACACACTGTCAACAAACCAGTCAAGGGGCGACATGCCTTGTCAACAACTCCAGACAGAATATCGCGGCATCACATGACAGCATTTCGAAACCAGGAGCATATACATAGCGAGCGTTGAGAGTTCTTAGTCTTTCACTTGAATTTATTCTATTATCGTATGCCTAGCCCAAGGACATGTCCAAAAGCCACTGTTTCAAGTATTCATAAGGCTTCTATTATGGCTCAGGCAAAACTTTAATGTTACTAACGAAACCTGAAGAGAGCAAGATTAAAGTCTCATGCTGAGAATAATGAGGGACGTAACTCAGCAAAGTAAACAGTAAGAACGCAGTAAAAATGGCAGCCAGGATACATAATTGTGGCATTCTCGGTGAGGCGATTTCTCCCTTAGTCATCGGGCTTCAATCGCTGTATTCCGGTCGTCAAGACGACCTCCTTCCCAAGTGGCAGCAACTCATGCCAGACAACATGAGCACAGTTCTCCAGCCTGCGTCTAGCCAAGCATGACAGCTTCATGCTTGAGGTGATACGAGCTACGGTTATCGCCTTGTGATGATACATGTCTATAGACGTTGTACCCGACGATATGAAATCTAATTGTCAAAATATTTGCCTTGAAAAGCCGAAGCGTTGAAATTATGGTGAGGCTATGTATTGCTGGAGTAAGGTATTGGTCTTGGACTAGAGCGTGATAATTATGATTGAAGTCCCCCCCCCCTTTTTTTTTAAAAAAAAAAAAGGTCGACCAAATGAAGTTGGCCAGTTACTCAAGTTCTCCTCAAAGTGCACACCTATACCGTTTCTCTTGGGTATATCTATCCCGTATCACGTTCAATTCAACCTTTGTTTCATCGTATTGGTCATGGTCTAAACCACTCCACACCAGCCTGTACCGGCGCTGGAGGGCCATGATTCAAGACCTCCTCAGAGGTTTTTACACATTGATCTTACACCCCTGCCAGAGCTGAAAGTTTACCAGAAACTTCATCAGAGTTATCTTTGAACTAGCCCAAAGAGGGACTTGCTGCACTTTCATGCAGTCAGATTCATGCAGCTCACATGACCCAGTTGCAATACATATTTTAACGCGGGCGCAGCTGAGATCGCCCGTCTACTTTACCTTGTACCGCGGCACAAAAATCATTCAGAACGTGCCTTCACAGTCTACTCGACACCCGGCAGCTCTATAGTACCCACGGAGAAGGCAGATGTATTCAGTAAGGTCCACAGTGTGATTGCGGCAAAGATCTCGAACCAGCATTCGCAAATGTCAGACAGATAAGACAAATCATGCCTTTGTCTCATCTCAATGACAAGCAGCGGCTGGGTGAAAGAGGAGACACCCATGAACGGAGACCCGAGCGCGATGAATACTCGTGGGTTCATTCACCCGTCCCTCCAAATAGTGGCCTGCAGTGGACGCCAGGTGCTCCTGGGCCCGGTCACATCCATGATGGTGGAGCAACACAAAGAGACGAAGGGGAAGAGCGATTGCGGTTGCGGCGACCCTTCAGTTTCAGCCATCCACCTGACAAGATCAGAGAGTACAATGCAAAAAATCTCAGTAACACTTCTTCGAAGGGTACTTACAGCGATGTCGGGTCAAGGCCGACAATGAGCACGCAAAAGAACCAAAACACGCTTGGGAGTGGCGCCATCATACCAGGACAACCCTCACCCTCACAAGATCTCAACGCAAGTCTTGCTGCTTCTCTGCCGCCGAGACCACGGCGCCCTAATCAGCCCATGAGCCATCACGAGGCAGTGCAGCACCAGGTGGACAAACCTACATCGGCAGGAATTCCCAAGGCTCATGATGTGCCTCCTCCGATACCATTAACGGCCGAGAACCTATACAGCGTCCTCAACACGCGGAATCCCTCCATCCGAGACTCTGACAGCAGCCGAGGAAGCCGGGATACGCAAGACAGTTGGCGCGTCCGTCCAAGCAGCCCCAGCACAAGCGTTGGCGACGATGATGTTGTGAGCATCGTTGTCAAAGGAAATGCCAGAGTGACGATTGGTACCTCCTCAATGAATATAAAAGATGGTGCCGAAATACGGATCCGCTCTGGAGATGTCAAAGACTACAGGAGCGTTGGTCCTTCGCCTGAAAAGTTCAATGAGGAGCGACAACCAAGGCTGGGTTCATCAGCACCTCAGAGACGAAGTAGTACTCACTTGTCTCGCGACGTGGTGGTTGAATCGGACCGCCGGGTCGAAGATAATTTTCACAACCCCCCTTCACATAGACGAGGAATCGACTCGCAGACCACACACAACAAGCCCCGATCGCACAGTACTAGTGACAGCTCGAACGAGTGGGTCAACAGAGCCCAGGGTGGCTTAGATGATTTCAACGTGGCTAAGGGCAGCAGACGGCCGTACATGGAAGACTGCGACGAGGATGGCAACGTCATCGACGATACCAGAACCTACATGTTAAGGCCCCAAAGGAAACAGCCAGACCGCGACGGAGACGCCCTTGCCATACCTAATACCTCAAGAATCAGGAAAACAGAGTCAGCAAGGATATTGACCAAGAAGACGGTTGAAAATAGCAGCCCAGTGGCAGCTCGTACGAGCTGGGGACCAACACAGGAGGTAAAGGATGCCATACAGACAAGGAGCAGGCCAACAGCGCCGGTGCAGGTTTTTCAACCCCCTTCCTATGCACCACAGGCACAGAACAGCCCTTCATTCTCCGCCGTCAGCTACGGCCCAATTAGCACGCCTGCTACAGCATCTCGTCCCGAGGCGAGTCCTGTGGATCGACGGCCGTCTACCTACTACGGTCAATATTTAAGCTCAGTTGCCCCTCCACAGGCATCGGGAGTAGCACATTATGCGCAGCACTATTATCATCTCCCACCAGTTTACCAGCTACCGTCAGGTTACCACAGCCAGTTGCAGCAGATGCGACTCTATCAACCGGCATTGGCTTCAGGATACATGTCGCACCCAATCCGTCCTTCCACATACCCAACAAATCACTCCTCATCAAATCATTCTGCAGAGCACAGTCGTACATCAGTTCGTCCTCCACCGAGTTACTATCAGACAGGCTCCCGCGATGATTCAGCCGTTCCCCGTCATCTCACCCCCACCGACACCCTCCACGGTAGTGAACCGCGCAAAACACTGCGACGCCGGCCCGTGACGGACACTGATGCAACGTCTTATGAGGAAAAAGAAACACGTGTTGCCATGCCGCCGCCAAAGCCTCGCAAAGCCAACCCAGTCTCTGCGACATTACTGAACGAAACGGCCACGGATCAGGATATGAAAAAGGGCAAGGCAGGAAAAGGACCCATCACAACCATGACGGTCGGCAATAACCCCGGAACCGAGCTAGATACTGCGCCTGAGGAAGAGGAAGAATCAAGAAAGGATAAACCAAAAGAGGATGCCGAAGAATTGTTCAGGAATCATCCGCTCCCGGTATATGATGTGGTGAAGGCTGAAGAGAAAGCATCTGCCACAATGGAACTAGAAGCTCGTGCTACGGTTTCGCCCCCCACGAAGATCACGGACTGGCTCAACGAAGAGAAAAGTGAAGTTAGTCGTGACGTCTTGCCACTTGTCCGACCTTCACAAATCATCCACTCAGATATACACAACATCTTTCACCCCACCGACAACCCCTACTCTGTTCAAGGCGGCCGCTCTTCGGCCTCCACAGCGGCCTCTGGTGTCCCAGAAGATCGAGATGGGGCACGCACATCAGGCATAGGTGGTACAGCAAGTGGCAAAGAAGAGCAACATACCAGCACGGACAATCTGCGAGGCGAATATCCACAGAATACCGTCAAAACGGCCTCCAACAGTAACGATTTCGTGAAGGATGAAGCCGACACTATGTCGCTGCCGTCCTACGCTGAGTCCACCGTCGAATCAGTGTTTGATGCCATGTCCTCTGGGAGTACAGCCTCTTCTGTGCCTGGTGATGTGCAGGCCTTAGTTGGCGCTTTCGTGGATCTCTTGGCACGCGACAAGAGCATCGACAGAATGTTAAAAAAGATTCTGGCAGAACCAGAGGCAAGCATCGGCACCGAGAGATTCAGTCGAAATTTCAGTCGGATCCTTCGCAGTTATGCACGAGGATTAAAGCAAAATTTGACATATTCAGCGACCGAGCTGATAGATGCTAGCCAAGCACATGCGGTGGCCTTTATCTCTCGCAAGACGATGCATGCATCCAACCTTGTGGTGTCAAGATACAGCGGGCCAATGAAGCAGCCCGGTGTCATGCAGAGCGACAATGCGAGCCTGGTTTTGAGACATCTGGACCAAGTTGCTGATTTCGATAGCGACGAAGACACTGATTTTGAGGATGCTCAACAAACCTTCGCCATTAACAGTTTGGAATTATTCCTCACCACTGGCGAGCCCTTCAGACGCCTGAAGTGGAACCTCAGGGCTTTGATCTTACCGGACTCTTTTCTTGAGCGCGTTGAGGCCACTGTAGCTCGTCTCATCGGCCTCGTTGATAAGACTTTCGCCTCGTTACTCCTTGATCTGGAGGCTCAATGTCGAGTGCAGAAGGCATCTTTTTCAACAATATTGGCTGGCCGAATCCGGGATTTTGGCCTCAGTCTGACGAAAGAATGCAGCACAAGGAGTCAATATGAAGCAGCGGACTTTCTGGCTCTATACGCCGAATACATCGCCGTGCGTCTTGTGCAAAGCATAGATGATCCCAGAGCTCACGGCTCAGACTCCCATGTTCTCAATGAATCACCTTCCAGCGAGGTCTACACTTGTGGAGACTCCCCTTATGAAGCGATTTTGCATGGAGACACGCTATCAGAGACACAAGACATCCTGGAAGATATTGTTGCCAGCACTTTACCGACCATTTGCGAAGCAAACTTTTCAGGAATGTGGCAATTCGTCAAATCCAGCAAATCTTTTGTTGAATTTCTTCAGAACCTTCACGAAGAAGCTTTCCCCACATTCTTCACCAAGGCCAGGGACCATATCATGGAGACTATCAGCTCTGCAGGCATGGACGACGAGGAAATACAAGCTGAGGGGCGGCGTCTCTTGCCCATTTTGACAGAGATCCAGTGGTGTGTTGAAACTAAGCCCAAGGGTGCCGAACTTCGTTTCAACGTTGATCAGAGCTCCGAGGCATACTTGACAGTCTCCGATCGAATCAAACTCGCAGTTGAGGCGAGTACAGGGTCTCAATGGAATTGGTGGCCGCTTCGGCCTCCACCAAGTAATCCGCAAACGCCGAAAAACGACAACGACGTTTTCATATCTTGGACATGTGTAAGTGCAGGCTCTCAAATACCCCAATCCGTTAAGCAGTGACTGCTAGACATGCTCCTGGTTCATTTACGAAGGGACGATTACAAGTATCCCACCAATCGTGCGTGAATAAATTGAACTTGGGGGCCCGGAGAAGGTTTCTTACGACACGAATACAGTTTCTCTTGAATAGGTCGGGTGATTTCAATGAATGACTATGGCTGACTGGTTTCACTCCAGAACTGCGGCGCCTTGCGACAAGAGAAAGTTGCTGCTCACTATAGCGCTTCACTTCAGATGTTATACGAGCAATATCCCCTTACGACCCGCTCAACCAGTAGCGGAACACCTCCACCACAACGACCGACAAGTTCACTGAGCAACAACAGCTCTGAAGCCAGCAGCCCTGATTCCATGTCGGACTCTTCCTCGGTTGGGGAGCATGACGCCGGTAGATTATCGGCCGCAAGCACAATCGTCACGATGCCGAGCGCCAATGCCTCTGTAGTATCCCTCACGGACGACCAGAGATCCTTCGTGTTCCTTCTGGTTTTGAGGGCAGCCAGGTTTCGGTTTGTCTCCACGGAAGTGACAAAGATGTCATCACACGCATTCTTCAGAACGCTTGTCGATAAGTATAAGGAGAAGCGCGGCAGCTTGCGGCAGCTTTTCTCGATCTTCGTATACAGCCACTGCGACTTTGTTAAAGTCCGGAGGTTCGCGCCACAACGCTTCGGTCCAGGTGCCAAGTTCTCCTACCCCCCTTGCGACGACACCGAGTACAAGTTTACACCGCGACCTATGGAGGAGGCCCCGATTACGAGACATATGTTTTACGAGCTTTTTCACGCGTGTTATGATGAGGACACCCTGCTACACAGGCTTCACAACTCGGTTTCCCTCTCGGGCTGTGACGTTCTGCGTACACTTCCCGACGAGCTTATCCACTATCTACCCAAGCGTAACTGTGACGTCTCCGCTGACGCACAGTTTGACAAGGTAGAGATCTTCTGGGGCCTGGTAGCCCGTGAGCAGAGGTCAGCGTTGAGAGTGGCCGTGTACACGCTCCTGAGCCTTCTGCCGTCTGTCTGGTTTGGCTTTCAGTGGATGTTTGGCTGGGGCCATCCAGATGACCTTCAGGATGCCACGGTTCCTTTCATGATGACTTGTACAATCTGGGGAATGTTATGGGCGGCGGTGTACTCCGGGAGCGATGTGAAAGAAATCTGAGCTGTCCACCTGTCAGAATATGAATTGTCATAAACTTCTGTTCTTCTGAATCTATTTATTCCTTCTTTCTATTGAGCTGAACTCCAATCGACAGTTCTCTGGAATGCCTTATTTGTATGACAGGGTTCTTCTTGTTATTGTTTTCATGAAGATACACCTTCCTTGTACCGCCAGCTATTTAGTCTTAGCCGCTTGCCTAGATGGTAATAGATTGGAGACTGGTCAAGGTCCGAGAGCCGCGGTAAAATCCCCTCTACTTTACCTAGGTTAATAATGATCAAGGGTTGTCCTTAGCCATGAGGATATGACTGGATGCCTTGACTGCATCCTGCTCGGTCACACGATGAAGGGCAAATTACTAGGAAGGATACTAAGATGATGCATGCAGTCAGCTACTAGCCAACCTCGCCAGTATCACGGTCACACATTGTATGTCTTGACTCCAATTTCCCTTCATTCATTAGCAGACATCATGCGGGGAATTGAGATATAGTTCCAAGTACAAATATGCCATGGTCACGGCCCCCTCAAGCGTAGAGGACTTGGGGCACTTCTCTCCTGGTTGTACCATCTTCATCCTATCTGCTTTATCGGGTCAACAACCAGTCAGAATGGGAAGCATGACTGAAGATCCGAAGACTGTCAATTTCGCTGTGGTCTATACAGACCCGCCGAGTCTGAGAACAGAGGTTGTCGAGAGGCCGGTTCCAGAGCCGGGACCAGGTGAGGTGCTTGTTCGACTGTGAGTATACACTTAATAAATCTGTGCTCGCACCACATCCAGTGAGGCATGTGAGGGTTTCAAGCTCAGCAATTCGCAACCCAGATCGTACTCTGGAGTCTGCCATTCAGACCTGGGCTTCTGCACCAACTCATATGTCCACGTGCCACCAACGCCAGCGGGCCAAGTGGGCGGGCACGAAGGTGAGGAGACATCTATTGCCCGCTAAATCGCAAAATGCTGAAGAATAGGCACAACATCTACCATCCTCAGGCCTTGGCGAAGTTATTGCTCATGGTCCCAGCGTGACATATCCATCTGTTGGCACGAAAGTTGGCATTAAATACACCGCCAGAGCATGCCTATCCTGTGCCAACTGCCTGCAGGGTGGCGAGTCGACCTGTGAGTCAAAAACGGAGTACAAGATCTCGGGGTTCCTGCACCCAGGTACATTCCAGCAGTACGTCGTCTCGCCAGCCAACTACGCCACCCCGATCCCAGATTCGATCACGGACCTTGCAGCCGCCGCGCCGCTCATGTGTGGCGGGGTGACTGTTTACACTGCTCTGAAACGTGTAGGCGTGAAGCAAGGTGACTGGGTCGTCATCTCCGGGGCAGGCGGGGGGCTAGGCCATCTGGCAGTACAGTACGCAAAAGTGATGGGTGGGCGCGTCCTGGGCATCGATGACAGCACAAAGGAGAAGACGGTCAAGGAGCTAGGCGCCGAGGTTTTCCTTGATTTTACTGCTTTCGAGAACGATGAGGATCTCGCAGCGCGGGTGAACGACGTGACGGGCGGTGGCGCGCAGATTGTGATGGTGTGTACATCCAGCCCGAGGTCGTACGCATCGGGCATGATGTGGCTCGGGTTCAGGGGCAAGTTGTGTTGCCTGGGAATTCCCGAAAAAGAGATTCAGCCAGCCCTGGGGGTCAGTATACTGCTGATGGTGGCGAAGGAGTTGACGATCATGTGTAAGTGTCCACACGGAGAGTCGTGGGAGAGGGTTTCAAAAGAGAATTACCAAGAGACTGACACTTTTCTTTTCTGGTATGATATCAGCGAACAAGTCAGGCAACCGACTTGAAGCTTTGGAGACTGTTGAGATTGCCGCAAGGCACGGCATAAAGACGCAGTATCAGCTAAGGAATATGGACGAATTGACCACGGTAAGTTTGCGTCGCTCTGCTTTCTTGTCTATTTATACATGTGTTAATCATGGCCCGACAGATTTTCGAAGAGATGCAGGCCGGAAAGATCACGGGAAGGACGGTCCTGGACCTTAGGTAGACTCTGAATATAAACTATAAGATAGTATATGAACGGGATATTAAATACTTCGGAGGCATGAATGCCAATTCTTGCACCTATCTTTGCGTCCATCTCATATCAATGTACTAGCACACCCCTTTCACTCATTCTCGTCTCCCAACAACTCATCCACCAAATACCACGACTCAGGGTTAGATATCACCTCGAACTCATCAATATCCTCACTAGCGTCAGCTGTCATACCTCGGGACTCTGGTGTTTTGTTGGTTGCGGGTTTGACGGCCCCAATCCTCAACCTCCGTTTCCTGGGCTCTCGATACTTCACAATATAACTCCCCTCGATATCCCTGAGCTCTGTTGGCACAATCAGACTGCCCCATCTGTCGTAAATCTTGCCGTTGCCCAGAGAAGCATTCTTCTGACCATCCTCCAGCTCGTCGAGCTCTTCCCTGGAGAGTGTCTGCACACCTCTCCCAGGGTGTATCTCCCAGTCCCAAGGAACGTTTTCCCTCTCGGGTCCACAGAAGCTGCAACCACAAAGTTCTGGCCGACTTGAGTCTGTTTCAATCCTTGCTAGTTTGATGTCCGTCTCCCATGGCCGCTTCTTCCGCGCCATGTCTGGAGCGCACTCTTTGACCCTTGTGTTGACGAGTTTCCGGTCACGAAACCCCTCAAGGCTTCGGCTATAATTCCAAACCCAGCGAATTTATTTATGATTGGTCTGTAGCCCACAGCATTTGAGATTTCAATGACTGTCGTTGTGAGGTCTACACCAATTCAGCCTTTTGTCCGCGGCTGCGAGGCAAGAACCGGGGAAGACAGCGGCCACGGCAACATCTACAAGTTGTATGAGTGGCCTTGGCGATGATTGATGTCGGTGGGAGGTAAAGTCTTGTCCAAGAGGGGAAGCTGTAGATGAAGTGCGGTATGTGCGCAATAATTTGAAACCACAAAGTGGCAAACTGATGTGATTAATCTTTATGATGATTGTTGAGGTATCCCGGGGCGAACGTTGAGGCCGATGGAATAGACTGCGGGTACATGATTCTGAGATCCATATCAGCAAATGTCAAAAGATGTTTGCATACTTCTCCTTTTATAATTTTACGATACTCTTCGATTACTTGACTGCGAAATTATTCTCTACCTCGTGATCCCCATCCATATTTCTCTTTTGTCTCGCCGAAGAGGCGCAGTGAGGCCAAATTTGGAAATGCCTAAGCCACCATTCGTGTGAGGCCAAAAATCAACTACCCAGATGCAATCACTCAAACTGTACAGTGCTAAAATGGTAGAATAGTGACATTTCGAAGACTGGTGTGGAATGTGAGCTCAACAAGTAAACTTTTTTTTTTTTTAAAAAAAAAAAAAAAAAAGATAAGGTGCCATGCCACCCTGCGTAGATGCCGAGTGGGCGTTCTAAGCAATGGTCGAATTTGCAGTGAATACTGTGTGGTTTCAGGCTCCAGAGCCTCTGAATCATTCCAAGACGTGTCTTCCAGGGAGCTGTCTAAAGGGAGTACGTAGAGGTAAGGTACTCAGGTATGCAGCGCGCCCTGGTTAAGGGAACGGTAGGGCAACGGCATCTCTTCATACTTCCAAACGTGATTATGGATCGTGAAGAACGTTGAAAGATATAGGTGAGGATCAAGAAAGTGAATGTGTGCTCCGCCGCTGGAACTTCGGCCAGTCACCGGAGTGCTGAAAGTCAGCTGTGATCTGCTCAGTGACTGACTCTATCAGAAGGCAGCGATAAGATAAGAGAGAGCAGGGTGACAGAGATCTACATAAGGGTCCCCTGGTATTGATTGTGTCATTCTGCAGTCTGATATACGGCAGAACTTGGCCTTTTGCAACTCTTGTTTTTTTCTGTCACTCGCTGCGTTCAACATCAACTTTCTAGCAAGGTATCCTGTTGATAGAATTTCTGGCCTTTGCATATTACTGCTTGTCATCTATCTGCACTTGTCTGCATCATCCACACCAGCATCAATTGGCCCATTGCCTTCCGCCTCTTCTGGTCCTCACACGCACACCGCTCAACGTCTGCTTCGATACCGCCCAAAGAACTGCCTTGCGGCTAAGCAAACACAATTACGATGGCCCCAAGCGCGAACAATGGCGAGGGGGTCGACAATCTCGGCAATGAGGTAGTGCCCGCCAATCCAGGTTTGTACCCTTGGCCTACTGCTTTTGCTCCTGAATGCGACCACGCCGTCGTTAAGCCTATCTCTGCTCACTTCTGCTTCCAGATCCCTCGGTGGTCACGATGACCAAGGTCTCCGGCGAATGGACCGTGCCCAAAGTCCTAGCCACCATCTCGACTGGTGCGCCCACCGAGGGCTCGGACTCCCCAATACCCTACTTCCACCTCCTCGAGCGACTCAAGACAACGAAGCGCGAAGGCTGGAGACGGTTCGGAATCGTACGCGGTGAATCGATCGCGGACCACATGTACAGGATGGCCATGATCAGCATGTTTGCGCCCCCCTCGATACGGGGCAGGGTGGATATGCACAAGTGCATGAAGATGTGTCTGATCCACGACATGGCCGAGAGTCTGGTCGGCGACATCACACCCGTGGACGGTGTTGCGAAGCCAGAAAAGAATCGTCGCGAGGCGGCGACGATGGACTACATCACGGGGAACCTACTAGGCAACGTGTGGGGAGGCCAGGGGAAGAGCGTCGCTGAGGACATCAGGGCGGTGTGGCAAGAGTACGAGGACAGCGAGACGCTGGAGAGCCACTTTGTGCATGACATTGACAAGATGGAGCTGGTGCTGCAGATGGTGGAGTATGAGAAGCGCGGGGAGAGGAGGCTGGACCTGGGCGAGTTTGCGTGGGTGGCGACACGGCTGGCACTGGACGAGACCAAGGAGTGGGCGCAGGAGGTGCTACGGGAGAGAGAAGAGTACTGGGGCAGAAAAGAGCACCTTCATGGTGAGAAGGGCGTCGAAGGCGGTGTCGCAAGGGACCATGTTGACGCCTCAAAGGTGTACTACGAGGGCTCTGGTGGTGCGCCCTCTTAAGAGCCTGAAGGGTCTACGAGTGTCTCGGTTCTTCCGCGTGCGAAAAAAAAAAAAAGGAAAAAAAAAAAGGACTTCAGCAAATCAACAGCGGGCAAGGAGCAGCGGCGCTTAGTGCTTGACAAAACAAGACTCCTGATCATAGAAGAGGATCTTGGGGATGGGCTGGACATCTTCACGGCTATTGTGGAATACGTCGCCGAATAGAATATAGATTAGACGAGATGCTCAATCCCATCCAGCCTCACTCAGTATGCATGATGTTTGTGTTGGTGTTTTGGTAGCGACACGGTAGCGACACGGTTCAACCTTGTAGTAAGCGCTGCCGTACCTCTCCAGTTGGGCTGGCAGGCTGGGTGATCATCCCCTGCCCACCTTCCAACCCCACCTACCCCAAATTCCCCCTCTGCTCCTCCCTCTAGCCTGTACTTTTCGACGGTGCCACGGCAACGAACCTGCAAAGCCACCAGACTCCAATACCAGAACTTTCCGACAACCCTGCAGTAATCCCCCCTCCCCCTCTCTCCTTTAGCAGCCAACCCCCAAACCCCCTGTCGCTATCAGGTGCTTCGTGCTCCGCATAGGACCCAGCCCCTCTGAAAGTGATCCACTGTTCACCGTCTCCCCATCGTCCATTCCAGCTCAAGGGGCCCACTCTCAAGAGAAAGTGTGTGAACCGACCGCCAATTTACGCTGCACGCCACGTCGTCGAAAGATTCCCTGCGCGAGTGTGCTCACCATCTCGTCTCGCCCGGCCGATCCTCGAGTGTTCCTGTCGTCTTGCTTTTGTGCCTGAGCACTGGGCTTGCTCCCTTACAATATTGCTGCATCACCCAGGTGACGGCCTTGCCTCTCCCACTCTCGAACGACGATTTCCCTCTCCATCCGCGTCACGGGTGGTCGTTTTCAGTCGAGCTCTCGACGACTAATCTTCCGATCTTTAAGGGGAAGGGGGTCTTGCAAGAATACACGATAGCCTGCAGGTGGTCAGTTCACGCGCGACAGGACAGGGTCGGAACACCTGCAATGCAGCTGCTCGGCCCGCGCTCAGCTGGTGCCCGTGAATTTTGAGCTTCGGCCTCGCTGCAATCCTATTGCCCATTGCAGGCGAAACTTTTTGGAGACAGGGCGAGGAAGCGAGAGAGTGGAGCGCATGCTCCATGACCGAACACCTCGCTCCATCCGCCCTGCGGGTCTCAGTCCCTTCCAAAACACCGAATCTCTCGAACCTGACCGCATAACGCTCTGCACAACATGGCGTACGGAAGTCAGTTCCACATGCCTGGTTCCTTCACCTTTGAGGGCCCCGGTGCCCCCACGACGCTCAACGCCAACATGTTTCGTCCTCCCGTCTCGCCCACCACGTCTTCCTACAACCTATCAAGATCAACAGGCTCCCTCCTCTCGGACCAGTCTATGGCCACCAATAGCACTACCCCAGTGCCAAGGTTGGGGAGGAAACGGACATATGATGAGAGCAACTATAGAGCCAGAGGGTTTCTGAGTCTAAATGTGGACAGTGCGTGCGACCCCGCCATGGAGGATGGTGTAGGAGGAGAGCATCGATATACGCTTGCCGGCCAGATCGAAACTCCAGGCGCACATACATCACCACAAGGAGGAACGTTGGAGGACAGTCTGTACTCTGATATCGACTACAGGCGGGCATTGGGATCCAAGAGGGCCCATGCAGAGAGTGATGGAGAGCCACTCGGTCTGACTGGGCTGGTGAATACGGAGACGGGTGAGCCCGTCACTCCACGGTCGGCAGGCTGGACGACATTTGCTTTCCAGGCGATAGGAGGCGTGGTGGAGAAGGTCTGGGAGTTCTGCAGGGGCGGTGCTGGTGCCTTTCGAGGGTTCCAGGCAGGAGGTGGAAAGGCATACGAGTTCAACGGTCTGGAGGTCCCAGTATTGACAGCCGCACCAGGGCCCCAGACAATACATGACGACCCTCACGATAGGCCCAGCAGCCCGACTCGTGTCCTGGCCGAGGACAACGGGATGACGTATTTCCCAAACTCATCCGCTGCCGATGTCCACAATCATAATCTTTTCATTCAAGACCAACAAGAGAAGGAGCCGTCGCCGGACACCACCCCGGAGCGGCCTGCTGCCAAGAGGCGGCAGACTGGCGTCCACAACGAGAATGACGAGCTGCGAAGGAACTGGGTCATGGTTGACGACGAAGACGGGCCCTCTGCTACGCCGAGCCGGCCGATCCCTAAGAGGGCCTTCGTAGCACCTTCACGCATTCCCGGGAGCAGAGCTAGCATGGCCACACGCCTGCAACAACCCCGGGTCTCTACACCTAATGCATCCGGAAGGAAGTTCAGTGCCCCGTCGCCCAGGTTCAGCGGCGACAGATCAAACATCCCGACCCGGGCATCATCTCGGATGTCCACAGCTTCGGGGGCTTCGGGAGCTTCGTACGCTGGGCTGGCTGCGTCACCATCTCTGGGCCCTGGAGAGCCCGCCAGTTTTGCCAGCCCGCGATCACCGTCACGAGCGACACCAGCCAACCCCTTCGCGTCGAACCTCTCTACCCCCAATGGGTCTCGAATTCCTCAACCAAGAGGACTAGGTCCGAACCCATTTGCCAATACACGAACATCCTCGCCCGTGCCCCAAGGCGTGTCTCCTCGCCGGCCCTCGACCCGGTCATCATCCCACCACACTTCGCCCTCGGCCCACAGCTTCGGCTTCAACGCCACACCGACCGGACACAAAAAGACCACTTCTAGCGCCTCGACAGGCGCCACTCGAGGCCGCTACTCATATGGTCCTAACGACATAGACAAGGTCCAAACCAGCCCACGTCTGGACGACGAAGGGAGGCATCTGGCGAACAAGAGATTTGTGACCCAGAGGCGTGCCGACTCGACATTGGATCGGCTCAACATGGACCTCCAGGGGCTGATCAGACAGGGCCAGGAGGCGCTGGGTGCAACCTTTGATGTCAACATGGACGATGGCTGGGAGGAGGACACGTGAGGAACAGGCCAACTTGGACTACGTCTGTGTGATATGATGACTCGTCGCGGAAGCTGCCTCTGCCTGTTCGACTGCACAATGACGGTCTGGCTGGGCACTATGCAACATTGTCATGGTGTGTTATACGGTATACTGGTGGTGTTCTTGGATTATCTTTTTTTTTCTTCCCTATTTTTTCCCCTGCGAGGAGTTCAGGATAGGTAGCTTGTTTGAAAGTCCTGTATTTAGCATTAGGCGCGTCTGGCTTTGGCTCTGAAAGATACTTCATGTATGTTCTCACTAGTCCCTGAAATCATTACCTCTTGGTCTCTCGGCTTGGTGTGTCCAAGATTTGCTGTGCTATGGGGACGGTTCTTGATGCTAGGTCTACTTAGATCTGCCTGGCGGCCCTGGGTTCTGCCTAGGGGGTCTGATTAGGCATGCTAAGGTAAGGTGGGGAGAAGCTAAGTGCGGCCCCTCCCCTGCCTGATCTGCCTCTAGTGTACCTAGAACCTGCCGCCAGGGGTCCATGGCCGTCATTACCTCGTCCACCCATATCCTTTCTGAGCTTCGTCTTGACGCTTTTTGTTTTGTTTCAACTGCTTAAAACCCCTCTGCCCCTCTACACCGCACCGCTTACATTACCTATTTCTTTTCGTTACAAACGACCACTCTGTACCCCTTCATCACGCACAGCGCCGGTCCTTGGTGTGCATCTCCTCCATCTAGGGCGAACCTCGTTCTCAAATAAGCCAGCGTTGTCCCCCGCTGCCTGCACAGGCCATCGCCAAGCATCTTCTGGCTACGTTCTGTCTTTGGCCAGAGCCGAACCACGCTGAAACATTCGCCTCTATCCTTCATCTCTTTGAACCCCGAGGAACTTACCTTCATGCCGTGATTGTTGCCCTGGAGAAGGGCGATGAAGCCATGGCCCAAGCCCCGCACCCCGCGACGGAGCCCGCCAGCTACCAACGGCACTATCCTCTCGATCTGCCCTCTGGGCTGCCCTTCGAGAGATACGAACACCGACGTCTTACGGCACGTGACATCCTCGTCCACCGGATAGTATCAAAGCTCTTGTCTCCCACGCCAGCGTTCGCCTCAGCCTTGGACGCCCATCGCCCGACCTCAAATCCCAGCCGCTCCAGCTCGTCCCACTCTTATCACAACTTTGGTCCTCTCAGGCCGGTCGACAAGACTCTCGCCCGAGATGTTGAGCTCCTCCGCAAGATGCTCATCACTAGCAGCACCGAGGAGTGGGTTTCGCAGACTTTGGTCAAGCCCTTCACTTCATTCGTGGTTAATATTTGGGTAAACCGACCGCCAGAAGAGCTCTTGCTCCCACGCCACAGGACCGATTTTCAGGAGTCAACAATCGAGGAGGAAATTCTAGATTTGATACGAAGGCACTACATGGAGACAGATGACGCGACAACTAGGCTGTGGCTTCAAACGCTACAACCATCACGACCATCGAGCTATACAACCCTGCCGGGGAAGACGGCTAAAAAGGGCTCGTTCAAGAGGCTTGTCCAGGAACGAAAGCAAACCGAAGAACAAAAGGCTGCGGAGGATTACAAGAGGTGGTATGACAACGACACTGCGCTCCTGAAGGCTTTGCAAGAGCAGACACTCACTTCGAACCAGCGTGGGCTGTATGAGGGAGGCGCTTTTCTCTATGCATTGCGAAAGCCGCTCTCAAAGTCAAGAGCCATTCGCCAAAATTTTCACAAGACGACGGAGTGGAGGGAAAAATCATTCTTCGCGGTCGAGGGTGCCTCACAGACTATCAGAGACGAGGTGTACCCGTGGCCTGAGCATCATGCCCCGCGCCGAGTCCTGCATATGCCGTCATTTTATGGCTGGCGGCAGAAGCATGAGTACTTCCAGACAGAACAGATGCCAGTCGACTTTGCGAGCGGCAGGACTGGCCGTGGTCGGGACCGAGACGGTATCTGGTCCACGAGTCGCTGGTCTGGCGATGATTTACCGCGTGGTCGGATGATGAGGCGTGGTCGTCGACGCGCGACAAGCGAACCGCCACCAGGACTATTTACCGCGGCACGCCTGCCCTTCAGCTTTAATGCCACCAGAGAGCTGCTCATCTTCCCCAAGATGAGCCTTGCAACGATTGAGCGTCGGGCTCGGAGGCGCAGCCTGAGCCGGACCAGGGTCGCCGAAATGTTCAACTGGGATGTTGTGCTTACCAAGCCACCTGCGAGACCACAGATCAAGGCGACTTTTGAGCTGCATCTGAAGATACCCTCCCAGCATATGCATGTGAAACGTCAGGCATTCCATCGTAAGAGGGTTTGTGACCTCTTCTCCGCACGCCATATCGGCGACTATGCCTATCCTCTCTGCGATTCCGATCTCGACAAGTGTTTTCTGAATATCAACAGGTGGTTAGATACACCAGCGGCCCACGATTATATTGCTGCCTGGTTGTGGGAGTGGGGGCCTGAATTTGTTATCACCGTCCGATTTATCGGGGACAGACATACGACCATGGAGATCGAAGGACGAGGACATTACAAGCCAGACACGTGTTGGGGGGCTCGCCCTGTCTATTCGGTCTTGCCGGCCGAGTTATCTTCGCCGCTATCAGCACAGTTGTTGCAGAGCTCAAAGCCCTCCTGGCCGGCACCATGTGCAAACTGTACTTCCTCGACGCATGTCACAGCGAGGTGTACATTGCCCTGCGGCTACTGCGGTGCTCCAAACCCGGACTTGAAACGGTTTTATGACGGTCTTGGCCCCTTCGCCGGTCACTTTCTATCCAGGGCAGTGGGCGGCGCGTCCGAAGCTGGTCAGCACCATAATCTACATCTCGCACCAAACTGCCCCGTATCGAAGCAGAACCGTTGCAAGTGCGTTCCTTTTCCACAGTACCACGTCGCGGACAAGTGTCCCATCCTGTGCTCCCGCAGCTGCGGCAACACGCACCCCGCGGGCCATTTCAAGCACAAAAACGCGATGGGTTGCAAAAGTCGTTGTTGTATGTGCGGTATCAAAGGCCACAGTGGACATCAATGTAAGTTGCGCCGGTGCAGGTGTGGCTTGGAGCATCTAGGTCAGGATTGTTGCTTTCATCCGGAGTGTCGGGTGAATGGTTGTGACCGTTTCTTGTGCGGCATCCACTGCAAAATATGTGGGGTCGACCGGGACCAGCTCGATGATGGATTTTTCCTTGTCGAGCGGATGTGCCCTACTTGCTTGCAGGGTAGGGGCAGGTCCACCTTTATCACTGTGAAGACCGTGGCCGAGGTGAAGAATGAAGACGTTCCTGAGCACAATGTCGACAACAACCCCCAAGATGACGAGACGGCCTCGTCTACACCGAGAACGGCAAGGAGGAACAAACGCAAACACAGGCCACCACCCGGCTCAGTTAAGAAGGAAGAAGCAAAGCCATGGTATTCTCCCCTAGAGCCTCGTATGCGGCCAGTAGTCATGTCCAAGACAGGGAAGAATACCGCCAAGTGGGCCGGGGCGGATGCGGTTGCGGCAGTCAGGATAGGAGGTTGTCGATAGGCGCAAGAACGGGTGGATTAGGTGGATACAAGGGAATAATAGCCTGTAAGTCTAGAGCGGGAATGAACATCCACGAGTATCGCAGACAACATATAAATATGATTACATCTAGTACTCTTAGACCCCTCTTGATGAGTATACACATGCTACTCAGCACCCATCTGGAATCGAAGCACCCGACGTCTTCTATAGAAATGTATCCTACTCGGGACCGAAACATCCTTTTTCTGGTAATGGGGATGATACCGCTACTTGAGCCATCAACCAGCCGAGCTGACCGTGCAGGCCCATCAGGTCAGCGTCTTGGGATGGTAATCAACAGCAAAGAACGTGATGAGGGCTGAGATAGCTACAACCGGCTGTCAGGGCAGCGACAGGATATAGTTGTACTTCTCCCAGCTGGCCAGATGTTTGCGAGGCAGCCAATACACGGAGATGAACGATCTGTTTGGGACAATGTTAGCCATTACATATTTTTCATGCAGCGAAAATATGCAATGTGGGAGACGGAAAAAGGGGGGGGGGGACTCCCAGTATCGTTCGTGGGGTCTTGTACCTCATATTGCTTGGGGCCCAATACTGAATGCTCTGTATGATCAAGATTGGATTCAGCCACAGCAGGCTGGCCACAAACCTGAAGATGGTACGGTCCAATAGGCCAAAAGCGCGCGGGTTTCACCCTCGGCCCGATTCTCTCCCTTACGCTCGGTAGGTAGATTGGCCCACACCCACTGCGGCACGAGGAAGGCGAGGGCTATACACAGGCCAATGACGAAGCACCACTTGAACTGAACAGTGGGTACATGTCGTTGAACATGCGGTTGTTGCCCATCTGTGAGCGGCCCTTGGTATTGATCAATCAACCTCCGCTATGGCCGTACCACTGATACGTGAGCAAAGCTGGCCATTGGGCTGGATGGACCATTATACATAGGCCTATCCTTGCGAGACTTCAAGGTTCCTTCGCATGCATGCTCCGCAAGAACGGCTACGTATTGTGGTGGTTCAATTGAAGAAAGGCAGATATATACCCAACCCGTGATCGCCAAACGTCCGCAGCGATAGCGCCGACAACTGCCCTCAGCCGTTGCACAGACGCTTGGTGCCTCTTCTGTAAGTAAGCAAAGAGGCAGGCAGGCTGCGGGGAAAGAAGTGGTCGCTGTGGGTTTTTTGATCGGCTCGTGGAGTGAGTTACTAGAGGGGCATTAACACCGAGGTCAGTGTGACTGTGCTGGTGCCCGGGTACGCTAGGATCTGTCTCCCCGTGTCCTCCTCCTCCTCCTCCTCTTCCCTGCATTTAGTCCTGCATTTATTATTCGTGTCTGTGTGTTCTGTAGTGGCCGTTAGATGTGATTAGAATGTAACGTGGCACGCGTGGTACAAGGTTATAGGCCAATAATGACACCGCCGTGCCGAGACCCTGGGTTGTATGTGAGTGGATATGCTAATATTGCGTGCTGATAGTATATCTCAGAATGGATCGACGAGAGCGTCAGGTGATACGACTATACCATAGTAGCCCATGTGGACTTTGCTTGATACGACCTGAAATGACATCCATCATCTGTCAGATATATTTCCTAGGCCCAGTTGAAGAGGGTTCATGTTTATCGGCCACAAACCTTATAAGGTTCACTGCGCAAACTCTATACTAGGTTGTTTATCATGAATCCCAAGAAACCTTACCCAGAACATGGCCGCTGTTATCTGACCCTATTTTGAGTGTGTAGGTACGGTTTTTCTTCCCCTGCCCTGGCATTTTACACGTGGATCGAATCGGTTACTACACCTTGGTCGGTAAGGCCCACAATCATTACCGAGAAAAGGGAACCAACTTGAGAAGTCTCGTCGGTTGGAGCGGCCATGGCAAAAGCCGAGACCTTGCAGTACTCCCATGTGCATGTTTAGTCCTGCCGACTTAGAAAGTAAGCCAGGGGGCCTAATCTAGATTTCACTCCGCGGTGCGGGACTTCGGACTGCGATTCTCCACACGGGTATTATTACCAATACTGAGACAAAATCGCTTTAAATGCAAAAAGTATCAACAACGTTCTATGCCCAATTCGCCTCTCATGCATGAGTCTGCTTCAAAAATGACCACGAACATGACCAGTCAGCTTTTTTTAGCTGCCAACTCACCGAGGACCCCAGTCATTGAATGTGGTTCACCGACTCGCAAGGTGGATATCCTCCGGATCCACCCTCGCTCTGTCACTGGGTCATACCAAGATGCATACCCCATACGGACATATAGTCTGCCATAGTGCATATGCCGTTGGGTGTTGCATGCATGCAGGCTGCACGTGTCTGCATCCCCGACAGGGACACAAGCGCAGAGACGAAAAGGATAGATCAAAATTTTGAAAGGAATTGCCCACATTGTCGGTCAAAATGTCGGCGCATCCTTCGCGATGGGCTGGAGTTGACCAGCACCCTTGAAGACCTCGAGGATGCTGGCCTGCTCCGCGAGTACCAGCCTCTCGGTCTGTGTCCCCAGCTTCGACAGTGCCCTCCACCTCTCCAGGTCCTCAGGATTGCGCTTGTCTCCGTGTGCATCCTGCGGTTGTTCCCAGTGGCCCTTTGAGAAAGCCGCTCCAGTGCTGATTCTCTTGTTCGGAATGTCGTAGATCAGAGACACGAACGTCCCGGTTTCCCTGTGTACACACAATTTGTCGTTAGCACCAGAATAATATCTGGGCATCACGTTCAAGGGAAAAGGGGGGGGGGGGCCTTTACTCCAAGAAGTTGCACTGCCATATCTCGCCTGGTCTGACACACTGGTAGGCACAGGTCTGATAGTTCAGTCTACCCTTCATAGGGCCGCCGTGGATCGAGTAGATGACGCGGTTCTCCGAGAAGAACCAGAACTCATAACGCCATTTCTCAGGGTTGCCGTTCTCGTCTGCGGCGTCGTAGTCGTATACCAGGTGGGTATCGAGGATATCGTCCTTGAAAGATGGGTGCAGGGCAGAGTGTGTGAAAAACTGTGGTAGTCCCATTGTGGTTTACTTTTGTGTTATCCCGTGTGAGCTTGGCGAAGGGAGAGAGGGAGGGAGGAGTAGAAGCTGGTTTAGAGCACTCTGGGAGATGGAGGATGAGGACATCTAAAATTATAGATTGCAGCACACATCGCCCTTTTATGTTGGAAATGACAAATTATGGAGCAAAAAATCAGAGGCCCCTCGTTCCATCATGACGTCTTTTCTTTTGGAGGGGTCATTCGATCTCGGGGTGGATACTTTGGCCAGGCGATGTTGTCTCTAAACACATGAGTCGGTCAAGGGTTGGACGCACCAACGGGGAGGGATCCATGTCGAGTAACCGATGTTGTACCATTATAATAATGAACCACCTGCATTATATACATATTTAGAGCATTCTGGGCAATTTAGCTTTCTGATAGGATACCCGTGCGTGTCGTGGAACCCCTTAGTGGACGGGAAGAACCGGTATGATGCCACCAACAGCTGGCCGAGAGATTATCTCATCTCGAGGAGGAGGGAGGGACGGGGCGGGGGATTACTCCAGACCGGGTTGCCGACCTCCTTCTGTGAACACTCTTATCAAACTGAACCTTGATTCCCAACCCACATGTAAACTTTGTCCTTCAGCTCTGGGCCACTACCACTGTGGCTTTTGTTCGTAAGTTTACCATATCGTCCACTTACTGCTTCCCCGCCGCTCGAAGGCTAACCTTGACACCGTTGGCGCTGCAGGTTGTGAGAGTGAGGTTGTGCCGCACAACTGGGTCCGGCTCCCTGTTTTCCATCGCTTCAAATCGTTGCAGCAGCCTCACAGTCACGTAACTTGCTTCCGTCAGCGCAAACTGCTGGCCCAGGCAGATTCGTGGCCCACTGAGTAAAGGCAGAGCGTCAGCATTGTTCAGATTTCTTGTATCTCTCAGTGTGGCGGCAAAAGAAAAAAAGTAAAAACCACTTACCCATTGAATGGTACGTATTCCCATCCGACCTTCTTGTTCTCCCATCGCTCTGGGATGAACTCGTCCGCATCAGGACCCCAGATGTCCTTGCGCCGGTGCAGGATGTGAACACAGTACTCAACAGACTGGCCCTTGCGGACAAAGACAGGCGACTTCCCATCCGGACCACCACCCACGGGCAGTTTGGTGTCCTTGTAAGCCTGGCGGCCGTTGATGGGGACGATGGGGTGCAGCCGCAGCGTCTCGTTGAGGCAGTACTGGAGAGGCTGGCAGTTCTTGAGCTTGGAGAAGGTAATCTCCTTGGGCTGGGCGTAGGTGCCAAAGTCCTCGATGATGGTATCGCGCAGCTTCTTGTAGCGTACAGGATCCCGCGACAGCAGCATGAACAGGTAGCCCAGCGTCGAGGCGGTGGTGTCACGACCGGCCAGCAGCATGTGCATGATCTGGGAGCGCAGCTCGATCGGGTCGCGTGTCTTCTCGGCCAGCGCGTCCAGGAAGACAAACTTGGGCTTGGGATTCGCCTCGACCTCCTTCTCCGCCTGGCGCAGGTCCTTGTTCAGTGCCCTCCTCACATAATGGTCCATGAAGCTGTTGCACTGCCTGATACACTTGCGGAACTCCCTGGACGTGTAGAGATAGTACTGCGGGCCCAGGCGCGCCCGCTGGGCCAGTGCCCACTGGCCTCTGTCGAAGGCCCAGGCAAAGTCCACGTTGTGCAGAGCTTCGGCCGAGTTCCGAGATCGTGGGTAGTCCGGGATGTGCTGCAGCTGGGTGTCTGCGGACTCGCCCAGCAGGAACTCCGTGGCCGAGTCGAGGGTGAGGCGGAAGAAGAGTGCCTGGAGGTCGACCACGTTGGTCCACCCGTCGGGCTTCAGCTTGGCGTCGAGGGCGCTCATCATGTTCTGCACGTGCCGCTCCTCGAGATCCAGGTCGCTCACTTGGTCCCTGGTGAACTGTGGCCGCATCATCTCCCGCGAGTGCTTCCAGTCGGCGCCAGACTGTGTAAAGATGCCATTTCCCAGCATTGGCCAGAACGTGGCGCGCCTCTGTTCTCCCAGGTCAAACGTTCCGAACTGGGTTGCCAGGATGGCCTGGATATTCTGTGGATCGTGTGTGCTGATGATCTTGGTGCCAAACAGACGATAGCTCCATGTGTAAACGCCCATCTTGTCGGCCTGCCCTACCATGTACTCCGGGAACAGTTTCTTCTCGTCGGCAGCCATGGAGTCCATAACCTTGTCGATGCCCAGTGGTAATCGGTTGCGTTGCTCCGGCGGCTCTTTGCAGCCCCATTCCTCCGCTTTGGCTGCGACCCGCCGCGACGTGATGATGTAGTCCAGCAGCAGGAAGACGAGGTACGAGCCACCGACGATGGCCGTCAGGATGACTGAGATGTGCGCCATCGTGGGCAGTTGGATTGGAGGCGAGCGTCGTTATGCGATAGGTGCTATGCTGCTTACAAGAGAGCACAGTAAGATGATCGATTGGCTGGTGTGTAGGACGAAGTAATGATGCGCGCGAGTCGTTGGTTGGCGGGGTTCTATGGGGAGACAGGTCATGTAGTAAGATCTCTGTTTGCTTCGAAAAGTAGTATTCAAAGTCGAAGGGGAAAAGGCTGGATTGATATGTTCGCCTTCGGTCCGGCAATGGAAATAAGGAACAGGAGGTCGCAAGCAAGCATTACTTGCCCGTTCATTTACAGGATCTCCGGGGTTTGTAACTAAAGGGCTTAAGTAGGCGTCATGATCCCACAGTGCTCTCCAAAAAAGGTAAGACAAAAAGAGTCGAACCTCGTTGGCTGAACCTACGGAAGCGGGGCGACGGTAGGTCAATCAAGCCGACTCCAGCACATCATAAACAGGGGCTTCATTACTATGTGTATGTACTACGATGAAAGCTACTCAACCCCAGGCCAAACTCGAGGGGAGTGTGGACTACATAGTGAGGGGGGCCCTGGCCAGACAAGGTAGAACCTGATACACGCACTGGCCGAGGATTCCGGTAGGCCACGCAATTCGGTAGCCGCGGCCTTTCCAGCTTTTGTGCCGCAGAAACAGAGGGTTCATCCTTCCTCAGCACTGCCACAACAGAGCCGATGCACTGCTTTACTGTGGCACATGGCCTAACTCCGCGGGGATCCGCCTCTACAACCGGCGCTGGTTCAAAGCATGGTTCCGATACTTCGATACACTGTAACACTTACTGCGTGTACTGTACAAGAACAAATGAAGAGAGGGATGTGGGAAAATGATTTTTTTTGTTGGAATAGGGAGCTGTAACGACAACTTATGGCGGTCCTGATGTATAGCATTGGAAAATTGAATCCATCATCGTCATATTTCCTCCTTCCATTCCCCCCTCCTCCTTCTTCCTTAATCTCTCTGGCTGTATGTCCAGCTAGACAACCGTGACCATAAGCTGCCGCAATTGGTTCAAGGACGAACGCTCAGAGGAGCCGCTGCAGGGGCCGGCCCGAGTCTCCCCCAGCGGAGTCATCATCTTACGCCGCCTCCGTCCCAGAACTCAAGAAGCCAAGCTCAGTCCTGAACCCCATCCCCGCCCCCGCCCCCAAAGGCCATGTCGGCTGAATGCTCTGTCCTCGTGCTCTCCTAGCAGCCAAGACGTAAGAATCCTTGGGCCAGATTTGCCGAGCATGCTCCAGTAAGCGCTACTGACACCTTTTAGGGTGATACCTTTAAGCTTGTAATAGCGAAGCTAGTCTTACAATCAATGAATACAATCAATCCACACACACAACTTGTTGAAACGTCAGCGGACCTATGCCTGACCGATATCCGACGCCGAAACGAGTCCGTATCACAGCAAATCAATGAGTTATTGCGCTGTAATGTTCCACCGCTTTTACAACGTTGACAATCTCGCCGCAACTCCACCAAGCAAAGGCGCTTTGTCATTCTCCAAGTGCCCGTGCTTTCATCGGAGGCCGGATCAAAAGCTGATGTGTCACTGCGTGCTTCGTAGCATAATTACATGCATGCACATCGAAATTGCCACGTCTTACTCTCGGGTGCGCAGGTGGTGTTCGCGTACATTTTTCTCCCCTTGGAGCTCTTGATTCAAATCTGCGAGCCAAATGACGACCTCAGTTTCTCATTAAACTGATTGGTATACAACGCCAAACTGACTACAGAATGTTCAATCATTGATCAGAGGCAGCATTTCTGCAATCGCTACTGCGATGTTGATTTTACACCCCAAACAAAATTCCTGGTAAAAACACATAACATTTTGGACCATGTTCAATTAGCTGTGGAGTTATTCTTATGATAACTGTCATCTGACAGTTGTTCAGTTGTATGGTGCCGCTCAACTTAGGAGGCTGGACGTTAAATTATGACAGCTATCATGACAGTCTCCAAAAGGGCGAGCAGAAATCTCATGGACAATGAAATTATAATGCTTTGTGCTCAGTCCACATTCATGCAATAGAAGTGAGGTGTACATGCACTGATCCAATTTGAACGGCCGTTTGTCGTTTTGCTAATAGCGTGCATAGAGACTTTTGTCTTTCTGGAAGCATCACCAAAACCAACTTCAGGAATGCATCATGAGTCTGTGTGAAGTTCAAACGCAATGTTATTTATCAATGCAATTATGCATAAACAATGCTGTGCCAATTCCCTACTTATGTACTTGAGAGGTAGGTTTGTTTTTGTGTCAAAATGAACAATGGCAGTCCATGAAGCTGCCTTTGCCATCAAACACCTTGCAACTGCAACTCTACCAATGAAAGGCAGTAATGATTGTTTCAGAAACATCGGGGATGATATCAAGATTATATAAATGAGAGTTCGGACTGGTGTGTTCATCTCTCGGAAAGACATCCTCATCAAGCCTTCGAACATCACTTCCATCACTAACTTCATCTCTACAGTCACTGCACTCCCAATTTCCCAGTTTCCCAGCTTTCCAGAATCCAACAGGAATTCTTAAAAATGTGCACTCAGATTATCGAGCTCTGGGAGTGCAACTGTGTGGCTAATACACGTGTCAACAAGTGCAAGACTAAATGTGGCAAGATTTTGGTCATGAGAGAGACCCGCCTCTACAATCTATGTGATGCGCACTCCACACCCAAGCCATGGTAAGAGGTAGTGAAGTATTGTGTTTAATAGCCAAGCTACTCAAGCAATGCTGTAAATGCTTTTTCTGAGTGTAGCTGGCTCCTCTCCGAAGTGTTTCAACGAACTCGAACAGGCATGTCGATAGTACAGGCAGGTCTGCGCTTGGACTTTAATGGTCAAATTATCCACTTTTGAACAGCAGTTATAGCTTTAGCCCATGGTGACATGTCTTGATAACTTTGAAGATTGTTTCATCTGCACTGATCATGTGAGACTTGGCTGCATTTTGTTTTTGTGTCTGGAGCAGAGCTACCACAGCGCCTCCTTTGGACCATGCTTGGACCGCAAGAATATGGGTCTTCATGTCTATCAGAACACTGGGAACACCCGAGTTGTATATGCTGGAAAGTCATGCACATTGCCAATGTTTTGGTAAAAGAATCCACACACCCGCTCATCAAGGAGCTCCGCATTAAGCATACTTCTGAGTAGATCCCGGACCATGCTCAAGAAAAGTGAAGCTTGGACTATTTGAGTAGTTTAGCAAGAAATTTGATGCAATCATGCAACTTCTAGAGAAGAGATCCAAACGTGCTATTGAAAAGCTTGATGATCACAGCGGGCGCCTCTATAACAATACAATGACGTTTTTCACTCTTGGCACAGGATGTGCACATTTTTAAGCAATATTGAGTGGACATAACGCTCTCTTTGGATGCAGCGAGTTATTCATCATTCCAGTAACTTTTCCAGTAACTTATTTACAGTATCAGCAAGAAAAAGGGACTCCTTTTTTCGGATTATGCTGTCGTGATTTCAGTATTGGACTACGATCTATCCTTGTTATCCACCAGATGCGAGTATGTCCATCTCATAAATGGAAATGCCGCCTTGGGCGTAAGCAAAACAAACAGGCCGACGGTTTTTTCATCCCTGCATTTTATATTGTGACTTTATGCGCATATAGATTGGCTATCCGTCAAAGCAGTGTCCAAGTTTCCAGGCACTGAGCTCTATGGCTAGCCCCATGGCCTAGTGTGTCGGAATTCATGTAACGCGTTGGGCATGGCTGAGGCGACTTGGTGAAACATGGGGAACAACAGCTTTACTAGTCAATTAGACCAGATGACACGTCAATGTTTTTGGGATCAGAACCTCCTCAATTTGGAATTCATATTTGTTTCGTATTTATAACCACATATACGCTTGGGTCATCATTTCCATATATCTTTTTCCTAGCTTTTGTGGCAACGTGAGCGTTCCTTCGGCCAGGAAGCTTTCATCCACCTCTTTCCTCTAGTCACTATTCATATCAGCACGGTCATGCTCGGCTTCCACTCCCTTGACCCGGTAAAGCTCCTGCCAGGGACCAGTAGCAGGAAGACAACAATATCCAGGCCCAAGCATACTGCTGCTGAGGGCACCCAGAAGACATTGACAAATGGATCTGTGAACTATCATGGCAACAACTCAAATCTTTCCGAAAGAGATGCCGGACCGGAGAAGACCATAGTGCCGAAGCAGGAGACAACTCACGAGTCGGGGGGATACAAGGCAGACGGACATGTGGCAACATCCCGCCATCTCTCGGATCAAGCCAAGGCATATACAGAGCTTGGGCTACGCAATGAGGCCGAGGCTGGTACTGCATCAATCGGATGGACCATCCGTCCGGTCAAATCGAACCCCCCTCGCCCGGAGCCACCACGAAGATCATGCAGCAGCTCGTCGCTGGGCCATGATACGATTTGCATACCGTCCCGACCAGATGAGAGCCATATTGAAGCCGCTTCAACAAGCAGACCGGATGAGAGTTCTTACAACATGATCCCATACAGGCGAGATGCGAAGCTGGTCATCGCTTACCTTGTGCCTCTACCTCAGCCCAATGTGCAAAGCCAAGATGGTGTTATTCCTCCAAGATATTTTCTTTATGTGCCACCGCCACCTCATCTGATGAAGCCGAAGCGCGGCGAGGAAGATCAAGTCCACAAGCTAAAGCGACTTCACCAGCAGAACGAGCGTCGTGCGGAGCCCAGAATATCCAATGGCAAGTGGGTTACAGCAAGGGGTATCCACGGCAGGATGACTAGGACGGCTGTCCGGTTTCTCGACACTCTCAAGGACGACAACATTACTTTCCTATCCCGCGTGCATCCGAGGACAGTGAGACACTTGGTTTTGATACACCCACAAGGTCTGTTCACCGGACAGACTCCAAAGGAGTGGCTAAACGTATTCCGTGTGCAAATGCTAGATAGTAAGAAGAAGGCGATGAGGAATAGCATCATCAGCGCCGCAGCTTTCTTACCTATGCTGGCAATCAACACTGCGGCTATGTTCTTCGCTGGTCAAGCAGAATTTGCTAGCATTGGGCTACTCCTGAGCGTCGGTGCATACCAGGTGGCCCGACTAGTCACAACAAAACTGGGGCCCGACCCGAAGATGGTGGATATCACGCAGGAGGAGCTTATTGACGATGCGCAACAGATTTTGGGAAAGATATCAAAGCCACAGCAAGAGAAGGAAAGAACTCGGTTGAACATGGATCAAAACTCAAGTGAGAGGGAGAAGGGCGATGATGGGTCACCGGTCCGCGACAGGGAATTGCAGAATCATAGAGCCTGGATAGAGGATACCAGCGGCCGCGTCGGAATTCATCAAGTGAATCGCCAAAACATTGACCCAGTGGCGGGTGGCGCGGCCGAAGGCTTGAGTTTTCCATCTCGAACTGGCCATGCTGAGACTAAGCTGTACACCGTTCCACCAGGTTCTACGAAAGAAGAGAAGGACACGAGCCGCACACCCCCCAAGGTTGGTCAAGACTTCAAATTGACATTCTATCCGAGCCCAGCCATGAAGGTGATGGCACAGTATCTGCAGGAGATATGCCATTCCTGCAACAGTCACGTTTTTCCCAGCCCAGGTTCGGTACCCAGTGAACAGGATGTGCTGGCAGTATTGGGTTGGGAGCCGGAACCCAGGAGGCACGAGACTCATGAATCACAGGCAGAGGATGATGAGGCAAGGGAAATTCCAGGCTTCTTCTTTGTGGTCAAAAAGAAAATTGAACTGACAAAGGCTTGGCAATAGCGGCAAAACCGTGACATCAAGAACGACCTCAGGAATGTAGCAATGAAAGCAGCCAAGTCTTGGAACGAGCATTGCCGGCGGTACACCAGAAGACCCAGGAAGCTGCAGAAGAAAAACGTCTCGAGATCTCATGATGCAGGCTTTAAAATCGAGAAAGCAACCAAAATCGCAGTCTCAGAGGAGCGACTGGCACCGGTCCGCACACAAGTCCACCAAAAGCAGGCCAGCAAGACGAAACGCAAAGGCCTCCACGACGGCTTCAGCAATAGCCCAGTTAAAACAACGGCCCTGAATAGAGTCTGTTTCTTCAAGGCCACACAGAACAAGAAGCAGAACATGACAAATGCAAATGAAGAGACGAGGCCGCAGGCGGAAAGGACAAGGAGATCTGGAACAATGCATCAATATCTCAGCCGTGGGACCAGTGCTGCGAGACGCAGTCTGAAGACATGGAGTGATGCATTGAGAGAGCAAGTAAAGGCACCGATGAGAAACAGAAACTTGAGCGAGAAGAACGCCCATGCGGCTAAAACAACATGTAAGGGAACAACGCGGGTTGCTGCCTCTCAAGGTCATGAACCTATGACTGGGGCTGAGGGCTCAACAGGGATCAATAACGGGACCGCGAAAGGCAATGATTCAAAGCGACGCCGTTTGTGGACCATTTTCCCACCTTGCATCGTCGCAGTCATGGGCAGGGCCACATCCAAAAAGGATAACACAACGGAAGGTATCCAAGCTTGAGAAGGGGCCTGCACAGGTTTTCAGCCTAGAACGGGCGCTTCAGGTCACCTTGACGAAAGAGAGCCCTGACTCTGGGCCAGGAGATGTTTCTACTATAATATTTGCTGCTCTACCGGTGGTGGAGGAGATAAGCCCGACGGTTTAGTCATCTTTCAACGTCGATTCACGTACCTATCGACTACCATATGTCGTTGAACAGTATGACGAGTCTTGGTGGAAACAACCCTGACATATTATAATTCATGATTGATTACGGAAAAGAGATCCTATTGCATGAGAAGAACAGATCATCACTGCCTCTTGCTAGAGGTGCCACAATGATGCAGAGCTACCAGCAATTACAAAGTTATAAGGAAAAGACTGGAGTCGGTGGTCAGCATGTCTTGGGCTCGAAGGACCCCAAGCAGCTGTAACACAAATGGTGCCTAAGCTTGTATTGGAGGTATCAGAAGCGATACACCAGTCTAGGAGAGATGGCATCAGTGAATTCAAGGCAATGAGATTAGCACCCCAGTAGAATGCAATGGTAAATGATAAGCTGCGCCTAGTCAACATGAGGAGATTGAGTCTTGAGGGATTTGTAGCTTGCCAAAGAAATACTCAGAAAGATGGGGAAGGAAAGGACTAAACCAAAAGGATTGGCTATAGGAAGGCAAAACGGACAAGAATAGACAGCTTGAACGTGTTAGACGAATGATGAATGGTAATTCTACACGTAATGATCGTTTTCTACATGAAAATTCATTGGGACCTTAGGGGGAACACCCAGCGAAGGCTGTGAATACTAATTATGACATTCATTACTCAAGACACTGGGTTAGCCTCGCTTGATTGCTCACCCACTATCAATTGTTTCTGAGTCACAGGTCAAAGTATCGTATGCTTTTCATCACCATCGCCTCTGATTGACTACTTAAGTATCTGAACCTGGTCATCATATAATTTACAAGCCTGTAGGCTCATGACTGATGAGTGCGAGTGATAACCAGTTCTGGCTTGTTCTTAACCTTCCAATAGCCCCATATAAGAACCAACAGCGACTTAGTATGCCCTTACGATGGTCCTCAGGCTCAACCGAAATGAGGCGTTGGGCAGCTGAAAATAAGTCTTTCACGCCATTGCGAATATCAATCGAGCTCAGCACATGACGCTTGAATATTCCTTTCTTCTCTTTATCGCGGACATCGGATTCGTATCCACCATGACAACAATGAGGAAATCTATTCGTAGTGGGACCTCACACTATCCTCCCGAGCTCGTCTTCTGGCCGAAATGGGAAGTACATCTCAGCACTGGGGAAATCATCCCGGAGCAAAGAGTCGCCCCCAGTTGGCAGATTCCTCTTGAGCAGAACGACTTTGAGATGAGCGACAGCTTATTGAGTAGTTCGATCTGCAAACCGTGGTCAACAAGACATTTTATAAGTAATTACGACCTGATGTTCATCCACAATTACGTTTTTGAGCACTGCGAGAATCCGGACGCCACGATTTATTACATTCATGAGGACTACCTTCCTTCAACCATAAACCTTGTTGAGCACGTCGCGATTCACGCCAGCGCATTGTCCATCAAGAAAGACGATCTTGACTGGGTATGGGGAACCCAGCTCCGATTCATCCTACGGAATTTCCCGAATGTTCGTTCGATCACCCTGGTTGCAACTACTGTCCTCAATACTGCAAGGCCTCCCACGTGTCCGTTGCCTTATGAGACAATCGATATTGAGGCCATCGATGTAAGCGATCGCAGGAGACTAGGTCTTGACGAAGGCCCTGGAGCTGTCAAGCTTTGTCCCGAGACCCAACAGCCCGGCAACTTCGTTATACAGACTTGGGAGGATTTAAGTCGCAGGTGGCCATCGTGGTCAAACAGGAAGCAGGCTAACACAAGATCGCCGGTGCTGACGGTCATGGGTATGATGTGTTTTGCCGAGGACTGGCACAACTTAGATCTGCAAGGCGAGCATGGGATGTCATGCAAAGTTGTTGTGGAGAGACTGCCAGCAGCTCTCAGGACAGTCGCGAAGCAGCCTATATCCGGCCATAGAGTGGATAAAAAGCCATCTGTTCCAAGGATACCATCGATATACGCGCTTCAGACACACGACGCAACGGAATTAGGCATGAAGGGCAAGACAGCATTGAAAAGAGCGGTGTCGTCCCACACACGTAAGCCTAAAGGTTCAACAAGAGACAAAATTAGGGAGACGCTGCCTCTTGAGAGAACGGTCTCCATGCAATCTTTCAGACCGACATCACCACCCAAGATGTCCCTCGATGAGACGAATTTGGTGGACCAGATGCCGCCGAGATCTCCGACACTTCGGGAAGATGAGGCTGAGCTGATGTTACGGAGAACGAGGTCGACCTGTTCAACGAAAATAAAGCGATCATTTGCTTCACTGAAGGGCTTTAGAACTCAGAGCAATCTCACGCGACGGGAGTCGGGAACTTGAGGAAAGCCGGACGACGCTAGATAGTCACAATCCTATCATCTCTTCTTTCTTCTTCTTCTTTCTTTCCTCATATGCTTTTTGGATAGGGGTTTCTATGAAGCCAGGTACTCATGTCCTGGTGAGAATTTGGTCTACAAAGAGTTCGAAGACACTCAGCCTATGTTGAAGTTGGGAGCATTCCCGTACTTCTCACGGGACCATTTCTCCATTCCCTCAGCAAGACTTTCGGCGAACTCAGGCGAGAACTTTTTCGCACTCTCAATATTTGCAAGCCTTCCCGCTCTCCAGGTCATCCACTTCTCAGCCAAGACTCCCTCTGGAGCTCTCAATAGTCCCACGGACACGTCGATGATCTGCTGCTCGGGTGTCGGAGTGCGTTCATCACACGAGTAGACCACAGTCGCGCCGCAAGTGCCACAGAAGCCTCTCAGCACCCCCTCAGATGAAGCGAAGGTCTTCATAGTCCCGTATGGTGCAAGCTTTAGTGGCATGGGTGGCTGGATGTGAGCTCGCGGCACAAAGGTCCACGCAGTGACAAGCGTTCCGCATTGGAGCCGGCAATCGTCACAAGGATCGAGGCAACCCAACCACTTGTTGTTATCCTTTGGAGAAATATAGTTGGACAGGTACGGATCCTCTCTGATAGCAGGTGTCGTTGGTCGAGGAATCGTGAACGAGACACCACCACAGTGACACTCGGCGCGCAACGCCTCATTTCCCGCCTCGTCAAACTCCTGCATTGGAAGCTGGTCCTTGATCTTGGCCGACCACCAACCGCTATCGGGACCTGGATTCCAGACCTTGAGATCCCTGATGCTGAGCTTGGGTAAGAAGCTGAAAAGCCCCGAACCTCCCGTTGATCCTTCCGTAAAGCAATGTGTTTTGATCTGAAAGACATCCTCGCCGTGCTCTGCGAACAGCGCGCTGGCCACAACCCATTCAGTTGCACCAGGGGCACTAGCATCGGCGCTGATCGGACCGACATCTCCAACATGACAGCCACACGTACTGCAAAAGAAGCGCTCGGCCTGGGCGTTGGCATGGCTATACCCAGTCATCTTGTGGAGGGACGAAGGTGGCGTGAACTTGAGTGAGACGCCCTGAGGGAGGGTCGTGTGAAAGATGCACAGCGTTCCATGGGTGTAGCGGCATATGCTGCAGTGACAGAGATGCACGGGAAGAGGGAGGTCGGAGGTCGGAATCTCGACGCTGTACTGCACAGCTTTACAATAACAAGCGGCCGAGAGGGTCTTGGTTGGGGAGCTGCTTGGATCTGCCATTGTCACCTCCAGTCGCGCGGGCAGAGTGAAATCTTTAGATACCTGGCTGATGATACGCTGAAAGAAGGTCGCGACTCGTGATCAGCTGGTCTATAGGAATGGAGGCTCTTCATATGGGACAACGGGCAACGACGAGAATCATTTGTTCCACATGAAGCGCGGGGTAGTCTCCCAAATTCTGAGTCACACCTAACATAGTTTATCTTGTTCGCGCTCAGTGAGTGAGACTGGCTTGTCACTAAGGCTACTGTGGCTGACGTTAATGCGCCCCTCAAGTTGCTAGCGGGGCAAATTACAGTGAAGTAAAGATAAAGGTAAAAGTAGGTACAACGGAGTGACGCCTGTATACAATAGGAATGTATAGAGAATCAAGCGAATGTAACTTACACTTCTCAACTCGCTCTGTGATCAGTTCTCAAGCAGGGTGAAATCTGCTAAGTGAATGACTTGAGGCAGAGATCCGGCACTGACACAACTGAACGTCCAGTTCGTGGCGACAGGCATCATCTTCAGTCCTTCGTCGTTGATTATTTTGAGAGAAAGTTCAACAGCAAAAAGCATCTGTTACTCCTGTGCTCATCTGCACTTGATCACTTCGTAGGGCATGGGCAAAAAGCCAGCATGCTCGTCGTCCAGATAGATGAAGGGCTGCTGCCTGAGCTGACAGCAAATAAAAGTCGGTGCCGAGGCGATTAGTGAGTAACCCCGTAGCTGTTTGGATGGACACCTTTTTTTTCTTTTCTAAGTCTGTCATCGGCTCATGGGAATCTCAAACAAATCTAACTGACCGTTTAAGCCGTGGCTGAACTGGCTGGATAGCGAATCTGAAAGTGCCAGAACAAGAAGAAAAAGAAGAAGAAAAATCGTGATATGGCTCAGCCCTTAAAAAAATGCACAGCACAACAAGGTGACTCCCCCTCTCTACTTAGTCATAAATCGTAGCAAGCTGCCGGCTCGGCGAGCGAAACGCTGCCGAAAGCGGCACCGACAGCGGCAAGTATTGGTGCGATTCACCCATCTTCGGCTCCGGGTTTAGCTGGGGAATGACGGCTCTCTCTTTTTGCAACGTCCAAAACAATTCTTTTTTGTTTTGACTTCAGATTTAAATTCCCTTTTCCCAGATAGGGGCGTCAAGTTTTTCTTCTCCAAGTTCTTGCTCAGCAGCGCCATCTACAAGAAGTCATGCCTGGCGAAAACACCGACACTGACACGCAGAGCAAACGGTCCGGCTCAGAGAATACAGAATCGCCAAATCTCACCGCGGATCTCCCGACTGGTTTGAATGGCGAGCAATCTGTTGCCACAAGCTCCCAGCAAGATGAAGCAAGGCAACAAGACGGGCACGTGCCCGCAGACAAGGAAGCGCCAAGTGAAGAACCCGTCACGTCCCCCAGTCCTACTGGCGACCCGTCTGAGGCGGTCGAACCTCCCTATTCCTCCTTCTCGCTGTGGGAAAAGCGTTTCATCGTCCTAGCCGCCGCCCTCAGCGCCTTCTTCTCCCCCTTGACGGCGCAGATCTACTTTCCCGCCCTGAACGTCCTCGCAGACGCGTTCCATGTCAGCACGTCCAAGATCAACCTGACCATCACGACATACATGGTCTTCCAGGGGGTCACTCCCATGTTCATTGGGGGATTCGCCGACACAGGCGGTCGTAGACCGGCCTACGCAGTATGTTTTGTGGTATACATCGGTGCCAACATTGGTGTGGCCTTGTGCCAGAACTATGGGCAATTACTGGTTCTGCGTTGCCTGCAGTCAGCTGGCTCGGCCAGCACTGTCGCCCTGTGCCAGGCCGTCATCGCTGACACCATCACCTCCGCGGAGAGGGGCCAGTACATTGGCATCACGGTTCTCCCAATCGTGCTGGCGCCTTCATTGGGCCCAGTGCTTGGTGGCATTCTCACCCAGTATTTGGGCTGGAGATCCATCTTCTGGTTCCTCACCATCCTAGCTGCCGTGACGCTCGTCTTGATCCTGTTCTTCTTCCCTGAAACGTGCCGCAGACTTGTCGGCGATGGCAGTGTCAGGCCTCATCCGGTCTACAGAACACTCTGGCAGGTCATCAAGGACAGCCACCGGAGGCGGAAAGCTGAGAAGTCCAAGGACCTTGATCAGCTTCATCGCATCCACACAGCCACATCGAGCAAGTCGCGCCCCAAGTTGAAGGTCGCCTTTGGTAACCCTTTTGACTCGGTCATGCTGCTCTTTGAACCTGTCCTCGGCCTGCTCCTCTTCTACAGCGCTGTGGTCTTTGCAGGATTCTATGCGATTGCCACCGCCATGTCTGAGCAGTTCAAGGAGATCTACGGGCTAGGTGAGATTGAGATTGGTCTCATGTACCTACCCATGGCTGGCGGATCGGTTGTCGCCGCCTTCATCGTCGGTCCCGCGATCAATTGGAACTACCGTCGGCACGCTAAACGACTCGGCATGACCTTGACTAAGGGCCGTCAGGACGATCTTACCAACTTTCCCATAGAGAGGGCGCGTATTGAAGTCGGCCTCCCGTTGCTAGGCCTCGCAACCTGCGTCCTGTTCGCTTGGGGCTGGGCGCTGCAGTACAAAGCTAGCATTGCAGTGCCCGCCGTGCTGTTGTTCCTCATGGGTATCGGAATGATCGGTTTCAACAATACCTCCAGCGTTCTCGTCGTCGACATGTACCCAGGCAAGGCAGGTGCCGCAACCGCCGCGAACAATCTGACCAGATGTCTCGTCGGTGCTGCAGCGACTGCGGCCATTACTCCCATGATTAACGGTATCGGGTCAGGATGGGCTTTCACAATATTTGGGTTCCTGTACCTTATTGGCGGTCCCATCTTGCTTGTCATCATGAAAAATGGTATCAAGTGGAGGCGACAGCTCAGGGAAAAGCAAGCCAGGAAGGAGGCTCTCGCCAAGGGTAAGGTTTCGGGCGATAACGAGGGTAGCAGTAGTTCCAGCCCGGAGCAAGTTGGAGATCATGAGAACAATGCCTCTAATCTGCCTACTGCGGCTTCAGGCCCTCCGAGGACGAAGGCTGGGAGCATCCCTGAGAAAAGCCATAAAGAACGAAGGCATCTAACACTATCACGACACTGTGCGGTGGACAAGGCTACAAAACATGTGCATAGTCTGGGGAAAATGAAATAGGAGTATACCCTTGAGGCCGCCAACGGCGTTTTCATAATTAATACACGGATAAATTGTTTTCTCATACATCACACGTCCATGTAATAGCTTCCATACTGTTGTGATTGAGTTTCCCCCTCCGAGGTCATGATACCAGTCAACACAGCTCAACACTCAACCGGCAACGGCGTCGTCCCCCATCATTAAGTACCTGAACATGGCTCTCATTACATATCTTAAGCAGGACTGTTTTTTCTTTGTTACAAGGCATAATATCACCACCGCGGTATGCGAACAGAAGTTGGAAGTATGGGAGCAGATATTTCTCTAGAGTGGATGTATTCTGAAGGTAATTGTTTATGAGACAGGTCATCCGTCTCTGACAGTACAGAAGGCTTTGCTTCAATATTCAAAGCTAACATCTCAATATGGAAGCTCACTGCTCTTGTCCCACTCCTTGCCCAGCAACCAGGCCATTCCATCCAGAGACTTGATTCGCATCTCATCACTGTGCGTATCGGGATGAGGAATCGTGCACCAGCCGGCATGATCAATGTTCTGGATGATATCGATTCGTGTCTCAGCGACACCTTTTTCTTCCAGAACCTTGGCGTAGACGACTGCATCGTCGCGGAGAATATCGCGCTGTCCGGCCTGGAAGTACACCCTGGGTGCATGATGCCCCGCAATCTTGGCGAGATCGAGGTTTATTGGCGAGAACCAAGGCGAATGATAATCAGGCTTGAGTCTTGAATCGGTTACTTCCAAAGCCTCCGCAGAGACCACGGGAGCGTCGGCGTGCTCTACACGGGACGTCCATATGGACGCGTATTTTGCTGGCAAGTTGCTTTCATGGAATAGGAGGGGAATCGAGAGAAAGACACCGGTGACGGGATGCTCGATGACGGCACGGCCCTCGGTGAGCTTCGACGACTTGTCCACTGCGTCTGCCGCAGAGATGCCAGCAACGACGGCCGATAAATTGGCACCGGCACTGACTCCTGACAGAATAATACCCTGGCTGGGGTCGAACTCGATGTTTGTATTTCTAAGAGGACCCTCATTGAGATTTTCAGGGTGCGAGAGCCAAGCGACAATGTCGTATGCGCTGTGCATTGGCGCTGGGAAGGGCTCCTCTGGAGCATATTTGTAGGTAGGGCAGACAACGATCGCGCCAAGGAGGCTGGCATAGCCTCGCGCCGGGCTGAGTACAAACTCGGGGCCGCCAATGACCCAGCCGCCACCGTGGAAAACAACGACTAGGGGTCGCTTTCTTGTGTCATTTGTAGTATCGGCCGGCCAGACAACGATGCTCCTCGAAGTTGTCCCGTCTGGCAGGGGCACTTTGATCGTGTCCTGCTTTAAGTGGGGTGGGCAGGGCCCGAGGATCGTGAGACCCTCCTCGGTCCATTTCTGCATAAACTGGCGCGACTCGGCCACTGATGGATGGGCTAAGCTTGCTGCCATATTGTATTTTGAGGCTGGAGATTTTGTTTTGATTAAAGATGTGCACAAGAGTGCTTCGTGGTTGTGAGTCCTGGGCTTGTTTTGCTAGGAACATATTCAGTTCCTCGGGGTCTCCTCTTTGCATTTATTCTTTCTCGGTGCGGAATTAAAAACCATTTTCGCGAAGAGGTCCGAATCCTTCGCACGGAAGACGGCATGGAAACACCCCAGTAACACCGAGTGACTCATGCTGCCCGGCGCGGGATTGCTATCCCGGCAATACTTGGGACACTATCAGGACTGAGAGCAGCTTAGCCTTACGCCCTTCGATCGACACGTCAAAGGAGCTTCTACCAGACCATCCACGAAGTTAAACACAAGGCTGTCAGAGCCAAAGCAACAATTAGACAAGGCGGACATATTCGCATCCCGAGGTTACACATTCATAAGCAAAATGAGGCCAACGACTCTAGAGTTGGGCCGTACGAAATGCATCGGCTTTAGAATGGTCTCTGCACACTTTCTCCGACGTGCATATTTACCCAAAAGCTACGGTACAATCAGTATCCGAACGAGAGGAGTCATGGCACAGAATTTTCTATCATTGAGGATCGAAAACTTGGTAAAAGCTTAGTAAAAGTCTAGCGGGGCGTACCTATTCTTGAAAGCCATGGCTGCTTTCTTTCCAATGAGAAGTCTTTGAATCTCGAAACATCTCATGTCGATTCCTCATCAGGCCCTGTATGATGCAACGGCTCATATGAAGATGGATGCAAGCCAAAATTGGTACCAGCAGCCAGAATGACGACACCAACTGCTACTACACATGGCAGGACTAAACGATTGTCAGTCCTGATCTCCTCAAGAAGCGAAAACGGCTTGGCTTACTGAAGGTAGTATGCATGGCATATTCAAAAGCACCAAGGACTTTGGCACGAGGGTGATCCTCGAGCAGGCTTATGGTCTGTAAATCTCGTAGCGCATCGGCAATGATCTAACTCGGTCAGCCGCGGCACCATCCTCTAATAGTTGGCTGACTGACCTTCTCTGTAGTTTCGGAGTTGCCTAGGGCCGCTCGTACCGATGGCTTCACTACCGACCGTGCAATAGTCGACATGAGGGCTATCCCGAGGTCTGCACCGAATGTTTCAACGAGATAGTAAAGCGCTAGAGTTTGTGGCCACCCTGCAGCCTGTAAGGATCAGCTGGCCAATATGGTCTGGATGTCCGAGATCTCTCACATTGCTTCTGTGTACTCGAAAGCGTCGCATACAAAAGACAGCTCTGCCATGCGCCTGTACATATGCCAAAGCCAACGAGGAAAGGCGAGTACTGCACAAGCTCGGGTTCTTGAACTCGTGAGATCAGCTTTCGAAACGAACACAGAAGCAATACTGTACAAGACTAACTTATGACTCTGGTGACGTAGAGCAGGCAGAAGCATTCCAAGATTACTGCGTTCGCCAGCATGATGCGCTGTACAGGGAGGGCATCAGTCTTGATGAGATATCCTCCAAGAATCGCTCCCACAGGAAACCCGAGGAAGACGCAAGTCAATGCCCAGTCTTCGAAAGCCGGCTTCTCGAATGCACGTATTTGAGCATATGAAGGGATGATAAAGACGATCTGTCCACATTGTCAGCGTGATGAAGTTTCTCTCAAAGGTTGAGTTAGTCGAACACTGTTAAGGATCATAATCACGCCAAAGACCTGGAACAAAACCCTCAGGTACTTGGCTTCGAAAACTGGCTGCATGTTCACTATGGGAACACGGGCTACCTTGGCCTCGAACAGCACGAAGAAGGAGATAAACAGTGGACTGCAGATCAGGAGTGTGATCTCAATCGGATGTGCCCAGTCGAGGAAGTTGTCCCCGAGCGTCACGGCAACAAGCGGGATGGCCACCGCCAACAGGAGCAGAACCCAGCCTTCCAGGTCGATGCGCGGCATCCGGGAGTGGCCCTTTTCGAGCAAAGGTGAATGTGAGTACTCCGGTCTCGAGCTGATGACTGCAAAGGAGAAGAGCACCAAGCCAATTCCGACGACAGTGAGGGCAGACTCAAGCAAGAAGACGCTGGCTGACCGTCAGTAATGATTTGCAGCATTAGGCACCAGGCTGACCATGTTCCAACTCACGAATGCCACGAAAAACGCCGTAACATCCAGGCACCAAATGGCCCGGCGATCATGCTTGTTCCCATCTCAACACAGGTAACGAAGCTTTCCCAAATGGCAAGTTGTTGAATCCCAACGATCTCTTCAATCTCCAGTCAGTCAAAGACAATATGTGAGCGATACAAGGCGCCCACCATTAATGGAGATCATGGAGAGTAGAGTGATTCCAGAAGACCCGAGTCCGAGGGCGAATCTGGAACACAACAGTTGCCAGAAAGAGGTACTTATCGCACTTCGAAATCCCTGTTAGTACGCTTTGCTGCATGACAAGGCACAAGAAATGAACTCGGACATAATCACCACAAGGTGGATGCAATCGCGAAGGCGCTGTATGCGACCAGCATCATCCGTTTCATTCCAAAAGCATGGAGGAGATACGAGTACTGCGAGAATGTTAGGCTTGCCTAACATCTTGTCGACTGACATGGAGGATCTTAGAGACCAGTGGCACAAAGACTGCTGAACATATCGATGCGGTGAGCATGATCCATGGCGCGTCTTTGAAATGTTGGAGATCCGAAGCTGGCACCGGGGCATGACTGATCAATAAAGCCACAGCGAACACAGGGACATTTGAATATCGGCGACGCACCGAGACGCGGGTAGTTTGTCGCCAGGAAGGCGATGTCAAATGCCTTGACGATGATCCTGCGTCGTCGCTGTCAGGATGTGTGACAGGAACGAGAGAAAAGAGGGGGAGTGTGTGAGCCTTGCATACTTACCCAGCAAGCAGGGCAGGGGCAATCCAAATGAGAAGTCCAGAAGCATTAGCTCTGTAATCGCGGGCATCGCCGTCCACGGTTGTACGCGGTAGTAAGCTGTCCGTTTCGTTATTATTACCTCCCGAGTCCGCCCGTCTCCCTTGAGCTGCGCCACTGGTCTGCAATTGCTCTTCTGTCTGCGAACGCATGCTAACCTGCGGTGCTGCGCTCATATTAATCGCCAGTTGGTGTTGCAAAGAGGGTGTTATGACACTGGTGATGCAAAATGAGGTGGTGATTTGAAACTCCGAAAATTGGCCCGCGGAGTGCAGGTGCAGGTGCCTCCCTTCGTACGCGGGCAGGGTTTGCCCGTCGCTGGAGCCCCTGCCAACCTTCCTGCAGGTAGCCGAGACACTGAAAGTAGACGATCACAGCAACCCCCTTCCCCCCCCCCCCCCCCCCAAATTTTCACTCCTAGACTCTACGTTTTCCTGACAGGCAACTCTAGCTGGGCTGTATGGGACTTGTTTCATAATCTAATTGCATTTCTGACTTATATACGAAGCCTTGTTCTTTCTTGGTTAACGTCGACTTCTTCATCGAGCATGCGCGAGAAAAGCATGCAAAGATGAAAGGATTGGTAGCCACTGGAAGCACACATAAAAGAAAGAAAGGAAGGAAGGTTTGTCATTTGCTCTAAACAGTGATTGCAGCATCTAACCCAAGGACCAGACCTCTCTGTCCCCTTCTGTAAACGCCCCCCACCTGAAAGTAACCCCCAAGCCTTCCAAAGGCCCCCCGACTCATCCGGTGAATTCCACTCACACAACGTTGTCAGAAAGGAAATAGGGGCAAGTAAAGTTAAAATACAAAATCGAGGGAAACCCCTCAATCCGGCCATTCTCTTGCACTGCGGCATAGAAAAGCTGAAGGCAGGGAAGAATGCTGTTCCCGAAATATGAGCAAGGGAAAATTCAGAAGCTTCTCGAGAGCGGGAGACGCTGGCTCAGTAAAGAAAAAGGCTCCAGCCAGCCACTTTCCTCTCCATTCTGGTAACGTGTCCGATAATATGCAGGGAGACTTTCCATCCATACGACCGACCTGATGGATACGGTAGCGAATACCCAGTCCACCACCCCGTCCCCCGTCCCCATTTTCATTTTCCGCGTCTCGACCGGCTTATCTTCTCGTATGCCCTCCTCGAGGGTCGCCCTGGCCACTACCTTCGGCAGTTCGTTCTGTTATGCTTCTCAGCGTGTCCTCGTCTGTATTGGTGCTGCCCGTCCATCACACCCAAGTGGCGCTCGAGCATGCTAGCCATCTCCCGCATAGCCTCGCCTTGCACATGCTCAGAGAGGCTGTTGTGCGTGGAAAAGTGCTGTCCCGAATTTCGTGACGTGAGTATGAAAACGTCCGCGAGGAAGGCGAGATCCAAGGTTGGAAAGTGTTGGGCAGTGAAGTTGGTGGCAGTCAATCTCCGCTCTGGAATTTGGGCTGTCCAGGACCCAATACCCTCAAGGCTCTGGTTCTGGGGGCAAGACATTATTCGTTGCTTTCTAGTAATAGACTGCCCTCTGCGAAATTATTACAAGTTCCCTGCAGTGAGGAACCGTATTATTGTCTTATTTAATATGGGACTGATGGCGATAGAGCCTGGAATGTTGATGCTGTCTCGGGTGATGTGCTTTCGACTGAGGACTTTTTGGGCATTGAGAGCGTGATTCGATTGAAGTTTGATTAATCTGAGAAGCACCGTGAGCGCGGATGAAGGAATAAAGACTTGGTCATATGGAATTTCTGGGAGCCATAAGCATAAATCATTGTGAACTCGTCCCGAATGAATTTCTAGATTGGCAAACAGGATCTATCTAGCTTTGAGTCACAGCGGATGGATAGAATAGGACAGCGGTCGGGCGTCCTGCAACTCTGACCCAAATCCGCGCAAAGGCTGTATGTTTGCACTGCCGGGTTCCCAGAAGGGAAGACGAAGCTCTCGCGATATCCCAAGACGTTTTCAATCACTACGGACCTCAGGAATGTCACGTCATGGAGCTCGTTTGTCACTTAGGGATTACCCTGCTCAGCCTCCCTTCGCAACCTTGTGTCTTGCTGGCAGCCATCACAGGTCATCTCAATTGCTTCTTTTGGACAAGACCTAGGCATTTTGACGTATGGTGCGTGGCTGCTGTGATTTACGTTGTCATCCACCTGCTCGCTGTGCCTTAGCCAGAGAAGACCAAAAAAGAAGAAACTCCAAGTCTCATTGTACGATGACCGCCACACGCGGTCGGCCGGCTGGGCCAGAGCCAGTTCAGGCCTGGGGCCAGCTGCGGCATACACAATAGGCGCCAAGAGCGCGCCTTGTTTGCATACACAACACGAGCAGGGTGTATCCCTCGAGCCGAACTCGAGGGCCAGCCTCGGTGCTCGACAGTGGTATCTGCGCAAGGTTGCACTGGTGGCGTGTCCCTCGCCTCCTGTGGGGTTGCTGAGGGGAGGAGAGGGGCGCCCAGATCAGACCATGGTTGCACCAAGGCCCTCCTTCGCCAAAATGTAAATATCGACCCGCTCCTCCTCGCCATCCACTTGAGCCGTTACTGCTCCAAGAAGGCGATAGCCAAGGTGCTCGTAAAGCAGCCTGCCCATGGGGCTGGCCATCACGGTCAGGCTCCAGCCGCCGCCCCTCTTGATGGCTTCCTGCTCGCCCCACCCGCATAGCATGGTGCCGGCCCCGCGGCGGCGGAAGTTAGGATGGGTGATGAGCCACTGTAGGCTTAGCTGCTCGCCCCCATATCTGCCGAAGTATTTGGGAAACGCCATAGACATCGTCTGGGCGTATTCCTTCATATGCTCTGGGTTAGCATCGCGCCGCTCATTGATGCCATGATCTAACAAGACCGGTCAGCTGCTGCCTCATCCTAAAAAGGCAGGACAGCGCCGTGCATACCTCGGCTTCTCGCCTTTGTGTTCACTGCAGTGTCCCAGACGGCATACGCAATTGGTCTGTCTACGATTGTCTGGTCCTGGCCACGCTCATCACCAGCCACAGGCTGTGTCGCGACCAGCACGACAAACTTCTCAGGCTGATCAATGTATGCCTCGTGGTCCCGCCTTGTCCACTTCCAGAAGTCGTCTGGGTATTTATCGCGAAACGGATACTTGTAGTCACAGCCAGGATCGTCTGGGAAGCCGGCCTTGACGATGTCGGTGATGTTGTCCAGATCCTTCTTATCAGCTGGGCGAATGCTGATGGGGCCCGATGGCGCTTCCGCCTTGGAGAGTCTCGGGCCCATAATTCCGCACAACAGCCACCGAGGCAGCTGGCGGCGGCTCCACGTGCTGTGTCGTGATGTGATGATGTGCGTGCGAGGCTCTAAAAGTTGCCTCACCCAGGAGGGCGGAGACGCGTTGTGATTGGTGACTAAGTAGCTACCGCAGCCTCTTAGCTTTCACAGAAGAAGCAAGGAAGAGGGAGCTGGAAACATTGGATCTGCCTGCCTGCCTTGCTACCTCACGGCCGGTTATTTAAGGCCTTTACGCCGAAAGTGATAGGCTTGGGATCTGGGGTGTCGGTTGCTTTTTTACGGATTCTGGATCATGGGGCCGATTTCCTTCAGACGATCCGCAGCCACGACTTCCCTTTCTGGCAATCGGCGAACGACCGAATACAGCAGTAGCGTGCTGCCGCACCTGCAGTCTGACATACAAGCTAATGCACAGCAGTAGGTGTGCCCCCGCTCCGCCATACCCAGGGGGTGTGCCTTGTGGGGCTACAGGGCTGTTCAGTGAGGTGACCACGGTGACTCAGCATGCCGTCTAGCTCAAGGCGCTAATATGACTTCTCACCTGGCTGAGACTGCCTCTCGCCCGCCTCGTCACGTCTTGATTTGATCGATAGTCTTCCCGCATGATGCGGTTGGTGCGACCTCAAAACTACACTGAATTTCCTGAGATTATCCTTCCCTCTTCTTCTCGCTTCCCGTGTCTTCCCGTGTGTGCTCCAGGACACCCGTTAAGACGCTGAACACCACGGGTCAATTCAACCAACTATCGAACTGGCATGCACGTGGCCTTGCTTGGGTCGTCAGCCATGGGCGTTGTAGGTCAGCAGTCACCAGACAATTCTAAAGGCCTGGGGGAAATTTCGATGATTCCAGGGTGTGACTGCCATTACGATTTGCGTGGTCCTTCCGATACTGGCGACCAGAAGGGGAAATCGGCAGCGGGTGTCCCAACATGGCATCCGCAGAGCACTTTGCCCCCCATCACAATGAAGCTGGGTGACATGCACACTTCGCCTGTCTCTCAGCCGTTTGGTCTCTGCGCCGAGGAGACGACCCCGTTCTCGGTCTTTGTGTCATCAGAAACAAGCCTCCAAAGTCCCAGAAGCTCGGCTCCTCTCGACACCTTATCGCCCAATACACCCTCGACAGGGACGATCCAGCTGCGCTCCCCCTTCGTCGACAAGGCTCCATACGATAACCCCTCGTCTTCTCGAGCCATTCAGAGTTCGCTCTCGGTGGGTCGTGAGTCCGTACTTCATATTGTGCCGTATATTCATGGCAAGCCATCTCGGAAGAAGTTGGCTGCGGGGACGGCACCCAAGGCGGGACCCAAGCCCAGGCAGCCTAGACCTCGACAATCGTTCTCGAGGATCGATGTCTTACAGACCGACAAGGTATGGGCTCCATTTGCCGCATATCCAGTCACGTCACAGGTTACTTACTTGCCCTCGCTATCAAGACACCGCAGATGACAATAAAGAAAGACATCCACGGGCAGACTGCTGGTACCGAGATTGTCTTTGGTCACAACCAGCTCGTCCGTGTTTTCCCTACAGAGATCCAAGAGCGCGAAACAAGCAACACGAGGCGCATAGGGGCCTGTGTGAGATGCAAACAAATGCGACAACGCGTAGGTACCTCCCGGGTATTCAGAATTATGGCGGCATACGCTCAACCCCTGAACTTGTAGTGCTCTTGGCCACAGGCCCCGGGCAGTATGTACCAACCTTGCATTCGGTGCCAAGATTTCATTGTGAAATCGTACATGCGACACGTCAACAGCATTCCGTACCATCCTTGCATACGAGCGGACCTACTCGACCTTCGTTTACACAGGCAGGGTAAGCAAGACTCTGCTCTCATGGCGGATGACTCCTTTCCCCCCCCCCCCTGGTCTCTTTTATATTCATTCTTAACACCTCCAGGGCCTACAATCCGTAATGATCTCCAACCCTGGTTCCAGGAGAAACAGAGGCTGCTATTGGAAGCCAATGAGAAGCCTTCCACCCACCTTTTGTTCCTTACCCAGGGATTTGGAGAGGCGTTCGAGGATGCACTGTCGGTCCACGTCTCTCGCTTCCAAAAGAAGCCCGGGGATAGGACAGCCTACTACTGGACTGACTGGTCCGGACGGCCTCGATCCATGGAAATGCCACCGTATTTCATCAGCGACCTAGAAGAGGCGCGTAAGAATCTTTTTGATTTCACTAGGAATGTCCGTTCTGTCTATATCGAGACAATTACGGCGGACTCAAACTCGATCATTCGCAAAACATTTCAAGCTGCTCTCCATTTTGGGGCCTACAGTAACGTAGGGGTAAGATTCTTGCTCTGGGCTTGTGAGCTGCGCTGACGGTCTGTGTTGATGAATAGGCAAACCTGGTGTCGGATGCCCTGGACATCTGGGTTGCGGCACGCCTGATCGAGACACAATTCCGCGTGTTCAATGGCGGGTTTATGGCGGGAATGAAAAACATAGACGAGGCTGGGCACCCCTTCGACGGCTTCATACCCGTGACACCCATGATGGACTCTCAACTTGATGACTTGGTCATCCGTGACCTGATTCGCCCCCTCTGTGCTCGGTTCCTGGCAAGACTGAAGGGAAAAATAGAGGAACGAAAGCGAGAGAACTGGATGGAGATCTACCTTGCCATGTTCATCATGATGTCAAACATGAGCCTAATATTGAAGGACATGGCCGGTCAAGCAAAGTGGAAAGGCTTGAAGGTCAGCCAAGTACCTTTTACCCCACGACTGTCCACATCAGGGCTGATGTGAAATTTAGCCCGGCAATCGCGGTGGAACACTCACGCAGGGCTTCATGCACGCATGCAAGACCTTGCTGGCATACTTCCATCATGCATGTGCTGGTGCGGTCCCCATCACGAGTATATTTACCGAGTCCCAAAACGCCGCCAACGCACCTTACTATGGCATGGAACCAGACCAAATCGAGTATTTGTGCAACATTCGGCAGGAGATTTTTCGGCAAGGTTAGTCTTGTCGTATTTGAAACCCCTCACTCTTTCCAGATTTTCTATGTCTTTTCCTTTCTTTCCTTTTTTTTTTCCCCTTCTTTTCTTTTGGTTTTCTCCTCTGGCTATTCTTCGCTTGCCCCGGAACTGACGCGAGAGCCGCGTAGGAGAGAAGCTCGCCAACTGGAACTCAATGTCCATGTACGATGACGAGCTGTACTGGTGTTATCAGCTTTTGGTAAAAGATTGGCGCGGTGACATCCCTTACCTAGCCGGTGAGATTGATGATTTCCGGGAAGAGGATTTTCTCTCGTCGTCCACTACGTAGGCTCACATAATTCACATGCAAATCTTATTCTCATTCATGAATCTCGGAACATAATCTATGTTGGGGGCCGTTGCATCGATCTGCGTCGTATCTGCATGAGTTGTAAATATCGACGGATGTCACTGCAGAATGGGGTTGTACTTCAGTCGTGTGGTCACATTTCCACGCACCCTCCTCTGGACCGGTGAACTCTGATCTGGTTCTCCCCCACGTTCTCCTCGGCTGCGTTGACACATTGGGAAGCGGATCATGAGGGACTATTGCATCTGTTGGATAACCAACTCGAGTAAGGCTCTAAATCGGAGAGGGGTGTGGTAGAAGAGGGGTTATAACATAGGGGGGAGGGGGGAGCGCCGTTGCAGAGCCGCAATTCCTAGCAGCCAGACCAACTTGTCGCTGTAACTTTTGTGTATAAATACCTGTCTTCAAGATGGCTTCCAGATGCAGATCTCAGAAACAAGAGTTATCAACATCAAGCTTTATCACAAGGTCATCACTACCATCAAACTCGTTCCAAACATGGCCGCTGTAGCCAGTGTACAGGCGCAAGGCCTGGACTACGATTCTCCGACCTTGTTTCGAGGTCCACCTTCAGCCCAGCAGGAACTTAATAATCAAGTCAAGGATGCTCTGTCCGGCTTTCCCTCCCACTACACGGGTGAGCGAGTCTGGACGGGCTCTGACATGTCCCGGAAGCAAGACGATTGGACCACTCTCTTGACTGAGCAAGACCTGGGTCATATCATCGAAGCCTTGCACTACTTCCAAGGTAAGAGATACAGACAAGAGAAGCCACTCTTGTTATTTATCTCAAGATACATCAGCTAATTTGCTCATTTTTGATAATTAGGTCTGGGCCTGGGCCCTGATGCAATGACTCCGGAGCGGTTCCCCCTGCCAGCGGAGCTTAGCAACAGGCTGAGGAAGATCTCGTATGACTGTCACGAGGGTCGTGGATTCGGTGTTCTCCGGGGCCTACGCCCTGGGGATCTCACAGACAAGGAGAATGTGCTGGTTCTCGCAGGTGTCTCGTCGCATGTCGCCCCTGTACGAGGCTTCCAGGACATCAACCGAGAGCTCGTAACTTGTACGTGCCACATCCCTTAAGAAGAATGGTGGAGAGGGATAACGACAAAAGCGTCTCACTGACACTTCGTACAGGCCATGTCATCAGCGAGGACACTAGGCCTGGGGCAGGTGAGCAGAAGCTTCGGCCTGCTTTCACCAACGGACGCCTGGTAAGAACCGGCCTGTATTCAACAATCATCGTAGGCAAGCAACTACTGACTTTCCACGGCAGGCGTTTCACACCGATCTCGGTGACATTCTTACTTTGTTCAACCAAGATGTCTCAGATACCGGTGGCAAGACCATGATTGTTAGCAGCTCGCAGATCTACAACAGCCTTGCCGCAATGCGGCCCGATCTCCTTGAGGAGCTTGGTAAGAAATGGGTATTCACCAAGTACGCAAGTCCCCGCCCCAAGAAGGGAAAATAAAACAAAAAAACAAACACACACAACAGCCAGCATGGCTGACCATCCTACAGCTCCATGGACTACCATACAGATGGCACTCCTCTGGTCCTCAACGCCAGTGGAGACCGCCTCGTGTTTCAGTACTCCCGCCTCCCCATCACTGGCTTCCGCAACACAGGCACCAACCCGAGCCTGCCTCCAGTCTCGGCCCGCCGTCTTGAGGCCATGACCCTCCTTGAGGAATTGGCGTGGAAGAACGCCTTCCCGCTTCCCTGCGAGCGCGGCGACATTGCGTTCATCAACAACCTGTGCCTGATGCACGCGCGTACCGCCTTCGATTTGGACGCCGACGGCAAACCTCTGCCGTCTGCGCGTCACCTCGTCAAGCTGATGCTGCGTGACCCGGAATTGGCATGGGAGCTGCCTGCTGCGCTGGACTGGCAGGTGCAGAGGGTGTATGGGCCCAACCAGGAGGACGGGGGTAGGAAGGAAAAATGGCATCTGACCATTTATGATGAGAAGATGCCGGAAGGCCGTATGTGGGCTGGAGCGGGGAGTTTCAGCAATGGCTAAGATGAGTGTCGATGCCTTCTTTAGCCTAGATAAAGGGCGCGCTTTTCTTTTTGATGATAGCCTTCCATCCCAGTACATGCTGGAGAGGAAGGGATAGTCACTTGGGCTGCTCAGAGCCTCATCGCGAACAATCAGTATACAATAAATGGTACGCCTGACCAGCTGTTCCCACGTAGAGAGTAAGAGTGTTCCTTGTGCGTAAGGACTACCATTTCTGGTTAGATGAAAGAATTATTTGAAAGCAACCAGGCGCGAGGGACAGCAAATAGTCATTTGATACAAGGCAAAAAAGGTAAATATAATTTTGTGTTGTGAGTGACGTCCACAGCCCCATACTTGGCGTACAGTATTTACGTAGTAGGTACTTAAGTAGTCATAGCTCTCTAGGGTTAGGGTGTTAGCGTTTCAATCCTATCTCCTTGGCTTATCATTCTCTTAGCCGCAAGCCCGGCGATGACAGGCTAACAGCCTCTAGCAGCCCACCCCCCCCCCCCCGGCTCCAACTCCCACCGCCACTACCAACTGTCACGACGCAAGATGAGCCCTATACTGCCAGACGATGAGGTCAATCACTTCAAGGCCATACCATGGTGCGCCAAACATCTCGATAGGCCCGGCCTTGTCATTACACCCGCGTTCAGCAGGGTGCCCGGACCCCGCTTTCACGACGCGCTGTTATCCGAGACGCTGAAGACGGAAGACACGATAAAGGCCTTCACCTGCTTTTATCCGCGGCCCAAGAGCGAGCGTGAACTCCTCCCATGGCTGGGGGCGTTCGTGACGCTCGGAAGCATGGTCAGCGGGTATCCTGGGGTCTCTCACGGCGGAGTCATCGCCACCCTCCTCGACGAGACGCTGGGTCTCCTTGCGCCTGGAAGTCGATGGCGGGCGTACAAAGAAGGTGTGCCGGCTGTCGTGACGGCATATCTGAACACCAACTTCCTTGGAAAAGTCAAAATCCCAGGAACCTATCTGATCATGGTCCGTTTGAAGAAGGCAGATGGGAGGAAATTGTTTGTGGACGGGGTCATGGAGGATGAGGAAGGCGAGCAGCTGGCTAGAGCCGAGGCACTCTTTGTGGAACTTCGAGAGAAGCTATAGGATGTTAGGATGGTATATGGACCTATTCTTTGACAACCACGAGCATTGGACAACATTCAACACAAAGTCAACCAGACACAGCAACCTAGACACACCCACGCAGGGTCCCCTCCCCCCAGCTCCTGACACAGCATTCCATCCCATCTCTAATGCAAACCAGCCAGCCGACGAAACCCAACATTCCCAAGGATGCGGAAGTCTCCCACCTTCTCGATGCCCGGGCCCTCCAACCGGTCGTCCCACTTGCCCATCGCCATCTCCGTCATAAACTCGCCCAGGCGCTGCGTTGGACTCCAGTACGACTTGGCCAGGTGCCGGATGGGCGGCCCGAGAATGGGCGTGATGATATTCTTGTACATCTCTTGGGTTGGGATGTATGGCTTGATGGCGTCGTGCGTTGCAAAATCGATAAAGCACGGGCGGATTGACGTGGCAAGCAGCGCCTTGTTCCTGTTATGCATCCCTGCAAGGAGGACCTCGGTCTCGCCCTTGACAAGCGCAAAGGTCTGGGCAAATCGCCCAGGCTCGATAGTCGCGCCGTGCCCCGACACGTAGACAAAGTGGAAAGGCTTCTCTTCCGTGCCTAGGGTTTCAAAGGCCTCAACCGCGCGTAGAGTGAAGTCCTTGGTGATCTTGACGTACTCCCTGAATTACCATAAGCCACAGTGAGCAACCCATGGTCCAGCGTGCCGGGGGCTGGCGGGGGCTGACTCACTCTTTGCTTACTTGGGTCTGCGAGATGCCCAAGGCCCACACACAACCTGTGGCGCCCGTCAACTGGCTGAGGAGGTTCGCGTCATATTTTTCGAAATCCTTGTGAATGATAACGTTGATTCGAGGGTCCTTCAGATCCTCGGCCATCCGAACCGGTCTTCTGCTGAGGATGGAGATCTTGGTGACGTCCTTCATGCGGACCATAGCATCCAGAACGGCTGAGCCGCACAGGCCTGTTGCCCCGGTGAGGATGAGATGCATCGCGCCGCCCAAGAATGTGATCTATTGTCGTGTACAGCACTGGATTCTGGGAAGCCTCTGGTCAAAAGGAGTGAAGGAAAAGTTCACCGGAGAAACAATACTCTGCAACCCAGATAGAAGACGCTTCACATGGGTGCGAAGTGGAAAGCTCGTAGAAATCTTAGATCTCTTGTATTCACGAATGGTTATGTTCCAACGCTCTCCATGCTAACGTCAGCCAACGGTAGCAGCGGGCGGCCGCTTAAGCGGTAATCCCTGCCAGTGTTGGAATTACATCAGCCACGGCAAGTATTTGAATCGCTCCGCGACCATTTAGTGCAGTAAGCCCTCCTTGATTGTGCTCTGTAGGTTGAAAGTAATTTAAGTAGTATGATGACCAGTTTATTTCACCCGAAGTTCCAAGTCTCAAGGCTAGGCTCTCTGAAACTGGCAATCCAAACCCAGCATCTCTAGATTCCCGAAATACCCTGACCCAAGATGTGTTCTCATAGGAAAGCTATGATCGCAACAGAATAGAGCACTTCTGACACTGCGTCGCTAAACTATGGTGCTCTTGAACTTCTTTACTGAACATTACTACACTACAGAAAAGTGTTCTAATACTTCCGAACTTTGTTTCTCAAAATGAAACAACTCACATATAAAAGGAAAAGGAGGTAACTCGTACTGGGAATGTTTAGGCAGTTATCAAGTTGATATCAGGTCACCAGACACAATAGCACCAGTATGTCCTTGACCTCCAGTCGGGAAGGTTCGAGCTTCCTGAAGCTTTGTAAGTATCTGGATGTGAGGCTTCCGATCACTTTCTGGTGTAAATGTGTGCAAGAGAGCACCTTTAATCGAAGCCCAAGACCATATCGGAGCTGTGTATGGCTGGATCCGGACAGCTTTATGGGGTCTGATGTGCTCCAAAGCAATTGATGCAACAACCCCTTTCTCCATAGCCCTGCAAGATACTCATCTCCTGTGGCATCGTGTACTTCCTTAACAATCCCAGACATTGCAGCCAGCTTGTCTGTGTTGAATGTGAGGTTCTTTGTGCTGTACTCTTCCACAATTTTGGTCCAGCTTATCCATGACTTCTCTCTGGAGGGGTCGATCATATCTGGCCACCAGTCCATGATTGTGTCTCCTGCATATGCACCAGTTCCGTCACCAGGATTCATCGGTATGCTGTCAGGCCATTGTTCGTTGCCATTTTTTTTTACTTGTCTTCGTCTCAAAGAAAAGTTGACGAGCAGTGAAATGAATTACATGCTGAGAAAGAATCCTTTCTTGAAAGACCCAAGCTCGACTGGCAAGAAGTGCACAACTTAATGCCGTGTTCCAAGTTTCGTGCACCATGATGTAAACCGTGGGGCTTTTCCAGATGTCAATCCATTTCGTCCACCCAACATCGATTCGAAGTGGTAGAAATGTCTCGATGTTTCTCGTTCTGATGAAACCATCTTCGCTGTCCTGGGCTGCATCTGCAGATATGTTGCACGCTGCGTTTCGGTAGATCTCGTCCATTATAGCGCCTTGACTTAACCAATCTTCCTGAGAATCTTGAATAATGCAAAGAGAGTCTATCCAAAGATATTGAAAGTCCAGGCTATGAGTGACCTTGATGGCATCTTGAAAAGTCTTTGACAAACTCTTGTATGGAATACCTTGTTTGAACTCGTCGAGATTTTCCATGTGGAGACACAGGGTCTGGCTTTTACCCCAACAGTGAGTGACTGAGTGTCAAATATTGGGCTTCTCGAGGCACAGTGGCATCTTCACACAGTGTGACCTGGTATTGCCCACCACTCAACATTTTTATGTGCAACAAGCGTGTAGGTAGGAATTTGGTTGGAATTGAGGTGACGCCCTTCATGGTGCACTGACGAAGCCACCGCTTTGATCGCTCTTGGTTTCCCACTGACCATGTGCTCTGACCTGAACTCTCAGTAGCCAGCCGCCCACGAACCCCTAAATAGGCCAGATATAAGCAAATGAATAACAGCAAGAGTCCCCATTGCCCCAGTGCCCACTTACGATTTGACATGATTGCCAATTTCACTATGACCGTACCGCTGTGATGAAATGTGACATCATCGTCAAACCATATCGGCTCCCCAAAACTCCACATAACCAGGAAATCCTGTGCCAATGTGGACTCTGTTGACCAGGATATCTGTGATCCCAGTGCAGTGATGTTTTCGACCAGCAGACAGCAAATGTAACACTGCTGCTCAGCCGCTTTCAGAATACTATTATATGACGAATATTGATCGAAGTGTCCACTGGAAGGGAGCTCACGAGAAGCGAACATATGACGGCATTGATTGCAGAGACCCAGGGATGAACAGGCAGGCTCCGGTCTGAGCAGCGCTTCTCTGAGCCGGGTGTTATCAAACGATAAATCCTCGGACACGCTCTGGTCTTCTGCAAGTGTGTCAGAGTCCGTCACTAATGGCTCACGAATCTCTCGTGAGGAGAGTACGACGAAATTGTTCACTCGTTCCATAATAAGATCGGGCTTCCCACGGAAAATGTGCGAGTGTTCAAATTAATATCGAGTAAGGACCATGTATAACAAACATGTCTACCTTTCTGGTTACAGTAGCGGGGAAAGTGCGGTGACAGCAGGCAGTCCCGAAGATATTTATTAACTGCTGCCAAAGATGGAAGAAGAGCGGGGTAAGGAATCTGCCACTCAGCTGACCACCTTGAACCTTCGCATTATATGCACCCAATACATTCTAGTCCAGTCGATCGACTGCAACAGTCAGCTGATTGCTTGTCTGACCCAAGAAGTAGCATGAATATGTCACTTGTAGTTAACATCGAAGTAGAATATTCTTAAGAGGGGCTCAGAGAAGTATACATTTCAATGGTGTACTACCTGCGGAAGAGTTCCCTCACCTGTCGCTTAAACAGCACCCATCCTATTCACAAAATTACACCATGACTGGTATTCTCCGTCTTGAGATTCACCTCCGATGCTAGCTCGTCCAAGATCGCAGGGCTCCAGGGCAAGATGGAGGACCTGTCACACAGGCCGAGAGCCCCCGGTGCTAGGCCAGATTTAGCAAACCGCAGTGTGGTCCGCGGGCGCTGGTAGACACTGCTGTCAAATGAAGCCCCGATGCTCATATTGACATGCTCATCAACAACTCCTGCATCAAGATAGTCAATACGTCAACCGAGACCCCCACGGAGAACTTCGATAAGGTATACAAGATCAATGTCACTGGTGCTTAGAACAATCCTCCCCATGTAAGCCGTCCTGCCTCATCTCCCTGCCAAGAGCCTCATCACCAACATCACATCTGTTGGGTGCGAGGGCGGGCACCATCGCCCTGAGCCTGTGCACCTCCTTCAAGATAGCGGTTGAGCGGCTGACAAGAATCTGGGCGGTCGAGCTGGGGAAGAACAACATAAGGGTCAATGCGGTAGAACCTGGGCCAGTGGTCTCCAATATATTCGACGAGGACCCTGCCGAAATAACCCTATTTGCAGAAGAAATCAGCGCTTCCCAGAGATCGCCTGGGCACAAACGAAGAGATGGCAGATGTCGTCTCGTGGCTGGCTGGACTACATGTACGCGGTGATTAAGTAAACGGGCAGTGTGTTAGGGCTAGCGGGGGTTTTTCAGGTGCTCTGGATTTCACCACTGAGGTTTCAAGGCATATTTTAGAGACTCTTTCTGGGCGCATCCTTTTTGTTCTCAGATAACAATGCAGATCCAATGCTGTAATGATTTCCGAAGACCCATGACCTGTTACCCCTAGGACTCGAAATCCACGCAAGTTCCAAAATATATTTGTGCCTTCACAGTAAGTAAGTTGTCGGGTATGTCTGGTGCATGTGACCTGGCTCAGGCCAACCGACGACCCCTTCCTTACTTGGACTTTAGTACTACTCTACACATAAAGGCCTTTATTACTAACCTTATTTCCCCCCCTCCGACACGTGTCGCATGACCACTTTCCTAAAGCAGCCATCTTGGCGACGTCTTCTCCTCACTTCTACTCACAAACTGCAAGCACATCCAATTGACTTGAATTTGATTCTCCTTTCGTATCCTCAAGATTCTTCATCATGACGACGGAGTTCTCATCTTTACCTATGGTTGACCTAACTCCACTCTCACAAAATCCACTGTTTACCGGGGACTTGAAGGACCTCAGCAGGCAGCTTGACAATGTCTTCACTACAACAGGCTTCGCGTATCTGACCAATGCACCCTTGTCCTTCTCTCATAGTGAGATCTTCGATCTTGCAAGGGACCTTTTCGACATTCCTCAGCAGGAGAAGATGAAGCAGGCCAAGAAAATATTTTGCCCCTCCAACACGAATACATATCGCGGGTAAGTTCTTGTATTTCTGCAATTGCTACTTCACAAAAGCCGACCAAGAAACGAACGCACTAAGGCAAATGCAGGTACTTTCCATCGCAGCCAGGACAGTCAGACAATCTGAAGGAAGGCTTCGAAATCGGCCCAGCGAGTCCGATCAGTGAAAAGGTTACACCATCAAAGGACTACAAGGTCCACCTCAGCGAGCCCAACGTCTGGCCACCAGAAACTGTCCTGCCTGCCGAGAAACGACAACAGTTGGAAAAGCTTTATACAGAGCTCCAGGCACTGTCTTTCCGCCTTCTATCCCTCTGTGCGACGGCACTGGGAAAGCCAGAGGACTGGTTTTCTAGCTGGCTGGATGACTCTATCAGCACACTTCGTCTCCTACACTACCCCCCACAGCCAGGAACAGCCACCTCATTGACGAGTGTGAACGATCAGGCAGGCGTCAGTGGGGTCAAGCTTTGCTGTACGCCGCACACCGACTCTGGCATCCTTACCCTCCTCCATCAAGACCCCACCGGTGGTCTTGAAGTCCTTGGTGCCTCGGGGGAATGGATTGCCGCGCCTTATATTCCAGAGAGCATCGTAGTTAATATTGGGGATCTCATGGCTGAAGTGTCTGGAGGCAGGTACTTGGCGACTTTGCACCGTGTCAGAGCAACAACCATACTGGGGGTAGGCGATAGTGGGCTAGGTAGGATCAGTGTGCCGTTCTTCTTTGAGCCGGGCGAAAAGTGTCTGGTTAGATCTGTAAACAGCGACAATGAGGGGGTGTGCTATGGCGAGCATGTCCGTGCCAAGATGAGCACTTGGATCGAGTTTCAGGATGTGGGAGCATAAATTTGTTCAATGTCGCTTTTATTCATCTGATGAGAAGTTTCTAGTATGCAAGGCAAGGTCGAAACAAAATGAGAGCACTCTTAAAGCATGATACTGTACAGTCTAACATCCTCCCAGCCTTCTATACTCTAAGTATATTCTTGAGAAAAGGGAAAATGAAGACAAAAAGGAAGCACAACACCACTTTGGTTTTTCACCCCTTTCCTCACAGCTTGCTCTTCGTCCTGTTGTCCTTCTTCAACAGATGAGGGCTATTGGGGTTGGAATCGAACACGACCTCATTGAGAGGGTTCAGCTCGCTTGCCCGATAAAACATATCCTCATATACCTTGCCATCATACCGGCCCAGGCTCGAATCCAGCTGCCAGTCGGGGAACTTCCACGCATCCACCAGCCGCACGGCATGGGGCCGCACCTCCTCGAGCAGCTTCATCACCTGCTTCCTGGCCAGGGCGATCTGCTTGACGGTCGTCGCCGCACTGCTGAAGAACTCGGTCGACTCCTTCTCGAGGGTGTACAGGGCGAACAACTTGTACAGCAGGTGCATTACGGCCAGCGTCTCCTGGTCCAAGCCTGCCTTTGTGGTCGAATCGATGCTGAGTGCATCCCTGAACGACTTGACGACCATGTACTGCGCGTGTGCCGTGCTGAGGCGGTAAAAGTCCACGAGCAGGCTGTTCCACGGCTGCTTCTCCTCGTCGCGCTTCTTCAGAGCATCGAAGGTCAGGTAGGCCACACGCCATGCAAAGGCATCGACCAGCTCAGTGTCCGAACCGAGCACATCGAACGCAGCACCGACATCCTGCCTCTTGAGGAAGTTCTTGAGGAAGCGAGTGGTGTCGTTGTCGGAAGCCTTGCCAGTTAGGACGGCACGAGCAGATTTGAGCAGATACCGCGCCACCTGTTGGCTCAGCATGAAGTTGTCGCCTTCCCAGGTGACGGTGGGCAGATAGTCGGCATAATACGACCCGATGCCTGAGAAGGACGAGTATCCGTGACCACCACACGCGCGACGGCAGACTTCCAACCCCTCTGCCGCTATAGTCGACGAGTATGACTTCAGGGCACACGAGGTGCTGTGAAGGTCGGCGAGGAGATCACCCCCGGCGTTGAGCTCTTCAGGGCCTGGCCGGCGCTGAGAGTCACTCCCACCTGGTGCGTCTCCCGCTGCCAGACGCTTCTGGTTCTCCTCATACAGGGTGATCATGTTCCGACCCGTGAAGTGGAGGGCAAACGTAGCAGCCAGCAGAGGGAGAAGACGGTACTGCACCATGGAGTAGTTCAGAACCTGGTTCTCGCCAACCTTGCCCTTGGCGTCGAGATCTTGAAATTGGCGGCGAACAGCACAATACCGGGTTGCGATCGTCACACCACGGGCAAGTACACTACCAGACTCCAGCACGATTGTGCTTCGCACATAAGTCAGGGTGCCGTACACGAGGGCCGGTGTGGGTGGTTTGATGTATTGGCTTGTGTTGGGATCAACACGAGAGAATCGCGCAAGCATGTTGACATGAGGGACCTTGACGTTGTTCAGCAACAGGAACCCGTTGTCCATCTACAATTATCATTTTGTCAGTCTCACTCTGGTCATAGCGCTCCGAGGGTTGTTTTGTATGCTTACTGTGTTGAAGCCAAATTTTGGACCGATGTCTCCAATGTGGACATCTGGGAGAGGCTCATGTGTCTTGGAATCTCGGATGGGGACGATAAAGGGGTGGGGGCCCAGAACCTTGCCCTTGATGACCAGCTGGGCCATCACGACCGCATGGTTGGCGACCTTGCCGAGGGTTCCGATCCACCATTTGGAGGCTGTGAGTGCTGGCGAGTGTATCGTGAAGGTCTTGTCTTCAGGGTTCCAGGTTGCGGTGGTCTCGAGACCCCGTACGTTGGAGCCGTGGCCCAGCTCCGTCTGGGCATAGCACCCGATGATCTCGAACTTCTGTGCCTTCTCCAGGAAGAGCTTGTGCTGCTCGGGCGTGCCTTGCTCTCTGATTGTGGGCATGAACATCTTGTAATGCATGGCCAGTGGCGACGCCTCGCTGATGAGCTGGAGAGCATGCTCGAACTTCTCGGTGGGCCAGTTGTTCTTCTCCGTGAGCTGCTGGAGACGCTTTCCCCTGGCCAGGGAGCCCAGTATCCTATCCTCGCGGCCCTGGAAGTAATTCTTGGATTTGTCAAAGACCTGCTCAGCCGAGAGGATCTTGACGAGTTCCTCCCTCTGCTGGAGCGTCTTTTGCGTGAAGAGAAAGTCGGCCAGCTGGTCTACGTTCACATTGCTCTTGGCCCGCTCCCCCGACAGGATATCTGTCCCTTGGGGCGCAGCGGGCTTCAACTTCTTGACCCAGTCCGGATTCGTAGGCATTTTGCTTGAATGTTCGCGTGCGGTAACGTCGGCTGTTCACACACACACAGACACAAAAATACGGTCAAGGAGGAGATGAAAGACGCTGAACTACAGCGACCAGAAGGAGGGAGATTCGTGGCGACGCAACATCTGTTAAGGGTTGTTCAACAGTAGCTGAGCTTCGAACGTGCCGAGGTTAATCGATCACGGCGACTCGATGACATATCCATTATCCACGCGCCGAGATCCACTTGGCTGGTGGCGCGAGCGTCTCGGGGACATCCATGGTAAAGCATACTTAGCACTAAATTCCTCAGTGAGCCGAAAGCCCCCCCATGTGATTGGAACGAGTCCAATTTTCTCTCATCCTCTCTCACATGCCCAATATCTGGGGTTTGAGTGGACACTCTTGAACCCACCCCACCTCCAGATTGTCACCAACACAGTCAGCTCAGGACAGGAGTCGACCGTCAGCAACGGGGGCCTCGTCTGGTCCATGCGACGTCACGAGTTGCTTTGTCTGTGGTTTCAGCCTCACGCCGATATCGGCACTTTCTAAAGGTCATGGAGCGAAACTACCTGCATACTGACATGCTAACAGGGTCGAGGTGCAGAGACGTGCGGGAGTGTTAATCGGGCGGTTACGGACTCCTGGGCTTTGCGAATTCCAGGGGTCCAGTCCATAAGGTAAGATGAGGCTTGGCTCGGCCCCGGACTCGGTTGGTAGATAAATTAGATCCTCGGCACGTTTGACGGTGGACGCCAATGCGGAGGAGGACCGAGAAATAACATCCATTTCATGTCACGTGTTCGTTAACAAGAATTCAGTTGTGACTACAATCCCATGGCTTTATCGAATCAGCTGAAAGAACAGCTTGGGGAAAAGGGGCTTTGAGCTTTGAAGAAGCCTCTGACCATCCAGATTGTCAAATTAATCACTCTACAGAGTATGGTTCAATATTCTCAAGTGTGCCCTTCCAACCTATTTCAGCTCAGAGAAGGACTTGATTAATAGGCAAGCCTGGCATAACCCACGTAGCAAGAATACTCCCATCAGAATCATTTCACTTGGCTACAAATGATGTAATCCATACCAACCTCACAAGCTATATACTTATAACACAAAAGTAACAGCATATTCTAGGCTGGAATCAAATGAAGCCTGTGCTGGGCTCCAATATTGTCCTTGGTGCTCTTCAATTCGGTTCTTCTCTGAGCATGCAGATCAATGGACAGAAAAACAATCGTCTACAGTCCAGGGAGGGACTAAACAAGTGAACAAACCAATTATCTTTTACACTGATTCATCAATGTGACTTGTCATGGAAAGCTGCTTTCTACATTTCAATTACCCGTTACCATTTGCCTGTAACAGAGTTTCACAGGCTTGACCGCACCACTCGCTTGAAGGAGAGGTTTATATTCAGTTAGAATTTCTGGTCATTCACCTAGAACAAGCCCTAGGGTCTTGAAGGAGGCTGTGGTGGAGTTGAATCAGTTTAAACATCTTGACTGGTGGTGTGAGGCCATTCACAATAGGTAGGTAATAACAAAATCCAAGTAAACCCTGTGAATGTCGTAAAAAGTGAATTCTCTGACAGAATAGGAGTGGGCCTTCGATATTGCCAATATTTATTCGATCTGTCGATACCTGGGAGTGAATTCTCAACTGAACACTATATAAGAGTGTCGAATTTCCCCCTAAGTGGTCTCCTCTTGGTTTTCTTCCTTGCACAACCTCAACCTCGATCAGCATTTGCAGACATCAGTACTTCATTCAACTCGTCCATACTGATCATACCAACTTTCTACAATAATCAAGTCAAGATGGAGCTTCTGGTCATCCTCTCCTGGATGCTCATTGCCATGTGCAATGTTGCTGCCCAAATCGTATGTCCTGAAGCGGTCCTGTCATGTCTAACATCTTCTTCAACCAAGCTGCTAACTGTTGAGTGCAGTTGCCCACTGCCATCATCTCCCCCGACCAGTACGGAGCCGGCAACACCACCTACGACATCGTCAACATCACCTGGGCCCTGGAGGCCGAGCCCTACATCCCCAAGCACAACTACATCGGTACCATTCAGGAGGTTGTTGGTCACATCAATGACAACTACCCCAACTACACCTGGCCCGACGTTGATCTTACCTACCTCTCTGGCAACACCATGGACACCTCTGTCGCGGAGCTCTCCGAGCCCTCCGAGCGTGGTATCGTTCACTGCTGGCGCTTCAACATGACCACCACCTCGGCCGCCTGGGAGGGTATCGCCTACCTCAACAGCATCCCTGGCAAGCCCTCCAACGGCCCTGGACCCGGTGCTTGCGGCCGAGTCTCTTGTGCTGACGACGCTGGCATCTGGTGGTGCAATGACGTGAGTAACAAGCCAGCACTGAGACTCTCCTCCTGTCTTCTGCAGCACCTAAAATCTCGAGCCGAGCTAATATCTGCCCTATTCTCTATCTCTAGAACCCCGACACCACCATGATCCTTGGCGGCTTCAACTGGATCGCCAACTACACTACTGCCATCATGCAGCAGTGTCAGTGGATGGGAGGGGAGGACACGGTGACGCGTGGCCAGAGCTTCCACCCCACCGAGAACTGGAACGTCATTCTGGGCGGCGCCCGCTGCTAGATAGCTGAAGGGGGGAGACGGGGTTGACAGATGAACGAGTTGACGCTATCTTCTGGCGCCTCTTGCCTCATCGTTTTGATCATTAGACCGTTGTAGTCTGAAGCGGATAGAGCTACAAGCCGCGCTTCTAGACTTTGAATAACAAATAGGCTTTATGGAAAAAAGTGATTCGTCTTATCAGCTTGTGATCTGGTCTTGAATGACCTGGTGATGTTTCATAATGGCGCCTCTTGGCTTTTCGGTGTGGATAGTGTCAACGTGACATTCCAGCTGGGGCGAACTGCAGTCAATAAAACGATTTGTTCGACACGTTGAGTATAGCGGGCGCAAGGCTTCAGTATACCACTTTCCCGAAATCCGTTTTGGCTGTGCGGCGGTTGGTGAGTTAACACTATGGTCTCCGCACCGGTAGTCGAGAGTCGTGAACAACAAGATTCATGTTTGATGGGTGACGAAGAGAATAAGCATTGACAGAATTTATATTTCATCTGATGACTAAGATTGATATAATGAAACCAATTCCCTCAACAGTGCCCTATGGAAATGTTCTAATGTATGAAATGGTAAGGCCATCATGGTTGATTGGGAGGAAGATACCCATCAGACCAAAATGAAATCGTGGTCAAGTAGCTCTCTTCAGGGTGTTTCTTTGGTGGTTAATCTTCCCCTTTTGCTCATGTTCTCGTAATAGGTATTGATGCGACTGTGTCAGTACAAATATACGCTGGGCAGCTCCTGCGAGGCGAGAATCGATAGTCGTAAGAGTGTTCCCATGTTTTTACAAGCTGTTATCATAAACTTATGCTATGCGGCCCATACCTTGTCACGGACTTGATTCCATAAGGAGTGGCTCCAGTTCTCTGGAAGAGTATGTGATATCTAGCACAGAGGTGGGATATGTCAGCTGAGCCCCGTCTACATAAAAGATACCCCTCCGAGGTATGATCAATGAAACAAAAATTTGCGAATGACATTAGACGAGCTGTGGAAAACTCACCCTGGACAGATGAAGCTGCCAGTTGTTTGGACGCGGTCCTCTCTTGACCGTGAAGGGTGCGCCACCATCATCGGAGACGTCGCTGTCGAGATAGCAGCCAGGAAGGCCTTGAAGTTCCGGATGCTCCGGAAGATCCGGCAGGTAAAGGACGAACTCGCGTGCCTTGGCGTGCGACAGCTGCTTGAAGAAAGCCTTCTCGTTGACACGCTTGTGCCAGGGCCGGAGGTCCTCGGAGTCAAGACGGAGATGGAGCGAGCGAAGAGATGGCAGCATGGATAGACGGCGGCACAGATCCTCCCAAGGGTTTTTCTTGGACGTGACACTTAGGCCGCTGATATGTGGCTGCAATTTGCCATCCGGGCCCGGGAAATACAACTCGGTAATCAAGGGCTTGACGCGCAAGCTGATGTCGATGTTGCGGATGTTCCTACTGGGCGCGTGTTTGACGAGGAAGTCTCGGGCGACGATGATATCCGTAAAGCAGAAGGTAAGGACGCTCTCCAGCTCGTCGACACTTTCGAGATACCTGGCAAGCACATCAGTTGACGGTATTCCTTGACAATTTTGTTTTTGCCTCTTGTGTTGCATGGTCAATGACAAACTGGCAGCAACATGGGAAACTTGACGTACATTTGCTTGCATACAAGAAGAGCGGCGGGAACATGTGTTCGTATTCTAATATGTCTAGTCGGCGAGAGCCTGCGTCGATCTATTCTGGACAGCGTAGTGGCCGTTGCCTCTGCGCATCCCCAATGTGCGTTCCACGGCGAACGTAGTCGATTCTCCCAGACCAGGGCGTCCTCTCCTTGAGAAGCCTGGAATCTTGCGTACCGTACGTCGTCTTCACCTGAGTGGGTGTTGCAGGGGAAGACTGGGACAACCTGGTTGCCGAACGAGTGGACATGCCATCTTGTGTCGTATAGATCCCAGAGGTGTTGGTATATCTTTTGCCGAATCTCGCAGGGCAGGTCGTTGAAAAATGGTGACGACGTCTGAGGCTGCGCCGTGGCGGCGAGGGAGTCTCTGAGCCGAGACATCCTCTGCAGCAGAGGGCGCGTGTGGACGCGGAACGGACCGGTATCTTGACAAAATCAATCTTCTTTCAGGTCTTTTCCGATTTCTTTCGCTATCTTGGAAAATGAGTGGACCCGGAATAAGTTGCCGCGCTCGATCATGCGTGGATGAGATGGTTGTTAGTGGTAAGTTTGTCGACCTGGCTTCGTGTACGCCCAGGCCGTGTAGATCGTCGAGCACAAAAAGAAAGAGGATGACGTTGATCCAGCATCTCAGCGGCGAAAGGAAGAAGAAGTAGAAGGGAGGGGGGGGCCTTTCGGGTGTAAGCCACTTTGCTTCCCAACAGACGAGCGAATTACCTTCCATCGGGCTTTGCAGTGCGGGCAAGCTCAATAAGGCAGTGCTGCCTGACAATCACTTCGAAGTTCTGAATACTTTTTCCGGCCCCCCTTCCGCTGCTGCAAGGAGGCCATGACGTCCGGTCGTTGAACCCTGAAAAACTGTCTCCGCATTTGTGCATAGTAGCGTCCTTTGCAATGGTTGGCAGCTTGGCAGACGTTGGTATGCCCCGTATTGGTGTGACGACGTTTGAGTACTTGGTGTACTATGGCATACTGAAGTACCCTCAGCACTGTACTTGTATTACACAGTACTTGTAGTTGCAGCCTTTTTTGACGTGCCCTGGTATCCGTGACGGGATGTGACTCAGCTCTGCACGCTGCCCTTGACTCAGGGTCGTCGAGCTAATAAGACTCCCGTGCCGGATTCTCCGTCTAGGGGAGGGGGGGGGGGCCCTTGGTGTTCAGGGTGTTTTTACTTGTGTTTGTTTCAGTTACACCTCGAGATCGGCGCGTTGCGTGACCTGTGCCAAGAAGATCGCCTCGCTCACTCATCAAACCATTGACGTGCTGCCCTATTCAGTCCATCGTCAAGTACATACAATTCACCTCAGTCACCCAGTCCTGCCAGTTTTCATTTTGGTAGGCTGTGGTGACATACATAGTGCAGCACAAACTGTTCTGTGGATGATAGATTCGTGTGTGCTCCATGGGTGGGGTTCAATGTTTGGCAGCCTTGCAACGTAGTGCGCGCTGGGGGACAAACCCTCTCTTTTTTCGGGATCTGTTCCATTGATCGACACTGTTCCATCCCTGTCGTTCGAGTCATGATTCAACTCGGTGGAGCATATTCTCTCACTGCGTACTCTCGGCTGCTACCATAAACTCGTATACCATAGTAGTCTTGCCGTGTTGTGCTATGGAATGTTCTCGAGAAATTCTTCTTCTCCTGGTTGCGAACAAATAAAATATCATAAATAAAATAAAAAAAACCTCACGTGAACACGATGCCACCGTCGACCACCTGTGTCTGTGCTGTGATGAAGTCGCTATTCGGGCTGGCAAGGAACGAGACCAGGTTGGCCACGTCTTCTGGCACACTCGCCCTCTGCATCAGCGTCACGTCCACAAACTTCTTCATCATTTCGCCCTTCCTGACCGTTCCGTCGCCTCTTTTCGCTGCCAGGTCTGCGTCAATTTTCTCCCACATTGCCGTGCCCACAATTCCTGGAGCGTATGCGTTGACCGTAATGTTGTGTTCGGCCAGTTCTATCGCATATGCCTGCGTGAGGCCACGCACAGCCCATTTTGCCGCGCTGTAGTGCCCTAGCAAGGCAAAGGGCTTAAACGCTACAATGGATGCTGCGCCGATAATCTTGCCCGGGGCGTCAGGCTTGCAGGTTCCCTGCTCGATCATCTGGCGAGCTCCTTCGGCGTAGCAATTGTGAACGCCCGTCAGGTTCACTGCCAGCATGCGGGCGAAGTCTTCTTCCGAGAGGTCCAAAAGTGACTTGACCTGTACAATACCGGCGTTGGCGATCCTGATGGACGTCTTGTCAGCTGGCTAAAGGGTAGTTCGGTCGTTCATGGGGAAAGACGAAAACACAAGGCAACAAGTATGATCACATACATTGTGTGAAGCGGACCCAACTCCTTGACGCTCTTCTGTACCATCTCCTTGACCTCCCCCCGCCTGCTGACGTCCGCAATGGCAGAGCAGCTCTTTCGACCCATGGATTGGATCTCCTTCACGACCTCATCACATTGCTTTTCGTTCGCAGGAACATCATTAATGCAAACATTGTATCCATCCGAGGCTAGCCGCAGGGCGATGGCCTTTCCAATGCCTCGTGCTGAGCCTGTCACGAGGACACTCTTGCCGTCTGTCAAGTTTCGAGACGGGGAATCTGGCGCACTCTGGCTCATCCACCGAGCCGCGGTGAGCTTCTGCCAGCTCTGACCTCTCGTCGGCCTGGGTAGAACGCTGGGTCTCAGGAACAACTTCATCCTGCGAGAATTGGAAGCAGAGAGCAAAGTAAGAATTCAAGTGGATCAGCTGAATTGTAGCTAGCTATTCCGCAAGGACGGCATGAAGAGTGGCAGGTTTTTATGTACACATGTCTCCCCCGCACCAGTGACGCGGAACGTCATGGCCATCGGGATACCGTTTCGGTTCAATTTTATTGTAATGGAACTCGAGGTTACACGATGCACACCCCGCACGCTGCTGCCGAGGATCGCTTCCTCTTTCTGCCCAGATTTTCTCTCAGATTCGGCAGTGGAAGCTGTAGACGCGGGATGCCAGAGGTAGATACAACTTGTCCGTGAGGTGCTACTTGAATACTAGCTAAGACTACGAGTCTAGAAATACTTGGTCACGAACTGACGATGAATCAAAAAGCGCCACGACAGGCCCTAGTCCATAGGGCAGTATACTGATCAGCTAGTGGTCTTTCAAAAGATCCATCATCTATCTCTGTGCAGAAATGTGTGGCTCTCTGAGTCTATCTTGCCATCATGATTCGTCTTCAAAAGCCGCAGAAGTCGACGCACATATGAAGTGATGTGTTGACCAGAACCAGGAATGGTGATTTGTGGTTCTGACTCCCATCCTTACACAGGGGCTGGAGTCTCTTCCCGGCCCATTTCCCTTAGAGGACCACATCTTCACAGTTTACTATCCTTCCAAACTGGCTTCCGTCTCTCGACAAATGACACCACACCTTCGACGAGATTCTCGCCTGCATCCATCCGTCCATACATGCCCCTCTCCAGCAAGTCTGTCCCAACCTCGGGCCCCAGAGGCTCCCACCCAAGTCTGAGGCCCTCACGGCTCACAATGACAGAATCAGGACTATTTTCTGCCAGCTCTGCCGCCCACCTCAAGGCCTCTTCCAACACCTCTCCCTTTTGGGCCGGCACGACCTTGTTCACCACTCCCCACCTCTCCATCTCGCCAGCAGAGTAGTGTCTTCCCAAGAGAGCCATCTCAGCCGCCCTCTGCCTTCCAACCGTCCTGACCAGTCTTGGCAGGGCGCCGGCGAGGGCAATCACACCCCTCTTGACCTCGGGCAGGCCAAAGACGGCATCCTCGCTGGCGAGGATCATGTCGCAGTTCAGTGCGACCTCCATGCCGCCGCCTAGACACAGGCCGTTCACGGCTGCAATGACAGGTTTTTTCCCACCGCGGTTGCTCAACCCCGCGAATCCCGAGGCGACCCGCATCTTGCCGCCGCTCTGCGCATCTCTTGCCGTCCTCGCTGTGTCCGAGGCAGCCTCGTTCCGGACAGACCACTCCTTGAGATCGGCACCCGCACAGAATGCACGGCCCGTCCCCGTCAGGACCGCACACCGTAGCGAGGGCTGGGCGTCGTACCAGCGCCACAGGCTATCAAACAGCGGATGGGACGTGGTGGGGACCGCATTGAGCTGTTTGGGCCGGTTGAGGGTAACAAGGAGGATCTGTGGGGTGGGAAAGGTGACGAGGGTGTTCGGCACAGCCGGAGGGGGCGAGGTGAGAGCCTCTGGGAGGGTCATTATGGTAATTTGATAAGAGAGGGCTCGAGCTCAAGAAGGATATCAAAGGAAAAGGAAGGGGGGGAAACAATAGGAAAGTGCCGGTCGATAGCGATTGTGTTCGAAGGAGCAGTAGCAGGAGCCGCAGCAGCAGGAGGAGGAGAACTCGTCAAGTGAGTTGCCTCTGGTGGCTTTTTGGTCTGTGAAGAGAATCAGTCGTGATCAAGATGATTTGGCTGATGCTGGAAGGAAACAGAAGCTCAAGCTTAGTCGCAGTAAATAAACCTAAGTAATCAACAATACGTATTTGGTTCCAGGACTGCAGTTACCTCGGCTCCAGGCGCGAGGAGGGGAGGGGGGCCTACAGGGGTTCTCCGCAGGCGCCCACCACCACTAAACTAATCACCATAGCACTACTACGCTGTCTCACTATGGACGCTGGAGTACAGGTACAGTAGTCCTGGTACCGAGCCATTCTTTGGTGCGGCCCGCGGCAAAAAAACACACCTGCGCCATCACTCGTAGTTCACACTGCAGCGATCCTTGTGTAGACGTTGTGGTTCCTACTTATGAAGGTATTCCTAATCTCAACCTGCTGCCTTATGGTCTCGTATGGAACTTCCACCTTTAAAAAAGGATATCGCGCATTCAGACCCATCCGCATCATTCATTGCACGAGCGCCATCAGCCTCGGTCAGAGAAGCCTGTTCGCTATGACAAACATAAACACGGTTTTTGTTTACGTGCTCTCGTTCCCTGTCCAATTCACTTTTTTCTTTCTTTTCTTTCTTCCTTCGCAATCTTAGCCCTTCCTCGAGCAGGTAGTGGTCATGGTTCACTCCTATAATTTATTTGCGTGCAATCCATGGCTAGTGTGCAGCAGGTCGACGTGCGGCTGTGTGGTGGACGCGCAGTCCTTCTTGTCCTCCTCTCAATGTAGCCCAGCAGTAGAAAGACAGCCAGCCCCTGAGTCCCGGGACCATTCTTGTCCTTTGCCACCCTTCCAGCGTGTGATTTGTGTCAACGCTGTCCCCAATGTGCAGACTAGGCTGGTAGGCCCCTCTTCTCGCTCTCGGTGAAAAAGATGACCATCCTCCATAACTTCTTGACCAGATCGACCGCATCGTCTTCGAGCGGGCCCTCGAGTTCCTCGGCCAGCTCTGCGGGTTGAGCATGCTTGCGCAGATGCTCCTCGACAACGTCCACCAGCAACTGCTCTTGTACACCCAGGTACTCGACCACCTTCTTCTCAATAAAAGGCCGCAGCTTTTCTGTGATGATCGAGTCCTCGAGATAGTCCCACTTGACATCCCACGCCCAGAGGCCGTCCTGTGTGGCGGGGATCTCCTGTGCCAGGCTCTTGACCGCGTTCTGGATCTCCTCCTCAGTCATGGCCTTGGCATCGGCGATCGGCTCGAACTTGATCGGTACAAGCTGCCGTTTTGTGGTCTGTTCCTGCTCCTCGTCGTCCAGCAGACCTTCCACCTCGGCCATGGTCCTGCGTTGAGGTCCTGACCGAGCTTGTGCCTTCTGGGCAGCAGCACCAAGAGATAGTGTAAAGCGTGCAGGAGCAGCGGCTGTAGCAGCCTGCCTCTGCTCCATCTCCTGGGCCTGCTGGTTGAGGAATGAGTCGGCCATGTCCCGGGCCTGCTCCATTTCGGCTGCTTCCCTGCGCCGTTGGGACTCCTCTGCCCTCCGGTCCGCCTCATCACGTCCTTCCTCTTCGCCACGGTCTTGTGCTCGCTTCCTGGCCCAGCCTGCACGATCGCGGTAGTAGGGATGCGACTTGCGGCTCGCCTCTTTCTCGTCGTCCCAGTTCTTCTCGCGCTCAAACTGCTCCTCCTTGCGCCGGGCCAGGCCGTCGTCCTCAGCCTTCTCCCGATCCGTCTCCCGTTCCAGAGCAGCAGCACGCTGGCGTTCTCTATTAACCCACTTGCGCTCTGCTTCCAGGTACAGTTTGTCGTCCTCGGCCTTTTGCCTCGACAGTTCCCGCTGGTGGAGTTCCTCGTCGCTTGCGTCCGTGTCCTCGCCATCGCGCATGTCACCATTTACTCCATTGACGAACGCTACGCCGCGACCCCCTGCGCCACGTGGACCTGAGGGAGCGTTAAGCACTCCTCGCGGGCCGAGGGGGATTGAGTTCGCGCCCGGCGACGGGGAATCCAGACGGGACGGGCGCGCGCCATTTCGTCGGCGCTCCATCTCTTCCATTTCCTCTTCGCGTCTCAACCGCTCGAGATCTCTCCGGTTGCTGCGCTCTCGGAAGGCTGCAATCTCCTGCGCCACAACCTCCCGCATCTCCGCTGGGATGTCTGCCAGTTCGTCCTCCTGCGCCAGCGGGATGTTGATCACCTCGACGTTCTCGCCATTTGCGTTTGTTCCATCACCCATGGTGGTGCCCCCTTCTCCATCTTCGGCCTTGAGTAGGCGTGGGTAGAAGAGATTGCGCACAGCCTGCTTGAGAGAAGCCCTGGCGGCTTCCATCCTCTCCTGCTTGCCGCTGTTGTCGGTTAAATTTTCCTCCCACGTCTCCAGGTACTTGATTGTACTCTCGTCAACGGCGACTTGTAGTTTGGCCTTGTCGATCCCGTGGCCGTCGCCATCGCCGTCGCCTTCGCCATCGCTATCAGGGATGGGACCGTCCGTGGGCTCTTGCTTGTTGACTGGCAGCTCGATGTCCTTGAGGAGCTCGACGGCGACGGAGAGGGATTCGGTATCATCGTACTGCGCGAAGCCAAAAGTCTCACCCTTGTGGTCTGTGAGGTTGGACTTGGCCGAGTCCCAGCGACGTAACCTGCCCACCAGGTTTAGAAATTTCTCAATCCCCTCATCGCCGCCTAGGCTAGCCGGTACCTTGTGCAGGAATATCGTGCGCAGCCGCTCTTCTTGTGTCGGGGGCTGTAGTGCCTGCATGCTCTCTCTAACAGCTGCACGCGACTGCTCAATGTTGCGCTCAGCACCGACACCAGGCCGGTTCCCACCCGCCGATGGAGGCGCATCGCTCTCCCTGCGGCCAGGGCCTGGTGCAGTTGCTGCTGCTGCCGCTGCCGCTGAAGGCTTGGGAGGCAGGCCACTCGCACCGAGGCGAATCACGGGGGCATTGAAATTTATGTTGGGCAGGTTCGGGGGCGGCTGGAAGGAGGCGGATAGTCCACTTGGTCGATTAGCTTGTGTGGCAGAATTGGCTTGCTGGACACCTGGAGGAGGTGCCAATCCAGGGGCAGAGGACATGCCTGGTGGAGGACCTGTACATGTAGGCTGTCAGCTGGCTGGGATCATCACAACAGACGAAAAGGAAGGAGAGCTGTCTTTACCTAGACCTGGCGGAGGGGCCATTCCAGGCGCGCCGCTGGAGCCGGGAAAGGCACTGAAGGATGGAGGTAGTCCATATGGGTTACCTGGAGCTATATCGAAGCGGTCCGTCAGCAAATCATCGTCACGATCATGACTCTCCTGCTTTCTCCTTTCAGAATACCACCGACCTCCGTATGGATTGAACGCCATGGTTGCGCTGCACTGGTCCTCTTGCCTGGTTCCGAGCGTCACCGTGACCTAAAGTCTGGACCACGATCGGATTGTTCTGCGCGTTGACAATGGGCTGTCACTTTATAATTCGATTGCCCAGCGATAATAGTTGGTGGCTGATGGATTCGGTCTCGGAGTAAGAAGACGCCCTTTCGAGGTGTGCTGGCTGAAGTTGGGCGGTTCGCAACAGCAGAAGCAAAGGCACGGTTGAAGTTTGTTTGTTGCGCCGCCGCCACGGAGGACTTTTTGGAGAACGGGACCAGGCCCAATGCGGCTCAAGGGCCCCCCCTGCTACTACCATAACATCATAACATGCAGCGCCTGCAGCAGGCTAGATTACAGTGGCTCAGGGCCTAGGACAGGGGCAGGTAATCCAGGTAATTCGGTTACCGTGGTCGTGTGCATAAGCCTAGTGCATATACTTATCCGCACGGGCAAAAAGTTGTTGGCTAGAATCCGGCACATCAAGCTTCCTTCCTATTGTCTGTATCTGTATCATCACCTCCACCTCCACTACCTCAACACCTGTTGCGGGAGAAACTCGGTGCGGGCCAATGATTGTGGAGCAACACCTCTGCTGTTCGTGCAACACCTGCTCCCACCTGTCAACGACATACCACACGCGTACTGACTCGACCAGCAGAAGATGGAGCTGCGATCATATCAGACCGCCGTCCTCATAGGACGCGCCGCCTCGCGATGGGCCACATCGACTGCGCTGCCGACAAGCTCAACGTCGTCCTCCATTGGAGGCCCTGCGTCCCATCGATACTTCTCAGCCACTCGGCAGCGATCTCAAGAAGCAGACGCACCTGCTCCCCCACCAAGCAACTCCTCGATGGCCAACATGGCCTCCTACATGAGGCAACATGAACAGCAGCAGAAGCAGCAGCAGCAACGACAAAATCAAGTTTCAGGGCCAGGAAGTGCCACATCTTTCGCCAGCCGCTCCATTTTCCAGTCCAACGACACCTCCTCAGCAGCCTCGGGTGCCTCCCTCCTCAACCCTTGGGTCGCTCCCCGCTCAAACACCAGCGCCCTCCCCCGATCCTCTCAGAGTGTCGTCGACAACAACATGGACGGTCTTGGCCTCTCTTCCTGGTCCTCCCCGACCGTCCAGGATTTACTCACCAACCGGCAACACCTGGGCTACGAAAGGCCTGCGGATGTTAAATACCGACTGCGACCCGTCATTGGGCGCACCGTGGAGTTACAAAACGGCGTTGACGTCGCGCGGGGCCTCGCCATACTCAACATGAAGTGTTCGCTCAACCGCGTGCGTGCTGATCAGACGAAGCAGCGGTTTCATGAGCGAGGCGGGCTCAAGAGGAAGAGGCTGAGGAGAGAGAGGTGGCGAGCAAGGTTTAAGGAGGGGTTTAAGGCAACATGTTCGCGAGTGAGGGTTCTGGCCAAGCAGGGCTGGTAGATGCTGAAGCGTCGAACTTGTACCATTACGAGTGTGCGTCACGGCATTTTCTCGGGATGCTATGTTCATTGATAGGGCGGCACCATCTCCTGACCAAGGTTATTCTCCCTGAGCGCATACATAAAACTCGTACATTACGCATAGACCGGGGAACAGTCAATGATAGATCTCGCTTTTCCTCAGTAAATGTCAAATCTCTTGTGTCCAAAAGTCAACATCGTATATCTCTCATGTGTGTGTGTACTCGAGCCTGTAGACGGAAAGCCCTCTTCTCCATTGGGACCAGTTGCAAAAGCAGCCACCCGCCCCCGGCTTTAGCCTCCCTCCGTGTTCCTGGATCTATGATCGTCTTCACGAGCTCCAAAAAAGGGCCAGACAGTTGCGATCTAATCCATTCAAGCTGCTGCCACAACATCCTGGTTCAACTAGTTCCCCCTCATCATTGTATACTATACTATGCTATACTTCGTGAGGTTTCGTAGCGAGAAAGAAGACCTAGAGAAAGTTTCAAGAGTAATCATGTAGATTTGAGATTCAAAATGCATTTGGGTATAGCAGTTACGCGGGGTCTTAAAGATTGTATGTTATATAATGAGATTGGAGGTGTGAACAAGTAAATGATGGGTATACTCTTATCGGCTCTACTCTCTCTTTTCCTCTCTCCCCCTCTCTCCCCCCCTCTCTCGATCGATCAATTCTAGCAATGGTGAAGGTAACTGATCTTTCACTTGCGGACTCCATTTTGTACCCTGAAAGTGACCAAATTAGCACGCGAATGAAGGCTCCAGACTGGTATCTGCTGTTGGTCTGCAGATGTTCTGCATACCTTGACGTCGTCGACACCGTGACCGTGGCTGCGGCACCACATGCATTACATAGCGACCTGCGACGATAACCTAGAATAGTGGCCCCGATTGGGTAAATCCTTCTCTGTAATGAGCAGGCTTTCGCCCGTAGATTACATACACTGAGACAAGGAATGTCAGCTACAGAAGGTGGCGAGCTTCCTCGCGGTGGAGAACATGCAATAAGTTGTGGATTGGAAGTGATTGAGCAAGACTGGATATATAACTTACGAGGGTGGTAGACACGCATATGTCTTGATGTGACGTCCTCACGGATTTGTTGTTGGAAAGCGGGGATTTCATCGGGAGGGATCCCGGCGGACTGGAGCAGCTTGGTAATACTCCCTGGGAACTTGAGCATGTTGAGACAGTCTGTAAATCGATATTAGCATAGGCTTGGTAGTGTGATGAGGTAATTTGTATAAAAGAGTTGGAAATAATGGTATGTAATGGTATGATTCAGGAGAAAAATGTGCTGTTTAAAAGGGGGAAACAAGACCTACACCACTTTCCGATCTTCTGGTCTTTCGGGTCGACCGGCCACCCATTGACAGGAGACAAGAATTGCTTCTCGACGACGTCAACGAAACCAGCCTCGATCATCCAGGCCTTGAACTTTTTTGCTGAATTGAAATCTCTTCCCATCTGATAGCCTGCCTGAAGGGAGTATTGGAAGCTTTGCAGCAGTGCCGATCGATTGAGGACCTCAGCCGCCGCTGCATCTGACGGGATCAACTCAAAGACACTCTCGTGGAACTCAGCCCCTTGAGATTCCCCATTAGCTCAGTCGGCGCGATGCTTCGGAGCACGTTGAAAATAAGGGGCATAGCCGAGAGATGACTTACACCCTCCGGGCTTTAAATGCTCAAAGACTTTAGCGATCATGCCCTTGAAGTCGTTGAAGCAAGTGAGCATCAACCGCCAGTGGATATAATCAAATTGCTTGTCAAAAACCCATTGCTCCTCGCTGTCCTCCCGCTCGAAAGTACAGTTGGGAGGTATGCCGTCTTTTGGTTGAATCAGACTAAGATCCGTGCCAATAACGCTCGTCTGCGGATTCTGCTTCGCAAATTCGATGGCCCAGATGCCTGTTCCAGTCCCAATATCTAGGGCATCGCTGGGGTTTCTAATCGGCGCGATGAATAGCCTGTTACCCAGAAGGAGTTTCCACCAATGGTGCTGAAGGTCTAACAAAGGATGGTTTAGTTTCAGACGGTCCGCACACTATCAGTCATATGTATCTTATGACGGAGAATGTCGCACCTAGACGATCTTGTTCGTCCTGCGCTTGTATGTCAGCACTTGTCCGCTTGTCTGGAGAGGAGGGGGGGCATTGCGCACACCGTCGTTGGGCAGAAGATATTCTGAACAGGGAGGTAGCAACGAATCAGCGACTGACAGCCAGTGACAAGCAAAATGACACCACTATTGCCGTTCCACAAACTCACTTCCCTCCCGATAGGCATTGTATAGCCTGCCGTATTCCTCGACCGAGAGCGCATCTGGGATCGTGGAGCCACTGTCCTGTTGATCAGCATCCAAAGACTGCCCTTCTTACATTGAATACAACATGTTTTAAAGGGGGACCCACGTCGGCTCACGCAGAGAGCTCCTCCCTGAGCCTACTGATGTCCCGGAGTGGTGGGACTGCTGGGACTGATGGGAATGGTGGGACTGGTGGGATGGTGCTGGCGACGTGGCGTCCATGACGCCTTATGTCATGCGAAAGAAGTGACGGATAGAGAGGGAAAATCAATCAACGATGCGAAACTGTAGGCGCTCTGGGTGGTAGAAATGTGCAGAAGCAATCGGTAGTGCTCGTACTTTAGCGAGTGAAAATGTCGTCGGCAGTGAAGAGGCCCTTCGCCTGTTTCGCCGAGGCCAGCATCCCCGCTACCGCTCGGACGGCGTAAAATGCTCGGATCGCGGATCTACGCATCCGCACTGACACTACCAGAATAGTGTCCTTCTTTGACAGGCCAACGAGAATGGCTGGACGTGTGGAAATGGACCCAGAAGGTTCCGTCTGGGCCGGCGTGCAGACCGCTCCCCTGCCATCCGTCAACAAATTAAGCATGGGGCCGACTAGGGTTGCCGAGGAAGTGTTTTTGCAAGTCTAACTACCAGTTGGATCAGCATGCAGAAAAAGCGTCTACCGTAATCATCAATGCTGGTGCATGCATACGTAGTCTGCAGCACTAAGCTGTATAGGTCGAATACCAATTCTGAGTACAAATTGCCTTGCCGAACCAGTTTTGACTTGCAAGTGAGCAGTAGGCTTGAACCTTACAATCATAAGGCCCATGTAGTGTGCTGAATGCCAGCCATCTGAACTGTCTCATCTCTGGGAATACCAAACCATTTCTTCTTCTTCTTCTTCTTCTTCTTCTTCTCTAGAGTAGTCACACAGGGGCAGGATAATATTGAGAACAAGTCGAGACTACAATAAGGATGCGTTCACGCAGGCTGGCTATGGCTAAATTCTACTACGGACACATTATTCGCGCTCGGAAGCGCCTCGAATAGGCGTCGTCGGTGGGCTTGTTTTGATCTTAGGCCGGCTTTTAAAGATAGACTCGTAATCCGCGCCAATTGAGTCGGCTTCTTTTGCTATTAATTGCTCCAGCACGACCGTTGAGTTGCTGTCCGCTGCTGCACCGTCATCCCCCTCCGGATCGAAATAATGCTGCCGGGCGATCGACCCAGTCCTCTGCCTGACCGCCCACTTTTCTGAACGTTGTCGCTCGAGTCGCGCTCTCGCTTCCGCGGCCTCAAAGTTGGCCATCGACCTACGTGTGCGTGCAACGAGGTCGTCTTCCTCTGCAGCCACAACTTCCGAAACTTCCGATAGTTGCAGGGCCACTGCGTTTTCGGGGATCGTGGTAGGTGTAGCTGGCTTTCGTTTGGTCGGCGACCGGGAAGTAGTTGTCGCTCGCCTGCTCGGACGTGTTGGGGAGTGATTCTCTATCTCATCTTCATCGTCCAGCCCAGCACTTGCTCCACGCACCATTGACAGGCGGGTCCGGTCTGCGAGGGAGAGCGTGCGACGTGGTCTGGGTTGTTTGGCTGGAGAGGGCGAGGCGGCGCTCATGGACGCTAGGATCTGGTCTGCCTGCTGCTGTGCGGGACAAGGTGGTAGCTCCTCGGGTGACTTCGTACGGCGGGGTGGTGAGTTGCGGGGCCCTGACGACGAGAGCGAAGGTGAATTGCTTCTTGTCGGCGAGCGGGCAGGGAACGGCGACGAGTCCTGTATTTGATGTATTGGTGGTGAGGCACGAGGATGTGGCGTATCTAACTCGATGAATTGCCGAGGTTTTGGGTGTTCTGTAGGAAATATCTCGGTCGACTGAGATTTTGGCAGGAAAGCGTGCAAGCTAGACAAAGGCTGCGGCAATTTTGGCCTCGAGCGCCTTTGGGTGTGCGTGATGAAGCCTGTGTCCATCTCAGCCGGACCCCCCACTACTTGTCGTGATGGAAAGCTTAGAGGCTCGCCTGGTTGCGGAGCGGGCATCTCTGGTGGCTCGTCTTCAAGTTCGCTGAGCTCGGAGACAGGCTCGTCTACCTCTTTCTGACGGCTAGTTGCCGGAGCCGCTTGCACAGGTATCTTCATCGGTTGCCAGCGCTCATTCGAGGTACTAGAGATGCGGGGTCCTGGTGTCTTGGTGACACTCGAAAGTTCCATCTCCATATCCTGGAGGAAAATGCTATAATCATGGCCGAACCTGGCCGCCTTGCCGGCTGCCAGCTTCTGAGGACTCGTTCGGTCAAGCTGAAGAGACTCATGTATTCCGAAGGCGAGGTCGACGCCCTTCTGACGATCAAGGCTTGCGGAATCAGCACTCCGAGCCTGGTCGGTGTGGTGACCGAACATGTCGCCCCTCAGCTTCTGCCACCTGCTCAGCCTTTCCTGCTGAGCGCGCACTCGACTGTCAAGCTGGTCAACCAATCGGCTACCCTGGCCGTCGAGCTCTTGGAGGCGATTGGACCCCGTGCGACTCCAGACGCGGTCAAAAGGCATATTCAAGAAGTTGTCCCTATACGAATTTGAATCGCCGGACATCAGAGCCTCTTGCCACTGTTCATCCCCCGCCCAACTGTTCCTCACAGTGCGACGGATTCCTGACTCGTTATCTCCGGGAAGATTCACGAGGTGATGCCGGTCCTGGATAGCTTTTCGGCGATTCGAGATGCTCTGCTCTTTCATGTCAAGTAGTTTTGCCAGATTCTTGTACTGTATCCGGGAGGCCGCCTTCTGGTCCAGCTTTTTCCTCAGGGACACCTTGTGCGCCAGTATCAGTATGTCGAGATCGGCTCGCTCCTTCCGCAGACCACGATTCTCAAGAGCCAGGGTATGCGCGATAGCAGGGCATGTGTTGCTATTGAGCTTCTGTTGGCCAATCACCTTCTTCAAGACTGCAGAGGAGAGGACGGCGAGGACCTCCTCCAGTCTCTCGCCCTTGCACTCGTCCAACATTGTCTTTCGCAGTATGGCATCTCGGCCTAAGACGCCGTTCTTCTTGAGTTGTTCGAGGGATCGGAGTAGGGCGGCTCGTAGATTTGTGGACTGGAGCTGATCGAGAGGTGGGAAGAATGGTTTCAATTTCTGGTACACATTAGCAAGTAGAATAGCCACATTCTCAAGGTATGCAGACAAACATTTCTGGCCTCGTCGGGGTCCCAGAAGACGAAGAGCTGGTAAAGGGCCCACTCGACGCACTGGATCCTCTTCTTCTGGCCCTGCGCTGCATCCTTGGTAGAGATGAATGTCGAGGCATTGATGTCAGGCCAGTCAGGCAAGAGGTCAAGATCCAGAAGGTGTAGGTTCGTCAGGAAGAGTGAGACGTTGGGAGCAATTGAGTTGGAATGGTGCTGGGCGGTGCTCAGTCCGGCGTTTGCGGCCGGAACACGTGCTAGTCCAGTGCGAGAGGCGAAGGCACCTTGGTGATGTGTGGCGGCCATGACGGTCTCAAAATCATTGTGTCAGAGTCAATTTGAAGAGCATCCTGAGAGGTGGGCGGCTGTCCTCGTCGTGTGATGGCAATAGTAGGGCTTGATTGCGACCAAAGTGCGATGTAGTATGCCAAGCGCTGTAATCACATCACTGACCAAAGCACGATGTAAACAAGCCATGGGGGACCGGGTAGGCGCCGCTAAGGGCAGGTGGGGGGAGGGGGGCTACGCTACAGTTGGCAACCCTGCCACGTTGCCCCCTCGGCCCCCTCCACAACACATCCCTGGATCCCTGCACCAGCCCAGAACGCAAATCCAAACGCGTGCTATCAACTCATAAAAGGAGGTTCCTTACATGTTCGTTGTTGTTATCGGTTTCTAACACAGAGCCCTTTCATCATCAATGTTCCGCTCTACCGTTTGTAGGATACGCTTTCTGAGAACACTCGGTACAGCAGAGGCTTCTGACTTGAACTTTCTTCCCTAATGTCCGATGCTCTTGGTGCCAACATAATAATTGCCATGGCCACGGCCTCCGCGACTCTGCCGAGACTGTCATGAGCATCTTCCACGGTCAACCCCTTGGGCAGGAGGTCATTAGGCTTCAATCTCAGAAGAAGGGGAAGTAGGAGAAAGAGAGGAATATCAAGAACAAAGATTGATATGCAATTCAGAAGCCTATTCAGAAGCCTAATTTAATTACACGTCGACCACACCTCCCGTGCTCAACGCTCTCTTGACAGCTTCAGCCACCTTGACAGCAGCCAGCCCGTCTTCTCCAGTACACGCTGGCTGCTGCTCCCCCCTGAGCACACCCACTACGTTGGCAACTTGTAGCTCAAATGGCACCTTTGCCCTCTCATCATCTGATAACAAGTCCTCCAAAATCTCTGTGACCTCTGTCACTTGGCTGTGCCATGACTTCTCTTGGCTGTCAGAGTAGAAGGATCTTTTCAAGTCTGGGATGCTGAGGGTCCCTGCTGTGCCGAAGATTCGATAAACATCCCGACCCGTTTTTGCTATCAGTGGATTCTCTCCGGTGCCCATCTCAAACGAGTGCTGACTGACTACCGCGTCGCTCAGCACAAAGGTGCCAACAACGCCGTTGTCGAAATGTAAGAGGATGGCACCACCCTCCTCAGCATCATAGCCACGCCGTTTCGGTGCTTCAAACGCTGCCACACGCTTGACCTTGCTGTCCAGGAGATAGTGAAGTACATCAATATCATGGATCAGGTTGATCATCACTGGTCCACCCGCCTCACGGGTGCGATGCCATTCCGTAGGTTCATCGAAGTACACCTGGGGCTTATACAGCGCCCACAATCCAGACACAGCCGTGATGAGGCCGAGTGACCGCTCCTCGCTAGCCAATATGCGCTTCGCGGCGACCACGTACGGGTTAAAGCGCCTATGGTGCCCCGTCAGGAGGTGCAGCTCTTTTGCGGCGGCGTGCGCAATGAGGGTTTGTCCGCTGGCGCTGTCGGTTGATAAAGGCTTCTCGCAGAGGACATGGATACCCGCCGAGAGCAGTTCGGTGGATAGGTCGGCATGCGTGTCATTTGGTGAGCATACGATGGCGATATCTGGCTTGCTCATGGCTGATTGGACCATGGACTGCACTGAGGGATAATACCTGGTCCCCAGCCGTATAGCTATCTGGATAGCAGTTGGGCTAGGGTCGACGATGCAGGCAAGTGCAGCATCCGGGTTTTGCTTGACTGCTGATGCATGGCGGGGTCCTATGGCGCCAGCACCGATGACGGCGATCCTGATTGGTTGGCGTGAGTTCGTATCCATGATGAAAAGATCCAGTCTGGGGACCTGGGCTTTGTCGCAATGGCAGATGTGAGAGTCGGAAACAATGAAAAAAGGTGTAAAGATATGGTCTGTCCTCTGCGGGGGTTCAACCATGGTTGTCTAAGTACATACGTAGTAGATGCAGTGGGTATGGGCGCCTACTTTCAATAGCCGAGGGAGTCAGGCTGCGGGCTAAACCTTTAACCAATTCTATCTTAGCCACCAACTCAGCTGACTCGATCAAACATGCAACAGGTAAATTGACTACCTCTGATGACAGCGCTATGATGTCTTGCAAAACCAATGAACAGAAGACGACTTATCAATTGAGAAAAAACCAACACCTATGAAACATGTCTCTTGCTTTGACATAAGAGAACAATCAAAGCTTGGTGTGAGGAGAACAATGCCTTGTACAGTAGTACATACCCCTGCTTCCATGATTAGATTCCTCCTCTGTTTATCAACTCCATATAGTCACAAAGAAAGTGATAATAATAGGCCACTCCGCCCTTGTTGAAGATGGAAGAATACAATTGTATTCATAATCAAACCCGAACAGAGATAAAAAGGATCAACCCGTCGCCATACCGGGGAGAGAGAAAAAGCAACCTTTATCGATCTTCCAATTGTCCTTCAACACCTTTCCTCATTTTTTAGCATCTTCATTATCATCCAATAAGACTCCCCTCATCATACACAAAAAAGCCATCATGTGTCAGGAATCCACTTGGAAGAATGTCTGCCCCGGCTGCGAGGAGACACACCAGTTTGAGAGGAGGCGCAAGGTCGAGCGCGGATGGTGCACCTACGCCCACCGCGTTCAACAATTTGGCGCCTGCGGGCGGGTAGCGGAGACCTTGGCTCTTTACGCTGGCAACATTGAGGCTTTTGCAATTCGCCACCATCTGGACACAGATGATTGGGCTTTGGTTGAGCGCTTCAGGTAGGTTGAGAAAAGAGAAAAAGAAAAGAAACAAGACAAGAGATAAGAAAGCGGCAAGAAGAAAATAAAAAAGACTAGAGAGAATTGCAGAACTTATAGAATAATTACCTCTTGGATCATATCGCATTATTAGGAGCAAGATTTCAATATAGATGTATTTACATTATATAAGAGTTTCTTGTAATGATACACTTTGATCCTAGCTATTCTGAAGTCAAATAAAGACTGAATTTAGATATTTATCTTGATCTGCTAGTAAAGATACTTTAGGTCTTCATCTTCATAATATTGGCACCACCAATGTAGTGTAGTATGCAAGCCGTCCCTGCCAGTCTTAAGCTGCAACGTGTTAGCATTCTTCATTATCTCCAGTGTGCTTCTCCCACACAGCTGTTGTCAAGAGCAACTGTTGTTCCTTCCATGGATCTTCCACCTGTGTCACCACCACCAGAGAGAGTTGCGTTTCTCTTCTTCGTCGAACGGAGGAGCCTCGAGCCCGCAGCGATCGCCATCGAGTTGCGCTTGTGCCACACGAACGGCTACCCACGTGTTATAACCTCGATCAATGCTGCCATTGTTCTTAGCATTATCAAGACACTCTACAGCCCATTTATCCGCCTCGAGAAAAGTCTCCATGTCGAGAACCTTCTTCATGGCCACGAGACGCGCTGAGGCGTTTCGTTCACGCTTCTCAAGGTCCATAATAGAGCGCACAGCCGTGCGCAATCGTACCCGAACAACCTGCTGCCTGCTCTCTGGATCGACCAATTCAGCCTCGTTTCGACCAAGAGGTAGGGTCAGACCAGCAGCGATCAACGCCGACAAGTCTATAGGCGCACTGAGGTGGTCTTCGTCCCCAGTACGCACGAGCAAAACGCTGCATTGCTTGAAGAGGATATCGCGTTGCTCTGTTTGGACTCTGCTTCGTCGTAAGGCTAGCTATTTATCGACAATAATAATCACGGAGCGATAGATGGGCCCCATTTCGCAACCGTGCTCAATCCACGTATATGGATCTCCGGAACTGATCGGTCTATTCTGGGCATTCTGGAGCTTTTCGCAGGTGATCTTGTGCGTGCAAACGGTATCTCTCGTGGCACCATGTGAGCCAGGCTGTCCCTCTAGCACTATTGGCTTTGCGAAGCTTCTCATCTGTTGGAGATTCGGTGTCTCTCCGTCGTCGTGGTGGACCTCCAGCCATGCTTCCAGCAGAGCTCTTCCTATGTAAGGACAGCCGACGCCAAAAAATACGTCCATCTCATCTCCCTTGTCCCAACACCTGCCGTTGAAACAGCGCATGAATTCTGGCTCGAAATAGACGGCAGTTGCTTGATTCAGCCACGGTGGCCAAAGCAGACGTTCTTCGAGTATTAGCCCAGGGGGAAGAGCATCACCATGAATCAGATAGGGAACATCGGCGCAGCCTATAAGTCGAAGGGGGGGGTTTTGGGCCGGGGTAGTTTTGGGCCACCCTGGCCACCCTCACCGCCTCTTCAACCCCCTTTAGTTCGATAGCTATTACTCAACCAATTTTGATCCAAACAACTTCATCTTTCTAGCAAACCTTTACCTGACTGTTATGAAGCCCTATTCCGAGTTTGAGCTAGCCCAGACTGTTGAGGCTGTCAGAAAAGGCAAGTCTCAGCGGCAAGCCTCGAGGGAATGGGGTATTCCAAGGAGTACTCTTCAGGCTCGCCTAGAAGGAGAGGAATCGCATAAAACAGCCCACGAAAACCAGCAAAGGCTCTCTATTGATCAGGAAAGAAAACTGGCTAAATGGATCCTGATTCAAGAAAGCTTAGGCATTCTACTAAGCTATTCAGAACTTAAATACTTTGCTCAGCAGATCCTTGAGGTCCAGGGAGACTCTCAGGCTCTTGGAATGCAATAGACTCAGGCTTTTTTGAAGAGAAATCCAGAGATAAAAATCAGGAAGACTCGCTGTATTGCCTCTGAGCGAATGAATGAAGCTATAACAGAGATAATACAGCTTTGGTTTCGTTTTTTTCAACCTTCCTTATATTCAAGTTATCAAGCCAGCTAATAGATGGAATATGGATGAAGCTAGCCTGATAGAGGGCTAAGGAATGAATGGATTAGTTCTCAGAGGCTCCTCTTCATATTCAATTCAAAAAAAGAACTCTGGTTCAAAGGCCTGGATCTCTTTTCTCGAGTATATCTCTACTACAGATGCTTACCTCTTCCCTCTGGTAATTTTCAAGGGCTAAACAGTACAACAACAGTAGTTTCCTCTTGATTTGAAGCCTTTTGAGAGCTGGCAGTTCACAGCTACTCAAACTGGATAAACAAATAATAAAATAGCACTTGAATAGCTGAAAAAGATCTTTATCTCTCATAGCCAGCCAGCAGACCCCTCAGAAGCTAGACTGTTAGTCCTGAATAGCTATAGCAGCCATAAAACTGATGAATTCATATAGCTTTGCTTTCAAAACAATATACTGCTTATTTACTTGCTTTCTCATATCTCTCACATTCTTTAACCCCTCGATCTAGGGATCTTTTCATCTCTTAAACGAGCATACAGAAAGAAAGTTAGCAATATGAGCTAATAAGAGGATTCAACTATTGCAAGCAAGCGGTTATTCCTCAGGAACTATCATCTAGCTCAACTGAAAAGCCTTTCAAGCCAGAATATCAGATCTGGATGGAAAGCAACTAGTCTATAGCCTCTCAGACTCTCAAAAGCTCTTCTAAGCTCTCTTCTCCTCGAGAATAGTCAATCAAGCTGTTAGACCCAGTCCAATTCAGGCTCAGCACAATCAACAGCACCTTATCTTCCCCTAAAAGCCTCCTCAAGCCAGCTAGTCCTCTTTTCAACTCCTTGAAAAGCTAAATAGCTGTATTATCAGCTGCTAGAGAATCAGCAATAACTTCGAACAGAACTAAGCTGCTATATGCTATTTAAGAAGATAAAAAAAGCTTATAGGAAGAGAAACTTCGAGTTTGCTAAGGCATTGGAGGAAAATAAAGCGTTGAAAAGGCAGATTGAGGCTCTAAGGCCTAGTAAAAGAAGAAAGGTTGATGTGAACCCGAATTCGAAGTTTGCAGGGATTAAGGATATATAGAGAGCTTAAAACGCGATCAATCGCTATGAGGATAGTCTGAATGAAGAGAGCGATATCGAATTACCTACTGATGAGGAGGATTGAATCGTAGTGGGTGAATAGAATAGATAAACAGTATATATATATATGGGTGTGTGTATTTGACGAGGGTGGCCAGGGTGGCCCAAAACTACCCCGGCCCAAAACCCCCCCCTTCGACTTATACCACTTTGGCAACCATTCATCCCCGAGGCGATGCCGGAGTCCCGACAAGAGCCTCTCTTGGTAAGACCGTACCAACTCCTGTCTCATCCTTGCTTCGAGCTCCGCGCTGATTGGCTCCGGTGTTGGCCCGGCGTACCGTGGAGTACAACGTTCAATAATGAATTTCAGGGCGTTTTTCCATGTATCAGGCTCCACGCACGGCTTGCAAATACTAGCCGACAGTGGTGGTGACGAGTCGTCGGAAGTTATGATCTACCGGGTGAACCGTTCCCGATAAATCTCCTCCCAACTCTCAATTTCATGAGACAGATTTGGGTTCTTCATGTCCGGTATCGTTGCATCCACATGACAGTCAGCTTCGAGCTGGGGAGTTCTGAATGTTGCGAGAGAGATGCACATTTTGCTGCCCCAACGATGCTCCGAAATTCAATGTCCAAGGCTGACGCAGATTATATCTCAAAATGACAGCGCTCTCTTGGCTGGGATGGAAATACTGAAGAATAAGCTCAGAAGAAAGTATTGTATGGACTAAAAGCTCTTGAGAGCCAACTGGCCTCTCGAGCTTCATGAGTACTTATACTTATAACTATTTCACATGCGAATCTGGTCAGAGCTAGACTCCCACCCACTTGGGCGCTAGACTGTCAGCTGCTTAAATCATTACAATTTCTGGCTGGCTCTGAGTGACCAGAATGTTAGTCTGTGGGCTGTTCTTTGTGATGACGAGTGCACAAAATGGGTTGGTTTGGTTTGGTTGCATTGTCCAAAGAAAAGGATTGACGTTCCGGGACAGGCGACATTTCCATAGCCACAAATATATGGAAGGGCTGAAAATGCAGAGGTCTTCATCGAAAAAGTGTGTAACCCACGGCGGTTCCGGAAGGTCAGCTGGGTGCGAGGGGCTGAATTGCAGGTGTTAACCTGGGGGGGTAATGTTGGTGACCATTGCCTGCGCTGCCAGGGTCCACGATGACACTGGTGAGTGATACTAGTTTGGCCCGGGTCAAGAAAGAAACCAGCTGTCGGCCAGCTGGCACCAGCAGGGGCATACACTTGAAATTCCCGCTTTGCATGAGATGTACAATCATCGCCTCGCAAAATTTCAATCGTGAATCACTAAGCCGGTCTCCAAAAGACTTAAATCTACCACCAAACAACATGGCGCTTCAGAAATCCAACTTCAGAGTTCCAAAGTCTGCAGACGAACACGTCACCATTTCGATTGTCGACACACCATGCGCCGCCGAGGGGTTATCACTCACGACTTGGAGCTCAGCCGGCATTCTGTCAAATCTGCTCTATAAGCTGGACATTGATAAGTTCCAACTCGGACAAGAGGACATTGGTTACGCTATCCTCGAGCTCGGCGCCGGCACTGGTCTGAGTGGTCTATCTGCTGCGACAATATGGGGCATGAGAGCGCTGCTGACAGATTTGCCAACCATCGTCCCTGGCGTGCAGGCCAACGTGGACCTCAATATCGATACCCTTCGGGACCATGGCGGATCAGCGGCCTGCGGGACGCTTGATTGGACGCAAACTGATGTGATACATCTTCATTCTGCCACCCAAGAGGACGCGGGTCATTTCACAGTAGACGACGTCAATGGGTTTCCTATAATACTTGCCGCCGATACCATGTACACTGAAGAGCATCCAAAATTGTTGAGTCAAACTATTCTCAGGTGTTTGCGGCGCTCTCCACAGTCTAAAGCGATCGTGGTGTACGCTATGAGAGTCGCATACATTGATTACATGAGAGAGTTTTGGGAACTTATGGAGGCCGGGGGGTTGATGGCGGAACAGGAAGGCAGGGAAGAGATTGACTTGCGAGAATGGGATGATGAGAAACTACATGAGTGGAGTGTGTGGAAATGGAAGGACCTCTGATTTGGAGACGCATACAGAAGACTACTGTGAGAGCATGCCAGGCATCAGAGCGTACGGTTTGAATTCAGTGTCAGATCATGAAACGCATGCAAAATCTATGATCACAGGGATTGTAAACAACATACCATGGAGCCCCAGTGCACTATATTGTATCTCAGAGGCTCCCATTTTTTTCTGATTTAGCTTGGATTGGTTGTATAGTAAAAAGATCCTTGCACAGTAACAAAATACTTTTCGGGCACCCAAACATATTTATGTAATCATTCTGGATCCGGATCAGGCAGCGATACGTCTCTGTCTTGTTGCGCTTTGGTGTGCTTGCTGAGTCCATCGCCGTGATTTTCAGACCCGGAATGTCATAGTTGTATCACTGGAAGGAAAAAGGAGATGCTCTGCTGTTCAAGAGAGCAGGAAGTGTACTATGTCATAAAGATGTGTGTGAAATCTTGAAAATTGGTCTGAATTCCATTTCATAAGCCCGATGTTACTCACCGTCGCAAATCTCACACCTATCAGTAATGCATCCGATCAGGTTCAAAGCCTGACTCATGGCCGATCTTCAAAGCCTCTTTCATTCCATGAAGAATTCCGTAATGCTTGCCCTCCTGTTTAACAGGCTCTCTCTTCAAAGTCTTCCGCTTCTTCGCCTCCTTCGTATCCTCCTTCAGCCCGGATTCTTCAGTGTCTTGCCAGACCCTTGCAACCCATAACGCAACCATCAGGTCTAAGTGTGGCTTGTCCATAGACACAACAATATCCAGCCTCTCCTCGGCGAGGGTTTTATCTGCACTGGGCGTCTCGATAGCGATAAGCTCCCCACCACCATCGTGCCACTCCAGTATTCCCTTCTTGAACCTGGCATGATAGAGCAGTCGCGGATGATTTGTCTCGTCGTCGGAGATGACATCGAAGGTGTTCTTCATGCCTGTGATCCCCATAGACGTTTCTTTGCGCAGCTGAACGCCGCTAAATTGATCATGTCGTTGGCCACTGATGACAACCGCTCGTTCCTGCTTCCTGAGCGCCATCTCTGCCTCGCGAATGTGATATATACCATCGCTCATGTCGACCGTCTTCAGGGTACCATTTTCTTCAAGCTGGCGTGTGGCTGGCACTTCGAACAGGGATAAACATGGTGCCACAGCGTTGTTACCGAGTGGCTTCGACAGCTGATATAATGGTCTCGCCCCTGAGATAGGAGGTCGAATGGTGACTGTCTGCGGTGCCAGCACAAGACTACCAGGGGTGATGGAGAACGGAGGGGGTGGATGCGCATTCGATGCCAGGTCGATACTATCTTCAAGCAGATCCTCATTCATGTGCTGTTTCTCTGGTGGGAAATCTGCAACGTCGCCCAGATTGCCTACACAGGCAGCATACGATGGTGGTGGCTCTGAAGACCCAGCATCACAATTATTGAAGGACATCTTAAGAGTTTGATAAGTGAATATCGGGATAGTGTGAAGGAAAAAAGGATGAAAATTCCAAGGAATAGAAATGTTGGTTTGACTGGGAGATGTACCCAGGCAGCCGACAGTCGAAAACGTCAATGGCAGCATATTATAACATAAAAAAACATGGACTTGACGAGCTGCCAACGACGTGAGGATGCTATTTTGCGAGGACCCAGCTGTCAGCTCTGCGCCTCAGTCACACATATTGGTAGGTCGGACTCCAGGTAGGCCGTCATTCGCCAGAAAGCACGAAGGATCCGACGAGATAGCGGCTCAGCCCGACTGCTGTACCTAAACACAACAAGGCACCGTCAGCATGACGAACACAGCCGCCCAGCAATAATCTGACGGAGATCAGCGTGGTGAAGCACGAAAATACCTCGCGCTCCGGGTATTCCCGTTCGGGCAACCAGCATAGTTGGCTGCTCTCCTTTAACACATGAATGAGGACTGTGTTGAGCAGGTGACCCAAGACAATTGATTCGACAACTAGGCAGACACCAAAGCAAATCTTTGAATGTCGTTCGTGTATTAGCAAGCACAATAAAGACGCATGTAGCATTGCACAAGATCTTATGTCTGGCCAAAGTTGAGTTATTATATGTACAAGCGCACCCTTTACTGCCGTGCTAGACTGCTACGTAAGTATTTAGGAACCTATAGAAGTTGTGACATGAATTGTAGTTAGGTGCATATGAGAGACTCGAAAGAGCTCTTGATCCTAAACGCTCAACAACAGCTCAAGAAGCTTTGGGAAGTTTGGAGTGCTGTGGCCACGTCAGTAATTATTCGATCATCATGGGACCACCATGAGACTTACCCAAGTCCGCTGACAGGATCCCAACCTGTAGATGCAAGAAAGCCAGTTGAATCACAGTTAGGATTGCTACCCGTAGTGACATCGTAGAAGACCTCAGGATGGGAGTACTATTGGCAATGTCAGCATTTGTACAACAGAACACTCGACGAAAACATGACGTGTTTTGTTGTTGCATAGCAGGGGGGGTTTTTTTTTAATTTTTTTTATTTTCCAAAAAAACAAAAAAAAACAAAGATAAACCAAGAAGAAAAGATGGATTGTTTACCAGAATCTCATTGACGAATCCGATCGTGGTCTTGTTCGCTGCCAGGCGGTGCTCGTTCACCAAGGTGAGGATCGATCCCCAGACCGGAGAGGACAGGCTGGTACCGGAGACCGTGTACCAGTTTCCCTGCGTAAAGGTGACATAGTCAGATCCTATAGCACTGACGTCTGGATACCCTCTGCCGCCGATGTGATAAACACCATCGCCCACGTCACTGAAATTGGTGCCCGCCTCCGCGTAACCAGTGAAGTTCAGCGAGACCTCGTCGAAATAGGTCGAAATAGCGCTCGTTTGCCACGACGGGGCCTCAAAGTAGTTGGAGAAACCACCGCCGGAAGGAAATGAAGTAGTGGAGACTTCGATGGGCTTGGCGCTCGTGTCGTTGTTTGGGAACTCGAACTGCGTGCTCCCCACAGCGAGAACATAGGGACATGTTGCATCCGCGTCTGGGTAGAAAACTGTGCTATCCGGCCCTGCACAGCCAGAAGCGTACCCAAAATCTCCTGGGTAGGAGCCCACACCGTAGTCTCCAGAGGACATAACGACGGTGGTGCCTTGCAGACCAAGCTTCATGATCTCATTGCACTGCCGCTCCAGGTAAGACGCTGGCAAGTCGCCCTCACCTCCTCCATAGGAGATGGAAATAACATTTGTCGGCTCGTACACTCCGCATTGCAGCTGACCTTTGTACCCGCCAGGGTTGGGATCGGGATACACAGGGTCCAAGCAGTCAGCCTCAGTGCAATCGCCCGTCTCGCCGTAGGCGCTGTAGGTGCAATAGCTCCCGTCGAGAGCATCGAAGAAGGTGTTGTAAAAGCCGAAGTATGGGGTGGTGAGGGTAGTCTGGTTGACCTCGTAGTATTGATCGTCCGTCTGGTACAACACAGTGCCCTGCGGCCAGATCAACGGCCACGATGCCTGGAAGTCCAGGTCGGACTCCACGCCGGTCTCTTCCTCTGGAAGACCCGCGGCCTCGGCAGAGCCCACAGCCCCATCGATCAGTTCCTCCTTGGGGTAGGTGCCGTTTGGAATGTACGGGTGGAGAGTGCTGAAAAAGACGTCCAAGTCATATTTGCCATAATGGTCATCGAGTGACTCGAAAATGCCCAGCTCGTTTCCAGGGGCTGCAAGCGTGTTGTTAGGGATGCTGTATTGTGCCCTGATGCAGTCGGTCGTCACAAGGGTGTCACAGTTCTCGGGGGTCAGATCACCGATGGTGAAGTTGGGAATCAGCTTCGTAGGTTTTTCGTCAACCTTGAAGACGGTGGACTTGTGACTACGCTTCACAGGGGTCTGCTCGAGTTGCCGCTTGTGCTTCGCCTTCTTCAGCTCACGGGGATCAGGCCGCATCTTGATGCCGGGTGTGACATAGTCGACGTGCTCCTGTACGTCTTTGGGCAGGTGATACTCATCCACGGCAACGGTCTTAGTCCCTGTGGTGACGTCGGTGAAGACGTAAAAGTCCGCAAAGAGGATATCTTCGACTTCGTGGGTTTGCGCATCAAACTGGATCCACTGCTTATTGGCCGAGAGAGACAGTCTGTCCGCCGAGATGCCACTCGCGGTGAGCCAGTCCATGACCTTGACAGAATTCATTTTAGCGAGAGGAACAGGGTTTTTTCTTTTAATAATAAAAATCAAAGACGAAAGACTCAATAGGGGGGGTCAGATGCCACTTACTGCAGCGACGCTTGTCTCAGATGGCGCAAACAGATCAATCACCTCGTCTGCAGACAAGTGTTTGCCAAAGCGTGGCGATGCCGGGTTCGATCTAACAAGTACGTAAATCAGTATCCAGCCGAATATAAACACCGCTTGACTATGCGTTTGAAGGGTGACCTACTGCTCACGAAGCATCAGGGCGCCATGGTCAAGGTTCCTCTGCTTCAGCCCAACACGCACGGGTAGCAGGGCATCCCGTGATACCTTGGCCCCCCGCTTCCATTTGCGTCCCCATTGCGGCAATTGACGTTCATGCAAGGCGTGAGAAGCTGGAACGTCGCGCCTGGTGACCGCGTCATGTCGCCTGGGCACATCGTGCACGGAGCGAGAGAGCGGACTAGCGTGGACGATGGCGAGACCACCGGCGAGGATGGCGCTCAAGTTACGGAGCAACATGACGTATTGTAGGGCAGTGGGTAACAACGATGCTCTATCTGTCCACAGCAAAGAGGGAGGAAGAAGAGAGAGAGACACTGGAAACCCCAAAGGACAGGCCCCCTCTTTTATCTAAGAATTGAAAGGTGGTGGTGGCCGTCGATGCTAACAATGCCTAGGGAAGAGGGAGGCGGGCGAAGGACCCAGATGCAGGACCCTGGTCTTCACTTATAACGGGGCAGCAAGATAAAGTTTACACGAAATGAAGCCTCGATGTCTTGATGCCCCAAAGGAACACCCGATTTCGAGATTATGTTAATGCTTAGGGAAATTTGTTCTCTACAATAAATCAATTTGACCTGGCTACCAAGGCAACAGCTTTCCTGGTCTGGTCCGATCAACCGGTGATATGCACCGATGTATGACAATGAGGCGCCAGATAGCCTGCAGCGGTCGAACGGCCGTTTTGCCTCTGTTGGGTCGGTCGCCGCCAGCTATGACCCACAGACCCTGCTGCATCATTCTGCCTATCAATCGCCCATTGTGGCCTGCCTAATTTGGCTTGAGTCCAACCGTTGATCTTCACAGGGATGACACAGAAGCTCGATAGCTCTACAAGGAGCTGCAAACTATAACTACTCCGGTACTAAGTAGGGTAGTATCGCCCCTGTCCAAGCCGGGGGGTCGGGCTATGAGAAAAATCCTAGAGCAACGTTGAATGTCAAGTGAAGCTACCATTCTGATTCAGAGTAGTTGGCAAGTTGATCAGCAGATCCAGCCCGCCAGTACGCAATTTCCGGCAATGCGAAGCCGAGGCCTGCAAAACAACGCACTCGAACCACAGCTCAGCTCTTCAGCTTGTGGCATTTGATGGAGCCAGTTCGCGATATGTCGACTCCTCTGTCCGCAGGATATGAATCTCATTAGTGGCTCAACAACAGGAGGGTGGATGCATCTGATGCTTTTGCCGGTGAGCTAAGTCTGTTTGATGGACCACTCTTTTTTTTTCTCCTTCTTTTTTCTTGCTTTCTTGGCACGCAGCTTGTGCGGACTATTTATTGCATACTGCACCCTTCCTTTTACCCTCTAGACTTGACTGAAAGAGCGTATAATCGCTGAATACGAGAGACTACAACGGGCCACGACAGACCACGGCCACCTCAAAAACCAAAGCCTAATGTTAGCATTTGTCTAGAGCAGCACGTTTGAATACATTGAAAATTTGCATCCCCAGAATAATACTTTGCCAAGTGCCCTTGAGAGCCCAACAACAGCTTTTGAACAGCTGGGCTTGACGAGTCCCTGGAGATCCAGCTGACCAGACATGCGGCGGTACGAAAGCACCAAATAGCCGTCAACACTACTACGCAATATTGAGTAGGAAGAATCGGGTGCATAGCCTAAACACGGCTGGGATAAGGAGAGGCTAATAAACTGGAAAAAGACATGGCATCTGATGGAAATTTTGAGGCGAGAGCTGAGTGCTATAAATAGTAAATAGGTTCGTATGATGGTTGGTTGCATCAACCACGGGGCTCCCAATGTTATCCTCGTAGGTCGCTGAGTGTTGCAATGAGGTTCTCAATTGTCCAGGCCTACTCCCAAACATCTCCTCGTTACTGTCTAGGACATCACGGTGTTCCTCCGGTGATTATTCGTTATAAATTTAGCTAGAAATCATGCTCCATGCCGAGAATACTCAAAGGACGTGATGAAATGCCACGTGCTCAGAAGACGACGACTTTCCGCTTTCTAGCCTCGAGGCTATGACTGCTATGTTGACCCTGAGCTGTTTCTACTCGGTATGATCCAGAAACGTTTTCCCTTCCCATGTAGTTATTACGCGTGTTCCCCCCCTTTTCTATCAAATGCCGAGAAGATAGAAGTCGCACTTCATGATAAGACTAGGAGCTAATCATTATGAAGAAAAAAACAACCGGTTGCGATGCCACTATAACGTATATTATCTTGTCATCCCATACCTGGTACTTGTTGTATGTACCTGCGGTGCACGGGTTCCAAGAGAGGTATAATGTGTGACAAGAATCGCAATGTAATTAAAAAAAAAAAAAAATGCTATCTGCTTCTACGATTTGGTGGTATTTGTGTAAGCATATTTCCCAATCTTCGCAAGTGTCCACTCGGCGGCGACAGTCGAGTAGTCAGCATCATAAGCCGTATGAAGAGCCAGGAAGTCGCCAACAGCAGGCGAGCAAACCGAGTCACCATAATTGCACCAGTCACCAATGATATCGCCGTAACGGGTGTCGAGGTTCTGGACCTGGTAGGGGAGGCGAGGATATTTCTAAGGGCGCCGCGTAAGTGAGTTAACTGGACAATCGTATACAAGACGGTGTCGGGCACAAAGACTTACACCAGTAGCGTTCCACGGGTGGTCACCAAAGTCATAGCTTTCATAAGGCACATGGCGGGGATTTCCAAAGAATATGTTGGCAATGACTGCATATAAAGCGATATTTAGTATTAAATACTCAGATTCACGCTCGAGAAAAACATTGGGCTCACTTTTCTTCCCAATTTCCTCTGAGATCAGAGGCTGTGTTGCATTACCAAGATACTCTTGCCCGCCCCCACCGGCGAGCGCATCGCCGACGATCAAGCAACCTTGGGAGTAAGATCCCAACACGATCTTGCTGTCGGGACAAGCTTCGGCGTACGCATTGACTTGGGCACCCGCAGCAGCACGGCCGACGAAGTAGCTGTCTGTTTCAGTCTCGTTGGTCGCAGGATAGATGATATCCTCGTAATTTGTAGTAGTGGTCATGTTCGCTGCGACTGACTCAAACACATCGTAAGGGAATCCGGGATAGGCCGAAAGACTTCCCCGCGCGACCATGAAGTGAACATCAACACATTCCGTGCTGTTTTCCAGAAGCGCTGAGACGATGGGCAGTTGCGCACATATGTGCACGCTGATGGCGACGAAAATAGCATGGGATACCATCGTGAATGGGCTTTCAGTGGGTAAGTGTGCTTAGAGGGCGTGTGCGCGCGTTTCTCGTGCTCTGCAAAGTAGGTCGGTGAAGAGATGATTGCACATTAATTTTTTATTTTTTTTGTGAGTTGGTCTTGTAGGCGGTATGTTTTACGTGATCAGTTTCCAACAATTTTCAGGGGAACGATGCCCCTTGAGTGACTTGATATCGAGTACCCCCGAGATCTCCGAGGTTGGGCCTAATTTCATGCACAATTACAACGATGTCATAGGGACATTGAAGCCAGCATACCAGAATACGGGCCCCCCTTTTCACTGACTAATAAACCCGGACGCTCCAAGACTTTCCAGTACAGTGGCCAGCAACTCTGCATTTCCAGGGCAAGATGGCACAATTGACTAGATTCAACGTCGAGAACTGAAGAGCATGCTCAGTTCTGACTTTTCAAAAGGATGGAATTCTAAATTTATACATTCCAAGCCCACTTAGCCGAGGCCTTTTTGTGTTCATAGCAGTAAAAGCGCCGGCTCTGAGCGGTGGTTACAGGCAGAATATTCATGCATATCCCCCCCCCCCCCACTATCTCCCTCTCATCATTTCGTGAGTGAGTGTGTGAGAAAGAGAGTGAGAGAGAGTGTGAGTGTGAGTGGGAGTGAGTGAGTGATGGCTGGCAATTACTTAGATAGTGAACAAGTAGTACATAAATGGTATTTTGGGATCTCTTCCGGCATGAGGAGAAGGTGTAACATAACCGAGGTATCGCGAGACACCGATGGCATACAAACATTCTAATAGGGTATGGGAGGCTTTCAGCTGCGTTACAAGACTGACGTATGACCGTTGAGTCGAGTCTTGACTCTCCTAAGGATGCATACCCCCTTCACTACATATAGATCGCTCTTTACCGTAGCGTAACGCCCTTCCATATGTTGTTTAGAGTCGGCTATTGGTATAATTATTTTGTCCCTTTTCAGGTTTTGTAGGAATACGATCAATGCCTCTTCCACAGTTACTGGTCATCAGGTCATAAATTTGAAAGTCACCTATTGCTTTCTGGCTTATTGTCGCAGAAGCGATCCCCAGTGCGTTGCATTAGCCATACCTCTTATGTTATCAGACTTATGTATTCGAATGTTCTGTGAATGAGCTTTGGACGATGCCAGCGAGCCCATCAGAACATCTGTTTTATACCACTGCTGTGAACAGGTCAGAGAGCTTTTTTCTTGACTGTGTTCTCCTCTCCAGGCACAGATGAATTTCTTTGAAGAACCCAGCGCTAAGAAAATGCTCGCCAATCCATTTGGACCTGTATAGCATCAATCGTACCTAGCAAGGCAATTTCTTGCTTAGATTCTCGACTCAAAATTCAAAAGAGGCTATTGCATCTGTAGCCGGGCTTAGGATTCGCTTGGTCAAAACATTCTCGCAAGGAAATTAATCGTCTGTGTGCCGTGATGAAGGAAAAGTACTTGTGGGGAAGTGGCTGATTTGACGAGGTACCCATTGTAGCCAGAATACTGTCTGAAGCAACTTTGAGAGGATACGCTAGCTGGACACAATTAGAGTAATTGGTAGAGAAAATATATATTTTCACGGGCAGATCAATGTGACATTCTCAGAAGCAGATGGATGAGGCCCTCATTGTCAGTCTTGCAAATGCTATCTAGTTCTAGTGGTGCTAGAGGCGTTTGAGATCAGCTCTCGGACGCCTTTTCAGCTGTGCCAAGTTTCCTTCAAGTATTACAACCAGGGCAGGCGGATATGCTGTAATTTTTATACATTTTGCAAGAAGTCCCATCTGACAGACAAGTTTGCACCAGTGGCATGGAGTTGGTAGGAGGAAAGTCATGTTTACTTGCTGTTGTGCAGACCCTGGTTTGATAATGTCTGGACCCTTCAAGAGAATTTCCTCGCCACAAAAGCACTCGTCTGTTGTACGACCTGCAGAGTGCCGTGGACGACTTTACACCACGCCTCTGCACTGTATCTATTCGGAGCCCAGAGAAATGCATTAATTTGGGCATCACTTATGAGATGGGCTCATCCAGATGGAGTTGTTTCTTTTCTTTTCCCAAGCTGGTGCTAGCGCTTTGCGTCTCTACGAAGTCAAGCAGAATCTCGGTGGTGCCCAGTGCAGCGATCCGAGAGACCGGATATATAGGGTGCTGGGCTTGATGGCTCCGGAGGTGCGACAGACCATCTCTGTTGATTATAACGTGTTAATCAAAGGAATGGGCTAGACACTAGGCTAGAGAATCACTAGCCGAGCTGTGGTTTGTTTGTCGAGAATTCCTTAACTTTCCAACCAATTCCAAGTTAGTTCGCATGCTCGAGGCTCTCTGCCTTGTTCGGAATTCCTCGAGACGAGAGCAATGTGCTGGGGGTAGCCGGTGTGTACGTCTCCTCCGTTGAGCTTATCTACCAATTCACGGCAACGGCAAAGGATTTTCCTCCAATTAGTATCCCACAAACTCTATCACATCTTCCAAAGCCTACAATTTTAAAAGATCCGCGCTAGAGCTAGCGCTCTCAGTCTTAGAACACTTTCTAGAGCTATCAGCTGATGGCTATGCTCGAAGTTTGAGCCAAATATGTTGTCTTTGCCACGCTGAGAGAATGCAGCGAGATTTGTCGCAGGAATACTGCTGAAGAATGATGGACCCTCTGGGAATGAGGATGACGAGATTTTCGAGAAGATCTTGATCCCGATTCGAGCAATTTGTGCGGGCAAAGCCGTTCTCATTGGCACAGATGGCATTGTCGGGCTGGCTGCAAGATTAGCACGGCAAGGTGATATGATGTGTTCTCTATTCGACTCTGGAAGTCTCATATTGCTCGGGCCGTGGCCAATGGACGGTATCTTGTTGTCTGGGTTGCTTTGTTCCTGATGTGGCTGATGGGGAAGCTGTCCTGCATCTGCTGCCACCAAACTTGGAAGGAGTGGCATTTTCGCGACATTGCGACTGGAAAGATCTCGGCTGAAATAAGCGCTTTGCCTCCCTAGTATCGACTCCTGTTATTGATACTAAATGCGATAAACAGCAAATCTATTGCGCCGGAGGTATTCTCTAACGGGGGAGTGAACGTTCGGGATTTTGAACTGATTTAAATAAGCCTCTCTATCGTGCTGTTCGCTAACAAACGTCAGCATATCTATCTTACTTTGAAAATCACCAACTCTTCGCTTTGAAGTTGAGAGGCAGGCGTAGGCGACCGGCTGAGTGAGATTACGCCTGGCAGTCTCCTTTCGTCACAAAGTTATAAGTGCGTATAATTAAACAAGTTCCGTATCTTGCTAGTTCATTTTCTTTTTAGATTCCCGGATTGATGACAGAAAGTCTAGCATGCTCGCTCGTTGATGGCACGATCAATTAATTGATGCCGAAAAGTGCTTCGCACCTTTGCTTTAAGTCAAAGGGGGGGGTTTTGGGCCGGGGTAGTTTTGGGCCACCCTGGCCACCCTCACCGCCTCTTCAACCCCCTTTAGTTTGATAGCTATTACTCAACCAATTTTGATCCAAACAACTTCATCTTTCCAGCAAACCTTTATCTGACTGTTATAAAGCCCTATTCCGAGTTTGAGCTAGCCCAGGCTGTTGAGGCTGTTAGAAAAGGCAAGTCTCAGCGGCAAGCCTCGAGGGAATGGGGTATTCCAAGGAGTATTCTTCAGGCTTGCCTAGAAGGAGGGGAATCGCATAAAACAGCCTACGAAAACCAGCAAAAGCTCTTTATTGATCAGGAAAGAAGACTAGCTGAATGGATCCTGATTCAAGAAAGCCTAGGCGTTCTACCAAGCCATTCAGAACTCAAATACTTTGCTCAGCAGATCCTTGAGGTTCAGGGAGACTCTCAGGCTCTCGGGGTACAATGGATTTAGGCTTTTTTGAAGAGAAATCCAGAGATAAAGGTCAGAAAGACTTGCTGCATTGCTTCTGAACGAACGAATGGGGCTATAATAGAGGTAATACAGCTTTGATTTTGTCTTTTCAATCTTCCTTATATCCAAGCTATTAAGCTAGCTAATAGATGGAATATGGATGAAGCTGGCTTGATGGAGGGCTAAGGAACAAATGGATTAGTTCTCGGAGGCTCTTCTTTGCGTTCAATTCAAAGGAAAGACTCTGAATCAAAAGCCTGAACTTCTTTCCTCGAGTATATCTCAGCTACAGATGCTTACCTCTTCCCTCTAGTGATTTTTAAGAGCTAAACAGTATAATAACAGTAATTTCCTCTTGATTTGGAGCTTTTTGATAATTAGAAGTTTATAGCTATGCAAAACAGATAGATAAATAATAAAATGGCAGTTGAATAGCTGAAAGAGATCTTCATTTCTTATAGCTAGCCAGCAGACCTCTCAGAAGCCAGGCTGTTAGTCCTGAATGGCTATAGCAGCTATAAAATGGATAAGTTTATATAGCTTTGCTTCCAAAACAATATCCTGCTTATTTACTTGCTTTCTTATATCTCTTACATTCTTCAACCTCTCAATCTAGAAGTCTTTTCATTTCTCAAACAGGCATACAGAAAGAAAGTTAGCAATATGAGCTAATGAAGCGATTTAACTATTGCAGGCAAGCGTTTATTCCTCAGCAACTATCATCTAGCTCAACTGAAAAGCCTTTCAAGCCAGAATATTAGATCTGAATAGAAAGCAACTAATCTGTAGCCTCTTAAACTCTTAAAAGCTCTCTTAAGCCCTTTTCTCCTCAAGAATAGTTAATCAAGCTATCAAACTCAATCCAATTCAGGCTCAGCATAATCAACAGCACCTCGTCTTTCCCCAAAAGCCTTCTCAAGCCAGCTAATCCTCTTTTCAACTTCTCGAAAGACTAAACAGCTATACTATCAGCTGCTAGAGAATCAGCAATAATTTCGAACGGAACCAGACCGCTGTATGCTATTCAAGAAGATAAAAAAGGCTTATAAGGAGAGGGATCTCGAGTTTGCTAAAGCATTGGAGGAAAATAAAGCATTGAAAAGGCAGATTGAGGCTCTGAGGCTTAGTAAAAGAAGAAAGATTGATATGGATCCGAATTCGAAGTTTGCAGGGATTAAGGATATACAGAGAGCTCAAAATGCGGCTAATCGCTACGAGGATAGTCTGAATGAAGAGAGCGATGTCGAATTACCTACTGATAAGGAGGATTGCATCGTGGTGGGTGAATAGAATAGATAAACAGTATATATATATATGGGTGTGTGTATTTGACGAGGGTGGCCAGGGTGGCCCAAAACTACCCCGGCCCAAAACCCCCCCCTTTGACTTATGTCAAAGCCCCAGTTGGGTGAATATATAAATAGTAGGTGCCGACAAAGATGCCGCATAAGCACTGCACTATATAATTCTGAGCTCGGCTGTTACGTTGTTGGGGTGGGAGATTGATACCTGATGACCGCATCTGGCATGTGATGCGGGCGAGAGACCCGCTTCTCGAGGCGATCCTTCATCCCACGTCACATTGGAAATCATGCCACAGGAAAGCACTTATATGTCTTGACGATATCCACTGAGGTCTCTACTCAGATCAGCATACTTCACCGGCCATTACTCCGAATGTTATATTCAGGTCTCTATCTTTAGGATTGATCAATGAGCACTCTCCTGGTGACAGCATACTGTTGCAATTTTCTTGCCCTCTCAAGAGATATCTACCCCATCCAAGAACTCTTCCAAGAAGTGACAACCAATAGAGACGATGCCGTACATAATCGGACTCAACAGTGGTAGCTCATTTGACGGGGTCGATGCAGTGTTGTGTAAGATCGACTTCGCGCCCGATGGCCATCCCTCACGCCCAAGCTTTGTCGATGGTCTGACTGTGGACTGGCCAAACGACCTGCAGGCACAGGTGCTGTCTGCATTCAGCAATTCACTCACCATCTTCGAGCTCTGCCGTCTGAACTATGCCGCTGGCGCTCTCTATGCTGAGGCTGCCAATACTCTGATAAAGAAGGCGGGGCTTAAGGCTGAAGACATCGAGGTCATTGGCTATGACGGCCAGACCGTATACCAAGAACCTCCAGAGAAAGATCTCATGGCCAAATACACGCAAGACAGCACGGCTGGTCTCGTGGAGCGGTGGACCAAGGGCGGCTTTCCCTGTGGCCTTTTTATTGCTGAGTCGGGAGTCGTTGCTGCCTTGACCCAAGTCACAACAGTCACACAGTTCCGACCCGTGGATCACGCGCTGGGGGGCTCAGCCGCGCCACTGATGCAGTATCTTGATTTTGTGGCCTTTCGCGACCATGCGCCCATTGCAACATTGAATATTGGCGGCATTGCCAACGTGCAGCTGGCTCATACGGATCGTCGTCAAATGATGGCATTCGATACTGGCCCAGGAAATGTTATGCTCGACCACGTGGTCAAGGCTCGCACTGGCGCTCTCTATGACAAGGACGGGGATCTCGCGGCCAAAGGAGAAATATTGCCCGCGCTCCTCGAACGCCTGCATACTCACCCGTTCTTCAAGAGGACTCCTCCACGGTCCGCGTGGCGGTTGGATTTCGGTGCCGATTTTGCCGACGATATCCTGGCGCAGCACCAAACAGCATCGACCGAAGACCTCGTGGCCACTCTGACCGCCTTCACTGCGGAGTCGATCCGAAAATCTGTCGTGGACATAGTCATGAAGAAATCACCAATCAAGCAGCTCGTCGCCAGCGGTGGTGGAACCCGTAACAAAACCCTGCTCGGTTGGTTGAGCGACTTGATGGCGAAACACGGGGTAGAGGTTGTCCTCAGCGACGCCTATGGACTCCCTGCGACGTACAAGGAGGCTATCAAGTTTGCAACACTGGGATTCGCCATGAGAAATCAGCTTGCCAACAATATTCCCGCTGCTGGTGGTGCTTCCTCGTACGCCATTCTGGGCAAGCTATCATGGGCCCCGAGACTGGCAAAAAATGCTGGGCCTCTGGACAAAGTGTAAGGAATCGACGGGAAGAGGAGTGCACACGGCGCTGTACCGGATGAGAGACATCTTCATCAGGGCCTCGCATTTAGGTGTATCAACGGTCAATAATGCATCAGTGAAGAGTGATATACTGCATGGGCTAAGGACATGAGACGAGAAGGTGCTATTGTGGTTCTTCTTCTACCATTGATTGAATGCTTGATTTCTCTGGGGAGCAATGCTAGGAAGTTCTCCTATACTGTCTGACCCCCCCTTGCCAGACACCCGTACCCGCCGGACAGCTAATTTCCGACAGCGCCATACAAATACCAACATCCTCACTTACATATTATTTCCTCAATATTGAAGCTATTCAGAAACTGTTTTGATAGATAGATAGCCCTTTAATTGACGAATCTATTGATATACTTATATCTATGCCTGGACGCCTTATGATGCAATTCTGGCAATGCTGGAAGCTAATATCTGTTCCTTCCTGTTTTCATATTCATGATCCTTTTCCTTTAACAATCTTCTATCTCAAGCAAGCTATAATGCCTTCCCACGCCTGGAATGAGGAGAATATGGCTGATGCTCTCTTCGATATTATAGATAACTATTTATCTTTACGAAAATCAGCCAAGAAATACGGAATCGCCCTCCAAATGCTATCAGATCAGCTGCATGCAGAGTTCTCAGTTCAAGAAGCAAAGCAATCTCAACAACGCCTTTCTACTACTGAGGAAAAGAAGATATCAAGATAAATTATCAAGCAGAAGAGCCTAGAATATGCTTTATTAGCTTCTGCTATATGTGGTATTGTAGAAGCTCTTCTTAAGCAGAAAGAAGATCTCAATGCTTTTAGCTGCAAATGGATAAAGGGCTTTAAGAAGAGAAATCCTCAAATTCGCTATAAAATAAGCATTTGCTAGGAAGCTACTAGATACAATGCTTTCATTCCGAAAGCTATTAACTAGTATTTCAACATTCGCGAGAAGGAATATGAGTGAATCGAGCTACAGCTTACAGTGAATGTAGATGAGAGTGGCATTATGACTGAATATAGTAAATTTCTATGGAATTCTCATCTTAGAGCTTCTGAACTGATACTTTTGATAGGCCTGAACTCGCTGGTTCTTGGATCCTCTGAAAAAAAGAAAGCATTTCTCAAAAGCAGCTAGAACAGAAGCTGAGTTACTCTCATTGAAAGCTGTACAGCCACAAGCTAGCTTCTCGATTCAGGCATCATCTTTAAGGGCAAAGATCTTCAAAAACAGTAGTTTTCTGAAGATATGGAGCAGTCTGTGCTAACCTAGCATGTGATTATTAGTTAAAACAGCTGAATAAGCAATGAAATTGCAATAGCATAGCTTAAGGATCTTTTTCTTCTTTAGATGAATAATCTCCGTGAGAATGATATATCTCGAGCTATCCTTCTCATTCTAAATGGCTATAATAGCTATATATCAGTAAGTTAAGATCTTTTAAAGCTTAAGATAATATTTCTTGAGGATAATATGCTGATATAAAACAGCTGGAGTTTATAGCTTCTTGCTACTTGAATAACATTTTCCTTTGCTTTCTCCCTGCATATATCTTCTATAGCTTCCAGCTACTAGATAACAGCATATTTGCTGTACTGAAAGCAGCCTATCGGAAAGAACTTTAAAAGTTGCAAGATTTTACAGACTCAGCTCCTATTAACAAGATCAACTTTCTACAATATCTCATTACAGCTAGAGCAGCAATTACTTCTAAAGTAGTAAAAGAAGAATAAAGATATAATAATAACTATCCAATTAATCGTTATAAAGCCCTATCTCATAAGAAAATCCAGAAGAATAAGCAAAAACGAGAAGCAGATGAGTTGGAGGAGAACGAGGAGAATGAGCTCATTTCCCATAAGTTTATTACTGCTATAAGCCGAGACTGAAGCTACAACGAATGCAGCAAGTTAAGAAGGATTGCAAATCATCTTGAAAACCTCCAAGCTGAGATTATCTTGCTCCAACAGCGAAATGCCTCCCTTAAGGCTCAGAACGAAGCTATTTCGAAGACCCGAAAGCGCAAGAAGATCCCCAATCCTAACAAACGCTTTATAATTATTTCAGAGGCACTTTCAGCTGGAGAAGAGGCCAACACAGCCCAGGAAGAGAATGGTTTGCCTGCTGAGGATATTGTAGAGGTTCAAGACGAGATTAACGAGGAGGACTCTGAGAACGATAATGCAAACATTTCACGTAAGGATTCACCACCAATTCGTCGATCTTCTGGGCGGACTAGCCGTATGCCAACTAGATATTTGGAATAAGGAAATTTAGATCATTTCGATGATATATTTATTATTATTATACGATTTGAAGTGAATTATTTCTATATACTTGAAAAGGTGGCAATTGTATGGGCCATTTCGCATTTTAGTGTCCGGCGGGTACGGGTGTCCGGCAAGGGGGGGTCAGACAGTAGTCAGCTGTATGAGCTGCGAGGGTGAGTTTTTGCTGCTGAACGCTCTCAAGCCGAAATTTGAAACAATACATATACATGTACCGAGACCGTAATGAGATGGAAAAAAAGGAAGTACACCTCATTGATAGCAATTACTTACATCATCTTTTCAGAAGACCCCTCCCGGGGGGGGGGGGGGGAAGGTTAGTGACGCTTGTTGCATCGAAACCAACTCATTTGCATCAGAAATTCATCCAAAACTCACTAGACAGTAATGAAATTCCCCGAAAGAATCAAGATTAGCTGTCTCATTCTTTCATTCCGGTATGAGATAAGACTAGGTCATTCTCGTCTCAGAACTTTGGGGGACGGACAATTATTAGATGGATTGGCGTAGTTTGCAACGAGCTGTCCGTTTGTGAATCCAAGACTGTCGCGCTTAGCTACCGACACCTGATCTACACCGGACAGCTCGCTTCGTAACGGTGTACTCTATGAACTTGCGGAGCCCGGGAACAGACTCTTCTGTAGCCCAAAGGCTGGCAAAGCTTGTGATCCGACGCCACTTGAGTGCGCAATCACTGCCGGGTGTTGGGGGGTAAAATTCTCAGGTATAGCTCCTATAAAAACAGGCCATTGTTCTAGATTGTAGTCTCGTTTGACATGGAACCGTAAGGCCAGCCTTTTCGCATTCTCACAGCAGTGCTTGAGACACAGATACAACGTTCTTATTACCAACACAACGACTAGCGCTGCCGCACCAATGACGATTCATGCCACTGCGCCCGTGGAACTTGTGAAACTCTGCTGTTAATTTCTGCTATTGCCGTTCGAAGCGGACGTGCCTGTGCTGGATGGTGTAGAAGAAAAAGGGGTCACGCCACCACTGCTCGCTACCAGTCCTATCCCCGCTGCAACTGTTGAAGTTGGTTGCCGAAACAATGGTCGTGGTCATTAAGTCCGCCGATCGGGATAACAGTGCGACTTGTACTGCAGAGAGGGTAAAGACTGCGATGCCGGATGCGGAATCAGTAATCAAGTTAAAGTTGACCAATCTAACATCAACAGGGCCCCTGGGCCCGAAGCCGAATGCTGTTGTAGAAGAGGGACATTCTGAGAGGCCGTTGACTACTGATGTTGGTTCCCCTTAGCTTTGTATGCTTTTACACCAGGTAGAGTATATCCCGTACATCATGATGGAAAGATCGCTGGAAAAGACGTAAATGATACTAATTACCTAGCGAGGAGGACGTAGTCAATGACTGTGATTACGTACGATTGCCAGCACGGCACAGCTATCTCTTCGTCTGCCCCCGACAGCGTCCTCCCTTCCTGCTATGCCGTGGTCCAGGCGTTGGGGTAGGCGATACCCGGCGAGTACAAATAGGTATTGCCCAGTTCTCCCAGGACCGCTAGGTAGTAAGACTGGCCATGGCTATCACCGACTCCTCAGGATAAAGTGAGGCATAACATGGTACAATCCCTGACGTGATGTCAGTCTGACAATTCAAGAGAAACCTCTATGCGCAATAGGATGGAGGCTCGAAGGCAGTTGTTAGAGGATTGGGATGATGATGATAGTAGCGATCAACGTCTGTGTGGCCGTCTGTCGTGGAGGAACCTGAAGACACTTTAATGCCTGTTGGGGTGAGAGCGATCAGCAATTTGGATCATAAAAAAAAGAAGAGATAGAAAAAAAAGACGGGGCGGGCAGGAGTTAGAATCGGACCGTGTGTGCGTGCGTGGGCATTTAATACAATTGGGAAGAAATAGAGTCTTAGATTAGTAGATTCGAGGGCTGAGGAAGATGAAAATTATATGCTGAGGACAAGGATCTATTCAAGCCAAGGTTACTAAGTCGTACCGGCCCCCAAGACATGTGTCTACGAGGACGCCTCTTGGGCAGCTGAGAAATTATGAAAGCTTCCTGCTGCGCGCGGATATGCGGTCACCCTTGATACCGCGTTCTTGGCCTTGATCTCGGCTTCGCTTTCTGCATCGCCCAGTGGTTGCCCCCAGCCACCTCCTCCAGGCGTCTGGATCACACAACGGTCACCCGTCTTCATATTGATTTGGCCCCTTGAGCCAATGCTGACCCATCTCTCGGACCCATCCTCGAGCCTTTGTACCCAATAATTGGCACCGCTCTGTCCAGCCTCCCCCCCCAGCATCCCAAATGGCTGGTGGACTCTCCTCTCGGTGATAATGCCGAATGTCAGTGGGTAGCGACATTCCCAGTCCCGAATGACGCCACATCCCCCATTGAATTCACCCCGGCCACCACTACCCTTGCGGATGGAGAACTCACGCAGAAGCACAGGATAGCGCTTCTCGATAATTTCGACGTCTGTGGTCCGCGTGTTGGTCATGTGTACTTGTACACCTGAGGCACCGTGCCATGTGGGTCCTGCGCCCTCACCACCGCAGATTGTCTCGCCATAGCCGAAGCCGAACCCACTGCTGTCGTCTGGCTGATTTGAACCATCATCGTCTGTGCTGCCGGGCTCGAGGCAGTTGCCGAAGAAGCCAAAGCAATTCATACATCCTTGAGAAGCAGCAGCCGCCTGGAAGGCTTTGAGGAGGAGGTCCACGAGCCGCTGCGAGGTAAGCGTATTCCCGCAACAGACTGCAGCCTTGGATGAGGGATTGAGGAAGGTGTTCTTCGGGAGGATAACCTTGGTCGGGGCAAGGCAGCCTTGATTCAGCGGGATGTCGGAGCCGATAAGCAGGCGCAGTGTGTAGATGAGTGCTGAATAGGTGATAGCAGGCGGAGCATTCATGTTCGAAAGCATCTCACAGGACGTGCCACTGAAGTCGAGGGTTGCAAAGCCAGTCTCATCGATCGAGATAGAGACCGTCATCATCGAACCGTTGTCCAGGTAGTCTGTGGCCGTCAGGGGTTTCGATCCAAAACGACGGTACGCCGACTTGAGATACGCTCGAACAGCTACCTCGGCGTTCTCTTGAATCTTCTTCATATAGAAATGGACGACGGGCCTGCTGTACTCATTCATAAGAGCCTTAATCAAGTTACTGCCTTTGGTGTTTGCGGCTACCTGGGCTTTCAAGTCCGACAGATTATCGCCCAAGTTTCTGGACCCACTGCAACCAGGGAAGTTGCCTGGCTCGAGGAGAATGGCCGTAATGCCCTCTTCATCAAAGTGTCCGTCTCGCACAAGGAAGAAGGACTTGATTGCCGCACCTTCCTGCCAAAGTTCGACAGAGTCACTAAGCAGGAGGAGACCATGATTAGCCGGTGCACCGACGTCGTGAAGTGATTGTGGTGTTAGGACTTACGGTGGCATTGAATTGCCTCTATATCCGCCAATGTTCAGGTGGTGACCTCTTGAGGCTGTATAGAAGCAAATTGTCTTGCCATCTTCATCAAATACAGGTGAGATCACGGTTATATCTGTCCAAAGGGTTTATTAGGATGCGCCATAGCTCAGAGTGAGGGGGAAAGGAGAGAGGGAGGGAGAAACAAAGAAAAAGAATTCATACCAGGCAAATGAGTACCACCGGACTCTGGATGGTTTGAAACAAGTACATCGCCTGGACGTAGCTTCCCATGGTGCAGCTGATGTTGATACTTGACTGCGTAGCTCATGCTTCCAAGGTGGACCGGTACATGAGGCGCGTTGGCAACGAGCTCGCCATCTGGACTGAAGATAGCACAGGAGAAATCCAAACGCTCCTTGATGTTCAGCGAAATACTAGTTTTCTGGAGTGTTCTTCCCATCTCTTCTGCTATTCCCATGAATCTGTGTCCAAAGATACTGAGCTTGATTGGATCGACGACAAGCTCGCCGCTGCCCGTGTGTTGAGATCCCTCTTGTGCTAGATCAATGACGACATGGGACGTAAGAACCTTGGCCTGTGCTCCAGGTACAACGATGATAGTCTGCGTATCGTCGATGATTATCGCAGGTCCGGAAATCATTGCTCCTCTTCCAAGGTTATCGAGTCGAAAGACTTTGGTTTGTTGACGTCCGCTGTTTGCAAAATAGACTTCTTCCTATTCAGTTGTTAGGCGCCTCAGGAACTCCTAGGAACTGAAGTGAATAAGTATTACGCACCAGCATCTCGACGTTCTTGACTTGAGTCTGGAAGTCGAGTTCCCTGAGCTCATGTATCAGGGTGTCATTGTCTTTGATGGTCTGTCCACTCTTGCCAACTCCACGAACCCGGACATCGTCAACCAAAACCTTTCTTGATCGGGGGAAAGTGAAAGACAGCTCCCTATAATGATCCCTCTCGAGAGCAGATAGCCAGTCACCATCTTTGGGTCGTAGGATCATGAAGTTGGTGTCAGTGCCGTGGTAACGTAGATTCAAGTACTCCTCATGCATGATGGATGAAGAAGGGATTCCCTGAGCAAGCAAGCCATCAGACGCTCTTTGTCTGAGAACACCAAATTTGTCTTCCAATCGAGCCAATCCGTCTTCTCCTAAGGTTTCCGAACTAGGTTCTCGTGTCTCATGTACGACCTCTGCGAGAGCCATACCGTAGGCCGATAGTATGCTCGAGTATTTGTGGATGACGACACGGCGAATACCTAATTTGGTTGCAATCTCACAGGCGTGTTGTCCGCCCGCTCCACCAAAAGTAGCCAGGTTGTGTTGGGCAGTCTCAAATCCTCGGGCCTCAGTCAGAGCTCGAATGGGCCGGCACATGGACTCGTTTGCGACGTCGATGAATCCATAGGCAACTTCTTCTGGTGTCATTGATCGGCCTGTATCAGCATTGATCTGTGCCGTGATGTCGTTGAACTTCTCTGCCACAATATCTGAATCAAGCGGGAGGTTCTCATCGGGACCAAAGATGGAGGGGAAATATTCGGGGATCAGTCGCCCCAGGCTGTTCAAAAGGTATCAGTCACAAGTCCTTGGATTATGGAGGCATGAGTCTCGACTGACAAGAGATTGGCATCCGTGACTGTCAGTGGACCCCCTTTGCGATAGGAGGCGGGGCCTGGATGCGCTCCAGCACTCTATACAGAAAGTCAGCGGCCATTTCCTTTGTCGTCTTCTTTTCTTTAACTTTATTGGGCGTCTTGAGCTTGAGTTAAAGCGGTCTAACGCACCTCTGGACCGACTTTGAACATGCCATTCTCCCAGAAAAGCATGCTCCCACCGCCAGCGGCAACGGTGTTGATATCCAGTTGAGGACTTTGAATCGATACGCCAGCCGTAACGGTCTCAAAGACGTGCTCAAAAGAGCCGCCGTACCTACTGACGTCTGTCGATGTGCCGCCCATGTCAAAACCAACAATCGGAGACCGGCCATCATAGGAAGTCCGGGCATGCCCAACGACACCACCTGAATATGCGCATTAGCAATGAAAATAGCCGACCCAAGGATAGTCAAAGGAGCTGGTACCCACCAGCAGGGCCGCTCAGGATGCCCCGGAGACCACTGAAGCTCTTGTGGCTAACTAGTCCACCGTCGCTCTGCATGAACTCGCAGGAGATGCCGTCGAGGTTCCCGCCGTCAAACCCTCGGGCAAAGCCGTTCACATATTGGACAATCTCTGGCGTCAGATACGCATCTGCAGAAGCTGAGCTGCCTCGAGATATCATCTTGATCATGTTTGCACCGACCTCGGACGAAATCGACACATGGTTGAAGCCAATCCCCCTAGCAATTTCGGCAACCCTCTCCTCATGCTTGGGGTACAGGTACGAGTGTACGAGGCAGACGGCCACAGTATCAATACCTTTGGCCTTCAGAGCCAGCAGCTTTTCCGTAAGTTCTTCTTCATTCAAAGGCCGTATAATCCGCATTATGTCTCCGGTAATGCCCTTGACAAACAGACCAGGGGACTCTTTCGGGGCCGGACGCGAGTTTGTCACATCCTCATCAAAACACTCCACCGTGATCCGCTCTGAAACTTCGACAACCTCTTCGTACAGAAGCTCCGGTTTCTTGATGCCCAGTTCGAAGAGTTTTGGCCTTGATTGGTGCCCAATCTCAATAAGATCACCGAAGCCCTGACTCACTATGAAAGCATGACGTCTTCCTTTTCTTTCGAGTAGTGCTGTTCGAGAAGCCATTGGGTCAGATTCCGAGTCTATAGACGGACGCTCGAAAACACACAACCTACCGTTCGTTGCGACCGTAGTACCCATGCGGATGGAATGGATGAGATCCTTTGGTATGGGACTGCGACGACTGATGATTCGCCCAGATACGATTTCCAAAACCCGTCGGATCCCCTCAGAGGGTGCGTCATCGTAATTATCTGGGTCGACCGAGAGGAGTTTCAAAACAATGTCTTTCTGTCCTGGAACCGAAGCCCAAACATCTGTAAAGGTACCACCACGATCTAAACTCAGTGTAAGCGGCAGACCAGCACATGGAACCGTTTTACAAAACGCATACCTATGGCGAACTTGATGCTCTTCGCTGGCACCGAGGCCATGGTTGCATGCTCGCCCATATTGAAGTCAAGATTCAGAGGTCGGGGTACTCGAATGGTAAAAAAAGATTGAGTTGTCGCTGTTGCGCGTTAGATACCGCTTGTAAGATCACGCATGGGTATGGTTTTCCATTTATGTACACGTTGTGGATGCAAAAATACTACATAGATGGTGTTCAATATTTTCTCAGCGGCTGTGCTCCTTAATTACCCTGTGATCGGTACAGTGCCGCCCCTCGCGCGGTACTCGTGACCGGTCCCTCGATTCGAGCTACCTGTACCACGAGATGCCATCTGCGTGTTTCAGCTCCTGCACTGCAGCAATTGCCCCGGGCAGATAAGGGTCACGATCGGGGGTTGGATACACTTTGCCGTTCGAGACCTGCATAATGTATGATACATTTCGGCGTCTGGCGAATATTGGAACAATCCTAGCTGCCGGCACATCAAAAGTTCCCCGCATCGTTCAGGCGTACATAAATCCACGGTAGCGATAAGAGGAGCTGATCCTTGTCTGTACTACTAAGTTTATCAGCGAGACAACGTCGATTCGGACTGCCGTGAGCAGCGGTTCTTATCGAACATTGATATCGAAATTCCCAAGGCCGGGATCAAGGTCCTAATTCCCAACCTTTCATCGAGCAACGAGGTATCAGCGGCGATCGTGAGCACGCCCTGTGAGTTGCGGTCATAAGTCGTTGCGTAGGCGAAAGAATTGGACAGCACGCGGCACATGTAAGGGATGATCGACCGTCCTGATATTAGAAGCCTATCTTATCTCGTTGGATATGTCCGCCACCAACCTATCTCCTTGGAGGACTGCATGTATAGCCCCTGGGCAGATATGTATTACCATGTGTGACCCAAGCTTTCCCGAGTATAATACCTAGACCATGCCTTGCACATCTCCACAAAATTACTGATCACTGCACGCATCAATTTCATTCTTACGATCAGAAAATTGCTCAGAAGACACGGGTCCCTCCTCGCACCGCTCTTGGGACGTTCCAACCAGCAATGTCTTCAGACAAAAAGGATACTGCAATCCATCCTGTACCTTCCCAAGGTCATGGTGAAATCCAAGATGACACGAAAAGACAATTACATGAGGATAATGTCGACGAAGCCGCCAAGTATCTTGCTGTCGCTCATGCCGAGCAATATGCGCCCTTGACGCCGGAAAGGGAGAAACGACTCCGAAAGAAGATCGACAGTTGGATGATTCCCTTGGTGAGGAGAGCTTGCTTTCATAATAACCTCGAAAAAGTAATTGGCATAACTTGCTGACAATCGTATCACGTAGCTTTTGTTTACCGCCACTCTTGGAGCCGTAGACAAGGTTGAAATCGGTACTGCCTCCCTCTACGGATTTCAGACCGATAATCACATGCATGGTCAGCAATACAGCTGGCTTGGGAGTATCTTACCTCTTGGTGTATGTACACTGGTTCCGTAACATCCAGGAGAGGAGCTTACAGGAAAACAGCAACTCTGCGGATACGTAATAACTACGTGGCTCGTCCACAGAGTCCCACCAGGGAAGCTTTTGTGCACTGCTTCCTTGCTATGGTCCATACTTACTGTCTTGTATGCGGCTTGCCATTCCTGGGCAGGCTTCATGGCTCTTCGATTTTTCATGGGCTTCGTGGAGTCGGCGATTACTCCAAGCCTGACCATGTTGGTGGTCAGCTTCTATAAGAAAGAAGAACAACCTCAGAGAAACGCCAGTGAGATAGAAGCCCAAAGAGTGGATGATTACCATTGATGTGGTAGCTGACAGGATTCTCATAGTTATTTTTGCCTACTTCTCCTCAATATTCAACGGCTTCTTTGCTTGGGTAGTGGGATACATACCTGACTCGGCACCGCTAAAGAAGTGGCAATATCTGTACCTGATCACAGGCTCTATCAACATCCTATACTCGCTGTTCCTCTGCGTCGTCCTTCCAGATAGTCCCATGAATTCTCGTTTTCTCACAGAAGAGGAGAAATTCTGGGCCGTGGAACGACTCGCATCAAACCGGACAGGCATTTCTAACAAGGTTTGGAAATGGGAGCAGGCCTGGGAAGCGCTAGGGGACGTCAGAATTTGGCTGATATTTTTCTTCAATATCGCCATCAACATTCCCAATGGTGGTCTGCAGGCCTTTGGAACCATCATTATCTCTGACTTGGGCTTCAGCAGCCTCAATGCCAGCTTACTCACCATGCCCTTTGGCGTTTTGGCAACTTCCAGTGCCTGGTTCTTCAGCTATATTGCCAGCAGGACCCAGAGAAGAACAATTGTGGCTTGTATCGCGCTGTTGTTGCCCATACTTGGCACAGCACTAGTCTACGGTTTACCACGGTCGAACATAGCAGGACAACTAGTTGGCCTGTACTTCATGTATTTCTACTGGCGTGAGTATAGACACAGGTCCTAAAAGAACCTTTCATTTTTGGCTGACACTTTCTTCTTAGCCCCTTACGTGGTCGGCATCTCCTTGCCTCAGGCCAATACCGCTGGCCAGACCAAAAAGTCCATTGCCTTCAGTCTTGTCACTATAGGCTACGCCGTCGGCAACCTGATTGGGCCCCAGACCTTCGTTTCTAACCAGGCTCCCAAATATACAGGCGGCGTCATTGCGATGCTGGTTTGTTACTGCATTTCCATCTCACTTCTTCTGCTGTATTTCGCCATTGTTACTGTGGAGAACAAGAGAAGGGATAAGAAGTATGGACGACCGGAAGCGATTCATAATGTGGTGGAGGGCTTCGCTGATATTACAGACAAGAAGCAGGAGAATTTTCGATATACTCACTAGGCGTGGAGTTAGATGTAATTACTATTGTCATTGTAATTGACGGTTCATGTGATATTAACATTGATGGAGTATTAACTGAAAGAAGCACCAGCTGAGCCAGACTATCACTTGGCCTTCTTCATTGACTATGCAAGACTGATGTTACCATGCTTACCATCCAGGATTGACCAGCCCCTCGCAGCATCTGTCAGGCTCAGATCTCTAGCTTTCCACACATCTTCTATGACGAAGCGGGCCTTCCTAACGCATCCAAGTTGACGTGTTCGTTGCAGGGCGTCTAAGGTCCTCAGGACGAGGATACGGTTGTCGTCTGACTCGGGCCGGATCCCAAGAGTACCAACAATAAAGAGGGGCCAAAGAAGGGTATTCGTTCTCAGAGAAACGCGGGGGAGAAGCTGCAGAATCTCCTCCGTCAGTCGGCCCATGTGGGACTCGTACGGCCCGGACTCGTCAACTCTGGCGTAGAAATACATCAAGGCCGCGAGGCGTTTGACTCCTGAAATATGTCGTTCTTCCTCATCTTCTTCCGTCTCGGATGTATGTTTTTCATGAAAGGAATGTTGGTATAGCTGCCTCTCAAGCATGTGTCTCTGATGCTCATACGTCTCCATGCAAGAAGCGACGCTTGAGTTCTCGCCCGGTGTCATATCATTTTTCAGGGCATGCAAAGCCGACCATTTCGAATCCGCGAGGCTGGTGATGGCCGAAATGAGACGAAGAAGCGACTTGGAACACCCTGTCAGAGCGTGTACGTAGTGCTCGTCTGTTGAATCAAGGAGCCAAGAGGAATCGGGAAGCATAGATTTTGGACCCCACACCGTTGCAGCAAGTACATTGTGGCCTGTGAGCCATGTTTTGGCGAAATGGTAGATATCCGGACTCTCCGATTTCAGGCTTGGGTAGGAGTCCAACAATCTCCGTCCATAGTTCGCGTGTACAGTCCACGAAAATGAGCAGCTTTGTAGGATCTGGGTCGGTATGAGCAAGCAATCCCTACGTAGCACCCTTGACAAAAAGCAGAATCCCTAAATGATTGATAGACGAGTATTGGGAAGACTAACCTCGAGGAACCCCATCATCACAGTGGTGATGATGGTTTCTTCTGGAGTCCGACGATTTTCAGCAAGATAAGTTATCAGTGATCTTAAGGCAAGCCCACGCAGTTCCGTGGGGGTCATTTCCTCCTCGCCCTGCCCAAGATTGTGCAGCTGGCTTGCGGCCACCGCCATGATGACTCTGAACAGTGGACCAGAAGGAGACTTGGCAGCAAGTCGCAGCACAACATCATGGTAAGGATTCTGCCCGATGCTCACGGTACATTTGGGCGCGATGAAGTTGGCGAAGTAGTCCCACAGCCGTGCTTCCTTATTCGATATCTTAATGGGGAGAATCCCCACTGGGACTGATGATGGGCTCATAAAAGAGGCTTCGCACAGCGAATCGCTGCTGGCAGTCGTGGATTTTAGGCTGACTAAGTCTCTTCTGATGCTGGCGGAACTTTCGAAATCTTGTAGCGTTGTACTCAAGAACATCCAGCTTCGGACATGTGCATGGGGCTCATTCACTAGCTGCACCGCCGCCGGTCTTCTTTTCGGTTCCGGACATGATGGCTTTTGCCAAGTGAGTCGGAGGTCATACCCACAGTTCAGGCCCAGTCTTCGGCAATGACTGCAGATCGGCCGTTCCTCTGGGCACTTGACACGACGCTCTGTTGCTCATCAGCGAAGCGGCACATTGACGAGAAACATGACAAAACCATCAGAAGGTAAGCTACTGACCTCGACATCTCCAACAACCACTCCGGACTCGAGTCTCGCCTCCGGCGCGTTGCCTGCAGGTGGGCCTCTCTTGACGAATAGCTGTCATAGGATCCGAGATTCATCAGTTGATACTGCTAGAAGATCTGCCTAAATGGAGTAGCCCGAAAAGACAATCATGCCATCACAGGCCATTCTCAAAGTTTTTGTTGTTTAAAATGCGGGTTCCTCGAAGTCGGAAATGATACGAGAAGCCCAAAGGGTACCTCGTATCGAGTTGGTTGTAGTGCACGTGTTGCAGCCAAGCAAAGCATGCATAGGGAGGGGGGTTGTCTGATAAGGTCGAGAGGTTCACACGATAAGAAATAAATCCCACCGGCATGGCAGTACCGAAGTTTCATGAACTATGTTCGGCTCCTGTCGTACTGCCGGTCCATTCTAAAGGGGACAAACAACGTTGATCGTATGTGTATACATATACGAGTACCGATGCCGGTCATTTGCTATCACGTTTGAGTCCATACATGAGTGTTTCTATACAGATTTGACGTTCGAATCTGCAACGTCCAGCCTCATCCATGCATTTCTTGACGAGTATTCATCTCTCACAATGAACCATGACACTAGAATTCTCATCGTCGGCGCGGGAACCTTCGGCCTTTCGACTGCCTACCACATGGTTCGGTCAGGTTACAAGTCCATCACAGTCCTTGAAGCTGGAGACACGGTCCCCTCGCCTCTTTCTGCGGCCAACGATCTGAACAAGATCATCCGAGGTGAATATGAGGACCCGTTCTACACCGACTTGGCTCTCGAGGCCATGACAGAATGGTCTACCAACCCCGTATTTGCACCGCATTACCACCAAGTGGGTTATCTCTTGGCGAACTCGGCTTCCGCCCCAGAAAAAAGCAAGAAATCGCTGTCAACCAGCCTCAAGAGCGTCGAAACACACCCAGCATGGAAGGGAAAGATCACCCCAGTCCAGACGCGCGAGGACATCCGAGCCGCTGCCCCAGCCCTGAACGGGCCTATGGATGGCTGGGTGGGTTATTTCAATCGCTTCGCTGGCTATGCCCACTCAGCGAATGCCTTGGCATCTGTCTACAAGGCGGTGGCCAGCTTGGGAGGAGTGATACACTGTGGTTTGACTGTGACGGAGTTATTGTACGAAGCAGATGAGGCCGGGAGACAGAAATGTATTGGGGTAAAAACACGTTCCGGGAAGAGCTTCTCGGCAGATATCGTGGTCCTCACAGTTGGAGCCTCCCTGGCTTCTGTGCTTCCGCAGGTTGGACCTCAGGTCACGGCAAAAGCCTGGAGCGTAGCACACGTCCAGCTGACTAAGGAGCAGGCTGATCAGCTTGCGGGGATCCCGGTGACATACGCAAGGGACCTCGGCTTCTTCTTCGAACTGGACCTAGAGACTCTGCAGCTAAAAGTTTGTCCGTTTGGAGGGGGCTATACAAACCGCGTATCTATTCACGGATCAAACCACTCCCTTCCCCCGCAGATCAACGACTTCATACCCGCACAGGACGAGCAGAAGATCAGAAACCTTCTGCGTGAGACACTGCCCGATCTCGCCGAACGGCCGTTGATATGCCAGCATATTTGCTGGTGCGCTGACTCGGCTGACTCGGACTTTATCGTGGATTTTGTGCCCGGAGTTCAGCGCCTGGTTGTTGCCAGCGGAGATTCTGGCCACGGTTTTAAGATGCTGCCAATCATAGGTCGTTTTATTCAAGTCTTGGTGGAAGAAGGTAATCAAAAGCTTGTACGGTGGCGGTGGAAGGAGGGAAATGACGCTGGTGGTAACGTCAGCTGGAGAACCGGGGACGTATTCGATTTGAAGAGTCTTGGAATTCATGCCGGTGCCCAGTTATAAGAAGTCGTCGATATAATGAAGACACTAACCTTTTTGCTTGATTTTTATATATTTGTTCAAAGATGGATGAATTTTGAATGGATGGCGCTGGCCTCGATACGCGTTCTTCTGCTATCTCTCATGCCTGTCAGCGCACCCGTGAAGACATAATACCATCTTCCAAGTTCGAGAAGAGCCTCACAACTGAGTCACCAAAGGTGAGTTCTATCCCACCCAAGAGTGTTTAACTCCGAAATTCATTGTCCCAATTGGCGGCAGGTCCGGGTCGCTAATCGTGCTGCTTGGCAAGAGATGAGGTTGCTGCAGCTTACAATAGCCACTAGAAAGAGATATTATGGGAAATGAACTGTATTGGACTGCGCTTAGGGAAGGAAAAGGAAGGAAAAGAAAGGAAAAACAGCTGGCTAACTGAGGCTATAGACAGGTTGGCTGGCGATAGTGGGGCCACCTGGTCTCGCACAGATATACGTTGATGGTGGGACCAATGATGATTCCATTCCCAAGGTAAGCCAAAGATATTATGTCCAATGGTATTCGTTGCATTTGTCTTAGACTTATTTGAAATAAAGCAGTTGCGTCTGCTATGTATAAAGATAGGGGTGCAGTTGACTGTAAAGAAGTGATAGCAGAATGGTTAAGAGGAGGTGGCGGAGGATCTGTGCAGAAATTTTTCGGGCGCAGAAGCCATGACCCTCCAAGGTGTAAGGCTAATCAATGAGTGGGGCGATCAGGCTTCGTCTCAGGGAATTGATAAGAAGATTTACGACATTCAATACAAGGCTTCATGGGTATCGTGCTTATTCATCGTAGTATTGTATCTTCAATCACGTATACAGGATTGTTTCCAACAGAAATTGCTTTGAAGAACATGTTTTCTGTGAGAACTAATTTCTGCTATCTAACACTATTCAAACCTCTGGTCTTGGTTCTCGGATGTTCTTCTGCCCAAGGATCCGGAATTTGATGGTATAGCGCAAGACTTTCGAGAATTGGAACTTGACGAAGCGACGAGTCGGTACTTGAAAAACGGCATCGAGCTCTTCCAAAGAAAGTTCCTTGGTCTCAGGTACAAAGAAGAAGATCAGTACGAGTGCCATAACATTCGTACCAGCGTAGAATGCAAACGAACCCTGTGCGCCGAAAGCAAGTAGCATGCGGGGAAAGGTTAATGTCAAGACAGCAGCCCAAAAGAAGTTGGTCGCAACGGCCCAGGACATGCCAATCTCGCGGTGCGATAGAGGGAAGCACTCGGCCGAATAGGTGAATGGAACGGGTCCTTCTCCTGGAGAGTATACCGCAGCAAAGAGGAAAATGAAGAAAGCTACCATACCGAGGTGCGCCCGGCTGTCCTCGGGGATCCAAAAGCAGAATCCAGCAGCTAGCAGCGTCCACGCCATATGTGGGAAGGTAAAAAGCAACAATGCACGGCGACCAAATTTATCAATCGTCCAGATAGCGGGCCAGGCAAACGCAAAGTTAACAAGACCATAGCCCCATGATGCAAGAAGCGACTGGGTGACTGTGGCATTGGCTTCGGTGAAGACGGTGGCTGAGTAGAATGCAATGATATTGACTCAAAGCCTGAGTGTCAGCTCATATGCTGAAGATGATGGGATTTGCGGAAGCCTGCATGTACTCACTTCCACACATTTGCTGGGCGATCATAACAACGAAAGAGGCGACCGTGGCTCGTCGCAGTCGAGGAATGCTGAGCAGATCTCCGAAGCGGCGGACGAATCCTACCAAGCCTACACCACGACCATGCACAATAACGTTTTCCTCGTACTCAATCATGACGTGCATGAAGTATAGATCACGAGCCGCCTGTATAGACGAGTTGCGGAGCCGGAGGAGGCTCTGAAATGCGTCTGCGTAACGTCTCTTCTTGATCAGCCAACGTGGAGACTAAATAAGATTCAAAAGGTCAGCAAAACCCCTACAAATACCGTATCTTAGCGACGACACGCCTAGTGATACTGGAGATATCTGAGTTGCAGCATTGGTTTCTGAACGCTACTGACCTCGGGGCAGAAAAAGATTCCCAAGAGCAAGGGCACCGCGGGTATGAAGGCCGAGCCAAGCTGTAGTCTCCAAGCAATATCGCCGACATCCTTGACGGCAAGATTAGCAGTGTTGCCCAAGAAAATGCCAAACGCGATCCACATCTGCCAACTCATGACCAGTGCGCCGCGGATGTTCGCTGGGGCATTCTCTGCAGAGTACACGGGCACAGTCACATCCTTCACCCCCATGCCCACCCCCAGGAGAAAGCGGCAAGCAAGGAGCTGGCCCCAGTTCTGTGTCAAAGCAGATCCAATTGGTGCAAGCAGACTAAAAATTGCGCCTAGGAATATGGTACCGCGACGACCAAGGTAATGATTGAGAGGGTCTGAGGCCCAGCATGCACTGACCAGATGATGTATTAGTATTCATTGCAACTGGAATCTCCAACCTCTTCCAGAGGTAAGTACAGAAATGATGTAGGATTTTTTTTCATTGACTTACAGAAGGCTGATGGTGATGAAGGGAAAGGCGTTGATAACACCGATCAGCCAGGAATTGGTCTCGCAGGTGCCAGAGCTCGTGCACTCATCTCCAGTGTCGGCAATGCCAAAAGCTTCTGGGAAAGACAGGTTGGCCCCATTGGAACCGGTAACATCCCATCCTTGGACGGCCGCAGCGATGGAGTTGAGAATGATGGTGAGGTACATCGTCTTAGGGTGTTGCCATTTATGGGTAACCTCCTCAGAGACCTTTGTCTGCTCCTCTTCTGTGAGCTGGCTCGCATACTGTGCATCTTGAGCGAGAAGTGCGCCTTGGCGTAGAAGCTCGCGGTGCTCCTCGAGTCCATATGTCACTGCAAAGCTGTCCACATCACTTAGCAGTTTGGCCCGTGTGACGCCGAGTAATGGGTTGATAGGATCATGGATGGACGCGACATGTTCCACGGGCATAGTGCCACTGTCGTGGACATGGTCTGCAGTGGGCTTCTCCATATTTGCACTCATATTCAAGGTGGTGTGAGAGGGCAGCAGGATTTGAACTCTTCTGTTGTCGGTGTCTCAGTATAAATTCGAAATGTATTCTAAGCAAAACCAAGCTCTGGGCCATATCCGAGTTCGGGTCTGTGCCGCACGGATGTCGCTATCATTTATCGAATGTCGCATGACTGAGCGATCCAAGTTGGTTGAACAATGACCAAGAATTGGAGACGTAAACGAGAAACGGGGTACTACCTGATTAAGGATAGAACGTGGCCTAGTAATTGATCCGAAATGACATCGTTCTGCGTCGTGGCCATGGTCACGAGTGGGTAGGAAGTACGCAAACAAGGTATATCTGGTTCTACGTTCCTCTTTCAAGGCAAAGATTGATGCCATCCGACGGAAGTGGACAGGGTTCATCTTCAACCCCGCCTTTTACCCTGCGCCAGTCGAACAGTAGACAGTTGGAGTACTCAGACCCAGAGCGGCTACGCGGCATACTGTGTCACACTTTGGATGGCGGAGATTCCCTTGAAAATTCCGAGTCCGTCATATGATTGTTTTATATCAGAGGGCTATTCGTGTTTGCTTGTGATTAGCAATTTGCATCTACGATGGAATGAGTCTTTCTAAATCTATAGCCAGAGTTAAAGTGGAAGGTTAACCTACTATAGACATTGTGGATACAGGGCTTCGTGTATGCACGCTGTGGGTGCGGCTAGCCCATCCTCGGACGCATATATTGCCGGTCTTGTGCTGAGAAAATTGATCTTCAAATGACACATTCTCGCTCAACGACAGTGTTCATTGCTTATTGTTCCCTCGCAATACCCTACCGCTCAGCTTTAGACCACGTTATAATGGCCCCCCTCCTTCAAGTGCTTTCCATAACCATAGCTGCCTTTTCGGCGTGCTTTTATATCTCGCTCCCGTCACTACTGTCACTGGTAGCAGGGCGCGTGGCTATTGACAAGACAAGATTGATCCGATGGGAGAATGCGACGGACCTCAACAATGCCGAGTGCAGAGTGGACAGACTTGCCAATGCTTGTGAGGACGTCAAAGTCCATTTCCAATCTTCCACGGCCTTTCTGGCTTGCGGTGACCCTGTCCAGAGGACGAAATGGTATCCTCCGGCCTGCATACGCACCGTGGAAAAGCGTGCGTCGTTCCGAGAGCACATCTTCAAATACGATATCATTCGAGGGCAGACCACTGAGCTCCAGCTTGATGGACTGGTTAAGGACGATGATTTTGTCACTCACGGTATTGATATCTGGCCGATCTCGGATGACAAGGTTTGAACTTCTACCAAGGCGTCCATAACAATAGATAGAACCCTCACAACTAATCATGCACAGATTCATATCTTTGCCGTCAATCATGCGCGGTCTGGGGACTCCATAATCATCTTTGAGCACCTTCTAGGCTCCAACCGTGCTCACGTCGTCATGAATGTACGACACGATAATATTTTGACTGCGAACGGAGTGGCAGCAACTGGACCTTTGTAAGATCTACACAACCTCAAATAATCTATTTGTGGTGATTGGAAAGGGAACAAGACTCACCATGGCATAATTATAGCACATTCTACTTCACCAACGACCACTACTTCGAGAAAGGTCTTCTCCGAGACCTCGAGGACCGGTGGGGCCCCTGGGCAGGAGCCTCTCATGTTCAGTTTTGCGATGCAAGCAGCAAAGTATGTGCGATCCAAAACACGCCTGACCGAGCAAGGCTAAGAGACCTCACAGACAATTCGTTGTTTCCAGGTGTCCAATTCTGTTCCTGGAGCCAATGGTTTGGCGGTCGACGGTGATCAACTCTATCTAGGGGACTCGAAAAACGGTACCATAGCGGTATATGACATAGTCTCGGAGCACAAGCTCAAGCGTACCCATGTCGTCGTGAGTTCGGCATGTCCTGAACAAGTTACTGGATGCAAAAGAACTGACCCAGCAAAGGACCTAGGCGCTGCTGCTGACAACATACGAATCCTACCCGGTAGCGGTGATCTTATCGTATCAGGTCAGTGTGGATGCAAGAGTGGACTTCCCCAGTTTATCCTCCCGAGAACTTTCCATTGGAGGTAACCCGAGTCCCGCTAATGCTCTCTCTAATTACCCCGCAAAGTGTTTCCCACGCTAGAAAACCTGCCCCTGTATCTCTCAAACGTGGAGAAACTCGGCAAAGATTTCAAAGTCCCAGCCGGCATTCTTCGGTTGCGCCGCGATCGGGACTTTCTACCAGAGATGATTTACTATGACGACGGGCGCGTCCTCAGTTTTATGACCGCTGCTGAGATAGACCCAGCGAATCGAATCATAATAGGCGCAGCTGTCTTGCAGTATGGTGGATTTGCCGTTTGCAAGTTGCCTGACAATTACGATTTATCCTAGACAACCGTCGCAGCTGAAACAAAGAGCAGTGAAGAAGGGAACTTAGGGGTAGCTCTCCACGCTACTACGCCTTATACAGGCTATTAGTAGACATCTAGCGGCACTTGCGGTCTCTGATAGAAACTCTGAATTAGAATGTCGCATTAAGAGATTTTTTTTGTTTCCCCGTTGTTTTCAGAGGACGTTATCGGTGTCATTGGCCAGTTGCACAGTGTGACTCTGTCTTCGCCTAGCTCCGGAGCGGATCGCTCCGATGTTTTTAGAAAATAAGCGGTGGGCTTTCTTGCGAGAGTATCGAATTCATCGTATCCTCAGTAAGATAATATGTTGACTAATAACTTCTAATTAAATGCCCTTTTAGTCTTGTGGATGATGTATATAGTGGTCAGATGTAAGGGTCAAGATTCCAATATTCACCTCTCCTTTTACAACGTCTTCTTTTGGTGCGACGTCTTCTGTCAGTCATTTTCACGACCCTCCGATGGCAATGATCCGAGGTCAATGGAATCCTGTTATACTATTGACTGTATATACAGCGATTCTAGTACGGCTATGCCGTATCAATGCAGCAGCGGGACAAGCGTAAAAATGTATTCCCATGGCCTTTACAACCCCTGACCATGCAAAAACGTAGTTTCTCGTATATGATCACTCTTTGACGCATTCTCAGTCGCTGGGTATCTAGGCCTAACTCCCAGTTCCGTAGATTTTTTTCGTAAGGTACAATGAGCACCAGATGAAGTGAATTATTTTTCTTCCTTTCAAACTATGGACATACTGAATGCTTAGATTTAGCAGGACAACAATCTGGATTGTGAGTAAATAATCATCACCCATAAGTTTGTTGCGGTGCAGCATTTTTGTCTACCCATCGCATAGTTGGCCAAACGTCGGTATTTGGGTTTGAGCACTCTGTTCAAAGAAGCTCGTTCTATGAGGAATCTAAGGGGCCAGCATGTATGATAACAAACTATAGCAGAATCAGTGAAGGTGACTGTTAAGATGAGGTCGTGAGTCAGTCCGCTGGTATAATATTTCACCTCTTTGTCACTCTCAGCCTTATCCAGTCGAACTCTTCTGACCTCTTATACTTCACGACGTTGGTCTAATTGAGGATTCACGTCTCTATCTTCTTGTTAGATTTTTGTGAGCTATTCTCTCGCAGCCGACCGCATATATCGTTTCTATGACGTTAGATTTTCAAATGAACCGTACTATTGGAAAGGAATCATAGTTGCTTGCAAGCCCAGCGGGTTGCAAATATTGATATGCGGAAAAGTGGACGACCTTCAAGAGCACCCCACTTACTTCATCAACCGAGCCTAAAGCTGTGACCGTATATTGCTTCATCCTCCTCCCAATACGGACACAAGTCTTGCTGTCCTTCCCAAAGCTTTAGGAACATCGACCGTGGGTAATTCACAGTATATCGCGCCACTCGTGGGTGCTGTCGGCGGAAGTCGGAGACTTGATAACCGCAGGTAGCCAGCACACTATCCCAAAGGTCACCCCGATAACTGCCAGCATCATTATTCTCAGATATACCAAAGCTTTTCTTCGAGTATGCTGTCTCGGATATTGAACCACCACAGTGGTCCACCTGTTGGACATCAGCTCCTGATTTGATGAGAAGAACCAAAATTGCAAATTCTTCCTCCAAGCAACATGGGCCTCGTCCGCCCCTAATGGCTACGTGAAGGCATGAACGGCCATCAATGTCCACTGCATGTATGTCGGCGCCCCGTCGTAGTAAGAAACTGATAGTTCTCCTATGGTCGCCATATCCCATATCACGACAACACTGCAGCAACGCTGTATTGCTTTCTCCACGCACATCACGGGCCATTAAGTCAATACAGCAGTTGTCTAACATGACTCTTATCGAATTCTGGAAACTGGTCAGCGAGGTATTCTTAGAATAATAGGCAGACTTGGAAATTGATACTTTGCCTTGCACTATTACTTTTTCGAAAGGGGTTTTTCGACCGCCCGCCCCATCCACGATTGCTGAAGGATCTGCACCAGCTTCGAGCAGGATTCGTCGGCACTGGTTCATACGCTTTAAGTCGATAGGCGCTGTTCCAAAATCGTTTGGCTCCGCAGCGACCAGGGGACTTGTTACTTTAGAAACAGCTCAAATTTGTCGAGAACAGGTCATAAGATGCTTACACGAGGAATTCTTCATCGTATAACCACGGAGCAACGTGGTCTACATCGAGGCCACTTTCAACCAAGAACTGGCAGACTTCTGGTTGGCTAGTCGCGTACTTGAAAAATTTAATGTTAGACTCTTTAAAAGTTTCTTCATGTGACTCACAGATAGCAAAGATCTCCCCGCTTCGTCATGATCTCGGATAGATGCAGTTCCCTGTTGCAGAGATTTCCGAAGGCTATCCAGATCACCGTCTTTGACCATTGCGAATACTGGCGAATCCCCTGGCCGTACCCGGTTGACAGAGATACAAGGGATACTCGATAACAACCCTTGCATTAGTTCAGTCTGACAAATAGACACAGTCAGCATTTTGTTTTGTGTGGACTGTTCCGATGGCAAGAAGGCTAATATCGCTGAGAAGTCCTCCGCATCGCTTTCTGTCGATTTATCGGAAGTTCCACTGTAGCTGTTCGTATTGCTGCTTCGCAATTGACGTCTTCTCCTTGTTGAGGAGATGAGTACGCGGCCAGTGCCGATATCGAATTCTCGCCACTGCTGCTTCTGATGAAGAACAACACCAGCGGAATGTGATCTCTTCATGCCTATCATCTTATTAGAAGCTATGTCAAATCGGGCTCTGCATTAAATTACTGACCTCTATTGATACATAGTTTAGCTGAGGATGTGACATGACCGGAGAGGAGCCTCAGATCTTTGGAAAGCTCGCGCCTATCCAGGTCTTTTGTTTCGACAGCCCCACGAACGGGCTCCAGCTGGACGAAGTTGGCATAGCTCAAAAGTCTCTCTAGATTCTCGATGATCTTATCGGCGTCTTCGGACCTGATTGTACACTCGTCATCGCCAATAAGTAGGCATAGTTCGTTGATTGCATTCGTCAACTGATCGTAATTGCTGACTTCTATGCTCTCTTCTACGATGGAGTCATCATCATTTATTTCGACCACCGCAGGTTGGCCCATTGCTCGTGCTGGTACATCTGCTTGTAGCCGGCGCAGGATCTGGAGTATAGTGTCCATTTGAGATTGCAAGGCCGGAGGTTTGTTGCTGTAGCTGTCACCCTTCGGACAGTCTTTCTGCAAGTCGGATTTCTCTTGTTGCTCGCCTATGTCAGATCTAAGCGAGAGAACCTGGTCCCGGCATTCAACTACAATGTTCCTATTACCTAAATCAGGTCTTGCTGCAACAAACCATTGTTGAGGCACACCTACCTCTGCTGGATCATCAAGCGAAGACTGAGAGCAGACGCATGATTTGTGAGGATCCTGTTTATATGGACGAGGTCTTTGTCGGCCAGCGCAGCTCTAACACGCTTCCAGATCTTTCCACCTCTGGTCTCGGAGGCTGCAATATGAAAGCCTTCTAATTTGACGGCAATTGCCTCAACATCATCAGCACACTGCTTGACCTGCAGTTTATCTTGGGGGTTCGTAACGGACTCCTGACGCTGGAGCTGCTGGAGGATGGACTGGAGGTTTCTGACGCTGTTGGTGGTCAGCTGCACATTGGATGACCCATTTTTAATAGACGACAAGATCTCGTAGATTTTCTGGAGGGAGTTGAGAACGCCAACAAAGGCGAGCACGCTGGCTCCAGCACTCAAGGGATCCATGGGTGTGAATTGTCTCTGGTTGGGAAGCGTCTCTGGTGCAAGGCAGAGTGGTTGATGCTCCTTCCAGGGTCCGAGAGGACGAAAGGAACCTGACAGCTGCGACATTGGAAATATTAGGCTATTTATGCACGTGAACTCCTCGGAATCTTGATGCTGAGAGTGCAGTAATCCGAAGCAGTGCAGCATTGGGAGGAAAACCAATCCAATTGAAGATTACTGGACCACTCGCTTTCCATGTTGTCATCAAAGGCTCGTTGTCGGGACAGTGGCGTTCTCCAGCTTGCTCAGAAAGGAAAAGCCCAATGTTGTGATTAGGGGGTAGGACTAAAGTATAGTAGGATTCAGCGAGAAAGCTTGACCAAGAATAAGTCAGATAAATAAGCTTACCTCAATAAAAATCGCAGAAGACAAAGACAGAAGAAGCCAAAACACTTTGGCTGTTACAATGTACGCTTTAGGCCATACGAGATTCAATCGTGTGATACATCCTCGCCTCGGATCAAGCTTATTACCCGTCGTCGTCAGCAGCCATGAGACTCAATTTCCTGCTTGCCATTTCTATGGCGGGCTCTCACGCCTCCCATCATCGATGTGGTAGTTGACCCATAATGCGTCTACAAACCCAAAAGGAAGGAAGGATGGGACCTTGTACTGGGTACCTCCATATTTACAGGGCTTGGATATACCCTCCGTCAACTTCAAATACTACTTTCCAGCTGAAAAAAACGTGATAACTCACATGTGATCAATTGTACAGTCCAATCCTGGTGGTTGCCACGACATATATGTAGAGTATATATTGGCTGAATTTTACGCTTTAAAAAGTACCATGCAGCCGCCTCTAATTGTTATAAAACTGGTGCTCCATGATCATTCCCACCATATATTCACCCTATCACCGCCCCTCCCCACCCCCCCTTTCATGGAAGGAGGGGGCTGTTGTCCGACCTTCGGTTTGCGGAGTTCTCAACTGCTTTCAGAGGTGTCTTCAATCCCAAAGTACGGATCCAAGCACACTACTAAGTAATCACAGCCCTGCTCCAAGGACGTCTTCTGTCTCTGACGCCTCATGTGGCCTTCTCACATGTCCCAGGCTTATCATGTCGACATCAGATCTCCTTCAGCTTGGAATAGCTGTCTTGTGGTGGCTATTGGCTGCTCTGGCTTGCTATTGCACTACCTTGATGCTCCACCGCCTGTTCCTGGCCCACTTACTGATTTCCCTGGTCCAAAACTCGCAGGACTCACCTACTGGTATGAGTGTTACCATGGTATGACTTTTCAATCCTCTGCCGCATTCTTGTTCTCGTCCACCTGGAGCCGTATTCTCCCACGCTCTGACCCGAGAACAGATATCATTCGCCCGGGGCAATATGTATTTAAGATCAAGGAACTGCATGCCAGATATGGTAAGGAAATACCAACGCAGTATAAAAATGGTGTGCTTATTTAGAAATTAGGTCCCATCATCCGAATGGGGCCAGACGATATATCGATCTCGGATCCCGACTTTGTCGATACAATCTACGCTCCGGGCCCAGGCCATAAGCGTGATAAGAATGTCCGACAGATCAAGGCTCTGGGTATAAACAGTTCTGTTGGAGGCTCCATTGCTCATGACCTCCACCGGAAGCGACGAGAAGCCCTCAACTCTTTCTTCTCCCATCAACGCATCGGTAGGCTCAACCCGGAGTTGGCAGACAAGATTAGCCAGATTGAGACCGTCTTTTCTCGAGCCAAAGAGAGCAGTGAGGTACTGAACCTCTCTGATATCTACTACGCGTTTTGCAACGAGTAAGGCAGTCCCTGCGAAAAATAGGATGTGATTGTGGCTGCTGACAGTAGGAGCACTATGTAGCATCGTTCACGAATACTGTTTCGGTAACAGTCCTAACCTTCTCCACGACTTGCAACTTGCCAGTAGCCGCCGCCAAAATGTTGCCAACGTCCTTGGCCGCAGCAAATTCAATCTGCATTTTGGTTGGGTTCGCGATATCATGCAGAGCCTCCCGCCTAGTATAGGCACATCAATAACACCACCAGGGATTCGCGATATGATCGCCTTTCGCAGGTCGATCAGCATACAGATTGCTTCCATCCTAGCTAGCAAGCCATCTCTAAACGAGGCTCCATCGATCTTTACCTACCTTCGCGATAGCCCACATCTACCCGTCTCTGAGAAGTCACCTCATCGTCTTCAGGATGAGGCTACGCTGCTCATCATGGCGGGAACATATTCGCCAATTCTGTCACTGCTCGTGGCACACTATCACCTCATCGCACGTCCAGAAATAATGGCGAAGCTCCGATCCGAGCTAGCTATCCACCCTGCTGCTGTCAATGCCACACAACTAGAGCAACTGCCTTATCTGTCCGCCATCGTCCAAGAGTCCCACCGGCTCACCTTTGGATTGACCGGACGGAACCCGCGGGTCTACCCTGATGAGACCATTGTTTACACTGATAAAGGTACGACAGATGCAGGTGGCAGTGGGCCGCGTACCTATACGATTCCACCAGGCATCTCCCTCAGCACGTCCACCTTGCTCTTGCATACAGACGAGTCTATATTCCCGGATCCGTGGAAATTCGACCCTGAGCGCTGGATGATGACAGATGATACGGAGACACTGGGCCGCCGACGTCGATTCATGATGAGTTTCATGCGTGGGACTCGTGGATGCATCGGTATGCACCTCGCGAATGCCGAGATAACCGTCGCCGTGGCTGCTATGGCTCGCTGGGATATGAGCTTGTATGACACGACGGCGCAAGACGTAGCTTTCTGCCATGATTATCATGTCATGTGTCCGAGGCTTGGGTCCAAAGGCGTACAGGTGAAAGTGACAGGCCGCGCGGGAAGGGATTGATTAATATAGCTTTCAATGTAGGAATAGGTCACCTCATATGAGATCCTATCGACGACTGTGGCGTGGTCTATTGGGAGTCCGATAGCGTGAAAAGAGAAGGTGCTAAGAAGCTATGGTCTTGGTTGAGGGGCTCTTCTATATAATGTGTGCTTTTAGGTGTTATTCACCTTGAATAAAATCTTATTGCTACTGACAGACACAACGAGGATCAAAAGATTGATCTGCGCTCACACTAATAAATAAGTAAAGGTGAATAAAAAGTATTTGATAATGCGCGTGAGTTGGGCTGCCAGAAAGCAGTGAGCGAATTACACCAGTGATATATGGAAACACCAGACCGATGGAGTCGGCCGAATGCCAAATATTGATCACCTTCACCTAGTAACTTGACACTTGATATCCCGGAACCTCAGCACATCTATTGTGATCGCCGTCTATGGCTGCTATTACAAACCAAATAGTACGAGACTTCGAACAATGAGAAGAAGCTTGATGCATTCAAACCTTATCAGCTTGGCAATCTAGTTTCTTCAAGATAGATCTTGAGGCTGGTGACGGCCTTCGGAATCAATGCCACCAGCTTCATCGTGCGCTGCGGGGAAGGCTGTGTCGTCACCTTGTAACTCTTCGTGGGGGGGGGGGGGGCATAGAGATAGGAGAGATATCATCTCTCAAGACAAATATTGGACCGTAGACACCGCCTGTAGCCTTTTGCAGCAGAGATAGGCATTGATTAGTTTTTTCTTTAGCAATCTGTCAACACGAAAGCTTGCTAATAGTATCTGCTGAAGTCAACCTATAATTATATATATATGTGGCACTGATTCATGTTGGCCAAGTAAAGCCAGACCAACTTCCCACAAGCACCAGCTTCGCAACAGAGTCCAGTGTTGGAGACGATCACGGGAATATATTGCGAAAGTCAGCCTTTTCCAGAGCCCTCTTCACGGTCCATGAACCAATGGTAAGTGCATGCTTGCATAATATCACCTTACTGTTTTTCTCTGCGCATAGATACTTTCAAGCTATGACAAGAGAGGCCAATAAAACTGCTTTAGACGCCCGGATCTTCTGATTATCCTGTCTACTTGTTAGTTAAAAGGGACCTCTTATGTAGTAGTGGCCATAGGGCCTCAGTGAATGTGAGGCCTGGCTGACTCACTGGCTTTTGGCAGGGAGTCAGCAGGACTAGAGCCAATTGCTTTTGATATATAGAAAGGCAATTAGGCTTGGAGTAGTTAATTGAAGAATCATATTCCCTCATACCATTTGTGGTACACCACAGATGCCTTCTACATCTTAGCGCTTATTCTTTTTTCGACAGCATCGATGACAGACTCCGAAGCCTACGATAATAACTATGGCCGATTCCAAAGAATATCCGTGCTCTCCTAACGTAGCTCTTTGCGACAGCTCTCAGAGCAGCGAGACGTGGAGTCAGGTGCTTGACGTGTTACAGCCCTTCAGTACCGAGTCGAGACTCCTCAAGATACCACCCTGCGCTTTTGCGAATCTACAACTTCTGATAGCCGCATCCCAGATCGCCGACGCCCTCAAGACCCTCCAGATACTATCAGAAACCAGCAACCCATCAGGATGGCCGGTTTGGCCGCCGAAACCAACGCCGCACCGCTGCTGTTGACTAGGTCGCTCCATAGATAGCTGCAAACAAGCGCCATCGATCAGGCTCAAACGATGACGAATCTACCTAGGCCACATTTTACAATATTCTACTTCCGTGACTCAGGTGAAGGAGACAAAGCAAAACATCTTTGCAGCCAACGGGATCATCAAGACGCTATCCCAGACTGGTCTGCGAGGTCATATTCATCTGGGGAAGAGTGGGTACTTTGACCCCAACCCTCCTCTCAGAAAACTATATAATTACTTACTGAGCCTGATATGGCTATATTGAAGATCTTCCTCTTGTTTAGTTAGATTCAATCTCAACACTGTTTGTGCCATTTCTACGGTCCTCAGCCTATACCTCGTCTTATCATCACACTTTTCACACCATAGGCCTCATTTCGCAGGCGTTCCCGGTTATCCTTGCCGAAACAAATACCACGATGTCAATAGTGTGACCAAGATGGCCACACAAAAGGCCTTCGCGATCGACCAGCCTGGATTCGTGTGGCTCCCGACGGAACCAGAGTAGAGTAATCATGAGTCAATAATGGGCACCTTAATATGAGATCTGCGCATTATCTGCGCCAGGCATCTCCAAACCCCCTCAAGTTGCAGCACCACTATTCCGAAACGAGTAGGTGACGCGTATGAATAAAAAGGATGTCTCAAGTGGGAGGATGTCGTAGCCACAGTAGCACAAAGACCCAGTGAAGGTACTCACGACTGGTACTTTCGGCCAAGTTGGTGTGTAGTTATGCCGATCACGCTCCTTTTGTGACCAACACAGCTGACAGCTCGCTAGTTTTCTTGTTCAGTAACTACTGCGTTTGCCATTTTGGTGGGACTAATGTCGTAAATTTCTGGCCAGATGGGGGGAAAAATTGCAGATCCAGGTAAGAAAGGAAGTCCCGTACCCCATGGCCAAATGATTAACCAAGTCCATCTTTTCGCCCCCACGTATCGCTAGCAAGGAGTAGTTGTTCGTTTTGCTTCTTTACATACGCCATATGCAGCAACACTGCAAATAGAGCGTTTGCCCTCAGAATTATGCCTACTACCATGTCTGGTATACTCTGAAGGTATACATCTGCACAGGACTAAATCAGAATGTTTCCATCCTGCAAGTTTGCATTTGGCGCTACTTCTGTTAGCATAATCCTATTGAGTACTTCAAGAATCTTAGCATACCAGCAGTGCTGGCAGCCTGACTGGTACAGTAAGACCGGATCTCAGTAAAGCTTCCATGCGATGGAACAGTAACCTGCGATTGCAACGCCTCCTGAACTCCTGCATTAAAATACAATGCTACTTCATGTGCTATTATAAAGCACTCGCAGTACTGGACTATGACGGATAAGTAAATATTGTCTGAAGAAGCATATACGATCTGCGGAAGGCCAGGCATACTAACAGAGGGATCAGAAGGATGGTAAATGCAATCCCTAAGCTGCGTTCCCTCCATCCCGCCGTGTACAAAAGAATGGTCCAGCCCGTAATCTGTCGTCTGTGGAATTGATGACTGCATCACGTATCGGAGTCTTAAAATATTTGCGACCATTTTGTCAATCGCAATGTCCCCAAACAAGACCCTCATCTACAAGCGCTACACGCCGCACTTGCCAGTGCCCGGCGAGCACCTGACCGTGGAGCAACGGGCTTTTGATCCTACGAAGCCACCTCCCCCGGGAGGCATCACCATCAAGAACACATACTTGTCCCCTGATCCCTACCAGCGCGGGCAGATGAGAGGCCCTGGCGAGACGGGTACCTACTCCATCCCCTGGGTCGAGGGTCAGCCGGCCGTAGTTATGACAATTGCCACTGTGATCCAATCGGATGCCCCAGGATGTTTGTTTCCCATCGTTTTTATTACTTTCTCTACTAGTTCTTGATTCCTAGAGAAGTAAATACTAAGCATGTGGATATATAGTCAAGCCTGGAGACCATGTGCTCGCTATGGCGGATGCTGCAGAGTATGCTGTCGTTCACGCCGAAATGATGGGCTATACACGACTTATAGCCTTGCCAGAGGGTATTAATATTGGCCCGCCGACCCTTCTAGGTGCACTAGGTGTTGCAGGCCTGTCAGCATACGTGAGCTTTAATGAGTACGTTACGGAGCCGCGGGCTGGCAAGACCATTCTCATCTCTGCTGCAAGTGGCGCCGTCGGCCAGTTGGTAGGTCAAATGGCCAAAATGCACGGGATGAAGGTCATCGGCAGTACCGGGAGCCAGGCCAAAGTCGATTTCGTTACTAAGGAGCTGGGCTTCGATGGTGCTTGGAACTATAAAGCCGAGAAGACAGCTGATGCCCTAACGAGACTGGCCCCCGAAGGCCTTGACTTCTATTATGACAACGTCGGTGGCGAGCAGCTCGAGGTCGCCCTCACTCGAATGAAGGACTATGGCCACATAATTGTGAGCGGTATGATGTCGGTATACATGTATCCTGACGAGGAGAAGTACGGAATTCGGACTGGCATGAACATTTTCTTGAAACGTCTGACACTTCATGGTTTCATATGCTCGGATGCTCAGAACATGGAGAAGTACATGCCATCATTCCCTACGGTAAGTGGGGTTCTGACAAACTTTTCACATCTTGTTCAAGGCATGCTCCGTATCATGAGATATCGAAGATCTGGAAAGAGTCTCGACAGCTCCTTGTTTAGTCTATCGTAGCCTTGCTGACTTCTATGCCTCATAGGACATGGTAACCTGGATCCTCCAGGGTGCTATCAAGACTAAGGAAGAAGTTGTGGTAGGGATAGACAACATGCCTGACGCAATGGTGAGGATGTGGACAGGTGATAAGTTTGGCAAAATGGTCGTGCAGGTTGACAAGAAATGAGGACTAAATAAGTTTGCAATGCTCTCTATTAGATTCTCTACTATAAGTACCAATGACATTAAATAGTTGAACCGTTATAAATACACATTTTTCTCCTTTGTCAGTTCAGAGACGTCGCGATTTCTTTGACAGGTTGAGGTAGATCTGTTTATTTTCTTCGGATTCGAGCACTACAAGAATCACCATTCCTAATTCGAGCTGCAAACGATCAGGTATATAATTAAAGCCTAGACCTTATATCTTCTTGTGTATAAGTTTGGATAAGTCTGGGATGTTCAACGCGATCATTTGGGTTGACCGTGGAAAAGATCCATCAGATTTGGAGTTAAAAGTTCCAGCATTTTCCTCACAGTGTTTCTTGCTTGGCGGTGTTTGCATTTTCTTTCTTCCGAATTCCTGACTCGGGACTGATTTGTATCTATATACATTCATCTAAACCAATATGAATAGGGAACATCTATCGGTATCTTTCCGGCTCAGACGAGCTCTATATACTCCGACTCGTTACTCCTCGCAGTATTCTTCTTCGGCGTACTCTGACTTACATTATAACTGACCGCATTCATAATCCCCTTGGACATGCTTGCGACGAATGGACGGAAGGTCGGAAGACAGGATGCAACCAAATAGCAGCCTGGCTCAATCAGTGACCACGTCGCAATATCGGCGGACACCCAGGTACCGTCACTCAGCGTGGTGGTGCGAAACGTAACGGTGAGACGGATGATACTAGCTACTATACCACTATCGAGCATGAGTAGTTAGCATACTATAACAAAACTATGGTTTTCCGTTCTCAATGTCGTATAAGACGGGAGAACCTACATGCTTCCTAACAAAAGTATCACCGTCAGTGCTAGCTTTTGTTTTCTTGCCATTTGCAGTTTCCACACGACCGGCATCGGGAGTACGAGCATGATGAGATCAGTCAGGATGTTGGGAACGCTCATGCCCTGCCAATAGCGCGGGGCATCGATGCAGTTGGTAGAGTACAACTGTAGATTCCAGCGAGCCGAGAAGGGCCGGCATGAAGCAAGCGACGTGATGACGCCCGCGACGGCAGCACAGACGATGACGGCGCCCACGAGGTAGCTGATGATGCGATAGGATCGCTCAGTAAAGATGCGTAGATATGTAGCCAGGATAGAAAGTTTGGGGAAAGCCACGGCCAGGCAGTATAACTCCTCGATGGCGTAGCCGCACTTGGCCCAGTTGACAACGGCTTCGGGGTCGGTGGCGAGGAGGACATCCAAGTGTCGTCCAACGCCTGCGATCTTGATTTCGACTGTTGCAGCATATCCGTCGTTACTACCAGGCACACATTTGACCACGTCATGAATGGCCGGATGGAACCGCTATACTGGGACGAAAAGGACACTTACCAATACCTATTGCACAGATACCAAGACAGAACAGCAATGCCGGCGCCATCAGGTAGTCATCAAAACCCCACTTTGCGCCATATTTGAAGCGTGCCCAGCAGCGTAAAGTGACGACTCCAATCTCCAAGACGATGAAGAGACACGCCGCAATGAGAACTCGACTGCTGATATTCTCGTCTGCATAGCCGGGAGGAAAGGCTGCACGCGGTGACGCCATTGCACCGATTCTGATCTCGTGGAATACGTAAAAGAAGAATAGCGAGGAGGCTGAGGTACAAGGAATAGTAGGTCTGAAAGTTTATCAGTCGACTGGACATTTTTTTCTGCGAAGTGAAGGCGACAGGCCAACTTTCGTTAGTCAGTAACAGACACAGTGCATATACTCAAGTCCGGCATTTCATACCTCCTTATGTGTAACGCTTTCCTCCGGCATCCTGAAGGATGCAAATGCGTCGTTAAGCAGGAGCAGGAACGCCTCGATGCATCAGGATCAGTCTCTATATTAATTAATTGCCACACTCCTTCATTGTCTCTTGGCGAAAATCAGCTTAGTATAATAGACGGTAAATGCATAGACGGGGTAGGATTCCTACACTTGCATATGATCAGGAGATTATCGACCGATACCAGATTTTGGATCCGAGTTTGGCGGCCAAACAATCTGGGGCCAAACGAGTTTGGGGCAGAACCAGCAAACGCTTTCGTCATCATCTCAGTAAGGTATTACTGCGAAAGTTCCCGCAAACTTGAGGGATTTGATGCAGCCTGTAAGAGACCACAAATTTCTTAACCTGGGAGCGGCGTGTTGATCCATTATGTGGGTGTATGTTGCACCTGCAGTCGTTGCAAGTTACATGCAGGATCTGATGTTACACTCGGACTTGACGGCAGAGGATTGTCTTGGTCCTCGAGAATCCCTGGTGGTTCGACCAAATATGATACACATGCACTGATACCTATTGTGATCCCTCCTAGTACAGCTGCTTTGAGATAGTTCTTAGTTTCAGGCTCTCGGGGTTTTGAGAGAGAATGTTTAGAGACATGTATGATCAGCAAGCCCATATAAACTGGTAGCTCCTCGAATCAAGCCGTAACTCTTCATGGTACGTAGAAAGAATAAAGAGCCTCAGAATTGTACACCAGTATCCATCGATCTATTGCCACTTGTATACAGCCACCTGAGTAATCGTTACAAAGAATGAGTACCTGTTCGACTCAAGAGACGGCTGAGCCAATTGCCATTGTGGGAATAGGTATTTGACTCGCTACTTGCTCATAAAGTTTCTTATACTTTTTAACGTGCTTCGCAAACAGGATGTCGTATGCCTGGAGATGTCAGCAGTCCAGAAGCTGTTTGGAAGCTCATCATGACTGAAGGCATTGCCAACAGTGCCAAGGTGCCCAAGGCTCGCTTCAATATCGACGCTTATCTACACCCGAGCAACGAGCGCCCAGGAAGTTTCAACGTTCCTGGTGGGTATTTCCTCAATGATGACATCGAGGCTTTCGACCCGGGCATGTTCGGAAACATGTCACGCGTTGAAGCCCTGTGTATGGATCCTCAGCAGCGTAAGCTCCTGGAGGTAGTGTACGAGGCTATTGAGAGCAGCGGGGTCACGTTGCAGACCTTAGCCGCTCGGAAGACCGGGTGTGCGAGGCCAGGTGAGTCACTGGCCCCACTATCGCCAGCCTACCTCTATAGCCTCAGATAGCCAGCTGTTTTTCCTTTCTTTTCCTTCCTTTTCTTTCCCTCAGCGCAGTCCAATACAGTTCATTTCCCATACCGGGTGCTTCGCGGCTACTTTCACGCAGGACTTCCAGCACATGGCCACCAAGGAACCAGACTTCAGGCATGCATATACGGCCATTGGTGTCGACAGTGGGATGCTGGCGAATCGTGTCAGTTTTGTCTTCGACCTGAGAGGGCCGAGGTAGGGGAATCCCCTTTCGAGAGCATAGAACGCTGCTTCTCAACATGAAACGAGGGTTGTCTGTTGTTAACTACTCACTATATAGTGTGACGGTCAATACGGCGTGCTCTTCGTCCATGTATGCGCTGCATCTCGCTTGCCAGGCTATGGCCCAGGGTGACTGTGACGGTGCTGTCGTGGGGGGCACCAACCTTATCCTGAACGTGGATCAACAAATGAACACGGCGAGAATGGGGGTCTTATCGCCCACCAATCAGTGTCACACTTTTGATGAGGCTGCGGATGGCTATGGACGAGCAGATGGCGTGGGCGCTCTCTACCTGAGGCCATTACGTTCTGCCATCAGGGATGGGGACCCAATTCGTGCTGTAATCAGATCCACAGCCGCTGGCAGGTAAGCCTTACTAAGTCATTACCAGATCGCACTGACAAGCTATTTGCCTCTTTCCTTTGTAATAATGGAGTAGCTATGACTTACTATGGTTGCATCATACAGCAGTGGGAAGTGCAAAGACGGCATTACACATCCCAGTGTCCAAGGCCAGATGGATGTCATTGCAACTGCCTACAAACGAGCAGGTCTGTCGACTGATGAGACTGCTTACGTGGAGTGCCACGGAACAGGAACACCCGTCGGTGATCCTATCGAGGTTGAAGCCATCCAACGGGCCATGGGTATCTCAGCATCGAGGTCTGACCCGGTGCTCATCGGTAGCGTACGTCTCCATCGACAGATACAACGGCCTCCATGCCGGCCATTATCTCACTACTACAATAACTGACTGTACAACGATGTATGGGCAGATCAAGCCCAACGTAGGACATAGCGAGGCAGCCAGCAGCATGGCTACGGTAATCAAAGCCGTACTGGCACTGGAGAAGGGCATCATTCCGCCAACGGCGGGGGTCAAAAAGCTGCAACCGAGCAGTAGGTCTTATTCAACTTGACGTCTTGTTCAGGTCCTAAACATTCTTGCGCTCTGATAAAAAAAAACCCCCCTTTTAGTTCCATGGGATACTATAAATGTTCAGGTTGTCACGCAGCCTTTCGTGTGGACAGCTTCCAACAAGCATGTCCGGCGTATTGACATCAACGCTTTCGGCTATGGAGGTACCAATGCCCATGCGATCATTGAGGGCGCAGAGTCCCTGGTGCCATCGGAATATCTCATTCTCCAGACCTCTTTGTCATCATTCAACCGCAGCACGACCTCAGAAGTAAGACTGGATGTGAATCCGCTTGATGAAACCGAACAGTCTTGTCACGATCATGGTGCTCGCGGGACCAGTCGCCCATACTTGTTACTGTTTTCAGCGCATGACGAGCCCACCCTGCGGAATATACTCATCGATTACTCAACGCTTAGGGTCAGTAATTCCACGGACATGCTTAACCTAGCCTACACGCTTGGGTGCCGTCGGACTAAGCTACCGTGGCGGTCTTTCGGCATTGCTCGCGCGGCGAGCTTGGGGCAAGATGTCTTGGCCGCATCTGCCGGAATTCTTCACGCTGGCAGCGACGCGGCAAGGCCAGCGTTTATATTCACCGGTGCGTGACTATTTCCTGTTCTGGATCTCTTCTGCTCTCATTCACACTTGTCCGAGTTGCTCTAAGCAGCATAATTAGTGTACATCCTGCCGATGATGACATTACTGAAGAATAGAAAATAGGCCAAGGCGCACAATGGGCGCGAATGGGTGCGGAACTTTTACAGCTCTACCCACTCACCACAAGAGAAACAACTCGGAAACTGGACCGGCATCTCTCTCAGCTCAAATCGCCGCCCAGCTGGACGATAGAGCAGATAATGCAGCAGCCGAAGGAGACAAGTGTGATCAACGAGGCCGAATATGCCCAACCACTGTGTACAGCGATACAGATCATGCTTGTGGACCTCCTTTATCACTGGTCTGCGAGGCCTCTAGCCACAGTTGGACACTCCTCTGGTCAGTATTTAAAATCACCCTGTCTTCATCAACCCCACCACTGATATCTCCCTTTGAAACTCGTTGAAACTGATTTCATCTTCGTCCGGACAGGTGAGATTGCAGCAGCGGTTCGTGTTTCTTTTTGGTTTTCTATTTCATCCCTTGTTGTTGGCCACTTCGTTTTCAGTGCAGTCAATGTAAACGACCTGCTGCTAATCCGCAATCATGTACCACAATAGTACGCTGCTGGCCGAATCTCGGCCGAGGACGCAATCACAACGGCCTATCTTCGGGGAAAGCTCGCCGCATCACTTGGCGACAACGGAGCCATGCTGGCTGTAGGGCTCGGCGCTGAGGACGTCGCAAGAAAGTACTTGGCTACTCCGGAAGAACCATGGAGCTCTGGTCGAGTCGTCGTTGCTTGCCACAATTCCGCCAGTGCCGTCACTCTGAGTGGTGACGCACAGGCTGTTGAGGCACTGAGACTATTGCTGGAAGACGACAGGGTCTTCACACGTATGGTCAAAACGGGCGGGAAGGCGTACCACTCCCACCACATGAAAACAGCTGCAGGGGAGTACGAGAAGCAGCTTAGGCTGTGCTCTGCCGTAAACGTCGGTGATTTGTTACCCAAGCTCCCGATGTTTTCTACGGTTAATACAAGTACAATAAGGGACGACTATATTCCTGCGTCGTACTGGGTGGATAGTCTGGTCAGCCCGGTGTTGTTCGAACAGGGTGTCAGCCTGATGCTGCGCGAAATGCCAGACATCAACCTTTTGATTGAGGTTGGTCCTCATGCCTCTCTGGCCGGGCCACTTCGACAAATCCTGCAAGCCGAGAACAAGGCTCTCAGGGTGAACTACTTGTCCACTCTCAAAAGAGGGGAGCACGATGGAGAGCGGATGCTCAGTCTGGCAGCCAGTCTCTGGGCTAAGAATGGGCCTATCGATGTGGGTGTATTGCTTGAGAGCGAAGATATATGCAAAAGGGATGCAACAGGTAGCGAGGTGGTCGAAACAAAGGCTGCATCACTCTTGTTGGGTTTACCTACGTACCATTGGACGTATTCAATACCGTGTTGGACCGAGCCACGCATGAGCAGGGAACAACGCCAGATGCCAGAACCACGTCACGATATCCTGGGCCGCCGCGTTCTGGGTACTTCAGCCCTGGAGCCTATGTGGCGCAATGTATGTGATTTACTTATCTCAATGAGCTTCTTTCAGTTTCCGGACTTCTCTCTATCTCTCCTCATAGCAGATTCTCTTCTTCTTCCCCGCTTTCTTCAGATGTCTTCGTTCAGACCACCAGGCTGGCAAGATCCAGCCGTGTTTTTTCTCATGCTAGCGGCTGACATCCGTTCTCTACTAGATCCTGCGACAGAAAGACTTGCCTTGGTTGTCCCACCACCGTCTAGGGGGTGAGGTCATGCTCCCCGGTGCCGGGTATCTTGCACTGGCTATCGAAGCCATCACGCAGATTAATCAACAGGAAGCCGTTCCTGCCATCATTGATAGCTATACCATACGCGACGTCACCTTTTCATCTGCTACCGTCATTCCAGACAACGACACGGGAACCGAAACCCTGTTTCGGATGCAACCAGTGCTTGGTAGGTCCTCCGGCAAAAGCAGCCTGTGGTACGGTTTTTCTGCGTCCTGCTATTCGTATGGCAACTGGAAAGAAACAGCACGAGGCAAGGTCGGGATCAACGTCTTTAGGGACAGTCACCAAATGCATAACCCTGATGTTCCATCGGACGCGCCATGGAGGAAAGCAAAGCACATTCACTGGCTTGACAAGCTACGAACCCTTGGAGTGGACCTCGGTCCGGCATTCCACCGCATCGACGATATATACACATCGGCTGAGCATTACAATGCCCATGCGGAGCTAACAATCAGCAACACGTGCGGACTCCTCGCAGCCGAGTCTCGCTACTTGATGCATCCCTCCGTCATCGACTCTTGTATGCAACTATCGACAGCGGCCACTCACCGTGGTGATCTCGACGCTATGCACTGCGGAACCATCCCCACGCACATTGGCGAGGCGACGTTCTTTGTGCCATCCGTGGAACACACTAAAAGGCCCAGCAAAGTGCATGCTTGGACCCCTCCACCGCTGGGTACCCGCGCTTTTACGAGCCATGTTCTGGTCAATGGGTTCGACGGATCAGTCCTGTTGCAATTGTCCGGCTTCCGGCATGTCTACTACAGCGCAGCAGTTCCCCACGAGATGCGAGGCCCGATGTCTCGGGACCTGTACCTCCATGATAAATGGAATGTGGATGCGAAGTATCTGGAAAGTTCTCAGGCGGCATCATTTTCTGAGGTCGTAGAAATCCTGCTCCACAAGTACCAGGGAGCCACTCGGATCCTCTGTCTAGACCCTGAACTCATCCCTTTCTTCCTGACGAGTTGGCCGCGGCTCACCGTGGTCGTTGGCGTCGCCTCGTCTCAGCAAGATAAGAAGAGCATGATCCTGGCCAGATACGGCGAGCGGGTGAACCTAAGGTTTCTTGATGTGAACGAAAATCTGGCTACAGCACCAAATGGTAATAGTACCGACTTGTCTCAACGGGAGGGATACGAATTGGTTGCCTCATCATCTGGTGCTTGTCCAGAGGGCGCAGAGCTGGCGAGTCTCCTTCAGATGCTCTCTCCGAACGCACGACTTGTTATCCAGGACGGTAAAACTGCGACAATCCAGGAGCTTGCGAAGCACATCGGGTCTCTTTTGGAACCCATCGGCATTCTTGCGGATGGTAGCATCGTAGCAAGGAGGAGCAAGACCTGCAATACTGGTGCAAATGGGAGTGTTGTGATGGTCAAGAGCGAGGAAGGCCACAGCAAGATCGTCAAGAAGTCTGTCCCCCTTGTTCTTCATCACGAGCAAAGCAACTCACCGCTGCTCGATCCCATCAGCCAAAGACTAGCAAGTGCAGGATGGACCTTTCGCTGTGGGGTGCTCGGTGATCCTGATTTGATCTGCGAGCCCTACGAACGGGTTGTCCTACTGGATGATGACCCTGCGAGCGGAGCAATCCTCGCGCATGTCGACCAAGACCGTCTGCGCGGCGTTATCAATCTCACTGAGTCTGCCTCATCCCTTGTATGGATAACTCGCGGAGGGCTCCTCACCGGAGACAGACCAGAGTATGGCATGACGACAGGGGCGGCTCGAGTCATCAGGACCGAGAAGGGTTCCGGTTTTGACCTGGTGACGGTTGATTATGACCATGTCAGGTCGGGCTCGGGGGAGCAGGTGGCTGTGCTGGTGAGCGACATATTGCGCCGACAGCACACCAGCAAGAGCGAGGTTCATCCTGGTAGCGAGAAAGAGTACTGCATCAAAAGCGGTGCGGTGTACATCCCCCGCCTAGTACAACACAATGATGTGAACACTCAGTTTGTTCTGGATTCCGGCATCAATACAACACTCGACCACCAACATTACCAACGAGCAGCAGTGCCTGCAGTACAGGCCCAGCTTGAACAGGTCACAGGCGCGCTCACATATCGTGTTGATGGCTGTGACCCAAGGTCTCGTTCTCTGGAACCTGATGAGTTGCAAGTGCACGTTGCGGCTATTGGCCTCACAGCGGACGACGGGGTAGACGACACCCACTTCCTGAGCCACCAATTTGCTGGCACGGTGGTGCGTGCAGGTCATAATGCCAATGAGGAGTTCCCACCCGGGACCCCGGTCGCGGGTTTCGCCTCCGGCTTCAGCGGCCAGCTGGCTACATTTCAGCATACGTCGTCGCGGCTTGTCTTCTCTTTGGCCAGCGCTCGGGAGGACGGTAAATTTGGGATAACAGAAGCGGCTACGATCCCGTCGGCCTTTGTTGTTGCCATGTACGGGCTCAAAGAGCTCGCGCGTGTCGAGCCTGACGAGAATGTGCTGATTGTGGATGGGATGGGTGCCGTCGGCCTGGCTGCCGTCCAGCTGTGCCGTGTGCTCGGTGCAAAGGTCATCTTTGTGACCTTGTCTGAGGCTTCCCGACGGGTGCTTGTCGACAGTGGGCTTGTTGGCTCATCCTGCCAGGTGATTCTATGGAGTCATGAACGAGACCAGGGCAACGGCCAAGGCTGTCTGCGCCGTCTAATACAGGACGCACTTACAGCCAAAGGAAGTGGTTGTGGTAGTATCGATGCCGTCTTGTGCTCGGCGTCCGTATGCCAAACATCGGTTCTTGAGGCTGTTGGCCCATGCCTGTCAGAACTTGCAAGAATTGCAGTAGTGGGGAAAACTGAGGCCCGTGGCGATGGAGACAGCATCTTATCGGCAATCTTGCCATCCATTCGTGGTTTAAGCCTGTCTTACTTCCAGCTGAGAGACGTGGCTGAGCGTCGGCCAAGAGTGTTCTCCAGGTATGTTGGCAACCACCCGATCCCTAGCTTGTTGTATTGTATAAAGAGCTCAATGAGTATCCTTTTGATTTCTGACCTCCCGTACATGACATATAGGATCTTACGTTATTGTGGTGATCTCTACCGTCAAGGAGCCATCCAGCATATACACCCTATCACAGAACTAAGACCGAGTGAGGTGCTGAAGTCTCCAGTCCCAGCGGATATAGGCCCAGGTATCCACGTCGTACGCTATGATGAGGGTACTTCGTTCGAGATAGACGGCCCTCTATCACCAAGTCCACTACGGTTCAGGGCCAATGCTACGTACCTGCTGGTAGGTTGTCTTGGCGGCCTCGGGCGCGCAGTGGCTCTTTGGATGGCAGATAGAGGCGCCCGGCATGTCGCTGAAATCAGAGGCAGGACTCCCCCAGGTCCGCCCATACGTGGCGTGCTAAATGCTGCAGGCGTCCTGCACGACGGGTTGTTCAGCAATATGACAGCACCGGTCTGGCATCAAGTGACCGATGCCAAGGTCGAGGGCTGCCTGAACCTGCACCACGTATTCTCGCCCTCACCGGCAAATGACGGTGGAGAGACACAGACACTAGATTTCTTTGTAATGACCAGCTCGGTCGCCTGCGCGTTGGGGTCCGGTGGGCAGTCCAACTACGCCGCCGCAAATGCCTTTCTTGACTCCCTCGCTCGTCACCGCCGCACACGAGGGCTTCCCGCTGTGTCGCTCATTCTTCCGGCCATTCTGGGCATCGGCTATATTTCCGAGCACCCAGAGCTCGTCAAGTCCTTCCAGGGCAAGGGAATGTACGGTATATATGAGAAAGAGATGCTCGAGGCGTTCGGCGTGGCCTTGCGACCGCAGGGTCCTCCACACGGACACGACACGGTCGGCGACCACCTAATCGTTGGCGTCCAGCCTCGGCGTTTTGGGGAGTCTATCCGCGCCGCCGGTGCCCACGCTCCCTGGATTGATGATGCGAGGTACAGATGGCTGCGGGCAGCAGTGGAGGCCCAGACCGGCGTGCACGCAGATACGAGCGGCGGCGGCGGTCAAGCATTTGGATCACGACAGAACATCTTGTCCACAATCCGCGAAGCATCTAGCAAGGACCTCGCCGTTGAGGCAGCAACTAAGCATGTGGCTGCGCGGCTGGTACAATTGCTTATGTTGGATGAGAGAAGTTTGGACACGAGGCACAAATCGGTAGGGAGTTATGGCTTGGACAGTATGATAGGTGCAGAATTTCGCAATTGGCTCTTCCGCGAGTTTGGTGCTGATATTCCTTTTCAGCAACTTCTTGCGGGAAATGCAACCATTTCGGAGCTGGCAAGAATGTTGTGTGAGAAAGTGTTGACAAACAAGGATTGTTGAAGCATCTTTGTTGCAATATTTCCACTACAAGTACAATAGTTCATGCATTGTAATATTTCGGAATAAGATGAATGAATACCACATGTGTCGAACGATGATTCTCTCTTGAGCAGCTTGCCTACTTGTACAAATTGCGTGGTCCAGGAAATCGAGAACATACGTATCTCCACATTTGAATAATGTAGCCTGGTAGTTCAAATGGAGTCATTCCAAAGAGAACTTGCATCAATGCTTATGTCAGGAAATGGGATTTGTTTCGTCTCAATCCAGTGCATTGTGATGATGTTCACATCTCTGCTACACTGTAAAGCTTATATCAGCATATTACTCAGTGTTTAATGTGAACCTTTCTGGACCTTTCTTCCCAATGCTTTGGCATACTTCAATCGGAGTCAGAGCCTTAAGCAATCACTGGAGTTTCCAAAGTCAGCATGATCCAGTCCCATGAGTTCAACTATATCGGAGACTAATTAAAATACAACGGAGTTGGTTTACAGAATGAATCTGGTGATATATGTCGGGGATCGCAGCATAGATATCGTTTTCCGAGGCTAGTATATTTATCTTTTAACAAGACAGCTGTCTCCTCATTCTTACCCAGTCTGACATTGTTGTCTTGTATCGGGAAAACTCGTCTTAGTTTCCACTCGTACCAAGCCATGTCAGCTTCAAGGTTGGGCATCAGGAATTAGCAGAGAAATTCAAATTCAAATTACTATAATGCATGCATGCCCTAAATCCATCTTTCACTTCAATCCAATAATATCTCCCCAAAACTGGCCCTTCGTAAAATATCGATAAATTATAATCAATGCAGATAGCAGCGCGAGCAACTTGCATTGTAAGAACTCTTGCTGTGTCCCCGTCACATTCTCTCCATCTCCATCCTTTGTCAAGATTCCCGTATATATAAGTGCCTAATAGCGACAACCAGTCCTTCTTAGCAGGAAGGATCTTGATGCAATTCCACTGCATATTATTCTTGATCGTCTCCTTGCAGCTGAGATGGCCTAAGTTATCCTCGCTGAACGGGTTTCGCAGTACCCCTGCATTGGCCAATCAGCAGAGGATATGCTGTGAGGGCTAGACCACTAATCTTTTACAGATTGTTTATCTATCCAACAATTCTCATCTCGAGCTCATGCTTCCATTGTCCTGAGCAACTAGATTCTCCATTAGGCTTGTTTCCCTATAATGCCTCCTTATTATGCATTCTTATTCTCTTCTTTGAGCTTACAGGACGGACAAGACTAAGACCATGAGCTTTCCACTCGCTCTCAACAGAGCTTCGCCTGAAAATCTTTGGAAGCACGCACCTAGGACTGCCAGAGACAGGCGGCTATGATGCCAAGCTCGAGTGCCTGCGCATCCTCGATGGCAATATTATACCCATCTATCACCCCATGCTGGAGCCTCCATCATAGACAATCTGCGCCTCGCCATCAACACACACAACCTCAGATCCTCAGTGCGCCTGTCGTGTCCTGCCTACGCAGCTCTTTCAAGTCAGATGTACCGTGAGTCGATCGAGGTATTCTACTCCAATGTCTGCTTCGATAATTACCAAGACAATCTCGGCCCTACCCTGTCCTTCCTTCGTGACGTGCTCCCCCGAGCTGGCGTAGCGAGGCTGCGGCACCTCCAGTTCACCCGAGTCGCAGTGTGAGGACTGGGCCGGTGGCGCTGTCGCTAGCGGTTATCCACCCGGGATGCTCGAGATGCAGGTTGCAGTGCTTTGTTGGGGTGAAGGCAAGCTGCCAAACTTCGAGTACTAGGTCGACTGGCGTGCTGTAGTAGCCTTTCTTGCAGAGCACACCGATCTTGCATCTCTCTGCATAAAGATAGATCCAGGGGAGTGCTCCTGGTCATTTGTCGAGAACACCTTGATGTGGGAAGAGCCTCCCGACCTGTCCATATTTCGTTCTATCTATGATTTCTACATCGATGTGGCGACAGCTCTCTGTGCGCTGAAGGAGCTTGCTTATGTGATGTTTGACCTTTCTGCTTTTGGACAGCTTTAGCCTTGGCTAGAGAGAGAGGTGCTAGGGCGCACTAAGGATCCAATATTCAAGACAATCCATGAGAAGAGGCTCTGGGACGATCTCTGGCAGCAGCCTTGTTTCTACCAGTATATCCTGCCATGACATGATATGGATAAGAGGCTAGTAGAATCAAATCAGCAGCTACATTCTTGACAAAAGTTATCGCTCAACCCTTTCTTCTTTGTCTAGCCGAGTACACGTCTCTGTTTTGCTGTTCAATTCACTTTTCAATTGTTTGTAATCTGCTCCTATGCGTTTGTGAATATTATGAACTGCATTATTAGCATCTACTACTCTGCTCCATGCAAATCATGTACCATTGACAATTTCACCTGGAGCTAGAAAACTCTGATGCAGTCTCCGCAATCAGCAGCCTTATAGTATAATGTGATGAGCGTTGCAGTAATCCGGAAGATTCCTCATTATACAAAAATCAATTTTGATAATCAATGCTAAATGCAAGCCTTGGGTAAGGAAAAAACCATGGGTAGTTGATATGAGTGTTCACTTCTTTTGAAGCTATTAGAGTTCGGAGTATGATGCAATACTTAGTATTGTGTTAGCTAATGAGATAGTCTACTGTCTGACCCCCCCTTGCCGGACACCCGTACCCGCCGGACACTAAAATGCGAAATGGCCCACACAATTGCCACCTTTTCAAGTATATAGAAATAATTTACTTCAAATCGTATAATAATAATAAATATATCATCAAAATAATCTAAATTTCCTCATTCCAAATATCTAGTTAGCATACAGCTAGTCCGCTCAGAAGATCGATGAATTGGTAGTGAATCCTTATGTGGAATGTCTGCATTATCGTTCTCAGAGTTCTCCTCGTCAATCTCGTCTTGAACCTCCATAATATCCTCAGCAGGCAAACTATCCTCTTCCTGGGCTGTATTAGCCTCTTCTCCAGCCGAAAGTGCCTCTGAAATAGTCATAAAGCGTTTGTTAGGATTGGGGATCTTTTTGCGCTTTCGGGTTTTCGAAATAGCTTCGTTCTGAGCCTTAAGGGAGGCATTTCGCTATTGGAGCAAGATAATCTCAGCTTGGAGGTTTTCAAGGTGATTTGCAATCCTTCTTAACTTGCTGCGTTCGTTGTAGCTTCGATCTCAGCCTATAGCAGTAATAAACTTATAAGAAATGAGCTCATTCTCCTCATCCTCCTCCAACTCATCTGCTTCTTATTTTTGCTTATTCTCCTGGATTTCCTTATGAGATAGGGCTTTATAGCGATTAATTGGATAGTTGCTACTATATTTTCATCCTTCTTTTACTACTTTAGAAATGATTGCTATTCTGGCTGTAATGAGATATTATAGAAAGTTGATCTTGTTAACAGGGGCTGAGTCTGTAAGATCTTGCAACTTTTAAAGTTCTTTCTGATAGGCTGCTTTTAGTACAGCAAATATGCTATTATTTAGTAGCTGGAGGCTGTAGGAGGTATATGCAGGGAGAAAGCAAAGGAAAATGTTATTCAAGTAGCAAGAAGCTATGAACTCCAGCTGTTTTATATCAGCACATTATCTTCGAGAAATACTACCTTGAGCTTCAAAAGATCTTAACTTACTGATGTATAGCTATTATGGCTATCTAGGATGAGAAGGATAGCTTGAGATATATCATTCTCATGGAGATTATTTATCTGAAGAAGGAAAAGATTCTCAAGCCATGCTACTGCGATTTTATTGCTTATTCAGCTGTTTTAACTGGTAATTATGCGCCAGATTGGCATAGACTGCTCCATGTCTTCAGAAAACCACTGTTTTTGAAGATCTTTGCTCTTGAAGATGATGCCTGGGTCGAGAAGCTGGCCTGTAGCTGTACAGCTTTCAATGAGAGTAACCCAGCTTCTGTTCTGGCTGCTTTTGAGAAATGCCTTCTTTTTTTCAGAGAATCCAAGAACTAGCGAGTTCAGGCCTATCAAAAGTATTAGTTTAGGAGCTCTAAGATAAGGATTCCATAGAAATTTATTATATTCAGTTATAATGCTATCTTTATCCACATTTACTGTAAGCTGTGGCTCGATCTACTTATATTTCTTCTTGCAAATATTAAAATACTAATTAACAGCTTTCGGAGTAAAGGCATTGTATCTGATAGCTTTCTGGCAAGTACTTATTTTATAGCGAATTTGAGGATTTCTCTTCTTGAAGCTTTCTATCCATTTGTAGCTAAGGGCATTAAGATCTCCCTTCTGCTTGAGAAGAGCTTCTACAACATTACGCACAGCAGAAGCTGATAAAGTATATCCTAGGCTCTCCTGCTTGATAATTCATCTCGATATCTTCTTTTCCTCAGTAGTAGAAAAGCATTGTTGAGATTGCTTTGCTTCTTGAACTAAGAACTCTGCATGCAGCTAATCTGATAGCATTTGGGGGGCGATTCCGTGTTTCTTGGCTGATTTTTGTAAAGATAAATGGTTATCTATAATATCGAAGAGGGTATCAGCTATATTCTCCTCATTCCAGGCGTGGGAAGGTATTGTAGCTTGCTTGAGGTAGAAGATTGTTGAAGGAAAAGGATCATGGATATGAAGACAGGAAGGAACAGATATTAGCTTCCGGCATTGCCAGAATTGCGTCATAAGGCGTCCAGGCATAGATATAAGTATATCAATAGATTCGTCAATTAAAGGGCTATCTATCTATCAAAACAGTTTCTGAATAGCTTCAATATTGAGGAAATAATATGTAAGTGAGGATGTTGGTATTTGTATGGCGCTGTCGGAAATTGGCTGTCCGGCGGGTACGGGTGTCTGGCAAGGGGGGGTCAGACAGTATGTAACGTGGCATGTAATGGGTTCCGAGTCTTAGGCTAATTATAGGAATATTATCTCTTATTTTCCGGATTAACAAATAGATAGCAATAATTAAGCTGACTTTTTTTCTCTATCGGTATAATACTACTTCTTTTCAAAGCAATACCGCTCTCGTTCTAGTCTAATAAGCATAGACGAAAGTTCCCGGGATCTGAGCAGCATTTGCACGGCGGTAGAAGCGGTATGGTTTAAGTATTGAATGTTAATGGTGAAAGCCTGGTTATCGAGGAAAAATAATATTTTATTATCATTCCTCAAAATCACCGATGCTTTATTCACTCCGACGTCGACGACCTTGATTCTGACATCCATTGTAGCATCTCCATGATCAACCTTACAAACCACTTCCATATCATGTTTTGACATGTCCAGCAGCTTTCTCGTCAAAGCTTGATACTATATGTCACCATATTCAAATTGATCAGGGTAATACTCTCGCTCATCCACATTCAAAAGATTAACTAGCGCGTTGCCATCGACATTAACAAACTTGTCCGCAGCATCCCAATGGGAATGCAACGTAGAAGGAATCTGACTAAGACGCTAAGCGAGATCACGTAGTCGACGACTGCGCGAATAATCAGCTTCGCCCCAGTCAATGCGTTGCTCGACCAGGCTTAGCAGCATAAAAATCCTCTAAAAAAGAAGACCTAACGTGTATATGTCACCCCTGAATGTTGTCGGTATGCCCAGTGTTTGCTCGGGAGACACGAAGTCGAAAGTTCCCCCCTGGTGCAGGCCGCTTCTCGCATTCTCAAAGGGGCAGGCAAAGCTGCGATCAACGACTACAAGCCTAAAGTTGCCTTCAGATCGAAAGCATCCTCAAAGGGGCTTAGTCTAACAATGTCGAGAATGTGTCGACGCCCTAATGGCTTTTCGTCTAGAGGTCTTCCGTCTCTTCGTCGCAGGAGTTCGATGTGAGATTGATTCCGAGTGTTTAAAAGTTTTCGGTATTTCACTCGGGAGAGTGCGGCTCAGCGAACCTGTCGCTGAGATCAGCTCGAGAACATGCCATTGCTGCTCAATGATACTTTTGTCTTCTTTCTCCCTCTTCTTGGCTTCCTAGATACGCTTATGCGGTCTCATTTCGTTGAAATCGACTGAGCCAGTATCGGAATCGGATTCGGATCGTGGACCGACTGGTTTGACCTCGTTTCGCGGGCTATTAATTTCTTCCTCGACTTGCTAGATCATCGCCTGTATCTCGTTCTCACCCAGGGAGCTTAAGTTCTACTGTAGAGTTGCGCAGACACGTTTTAGCTATATGTCTCGATGCGGTTTGTGACGTTCGTATAGATAATCAAGAACCTGCGGTATCTGCCAACATTTTTTTTGGCCGACCGGGTTGACTAACCATCACCTTCCACAGCTATTCCTCATCATGGTTGTGGCTCATTCAGGTCATAACGCCTCTGGAACTTTTCTTCGATAAGAGAATAGAGTGTGCGAGCTGGCGGCTTAACCATCCTGCAAGCGTGACGGCCCTAGGGACCCTCAACGCAAAATGAGTAGAGATGCTCAACGTGAAGCTCGCCCTGTTGCGACACCGGGAGTGACTTCAGAGTCCTGTCTACTGTGAATTCTGTGTCACCTGCATTTTCGCTATAGACTTTGACCGCTATGAAGAGTCTCCCAGATGCTCTTTTTAGCCAGAGCTCCCGATTTCAGTCGCAATGGTGGGCTGAATGAACGACTCAAGAGGTTTTTCATGAGCGAGTATAATCCATAAATGGCTTGTGGATTTCGTCGACTCAACAGGGAGGACTGCGATAAGTCTAGCTATCTCAAACGGAAATTGCCGACTGCTTCGTGTCCTTATCGAGAAGAATGCAGAATTTTCTGCACGCAAGTACACTGTACTTATATCTGTTTTAATGAGGGCAGATTAAAGGTGCTAAAGAAAGGAGAAGGCTTCGTGGAAGACTTGAAGTGGAGACAAAAGCTATTGAAGCGGCATAAGAATACAACACGCCTTCTGTATATCCTGCTCGAGCAGAAGCAGTATGCTGAGAGTCTTCAGCACGTCCTCAGAGAAAATATGAGCATATCCGGTCCAACAGCTCTCCTTCAGCGCCCTAGCAATATGAGCCTTTTGCTCCTCGCATGATCTTGCTTCTGCGCGCGCTACTGGACGAGAAGCCCTGGCACCTGCTCTCTAGCTTGAAGTAAACTACCACTAGAAGGAATTCGTTCCTTAAGGATGCAGTCAGCATACCTGCTGACTAGTCCGAGCGCCCAATCGAGTGAGGCTCAAACGAGGGGGAAGCCCATCCTAGCGACCCGACTCCGCCATCCACGCCGCAGCTGCAACAATATATTAACCCTCCTTTCCAAAAGTCCATTTGTACAAGAAATTATGAACCCTCAATCATCAGCAGATCAATCGAGCACACCCCGCCCCTTACATAATCCCAGAACCTAGCACATACACAAGGTAAGCAGCACTGTAGCTGATCTGCAATCAGTTCAGCCTAATTGTTTCTTTCACAGCCGCTCTTCCGAGCTCTTTCAAGACTGCTGCATAAGCACCTAATCAGCCTGATCTCTCGAGAAAAGCTTTTATTATGTGCCTAACCAACGCTCCCGGCTCGGGCCCGGACACGAGAGCCTGGGCTTCGAGCCTCACTAACGTTAAGAACATAGATAATGTTGCTCCGTTTAAGTTCTATACTCATATCTTGTCTCGGATAGCAGTGGCGTAGCTCGCAATGTAATGCAACAGCTGGGTTAGAAAAAGGCTACTCCATCTCATCTTAACACCTCCTTGTTCGAAGTATAGGCTTTTAGCCTAATGAGGACGCCTAGTTCTAGAAGCTCAAAATAAGCTGGCGATATGATAGATCATATAATTCCCAAAGGTTCACAGCCAGCATCATTTCGGTAGTAGCAAGAATAGATCAGTTCTGACAAAATAGAAGTTTGAGGTTTGATAACCAGCTTTGTGTTGTGCTTTTGGCATTAAGGGACAAGGTTGGCATTCAGTTAGTTACGAAATGCTGACTGGTAAGCCTCCTGCATTGATCAGTCTTAGTCACTTCGGGGCTAGCTACATTCTACTCGGGTTGCGAGCTACCAAGCTAGACATGATTTTTTGAATATCCTGAGGCATTCAGACCTAGGAAGCGGGTGTTCGATCAATGGCAGGCGTATAGTCTAGTATAAAAGGACCTTTTCTTGTCTCTCAATCTTGGATTCAATTCGAAGATAATTATACCGAACCCATTCAATTCAAAGCAGCTCCCTTCATTTTCAAGTTCTTTGTACGATCATCGTGTATTTCACGTCAACAAGCTACTTTCTCCTCCTCTTCGTGTAATTCAATCACAAGTCAGTCCTTCTATTGAAATGATTATGACTTTTGTTGAGATTATGAAATACTGAATCATTGTGAACTTAGACAAATCAAGATCAGGCAATATGCACGTCTCCATTATCTCAGCGATTGCAGGCCTCGTCGCCGCCGGAGCCGTCAGCGCCTGTGCTTGCACGAACAACGCCGACGCGGGCCGCTGGGTGGACAGCTCGTCCCCAGGCGCCGTGGCGGCCGACTTGGCAACCGAGGGCGGTGGCTGCCGCTCGGGGTCGGAGCAGGGCTATATGTGTGTCTCCATCACCAACCCGAACGAGTCGATCGAGGAGTGCATGGCCAACTTCGCCATTAATGCGCAGAGCTACCATAGCGACTGGTTTCTCTGGACCTCGATTGACTGCACGGATGGTGATAGCACTGCCACCCTCAGCATCACCGGCAGTGCGCCAGCTTGAGTGGTGCGGGAGGCGTTAGAGCTCGAGAGGATTGATGGGCTTAGTACATGAGGGCAGAGTCCTTTGGGTTTCATAGTCTTTGCTTTGTTATGCAGCTGGTTTGCAATATTATAAAACTTTCGGCCGAGTTTTCTTGTCGCTTTGAGTACTATTGGCCACCCCGTATGAATGCGAGCAATTCCAGCTAAGCCCTGTTGCTGTGTCACCGTTATCTGAACCATTGCAGGTCAGGATCAGAACAAATATGAGTCGGATCAAAAGTACATCAGGCGATGAGAACCGTAGCGACGGCGACAGAGCCGAGGGTTGGGGGAGCGACGCGTTGAATCCAAGTGAAATTATATAATAGATAGATATAAGTGCGTAGAGAAGATTATAAAAGCAATACTGCTATGCTTATTGAATAGATTTCACTAATATGTCACTGTTAAAGTGTAAGATATATTTAATAGAGATTATCTTCAATCTCTTCATAATTTTGAATCTTTGTATCAAGCAGGTCCGCAATTATAGCACCGATCAGCATAGAGATCCTAGTATTAAAGCAGTACTACTTCACTTCAGGCTTGAAAATATCAAAGGCGAAAGGAGTCTATAACGCTCTTAGAGAAAGCTTGATCGAGGAGACTAACCGATTTATTCTGGCTCTCCAACCACCGGATTCGCGAGAATGTTATAGCAATTAACCTAGCTATTAGCAGTAGAATCGCCCCGATTTAGAAACTCCGAGTACTTATATTGTTAGCTATCATTAGCTTCGCAAACCCTTTCTCGATACTCCTGGCTAGCTCGTCCTTGTACTGGCCAAAGAAATTATTGAGGATCTTGTCGACGTTGTCGACTACGTTATCAGGAACAGGGCCTCTGTTCTTGACGCTGAGTTGATGTAGGCGATCGTTGAAAATGCTGGGAGTCACATTGGAAAGCACATCGAACTCTTCCGGAGTGTATGTAATTGCATAGAAACCTCTATTCCGAAGCATACGGTTTGCGGAAATCAGACCTACAAATCTGCAGGCAAGGAAGTACCAGCTCGAAAACTAGAAAGCTTTACAGAGATGTACTCTCATCAATGGTCTAGCGGAAAAGTTTGGCAACTAAGCTTAGCTAACTCCTATAGTAGTGAGAAACAAATCCAGTTGTCTAAATATATTGCTGACTGAATAATGAACCAAGTCAAAGCTAGGTATGCTGATTATATTAACTAGGTTGCCTTGATACAACTTACATGTAACAGACTTCTCTTGGGTGAGGGACTGCTACATGAACCTGTTAAAAATGAGCGCCCTTTAGAAAGATATGAATATATTTGAAAATATAGAATTCATTAAATCTAAACTTTCTGCATCCGCTAATTCAGTTCATTAGCTCCTCATAGAAATTGGCTGTTTAAGCATCATTCAAACCTTTTCTTAGTGGACCTATTCTAGATAAACATTCCAGCTTATACTCATAAAAACCCTGATAAGAGCAACAAAGTTAAGAGTATGTAAATGTGTTTGAATAGACTTCATTGAACCTCGCCGGTGAATTGCAGAACCCTCGCGTAGGAGAGGTCGCCTTTCCTAAAAACAGCTTCAAGAAGTGCACCCGATGCTTCCCTGCTGATTCTCTACTACTATGGTACGTTGTTAAATCAGGTCAATGCACCTCTAGTTGCCTATTGCACCCTATATGCGGTTTGTTTGTTTATTCTATTTAACGCCCAGTAGAAAAGAAGCAGGCTATGTAATTTGCAGACCTCCCGAAGGGTACAAGGCATGCTGAGCCAGCTTTGGCCGAAGGAAACTGCGAGCTACCCATCCAGCGACTTAAATTCCATCAGCCCGGCCTCTCCGCGCCTCCGTATGCGAGTTGTGGCTAGGAGAAAAGGTCAGAGGCTAGGCCTCAGATGTCCTAACCTCACCTTGTCTACAGTAGCAATCCTGAGGCACGGTTTCATAAGTGCTTGTCATATGATCGTAGAATGCACCTGCGAAGGAGGCTCCTGGTTACACAGCTACGTACTTAAACGGGAAATTTCGTAGCTGGGGTAGAAGGAAGGCTTTTCCTTTCCTTCTGTATCCTGAATGCTACACGCCCACTTTGGATCAATTCCACTGATACTGACCACACTGTCGTGGCGTACTTGAAGAGCTGAAGAGCCCCTTGCGCCCTAGTCAGTTGGCTGGTTATGAATTGAAAGAGAATTCCTTGACGACAAGATGTCTCCAGAGGAGGAGACCTATAAGATTACCAAGATCTATAGTCACCAAACCGCGGAAGAAGGTAATATGTACTCTGCTTGAAGTTTTTGACGGGTTACTACTGCCAATCTATGAAAAGGATGACGGTTCTCAATCGGCTGCATCGAATGTTCTCCGCCCGCTGTATGAAGTGCCGATACGTACTGAAGAGGTAGCTTCCGCTATGATAGACCACGATGTGTTGATAGTCCGATTAGAAATACCCGCGCAGTAAATCATAGAAGCATAGGTTAATATAAAACACTATAGTGGCCTCGAAGGCGTGGAGACTATGGAGATGCACAGAAGCTTCACATTTCTATATCAAGAACCTCCACTCCACCATGACCTGAGATTGTACAAAAAATTATACGTCCAATATCGGAAACAGGCAGGTAAAGCCGCAGCAAAGCTTTTCTGGTAGAAATCACCCCACCAAACATTCAAAGACCAATGAAGGTATGATCGACGAACCACTCTTGTCTCCCATTGTTGCCAAGTGATGGTACCCTCCAAATACTCCCGAACGGCAGCGACATGGTATGCAGCCTGAGAAACTCCCAGCGCTGCGTGAGGACGAAACTGCGATAGAGCATCGCCAATGAGTAAGATGCGGCCATTTTCAAAAGCAGCATGCGGTGAGCAGTAGTCAGTGACAATTTGGAGGGAAGGCTGTTCTATCTTAGTTGCAACCTCCAAAAACGGTCCCGGTAGTGGAAGACGCTCTGCCTCCCGGACATGGGATGCCCAGATATCACTGCGGACGCGTCCTGGGGGTACAAAGTTGCGGTGAGAGTGTCCGTCGATGCCATCAGTCATAATCTCATCCATGTCGTCGGTCGACTCATTGGTGTACCAAATGAAATTGAGAAGCCGTTCGCCTCGTTGAAGAGACCCGTTAACTCCTGGTATCATATACATGACGCAGGAAGAGTTTCGTGATGTCTTGTGAGCAATGACCGACCTCTCGAACAAGTCCAGAGTCGCAGATGAAACTTTGTCTTCCGGGACTAATCCTCGCCACATTACATACCCAGCGTACTCGCGCTGAACATCCGGTAGGTAAAGTGCCCGGATCAAAGAGTTTGGTCCGTCGGCACCAATAACAAAGTCGGCTTGGACATGCTCCAGCTCATGGGAGTTGGTATCCAGAACCGTGAGGGTAATTGGCGAATCAGTGTCCTCAGGCCGGCGGACTTCAAGCACCTGCTTACAAGTTTCGTAAGTGGAACAACCCGCTTCGAATGCTTCTCCAGCTTCTGCGAAATATTGGCTGATGTATCCATTGAAAAGCCATCGAAGCCGATAAAAGACTGCATCCCAACTCGTAAGATCACGGCGCCCGGCAGCGAGACGACGGATGGTGTTGTCGTGACCAAGAATGAGCAAGCTGGTCACCGTGTGAGAAAGCCGTGGGCCGTGACAGTCATGATCTTCGAGAAAGGCTTGTGCATTAGGACCGAGACCAAGCCCCGTTGCCTGGCTTTTACGTTCGCTTCCGTGTTGTTCTAGTATCCGGACAATGAAGCCCGCATGTTTCAGGGTCACACCGCAAAGCAACCCGGCCAGCGAACCTCCTACCTGTTCAAAGGATGAAATTAGTAAAGGCTCCTGAACTTCATGCTCGATTCTCAAAAATATCTCCACTTACGATCACCACTGTCAGGTCCCGCGTTCTGCCAGATTTGTCTGCAGACATCACCGAAAAATTGAAGGGCAGCCGAGGGGTGGGGTAAGGGTAAGTCAGAAAGACAGACAAACAGGTGGTTGCTTGAGTCTTCTTGAGTACCTAAGACTTGTGCCAAAAGTTGGGACTTGTAAATTCGGTTCAGCTAGGTTAACGTGACACGGTAGGTAGTTATAAGAAGAACTTGCGTTTTGGAGTTGGTTTGGAACAGTCAGTGGGGGCTGGCATGGCGCCGAGGCAGAAAGGATCCAACACCTAGCCACTGACGTCCGAATGCGTAGACACTGTAAGTCCACGTAATTATTTAAATCCATCTAGGCCCGTTTCTAAGCCTACACCGCACAGTTCAGCTGGACAAAAACAATTTGAAGAAACCGCTCATTTTTCACTTCTGATCATACTTTCTCAGTACTCTTGTCTTCACAATGGCACCTCGCTTCCCCCTTGACCGAGCGCCAGACCCTGCAACGAGGCATACCTTGGAGACGCAGATGAACATGTTGCACTCTGGTCGTCTCCCAGTCATGGCAGAGGACCGCAGTGAGATGCTTGGGTGGTGCGCCCCTTTGAGGTACAGTCACTCGACTTCTCAGATCCCGAGATCTAGAGTTGACCCGTCAAACAAACACTAATTGGATGTATTATTCCACGTCTCAGCTATGCCCCAGACAATGTGGTACGGGCTTTCATGGATCTCAGCAAGGTGTCATTCCAACCGCAACACGCCAAGCCTCGCAACCGAAAACTCGCCGTAACTGCATTCATCTCGGTCACTCAGATTCCTTACATGCGGCATTGCCATCTGATTATTGGAGAAGCAGATTTGGGTTTCTCGGCAGATCAACTCAGGGACGCGCTGGCGGGAACCATGCCAGAAGGCCTGAATGACGAAGAACAAGCTGCGTACAATTTCGGAAAATTGCTAGCGACCCAGCGCGATCCAATAAAGGATCAAATTTGGGAAGAGTTTGCAGGAAAGTTGCAGAAATCGGAGATTGTCGGCATCACAAATTTTGTAGGTGTATATCAGTGGCTGGCTCTCCTGACCCAGCTTAACGGGGAGGATGATAGATGGAATTAGACGAGCACGAACAAAACAAAATCGACAGTCTCTACCGGACCTAACAATTGCCCCGCAATTTGAGACAGTCCTCAAAGATCGCACTCGTCTCCAATTGTGTTTTTTTCTCTTACCTTTCTGTCTTTAGCAGTATTGGAATTCGCCCGCTTCTCAGTACCCCATTCCTCCGAGTAAACCAAACCAAAGTTGTCCACCCTCCCAACACTCATAAAGAATTCAGATATTTTGAAGCAATCGCTGATTTAGCTATGATACTTACTGTGATATTCAGACGCACCCTCAGAATGTGTGACAACCTCGGGCCACGCGATACTGATCGAGGCACTGGGCCGCAGCCTTCCTCATTGGGCACCAGTTTCTATCACCGGCGGTTCTGCGGAGATTCTGCAGTGTGATGATCGGCAGCCGCAGCTACCTGCTTCAGAAAATAGCTTCAGGTCATCTCCGATCCACAGTGAACGCGCTGTCCAAATAACTGTGTCGTGAGGATGGGACGTTTTCGATAGTGCGGGCCATCAAGTATACAGTACCTCATCCTATTCAGGCAAGGCTGAGGGGTCCCAATCAGGACCGTATAAATGATTGGCTAAGCCGGAAAGACAACGGGCGCAGGGATTATGATCCTTTCCAGCACAACACGAAAGCCACAGTGTTACTTTGATTTATCAAGTGACTTTCAGCTCTCATTACGCGGCCAAGTTATATCAAGGTAGTGGGCCCCAACAAGAGCAGTTCGCCAGTCTAATCTTTAGTTTGGACCCCAAGTCAATGTCACAGTTGGCTGCAAGTTGGTTGCTTCCATGCAGCCAACCACTTTCTTCCAGATGGTCGGCCCCAAATTCTCGCAAACCCAAGCCACCTTTCCCCGAAGGTTTTTAGTTGGAGTCTTTGGTGGAGATACTACTTAGCCTGATCCTCGCACAATCAACCTCGTCTAGCTAGACGGGATGCCAGTCATGGTCGTTGGGATGTGCAAGTGGAATCCACTGGGGGCCGGGTCGTTGATATGGGCTGTCGACTTGTCATTGTATTTGCTCGTACAAGTTCTGGAAGACCTGGGACTCATACTACAAAGCCGGACTGCGAGTCCTACCATTTGATACCCAGGGAGTTGACCGTCACCACAGATCTCTTTTATGGCTCGAGTTCCCTACGAATCTCCCATCTTTCCCCCTTCGGTTTGGACAGCCTTTACTCCTATTTACACAACCGCGACAAGAAGTCTTGCTGGATCTTACGCTCATTCAATATATCCTTACTGTAGACCTCAAAATGTCTACCACTGATGATAGAGGCCCAGCTTTTCGGGCATTTCTCATTGTAATGATGGTCATTATGGTCGTCGCCCTCCTTCTTCGGTTCATCTCCAGGACCATGCTTCCGAAATCCGCGCGGAATCACGAGAGCAGTCTGATTTGGTGGGACGACTACCTTGCTTCAGCGGCTACGGTAAGTATAAAGACATCAATTGACAGCTTGTAAAGTCTTCTGACGATACAATGGCAGGCCGTAGAGATCGCTCTATTCTCCATGGAACTCGCGATGATCAATGCCGGGTTTGGTCGCCACATAGAGACCTTGGAGGTCGACAAGATCTTATACCTTTCCAAAATGAATTGGGCTAGAGACTTTGTCTATGATACAGCTCTATTTCTGAGCAAGCTTGCTGCGCTTTTGTTCTTGGCTAGGGTATTTCCTCGCGCTTCAAACACTAGGCGGTTTAATTACGCTCTCTGGACAACTCTTGGCCTGAACGCAGCTTGGCTTATAGGTATCTACTTTGGAACCATCTTTTTCTGTTGGCCCATATCAAAGAACTGGATGACAACAGAGTCTGGGTACTGCGGAACGCAGTTCAACCTTTTAGTAGGGAGTGCAGTCCCTAGCGTGGTCATCGACCTCATCATTCTTATCCTCCCGTTGCCGAAGCTTTGGCATCTCAGGATCAGTCGAGTAAAGAAGGTCGGATTGATGTCCGTCTTCATTCTGTGATATTGGTAATCTATCCCAACCCTTGCTGTCTTGGGGTGGTTTTGCGTACTAATCTCCGCCCAGTGTCGTTGTTGTGTCGCTCGGTCGTCTCATTACTATCACGACCCAACTTGATGCAGTAGCAGCGGACTTTACTTGTAAGTTCGACCAGGCGTGGGACACACTCGTCCTCCAGCAATGCTAACACGAATAGACGCTCTTATTCCTACCTATTACTGGGTATCGGCTGAAGTCCCAGTCACTATCGTCTCGATTTCCCTTCCAGCCATGTTACCTCTCGGCCGTCACCTAAGCAGTAACTTCTTCACCCCACTGGCATCAATTGTATCTTCTTATATAACGACCGAAGGTCGAGCATCAAGGTCGCGAATCAACACCGCAGATCCCAACAACCGTGGAAACCACGCGTCTCAGTACGCTGATGGAATCCGCCTCACGTCAAGGGATGAACAGGGACGTTTTCCCAAACGTCCATCGGCTGATAGCAATGAGCAATCTTTGCTGAGTTCGGAGACGTACGCAGCTAAGGTTCAATATGCACGAGGTCCCTCCGACTACAGCTATGAGGTCCCTGATGGTGCCATTCGGGTGGACAACCAGGTCAGTATCAATAGACATATAAGCTAAGGGCGGGGTCGTCCAGCCGAGAGGGGTGGCGACGAAGGTCTCTATGAAGAATATCACACAGCTCAAGCTGTCCTGTCAAGATGCGCTTGGATGCACCCCTTAAGCATACAGGTCGATTCACCCATCAAACAGGGATTTCTGGATGCTCGCCTTAGCCCAGCATGTGGAACGCTGATGGACAGGCGGTCGTGGCCCTCAGAATTCGGCTTGCTTGGTGAGACGGGAGATAATCGAAGGCTTCGGGTGAATTGGTCGCTAGTAAGGTCCTCGGGTCCTTTTGCCCAATTCCCCGGACTATGTACATAGTAAGTAGCTAGCTAAGTAACAAGACCGCAAGGTTAGCCTGGGACCCCATGCGATTAGTAGTGCTGATTGAATGAACATAGTTTCATCGCAAAGTAACAAAGAAATATCCGTCTTTCCTAGAGCATTGTAGTAATTTCATAGTGTTGGACAAGTACTCTCCTCTGGACTCACAAAATTATTCCACTGGTTGGCAAGTTAGCATGAGGCATTTCTCTCCCTTGGCCCCCACGAGCAGTCTATTACACCCTCTAGCAGCGTTGGGGTCCATTTTCTTGTTGGGGTCCATTCTCTCCCCTTTGGCCCCCACGAGTAGCGCCGCCACGACCCCCAAGTATTAGTAGGAGTGAATGTTTGCACAACCTGGAGTACCAACTGCAGCGGAGGAATGGGTAGCATTGTCGCATCGCCTTCTGATTCGTTGGTCGAGGAGCTTCTGATGTTCCCTTGCGACGTTGCAATCTACGTGGGAGTCTCCCTAAAGCCGCGTTGTATTTTTGATACATGCCAGTCCTTGAAGAAATCGTGAGTGTGTAGCATACCGGTCGACCCCCGGGCTGACGATGTGGAAAAGAAACTGGAGGGCTACCCAGGCATGGCTGTCTATCATACTTGAGGTACACAGCACTTCACTGTGGATAACGTATTTTTTCCGAATATTGTTGGTTTCGTCCACCATGGACCCACTATTCATGATACACACTGCCACCAACACCACCAAGCTCTAATTCAAACACAACAATGGAGGTTGGCTATAGTACATATAAGTCAAAGGGGGGGGTTTTGGGCCGGGGTAGTTTTGGGCCACCCTGGCCACCCTCGTCAAATACACACACCCATATATATATATACTGTTTATCTATTCTATTTACCCACCACGATGCAATCCTCCTCATCAGTAGGTAATTCGACATCGCTCTCTTCATTCAGACTATCCTCGTGGCGATTAGCTGCGTTTTGAGCTCTCTGTATATTCTCAATCCCTGCAAACTTCGAATTCGGATTCATATCAATCTTTCTTCTTTTACTAGGCTTCAGAGCCTCAATCTGCTTTTTCAATGCTTTATTTTCCTCTAATGCTTTGGCAAACTTGAGATTCCTCTTCCTATAAGCCTTTTTTATCTTCTTAAATAGCATATGGTAGCTTAGTTCTGTTTGAAGTTGTTGCTGATTCTCTAGCAGCTGATAGTATAGCTGTTTAGCTTTTCGAGGAGTTGAAAAGAGAATTGGCTAGCTTGAGGAGGCTTTTGGGGAAAGATGAGGTGCTGTTGATTGTGCTGAGCTTGAATTGGACTGGGTCTAACAGCTTGATTAACTATTCTCGAGAAGAAGAGAGCTTAAGAGGGCTTTTGAGGGTTTGAGAGGCTATAGACTAGTTACTTTCTATTCAGATCTAATATTCTAGCTTAAAAGGCTTTCCAGTTGAGCTAGATAATAATTGCTAAGGAATAAATGCTTGCTTGCAATAGTTGAATTGCCCTATTGGCTTATATTGCTGATTTTCTTTCTGTATGCTTATTTAAAAGATAAAAAAATCCCTAGATCGAGAGGTTGAAGAATGTGAAAGGTATAAGGAAGCAAGTAAATAAGCAGAATATTGTTTTGAAAGCAAAGCTACATAAACTCGTTCGTTTTATAGCTGCTATGGCTATTCAGGACTAACAGCCTGGCTTCTGAGGGGTTTGCTAGCTAGCTATGAGAAATAAAGATCTCTTTTAGCTATTCAACTATCATTTTATTGTTTGTTCATCCGTTTTGCATAGCTATAAACTTCCAACTATCAAAAGGCTCCAAATCAAGAGGAAACCACTGTTATTATACTGTTTAGCTCTTGAAAATTACCAGAGGGAAGAAGTAAGCATCTGTAGCTGAGATACACTCGAGGAAAGAAGTCCAGGCTTTTGATCCAGAGTCTTTCCTTTGAATTGAATGCAAAGAGGAGCCTCCGAGAACTAATCTATTTGTTCCTTAGCTCTCCATCAGGCCAGCTTCATCCATATTCCATCTATTAGCTGGCTTAATAGCTTGGATATAAGAAAGATTGAAAAAACGAAATCAAAGCTGTATTATCTCTGTTATAGCCTCATTCGTTCATTCAGAAGCAATGCAGCAAGTCTTCCTGATCTTTATCTCTGGATTTCTCTTCAAAAAAGCCTGAGTCCATTGCACTCCGAGAGCCTGAGAGTCTCTCTGGATCTCGAGAATCTGCTAAGCAAAGTATTTGAGTTCTGAATAGCTTGGTGGAACGCCTAGGCTTTCTTGAATCAGGATCCATTCAGCTAGTCTTCTTTCCTGATCAATAGAGAGCCTTTGCTAGTTTTCGTGGGCTGTTTTATGCGATTCCCCTCCTTCTAGGCGAGCCTGAAGAGTACTCCTTGGAATACTCTATTCCCTCGAGGCTTGCTGCTGAGACTTGCCTTTTCTGACAGCCTCAACGGCCTGGGCTAGCTCAAACTCGGAATAGGGCTTCATAACAGTCAGATAAAGGTTTGCTGGAAAGATGAAGTTGTTTGGATCAAAATTGGTTGAGTAATAGCTATCAAACTAAAGGGGGTTGAAGAGGCGGTGAGGGTGGCCAGGGTGGCCCAAAACTACCCCGGCCCAAAACCCCCCCCTTTGACTTATAGGTCCAGCGAGCTGGCTTTTTAGCGTCTTGTTCCTTTCCTCTTTCTTCAGCGTAGTTTTGAAAGCAGTGCATCTTCATACTTAGAACTCGTATGTTTTCATCAATACCTGTCCAAGATCTCAGTCTTCTTTTATACAAACTCTGAAGCTCAAATCGCATCTTATCCTTCTTTCCTCGCATTATCGCCTCTCTCAATCAACATAATGGGTCTCTACAAGAAGTTGCCTGACTCTGTCACTGATGTGGATGTCATCATTGCTGGAGGTATGTACCCGCCATTCAACTTAGTCATACGTCTAGCATATTTACCACTGGATTGTGGATATCAGGTGGCGCTGCTGGCTGCGTTGTCGCCGGCAGACTTGCTGAATCCGACCCCAAGTTGGCGATTCTGGTCATCGAGAGTGGACCAAACAACTTCGGAGACCCGATGGTGACGGTTCCGGCTTTCTGGCTATCACACACGAATCCTAGTGACAAATATACCTGGTCCTACAAGGCCAGCGCATCTCAATACCTAGCCGGGAGAGAATCCATCATCCCCGCTGGTCGCATCGTATGTATTCATGAGAATGGTACTGATGTTTTTTCATTTGCTCATGTGTGAATAGCTCGGTGGAGGATCTTCCGTAAATATGCTGTTGTATAGCCGTCCGCAGCAGTCGGAGCTGGATGCTTGGAATACTCCCGGCTGGTCCGCCAAGGAGACATTGCAGTATCTCAACAAGGTAAGCAAACTACCAAGGCTACCTTACAGGTCATACTTTGAAGCTGAAACTCCTGAAAGTGGGAATCCTACCACGGGCCTCCTGGCTCGGAGGATCGTCATGGGCATGACGGCCCGATCTACGGTAAGAAAAATATCTTGGGAGTCCAAACCCGACACATTAGAGCACATGGAGTGAAAATCATTTGCTGACTGAAAATAGTCGGCCCCGGCAATTATCGTGGCAAGATCTTGGAGCAGGATTTCATCTCTGCAGTTCAGAAGCTAGGCTGGCCAGAGCTTGCCGACAATAACAGGCTGGATTCTATCAACGGCTCAATGCGCGCTCAGCGTTATGTAGGCCCTGATGGGAAGCGTCAGGACACCGCCCATGGGTATATTCATCCTAAGCTCGAGAGCGGAGAATATCCTAATCTCCATATCCTCGTGGAAACGGACGTTGAGCGTGTTATATTTGACGATAACAAGAAGGCTATTGGAGTGGCCTTTAGGCCCAGCGCTGACTTCCAACCCGATGAGGACCAAGAGGCATCCCTTAGGGTTGTCCACGCGAGACAGCAGGTCATCTTATCTGCAGGTGCTCTCGGGACACCACAAATCCTGGAGAGATCTGGCGTTGGCAACCCTGAGGTTCTCTCACGGGCCGGAATCCCGCTTATCGCCTCCGTTCCGGAAGTGGGTGAGAATTACCTGGTCAGTTACATTCCAGAGCCACGCATCGAGCAAGAGCACTTGTTGAGTCTTCGTATTTTAGGACCACCATATTATGCTTTACCCTTACAAGACAAGTGTTGGCCCAGACGAGACAATGGATGGTCTCTTGGCAGGACGTATAGATGTCGGCCAGCTAATCTCCAAGAACGACCCGTTGCTTAGCTGGAATGGTGTTGACGTGCAATGCAAGCTCCGGCCTACGGATGCTGACATCGCAAGCCTAGGCACTGATTTCCAAGCGGCGTGGGACAAGGACTTCAAAGATTCTCACGATAAGCCTCTAATGATCATTTCGATTGTCAGCTGCTTTCCGGGAGATCCATCTGGCGTTCCAGCTGGGCAATATATGGGCGTTGCTACCTTTAGCACCCATCCGTTCTCACGCGGCCGCATCCATGTCACGGGTCCGAAATTTAGCGACCCATATAGCTTCGACGCCGGCTTCCTAGCAGATAAGAACGGAATTGATCAGAAAAATCACTTTTGGATGTATAAGAAGCAGCGCGAAATCATCCGCCGTATGGAAAACTTCGCAGGCGAGGTCGCCGCTGGCCATCCGGAATTTTCCAGTGGGTCCAAGGCCGCAATTATTGACACCAAGCCTTCCTCGGAGATCCAGGACATCGAATACACGCCGGAGGATGATCAGGCTATCGAGAAGTTCCTGAAAGAACGCATCTCTACGACCTGGCACTCGATGGGCACGTGTAAGATGGCCTCTTTCAAGGATGACGGAGTTGTGGACCGCAACCTGAATGTCTACGGAGTCAAGAGTTTGAAGGTTGCTGATCTGAGCATTACACCAAGCAACGTGGGATGTAACACATGTAGCGTTGCAATGGCTATTGGAGAAAAGGCTGCAGACATCATCATTCAGGAGCTTGAACTTGCAAAATAAGCAAGAAAACCAGAGGCTACCCAGTCTCTGACTAGTACATAGTGCTTATTTCTCTAGATTGAGAGTCTCATCATGTTACCTTTTCCACCCATGAACCTCATCAATAAGCATTACTATTGCTTTGCTGCAGCATTTGACTAAATATTTTAATCATGCGACTTTGCCCTTCTGACCGTCATGCTGTATGATATGATCCATTTTCGTACTCAAGAGCGTTGCAAAAGTCCTTCAAATCAAGCGAGCCTAGTTTGGGAAGGGTGGGGTTGACAGAGGATGATGGTGATCTCTCACCGAGCTCCCAGTGGGTTAAACGAGTTTGATCATATGAGGTACGCGACCCCTCTTTCTCCCTCTGGACTATGAGTGATCATGATCACCACGCGGACAGACCCAATAATGGATCCTACGCTATAAGGACCAACATCCTGTACTATGGTTGCATGGCCAATATTCAACTTTCAGGGCTTCTTCAGTGGACATGGTGGAGCCTGACCCATGTGTATCTTTTGCAGCATCGGCGGCAAGAAGTGACTTGGCTTACTGCAGTGCATAAGCCGGAGAGACTTGATACGGGGTCGAAATATAGCCAACACGGTAGATCTGGTACCGTAGTAGGTGGCATTAGGATTGCAATAAATTTCTCTGCAGGGAAGATGACCAAAGATGGGGGCCGCAACATCAACTGGGTTTCTCCATGCTCTATGAAGGTGAAAGCGGAGTGTACCATAGTACGAAAAACCTCAATCTGGTATAGGTTGACTCTCAGCAAGCCCAACAACCTCTGACTGTATTTCCACGAGCGTCTAGAACGCAGGGTAAGCTGAGCAGTGCTAACGATCACCTCAAAAATTTGAATATGATCCACACAGTCCAGTATGTGATCAACTGGGGTTTCGATCACTGTGTGGTCGCCCCATGGTACCAGGTAGCAAATACAGTAATGAAGTATCATATACTTCGCCTTCCAGTTGTCGCCAGAGTTGATGTAACGGCCAACGGGTATTGCTGTTCATTCAGCCCCCAAGTGTCGCTACTGAAGAACTGATTCCTGTCGGCTCGTTCTCATCTGGGCCCCAATTTTCAGTTTATAGTGAATGTGCATCAGTTGAAGAAAAAGCCGAGCCAGGAATTTAGATATAAGGCGTCTTGGGGTTATAGGGGCGGAGCGCTTTGCAAGTAACGGCCGATTTTTCTTCACGCCTGGCGTGCCTTATCCTGTCGAGCATCAGCTTTCCATCTCACATCTTTTGGCCAGTACGGTATCCGAATTCCAAGCTCCACAAGATGCCTTCAGAAGTCGATGGTAACGTGTCTGATGCAGTCGCAATATGCGGCTTTTCCATCAAATTTCCACAGGAGGCGACATCTGCTGATGCTTTCTGGGAAATGATCGTGAGACGAAAGTGTACCATGACCGAATTTCCAGCTGATCGGATCAGCCTCTCTGGTTTTCAGTCGAGCAATAAAAAGAGGAATAATACGGTAAGACATGATTATAGCCCCGTATCTGTAGCGAATGCATATCTTACAAATATATTAGTTCTCTGTACGAGGCGGGCACTTCATCAAGGAGGATCTCTCTCTCTTTGATGCGGACTTCTTCAACATTTCCCCTACCGAAGCGGCAGCCATGGACCCTATGCAAAGGTGGCTCCTGGAGGCAGCGTACCAAGCTCTTCAAAACTGTATGTTGGCAACAGCGACTAGTCCTTTGTGCATCGGTGACTGATCATGAGCACCAGCGGGGATATCAATGGAGGCCGTGTCTGGCACCAGCACCGGCGTATATACTGGTTGCTTCACTAACGACTACATGACCCAACTCTATCGTGACCCAGAGTGCACTCCAGCGTATATGGCAACTGGTGTGGGCACCAGTATGCTAGCGAACAGGATCAGCTGGTTCTTCAATTTTCACGGCCCTAGTATGGCTGTTGATTCGGCTTGCTCGAGTGCCGCTACCGCTCTTGACCTTGCTTGCCAAGGTTTGAAGACAGCATCCTGTGACCTAGTAAGTTTTCTTACCCCGCCAGCATTCGCTGCCCAAATCCGATGATATCATATATTTTCTAACAATTTGATGTCCAGAGCATGGTTGCGGGCTGCAATCTGACTTTCGCTCCAGAATTATATCAGTCAATGTCCAACATGAACTTCCTCTCTCCCGACAGCCTCTGCTACTCCTTTGATGAACGTGCCAACGGTTATTCCCGTGGTGAGGGGATCGCGGTAATCATTCTAAAAAGGCTCTCTGACGCGATACGAGACGGCAATACCGTTCGTGCAGTCATACGTGCTACTGGCTCCAACGAAGACGGACGAACAGCGGGGATCACTCAACCAAGCGGCCAGGCCCAAGAACAATTGATTCGTGAGACATATCGCAAAGCGGCTCTATCAATGGCCCATACACGATATTTTGAGGCACATGGTACCGGCACTCCAATGGGTGACCCTATTGAGGCGCTAGCAGTTGGCAAGGCATTTGGTGATTTTCGATCAGAAATCGATCCTCTTTATATGTAGGTCTCCAATTATCTCGGCTCAAAATTTGGTGGTCTTGCTTACATTTGTATGTAGGGGCGCCGTGAAGTCCAATATTGGCCACCTTGAAGGCGCCAGCGCTTTGGCTGGAGTCATTAAAGCAGTACTTGTCCTGGAAAAGGGCGTCATTCCACCAAACGCGAATTTCGAGAAGCTCAATCCAAAAATCGATGACAAGTCGCTAGGTCTTAAGGTGAGCAGATACTTCGAACTACTGTGATCTGAGATATCTAGAAGCTTGTGTGGGAGTATTACTGACCTTGACACGCTTATGCACAGTTCCCAGAAAAATGTTACAGTTGGCCGACCCCAGGACTGCGGAGGGCTTCAATCAATTCGTTCGGCTATGGCGGCTCCAATTCACACATCGTCTTGGACGATGCGTACAACTTCATGCATTTGAGAGGTATGCAAGGAAGGCATTGCACGACTGTCTTATTTGGTAGCTACCCCATCCCAAGATCCATGTCATGCTGCTCAGTGAGAGCCCTTGAGCCTCCAGGCTCATTGGTCAGCAACTGGGAGTCTATATCGAACATGCCCTCATCTTCTTTCCAATCCTCGTCTTCAGAGTCATCCCAGTGGATAGTCTGCTCGAAAGTGGAGGGATCAACGCAACCGCAGGCCAAACTCCTGGTTTGGTCGGCGAGTGATGAGGATGGAATCGACAGGCTCTCCAGAGTTTACGAGGACTATTTGTCGACAAAAGCAGAGCAAGGCATAGAGATCATTTCTTTCCTAGATGATATGGCTTACACGCTGAACAATTGCCGAAGCCACCTCACCTGGAGATCCTTCGCCGTATTGCAACATCCATTGACCCTTGGGAGTCTGCGATCCCGAATGTCGTATCCAGTCCAAGCGCGAGCTCATACGACCAGATTGGGATTTGTCTTTACAGGGCAAGGTGCACAATGGTTCGCGATGGGCAGAGAACTCTTCTGCTACTCATCTTTCAGGATGGATCTGGAAGTTGCAGACTCGTACCTGAAAAGACTTGGCTGCACTTGGTCTGTCTATGGTAAGTATTTTTCATTTAGTAATCCTATAGTTACCAAGACAGCTTCCCTAACAAGCTTTGGCGGCATAGATGAGATGTTGAGATCAAAGGAGTGTACGAGTATCGATAACCCGGAGTTCAGTCAGACAATCTGTACAGTCTTGCAGATCGCTTTGGTGAATCTGCTTCGTTCTTTCGGAATTCGGCCTCATGCCGTCGTCGGTCACTCCTCTGGAGAAATTGCGTCTGCGTAAGTTGTTTTAGACCCAGCGTTAGATAGCTCTTTATGCTTACCATAAATCGTTTAGATACGCTGCCGGATTCCTCTCTGCGGAATCGGCTTACAAGCTGGCCTATCTGAGAGGACTTTGTTCTGCTGAGGTTGTTGCACGATCTCGCACATTGTCCAGCTCCACAGTTCGCGGCGCCATGATGTCAGTGGCGTTGGGCAGAGACGATATACAAGTTCTGATTTCCAGCCTCAGTAATGACAGCAGAGCATTTGGTTTGACGGTGGCTTGCGAAAATAGCCCAAGAAACGTGACTGTGGCCGGAGAAGACTCTCTGATTGAACGACTGAAGGTACTGCTGGACGAGAAGCATGTCTTTGCTCGCAGGCTGAACGTACCGGTCGCCTATCACTCACATCAGATGGAGGAATGCGCAGCCAAATATGCATCTATGGTCGGTGATTTGCACGGTCCAATCCAAAGTTTTGGGCAAAAACAAGTTTGTATGGTTTCGAGCGTTACGGGATGCTGCGCAGATGCATCTGAACTCCTGAGCCCCTCATACTGGTCCCAGAACATGGTGGCACCTGTGCAATTTTCTCAAGCACTTTCTGCTATCTGTTCCAAATCACCCTCGGAAAATGGTGTCGGTGTATACGATGGTGCTCCAGCCGTCAACCTTCTCATCGAACTTGGGCCACATTCAACGCTCCAAGTACCGATTCGTGAGATCCTTGCAGATCGGGACGAAAATGAGAGCATAACCTATAGCTCCATACTCAAAAGGGGGCAATCAGCGCATGCAACAACATTGCAATTAGTCGGGCAGCTGTTTTGCAGAGGAGTGGGGGTCGACCTAGTGAAGGTCAATGAGTTCGCCAAAGCTCCAGCAGCGCCCGCGGGGCCCGGTCCCAACTTGCTAGTCGACTTGCCTGAGTATCCATTCAACCATGCAAAGGGTTACTGGCACGAATCCCGCATCAGTCGAAATTTTCGATTGAGACAGAAAACTCCATCTGAATTCCTGGGCGTCCGATCCGACCATTGGAGCCGTGCTGAGCCAAGATGGCGCCAATTCATCAGGACGAGCGAAATTCCCTGGGTTCTTGACCATGTTATTGATGGCAATGTCTTATATCCAGCGGCTGGAATGCTCGTGATGGCTATTGAAGCTATCAGAGAGATGACAGAAGGTGTCAACCACGTTGAAGGCTATTCGATCCAGGACGTTGACCTTCTCAGCGCAATGGACTTAACCGCCAACAAAGGGTGTATAGAGGTTGAAACAACACTCCGAGCAAGGCACGATCCCCACGGTTCGAGTTCGTTGCACTGTTATGATTTCTCAATCAAGTCATTCAACGCTTTGAAGAACGATTGGACTTTGAACTGCCGTGGCATCGTCGCAGCAGAGGTCTCTGCGGGCTCAGATCAATGGGCAAAGCGAATGATACAGACTCAAAGACAGATTCTTTCGGATCCGTTCTCGTCTATCCTGTCAGGTGACACTGGCACTGATGTGGATAGCGGGTACGTATATGCTTCTCTAAAGGACATTGGTCTCGAGTTTGGTCCCGATTTCCAAGCAGCACGACACCAGCGGTATGACGATTCTCGGAGGCAGTCTGCTGCAGAAATAGAGCTCTTCAGATCACCCGACATAGCCTCCGTCATTCATCCGGTATCCTTGGATGCGATGTTTCACCTTGCTCTCACTGCACTCACATCCGGAGGCCATCAGCGAATTGCTGCGACCGTCCCTACTCGTATCGAAAGCCTATGGCTATCTAGCAAGGTAAATCTCTGCTACCCCGGACGAGACACCCTCAAGGCCTGCACCGAGGTAAACGCAATGAGCAACCGTGGCTTCACAAGCAGGGGTATTGCTGTGGACAGCGTAGAGCACAAGGTCGTGGTTTGGTACGATGGTCTGAGCATGACGAACATCACCAGAAATCCGACATCTCAATGTGTCCCTAATAGCACTTCCCAGATATTCATGTGCATGCAATGCAAGCCTGACCTAGGAACAATGGAGCCAGACGACATGTATGCTCTGCTAGAGCGATTGCATCCATCCCAGCCCGAAGACCCCGAACTCTGGGCAGAAATAGGCCATCTTGTCGAATTGTCTCTGGTGGATCTATTCAGATATGTTGAAGCCAATCCAATCTACCTCCAGGGTGCGTACCGGAAACCTTGGAAGCAGCATTACTTGCACTGGGCTCGGCACCATATGGACAAATGCACGCAAAAGCGCCTCCATTCAGGCCTGGAACTCAATGCGACCGATAGTCAGCTGCATGGGAAGAAGATAGGATGGCAGATATGCGCTAACGATATAGGTATAGATGCTCCAATTCTATGAGAAACATATAAAAATTTCTTGAAATGGCGGCAAGTGCGTTTGAAATGGAACTAGTGTTTAATATAAGAGATATATGGCCCTTTACTGTTTATACGATTATGTCGCAAGGAGTAGGGCGACTGTTGATAAGCTAGAAATCGTAATCATGATGCTATTCTCCTACCTAATAGGCAGAAAGAAATGAAACAGCGTTCCACGCAAGTCAAAGCAATTCAAGCGGTAGCTTACCACTTGGATTGCTATAAGTTCCAGATCCAGGGAGGTGTTAACTTCCTATGCGAGAGTCCTTATAGGTTTTATGATGGCGGCATCCTCTTCTAGACAGCATCACTTGAGCATACAGCCAAGATGTGGCGGCTGTGCTGACATGATCTTTCCAGGCGAGGAAGTCACAGCTCGTAAGGTCTACCGTCTACCACCTGCTTCTGTCACTGAGCGAATATTGATTCGAGTAGTGCTTGCAGACACAGGCACAAAATCTTCCATAAGACGCACCGGGAATTTCTTTCCCAGAGATCGGGGCGTAACTCTACATATATTGACGGGCTCCGGGTGTGCCGACGACCCTTTTGCCCAGTCTGCGCACACTCACCTGCTACCGTGACTATTCACCGCGACTGCAGCAATATTTTCATCCGATACTGCCGGTCGCACGCATTCGCTTGTCTCTATACATCTGGCTTCTGTTGAGATCCCTGGCCGAGAGCATCACCACTTCGTCTGGAACGCAGGCATTTCTGCGATGCAGTCGCTCTGCAGACAGTCGCTTGCAACATCAAACTTTCCTTCTTGTCACGTCTCCCGAGGGGATTCTTGAGATGATTCGGCTTCTCATACTGCATGCTTTTCTCTGGCGGTTTGTTGCAACAATCAGCTCTGCACGCCGTGCCAGGCCGCTGTCGCAAGAGACAGTCCGACTGGCTGATGTTGAGTCATTTGAGCGCGGGGGGCAACCTCTGGTATCATCATCTGGGCATGGGCAGATAGTCAGGTTGATACTTGATTCAGATGGCATTCAAAAGATTGAACGTCTTTCTGCACAGCCGGAATACACTTGCGGCATGTCAGAATACTATGCCTATATCGTGGAGAACGAGGCACTTCTTTCTGATGTGATGGCCTTATACATGGTATGTTCATATCTTCAATAGATTTCAGAGTCTGACTTGAGTATAGGATGTCGAATCAGCCTTCAGATGCCACCTCACTGTGCTTCCTGATGTCTAGATACTCGCTTGTCCGCAAGCTCTAGACTATCTGGAACATAGGGGATAAGATAGTTGCTGTCAAAGTCGAAGATCCAGAACCATGCAGCAGAACCGACACATGTTGTAATCCAGATATGTCTCTCTGTCAAGACAGTCGGGGGTAGCTTGCTATCATTACTTGCGTCGTTCAACAGGACAATGTGACGAACTTAAGACTTTCATCAATCTTTGAGAAGATGAGATGTCTACAGCTGAGCTTTCTGAATCAGTGAGCTTGAGCAGCAGATTGTCGAGAAGTTTGGCATGGCTGGCAATTAGCCTCAAATCCGGACTAGGCATAGCAGCATGATAGGTGAGTTTTGCTTTTGCTTTGTAAGCGAGGTCTAGAGCTTGTTTCATGGTATCATTAAGTATTGTGCAAGCAAGGAAGGTGATTAGCGAGTGGGAAGTGAAATTGTTCCTATGTTTGTCTTTCCCTTCCAACTTATATCATCTGAACCCAAACATCTGATGCCTAGTACGAAAGCTCGTTCTGAAATCGAAATTACTGTTTATTGTTTTTGAAAGATAAATTCCAGAATCTGAATTTCACAACTTCCATTTCAGACCTGAAGTCACACTTTGTTTGTTTATTTGTTCTATTTAGCGCCAGGTAGAAGAAGCGTAGCTAGAAAGACCTCCCGAGGCGTATAAGGCGCGCTGAGCTAGACCTGGCTATCCTTCGAGGAGGGCGGCCGATTACCTATCCAGCGACTCAAAGTCCATTGACAACGACGGCGATGCTGCCTGGTCGGTCTCTCCCTCGCCCCCGTATGCAAGCAGTAACTAGGAAAAGTAGAAAGAGGCTAAGCCTTGAGTGTCCCGAGCCGGAGCTGAAATACTGCCTGCAGTGAGAAGTTGGAGCATTCCCAGATGAAGCATCTGGCGGGAAAGCTTATCACTGTGCATGCTTGTGAAGAAGGCTATGGGATTTCAGTTGTATATGTTTGGAAACTCCAAACGGCGATATTGTCAACTTGTCAAGTCGTATTGAGAGCAGAGGGAAAATGGCGCCCTATTTTGATAATGCATTTGTATTTTTATTATTGGAATAGGAAAGTTATATAAATGGTAGAGTTGCTGGTCTGCGCAAAACGGACATAACTCTCATGTAATTACTATGTGCTAATCCCGCCGAGGCCCTGCTAGCGATAGGGGAGGTGATTGTTCTCGTCTTTAGCTCGTCCCCGCCTTCTCCGCTTCACTGGCTACATGACGTACACTAGTCCTATATAAACTCTAGCCATTTTTTACTTCTGATGGCATAGAGGAGTAATTAAGGGACCCGTAGCACCCCTTCCGAACTCATCCCCTTCTCGCTTTCCCTGTCCTCACGCATCCTCCTCGTTACTTGAGCTTTTCGTATCTTATCTATCTTAGCCTTTAAGCCCAGCCATCGCTTGCACAAAACCATGGAACCTCAGGAAATTTTGGCACCTCGGGCAATTATTGGGCAAAATCATTTTCTGCCCACGGTGCGGTCGGGGACCTTTCAGAACATTACACAATGGTGTTTGCGCTGCCTGCAAACGAGACTTTGCCAATGCAATACAGAAAAGCAGCCAGCAAAAACCGCCAAGAGCAAAAGACCTTTTGCAAGAAATCCAGGAAAATGACAATAGAAGACGGCTGCAGCAGCTGACATCATTGCAACTGCTGTTAAGTCACATTCGCAGTTTCGGTAAGAAGTATCTTTTTCTTTCTTTCTGCAGCCCTGGTTAGTTGAATCATACTGAAGACGAAGATCCAGATTTGAATGTAGTGAGGTACATCATTAAGTTCAGCAAACAACAACTGGCAACTGTGAAAAATAGTCACTGCTCTTGACATCCCACACTACAACAGAGACTATTGGTGCAGATGTGGCCATCTGAACTTGGCATGTGAGGCCACCAGTGATGGATGTGGAAAGCACTTGAGTTCTATATATCCATACCTGAGTGCAAATATTCGAGATGGCTGGCTTTTATATGCAGTACCTAGAAAGTCAGTAGGTCGGCATAGTCTGGGTTGTTTCAAAAAGTCGACATCATATTAATACTGGTAATAGGCTTTTTCTGGCTAATAGCTAACCAGGAGCTATACTAGGTCTCTGCCTTCGTCGTGATTAGCCGGCGCCAGCATACGAAATTCATTGCGAGAATGATCGCTTTAAATGTCTCGTTGTAAGTCCGAGGGGGTAACTTCCGGCCATCCCGGCCATCCACACTCTACATACACACACATATAAAATATATATATTTGACTACCCTATTCACCTACTACGATGCAATCCCCCTCGTCAGCAGGTATTTTGACATCGCTCTCTTCATCCTGACTATCCTCATTTCGATTGACTGAATTTTGAGCTCTTTGTATAGCCTGGATATCTGCAAACCTCGAATTCGGGCTGATATCAACCTTTCTTCTTTTACTAGGCCTGAGAGCCTCAATCTGCCTTTTCAGTGCCTCAATTTCCTCCCGAGCCTTAGCCAGTTGTATTTCATTTTTTTTCCCGAGACTTTTTTATCTTTCTGGCACCTAAACGGCCCTCTGGCTCGTTCAAAACCTGGCCTCGAATCTTCTGCAGCTGATGATATAGATCCTTAGCCCCTTGAGGAGTTGAAATGAGATCCAGCTGGCTTGACGAGGGTTTCAGAGTAGTTTGGGCTGTAGTTGATGGCCTTGAGCTTGAATTCGGCTGGGTCTGAGTGCGTTAAGAAGTGTTCTCAAGGAGAAGAGGGATTAAAGGCGGTTCAGATGGTCTGACCGGCCATAGACCAGTTGCTTTCCATCCAGATCTGATATTCTGGCTAGAAAGACCTTCTATACGAGCCAGGCGATAGTCTTCAAGAAATAATCGCTTTCCTAGGACTGTTGAATCCCCTCATTAGCCTAGAAAACTGATTTTCTTTCTGTATGCTCTCTTGAGAGATGAGAAGATCTCTAGATTGAGGGGTTGAAACACATGCGGGGTATGAGGAGGTAAATAAAGCAACAGGATGTTGTTTTGAAAGCATTGCCACATAAATTCGTCAGTTGTATGGCTGCTGTGGCCATCCAGGACCAAAAGCCTTGCTTCTGAGGGGTCTGCTGGCTGGCTGCCTGGGATGAAGATCTTTTCCAGCCTTTCAAGTGCCATTGTATTGTTGGTCCATCCGTTTTTTGTTGCTGTGAATTGCCAGCCCTTGGAAATCTCCAATTGAGCAAGAAACCATTGTTTTTGTATGGTTAAACCCTTGAAGACAACTAAAGGTTCGAGGTGCGCACCTATAGCTGAGATACACTCGAGGAAATCGTTGGCGCTAGTCCCCTTTTGGGACTAAACACCAGTGCCTCACTATCTTACCCTTGACCAGTGAATGGCCAAGGGTTTAGTCCCTTCTTTCTATTGCTAGCAGCCCTAGACCCCACATCAACTCAGGCCCTATGGCCACTGCCACAGGTTATTTCGTTGATGGTGGACATGTTGATCTTAGGACAGTTTTAGTGCGTCGTGTTGAAGGACTTGTTTTCGGAGGGAATTATAGGCTTACTGGGCGGCCGGAAGCCTGGTGCTCAGCCAACTTCTGAATCCACGCGTTCTCTTCCAAGCGCATCCTGTCGCATAGATATAAAGCCTACAGTAGCATCGAAAGGTTCCATGCCACTATAATTGAATGTCCGATTGATCAGTTTGCAGTACTACTTTGGTTTCAGCCTGCGATAGCTGGCAGGTTATAGGCTGATATTTATATAACAGTGTTGGCCTCTGTATTCTGGTGTCAATACATCATTCATCGTAAGAGTTCAGGGATTAGATGCAATACTGACTAATCGAAGAAGCCCTTTCCTTGCATAGAAACCCATCATATATAAATCAAATAAATACCTGTGCGCGGGCGAAGGCTTGAATGCATGGCACTAGCACACGATCCAAGATGTTTCAATATGCCGAAACGCTGGATTCAGAGAATCCGAATCACAGGAGGCGCAATACTGTGGAAAGATAGATCGGGGTTCTTCTATCATATACTAATCCATCTGTTTAATATAACTGACGAGAGTTAAAGCTTAAGGCTAGAGAGTATTTAGGGGGAGACTAGTAGGCATAGGAATAAAGTTTTTCAAGTTATAGATTGTGTTATACAAATTTATAGGCTTGCGATGCAGTACTAATTATGATTAACTCTCGCGCGAGATGTAGCAGCTGACGACAAACTCTGCTTTTGCATCTCGGACAGAGAGGTATCACTGTAGTAGATTCAAGTTTCTAGGATCCGGAAATTCGGGTTTCTTAGTTTCGCATCTATATCTATAGGAAGTCTTCTAGTTTTAAGACATCGTCGATACAAGCTTCAACTTGAGCAATGGTCGATTCGAGAAATTGGTCAAGAGAGCAAGAATGAGGAGGATTGTAAGAGCGGGAACGACGAAGTGGGCCAGCTTCGCACCAGCTCGAAGGTCGGAACCGACGCGCGACCTGGATGCTTTCCGTAATGCTGTAACCAAGGAATGGCGGCACTGGCTGTGGGCACCATATACCTCCTGCAACCAGACCCCTGAGAAGCGATCCGAGTAATATCGAGCTGCACTCAGGACTACAATAGTCTCGGACACTCAAGTACTGCAGAAGGCCATATAAGCTGTTGATAATACGGCCAACAACATCCACTCTTTTACTCTCAATTTGGTCTATATTTATCATTAGCTATGTAAACCATCCTAAGTTAAAAAATATTCACATACCAATGAGGCTGTTGGGAAACGGTAAACCTAGCGTTCGAAGGGGTTCTCGAACTGCTCGTACTGCAACAGATTTTACAGTATTGCATATCTCAGGCTTGTCGAAGACGCAAGCAATGCAGAGCCATAGGACAAGTTGCCGGCTATATTCCTGAGGCAGGCGCTCCCTCTGCCCAATCTCCTCGATCCAAGTATCGGAAAAGAATTTGACAGCGTCATGGCATTTGTAATAATCGACCACAACAGCAATCTGTGCAAGAAGCTCGAGGCTTATGCGCCGGGGTACTTGTCCGCTTTTGCAATGGATTATATCCATCAAAATTTGCAAAGCTTCTTCGTGCCACTCACTTGCATCAACAACATATCCCGAATCAGACGTTCTGACACTTTCTTTCCAGGAACCGCTGAAAGCTGTGCGGAAGTATGAAGAAGCCAGTATCAAATGCCGAGAAGATAGATGAAATCGTATCGAACAGCCCTTGCCGGCGGTAGGATCGATGTCTTTGATAGCCGTGTGGCCGGAGTCGTCTGGTCTGATTTCCACAGAATCAGCCTCTACCGCTTCAGTCTCCGATTCAACAGCCACTGGCTCCTCTTCCGGTTGCGCAAGAGTTGATACCAAACCCCATTGCCATGGCGGTGGATCCGGTCGACGCGGGTCAACATCTCTAAATCTGCGAACAAAGCCCTGTAAATTGTCGAGCTCTGGCCAACAGGACCCGGACGGTTGCTGATTCTGGTTTATATCCCAGATAGCAAATGGCTTATTCGGATCCCGCAGAATGAGAAGCACATCTCCTTTCTCGTTAATATCTCGGTATATCTTTGAGTTCATTGTGAGTTCAGATTCAGCGGAGACAAGAGTCATTGAATAACTTCTAGGAGAAGTTGTGGTTGTTTCAGCACAGCGTTGAGGTGATAGGTAATGCAGGGACGAAGGGGGTCAGTATAGTGAATTCGGGGCCGACAGGGTCACAAGAACAGGCTGGCTCAGGTGGAGTCCGGAACACGTGTACAGATGTACATGGATCCAACGTCTCCAGCTTAAATAAGCTGACCTGCGTGCTTATATCATCAGCTTTACTCCTCAGACGCCTCAACTCCGTTTTGAGACAAGAGACAGACGATGAACTAATGCTGATGCTATCATCGCCCTTGCTGTTGAGGAGGTGTACAGATTCTGTAGCTTGGCAATAGGTGAACAGTAGGCCTTGAATGTATACTGCGAATTGTGCAATGCAAGACTTTTGGCACTGTAATGATGATTAGGTTTGCTAGGCAAGTAATAATAGAGGACAAGAGTAGATAGAACTGAGCCTATAAGGATCCACGATAGAATTTGCGCAACTTATTTGCTTGAAACGGCAGCTTAGTTGCTTTGAAAGGTATCTCCAAATTGTCAACTTCACTTGTCAAGCCACTTAAATCCGCTTTCCGTTCTCATTTATATGCAGAAAGCTAATGATCAGTCAACAGTACATCAAGCCCTTGTCAGCTGGATTATAATGCAGCTCTTACCTTCCATAATTCCGCTTATAGTCCTGTTCAATACAGGTTTATACAAGAGAATTGCTCAGATGATAGCTTTATAATCCCTTATAATGCTTCCAATGGGGATGCAGATATTGCTTGGTTTGTATACTGAAAGCTTTTCCTTTCTTTACTGGTGCACTGGAACTAACAGACTAGGTGGTGTGCTGGCAATGAAACCTGTGCTTCTGTGGTTATTTATGGAGGCGCGCCGAGAAGTTCTGGAACAAACCTGTATTCGATATCAATCTCCCGCAGCTAGCAGCAGTCTCTTTCGCAGTCTACCTACCGATTTATATCTGGATCCGGGGGCCGGACAGGCTCCGTGCTCCTTTCGACCTTATCCTCAATCCAGTCAGCAGTTCAATCCAACAATTCCAGAGACTATGCCGGATCTTCTTTATCCATTTCCACAACCGAACTAATCACCCAATCCCACGAATTCTCGGTCTCTTCTAAGCTCTCCTTATCAGCATCTGCGATCCAGTATACAGCTAAAACCGGAATATCGCCCGCAGTTCGAGCCTCGTCTGTAACATCATTGCTCACAGCATCCTCGGCAGAATCCACTCCTCAGATGTCAGCTGTAGATATAACAGCAAGCAGCCTCCCCTGCACTTATCAAGCTGCGAGTTCTGATACGGGCATCAGTCAAGACGGATGTGTCTGCAGCGGAACAATTACATATCCGCTGCTCGTATATACATCAGGATCAAGCACTTTTGCCATACCATCCTGTGACTACACAGACGCTCCAAGTTAAACAAGCCTGCTTGCGATAGGAGAGACATGGACGAAAGATTGTGTGGTATGCTTCCAGACAGGGGTTGCTGATCCGGCATCATGTACAACCATGACATCCTGTGATGGAGCCACAAGTCCCACAACGACATAATCCATGCGACCTATGCCACTATATAATTTAACAGAAACCAGATGCTCGTGGTGGAATATATGAGATCCTTTCGGCTTCTGGGCTTTCCTTATTACTCCAAGTTACAGCTCTTACATATATGAATGGTTCTATCAGATTCAGATTTATATATTTCCTTTTTGTTTGATATATATCAGTCATAGTAATGTTGAGGGAGAAGAGTATCTGATGGGCGATCAGCATAGTAATATTTCAGCTTAGCATGTTCTTTAGATAGTTCTAATGAAAGAAGCGTTCAACTATTCTAGGACAAAAATAACATGTTATGGGTGAGGACATCATCGAAACTCTCTGCGTAAAACAATCCCTAATCCAATCATTTATCCTTTTTTAGTTTATCTTCAGGTCTGTGTCCTCCCTGAGCACTAGTTCTGGCTGAATCACTGGCTCATCACACATGATGGCTTTTGAAGGAGCTCGTCGAGGCTTCGAGGGGTCTGTACATTCTTACGAAGTGTTTGCCATTGATGCTCAAGCACTTGGAATCTTTGGACATATTGTACCCCCAAATATTAGGACACTTTCATAGAAGAATCCATGCAGCACTCGTATATATAGGGATAATAATTGAGGTGTTATTGAATAATAATACTGATCAGGGAAAGATGACATAGTAGTGTCATTTTCTAAGGCTCTTATACTACTGAAATCCCTTGCGACTGATCTTTAAATACTCAAACCGATCATCCTTACTGACTTGTAAAAAGCATGAAAGAATGCTACCAGACCCGAAACACAATATCGAGTTCCAGGGCAGTTATATCCGTCTAATGAGCACATTTGTCTTATTTTTCAGCTTCTCGCTGGCTCAGTGTGAAGGCTTCGAGCGTTGCAGCATCTGCCTCAGAGTCTGCCTATCATCAGAGTAAGCAGCGTTCAATATGAATGCGACTAATTACGTACTAATTTCGAGAGGATTATCTCCAACATATGTTCCATTCGATCCAATCGCAGCTTCATCTCTGTAAAGATAGGCATTTCTTCTTGGTCGACCTTGGCATTGTGACAGGTGTAATACCACTTGAATGCTGTGTTTCTATAAAAGGATATCTGTTCGGACGTGAGCTACGGTCCGCGGGATGGTGAAAAGGGAGAAGCTATCAGAAGTAGGAGAAATATCTCATGGAAGACCAGTGGGGATTTCATGCGATCTTTAGGTATCAATACTTTATTTATTGCTCATGTAGATCTGGCTCTTTGTTCATCCCTTAAACTGGAAAATTAGATTTCTCTTTTTAGTATTGTTAGTATATTAGTTGTATTGATCATGTTGGTTGTATTGATTGTGTTGGTTGTGTTGGTTGTGTTGGTTGTGTTGATTGTGTTAGTTGTGTTGGTTGTGTTGGTTGTGTTGGTTGTATTGGTTGTGTTGGTTGTGTTGGTTGTGTTGGTTATGGTCGTGTTGGCTATGTTAGTGACATTAGTGATATTCGCAGTATATTAATCAAGTTGCAGTAAAGATCCGGCTTTCCCGAGTTCAACTTTCTCTGCTCTAGCATTTCCTTGCTAGTTACATTGTTGGCTTCGCTATAAAATACATCTCGAAGATCTTAGAGCTGAATGCTCGCTTTAAACCATCGACTGCTGCAGTCTCGCATTATATTGAAATGGCTTCCTCGCTACCAGCTCCCGCCAACCCTAATGTTGTGATTATTAGTGCCGGCATTGGGATTAGATATAATCACGCTGCTAGCGAGCTATGTCACCAATTGCGAGCCTGCAGCTGCACAGCTGCTTGGTATGATATGCTCAACAGTCTACCCCGCGCAACTCGTTCTTTATTATGCATAAGCCATACGCAGATGGCTACTTTTTTGCCCCGCACTCTCGATTCTATTATCTCTATGCAACCACATCCTTTCCTACTTTCAATTCTGACCCTCCTCGAGAGATTTTCCGGGAATACACTATTGAGATGGATTGAAAAAGCAGATATAGTTGTTGCGGTACACCCAATTGCTATTAAACTCTTAGGATCACTCAAGCTTAAGCAACATAAACGTTTTTATCTTTCTGCTTATTTTTGCGACAGTCATATTTATCAATTTTTCCTCGACAATACTATCGACCAAAACCTTGTCATCACAGCTCCAGCACAAGCAGCATGCGAACGGTTTGGATATTCAGCTGCAGCTATCAGTCCGGTTGTTGGATACGAGTTCTACTATGACTACTCTGCTAATAAGCGGGCCCAGATACGCTACAGGCTAGGACTTGGTAATAGTGGAGTCATTCTTGTCTGTGCTGGGCTACATGGTGCAAGCTTTGCAATTCGGACCGTTAACGATATTCTTGAGGAGATATCCGAGGTATCGGTAATAGTCCTTTGTAAGCACGATGCAAGGCTCCAGGAAAAGCTTGCGAACAGGCCGCGCGTTGTCTCACTTGGCTGGCAGAACTGGGTAGAAATGCTACTGCTGATGGCTCTTTCCAACATCATGGTATACAATGCAGGTGTGATAATAGTTTGCGAGGCTATAGTCATGAAGATCACAGCGATAACATACTGCCCGCTACCAGAACATAGCGAGGCGAATGCTCGAGCAATGGAGCTGGCAGATCTATCCTTCTGGGCACGAACACAGCAAATGCTTGAAGCTATGATGAGGAAGTATATGGACAGGCCTAGAAACCAGTATTTCCATGGAAGGATCTGTGCAGCTGATGAAATTCTATCTTTGTATCGAAAACGAAGTTGAGATCTTCACTCTACAGGCAGCATGCTCATGAGATTCAGATCCTATAGGATGTTGTCCAGCAGGGTTATAATTCTCGTCAGTTGTTATATTCAATACTACAGAGAGTTTTGATAGTCTGAGCTGCTTGCCTACAAACTATAACACGCTTTATTAGAACTTGATATTAATCCAACCTGTGGTGTGAACGTTACCGGATATGTAGCGACAGCTGAGCATAAGAGTTGTCGCTCTCGATATGAACGCCGAATGAGGAATCGTCGGGAGGGATAGGTGGTGTTGTGTATCTATCGGCATTACCTTATTCAAAAAAGTATATGCAGTTGCAAACTTGTTCAAAAGTATAATCAGTACTATTCCATACTTAGTTCGATGGGTATGGTCTGGTTATTTATTGGTATTTTCCCACAGCGCCGGAAGGTGTGTTATCGGGAAGCATAGGTAACGGTTGTGGTTGAAGACATAGGAAAAATAGAAGACGGATTTGTAAGTAGAGATAGATTGAAAAGCATGCCGAAAACTTTTGGTGGTAAGAGCAGGCTCAATTAGCGGATCAGGGAGGCGTTGTTATACCGTATTCTCGCTTATTAATCAAGGTGCTGTCAAGACCCAAGGTCGTGCCCCACGCCTCCGCAAGCTGGACTTGAAGGATTTTTGCGCCATCACCAAGCTTAGCTTTTCATTAGCTTGACACTGTTAGAGCAGGTTTACTTTGAACCCAATCCCAAAGTATTGGACATTATAATTACAGTATGTACTGTAGCCATTTAATAGGATCACCGAGGTAAAATGCTGTTCGCGAGCTGGCGCTCGTGTTCGTCGTGACAAACCTCCGCCAGCCCACTGACCTGGCTACCACAAAAACCCTGATCTGAGCCTGAAAGAAAGATCTGTCCCGCCAAGCCGCCATCCTGTTGGCTAGGTTCCAGTAATAGTGGGTACATCAGGACGTGTTTTCGTCGCTTACCATGGTACACGCGTATTATATTAGGGCTAGCGTCATCTTGGTCCAGGTCTTGGTATACTGCACAGCAACAGACAACAAGCTCAAACAAAACCGAATAACATCCCTCAACATCCATCACAGACCGCTATCGACCGAGTTAACCACACTGCAACCTGGCCTGCACAATAGTCACTCCACGATGCAATGATAACGCAACACGAAATCCTGGTCTGGCTATCCCGCATCGATTATACAGGCGCTGCAGCACACGAGAAAAGGGGATCAAGCGAACAGCAGCAAGAGAAATCACAGCTACGGAGCTGTGCCAGCTTCAATCATCGCTCGACCCATCAACATCATACAAAAAATCTCAAGCACCAGCACAGCCAAAGGCTCGATGCAACAGCCCAGCCTCGCCTTCCAACACCGCTCATATCTACAACACCTTGCAAGACCAAGCGTCTCAAGATCATCCACAACGATAACACCAAACACAAGGAATCCAACGAGCTGTTAGCTGCAGCAGCAATCGCTAGCATGGATAGCAGCGCTCAGTATAACCTCAAGGCCACAGCGGAATTACTAGCAGATGCAGAAAACACGCCATGCTCTGCAACGCGCTCAAAACATGCACACACGAGCAGCAGGCCATTCAGCGCCTCGAGAAGATCCTTCAGCAGCGTTACAGCAACTTCCTCGTCTACTTCGGTCTCGGCAGCCGCATCCTCCCCTTGCAAGCTCCTCGCTGAGCTCAACATCGGCAACCATGCTGTAGATTCTCATCCGCTTTCATTAGCCAGTGTCTACGCCCATCGCCTGCCTGTACCCCTCGTAGCCCTGTTAGAAGACCTCGAGAATGTAGCCACGGGCTGCCCTATTGTGTCAGCCGCCCTGCAGCCCGATTTCGATCGCCTGGCTGCTCACCAGTCTGTACGACGCCGCCCGAACACCATCTACGCTCCCACCCCTGAGCGCAACGCCGTCGGCCCCTATCCCCCTCTCGATAATGTACTCGCCCTGCTAGCCGAGGCGGAGCAGTGCAACGATAGGAAGCAGTCCGAGGCCAGCTGGAATGCTGCTATGCACTTCCCGCTCTTGCGCCTTGCCGTCCACGGACAGGGCGCGCGGAAGTCCCAGCTGGTAGATGTCGAGATGTGGTATGTGCTTCTCTTCCTTGATACTTCTGTCTGTTTGTCTGCCTGCTAAACTCACACGCAAACCTGGCTGCCAGCACCACAGCCAGTATCATCAAGGAGTACCACTGCATGCAGTTGTTAACCAGCAAGAAAGTCGACATGGCTATGATCATCGAACCTACAGCCAACGAGACCAACAGCACCGAGGCGGTAAAGCGCATCAATATCCTGCGCACGCGCAGCCCATGCTTTTCCATCAACCATACTAACTTCGAGCTCCTGCTCCAGTCGCTCATCGCTATCAGCATCGAAACTAAGCATCCTAGTGCCTCGGGCGAAGACGCCGCCTTGCAGGTTAGCGTATGGCAAGCAGCCCAGTGGAGTCTGCTGCAAAGTTTGACTCAGCCTCAGCCTACCAGCAGCTCAAGCATCGCGCTGCTTGCCTTCCTTCCCGCCATCACCGTCGTGAGTCATGATTGAACACTTACAGCCACCACAAGGCTTAGGCAGAAGATAGTATGTACATCTTCTTCTCGCTATATCCGTTTCTGCCTGTATATATACAAGAGACATTGCTGATACAGCTTTCCAACAACAGACGCTTTGGACTAACTATCCTATCGAACATACCTGTAATATTATCAGCATCTATTGCATCATCTAGACTATTCAACAGCTCGCAAACTGGGCGCGCGATGACTATTAGCCATGGTACAAGACCGAAGTGTTGGGGGTATACGCACACCATCCCCGAAGACGAGAGGCTCATAACTAGCAGCTGAGCCAGGCAAGGAGAGCTTTTCAGGGACTGTAGGGGTTTTGTAATCTCAACGATGTAATATCCCGAAAGCGATTTCTATGAGGAAAAGGGCATCATAACGACTTCGAGGGTTCAGCAATGAAACATCAACAATTTAGTAAAGTTCTATCTGAATACAAATAAACTAATTTAAATATAGTATAAGTAGTTAAGCTTATATTGTTGTGGTGGCCAGGGTGGTAGTCCGTGGGACATGGAGTACAGTGGGTCAAGGATTCTCATACATATAAAGAATACCACCCACTTTTCAAATTCTTTAGCTATAAGCAACAATAAAACATCCTTTCTCTTCTTTTCAATTTTGAACCCTTTGGACAGGTCTAAGACAGATTTTTCACCCTGTTCTTGTGCCTGTATGGCCTTAGTTTGCTGTTCTCATCTGAACAGGCACGCTTGGGTTGCACGAGCTCTTGTTTATTGCTTCAGCAGCTGTTTGTTCCTTTTTCTTTCGAGAGCGATAGCGCCCTAGTTCTGATTCAATGGTGCAGTATATGCAAACTTAGCTATTCAAGCTGGTAGCTCAGGGCTGTTTGCATTACAGTTTGTGAGAATCAGTAAGAGCAGCAAGTTTACTCTATGAATGAATGCACTCTTTTTCTCTGCTGAGCTCTTTTATTTCCTTTATCTATCATGCTTACATAACAAGCTGTGCATTATATCTGAACTCTGGATTATGCCTAAGATCTCTTGTAGAGAGGAGATGAGTAGATAGAGAAGGAGTGATATAAGTTCTAATTATAAGCTGATGAATAATGCATTGAGCTTGCAAGCTAATATTACGAAGAAACAAATTTCTTTTTTCAATATTTTCTATATTAATTAATAATTCTATATAGAAGCTAATATAGCTTAGATTTGTATAAGCTGCAGCAGAAAGTTTAATTATATTAGATATGAGTTTATAATTAAATTATAGAGTAGAATGCTTTTAATAAATAATACTCTGCAAAGAAAAGTAGCATGATTAATAAGATTTATACTTCTTGCAATAGTTTAATCAGTATGCTTTATCTGAATATATCTAGCTATATTAATTCTTTAAATTAAAAGCTTGCTAGTTGTATTATTTCAAAAATAAAGAATATAAAGAGATAAAAATAAGAAACTATTAATATATATAAGAAATAAAGATTAAGAATTATAATAATATTATTCAATATTAAACTTTAATTAATACTTTATATCTAGTTAGAAATACTTCTATTAATTAGTAAGATTATTAATAAAGAAAATCCTAGTATAATATAGAATAGCTAACTTAATTTCTTGTTATTTATTACAAAATAGATCTTATATATGCTCTACTTATAAACTGAATCTCTTTTAAGCATCTGAACTCTTTCAATCTCTATAGTATTGTTTTCTGCAGGATATGGAAAGCATTCCAGCTGTAGCACTCTCAACTCAAGAATCTCGAATCAGAAAAGCAAAGAAATATCGGAGGAAGCAATAATCAAGAGAGAAGATAGCTTCTATGTCTGAGAGCTCTTCCAATCAAACACTCAGTTCAGCTAACTACCTGGCTAATGTTGTGGTGGCCAGGGTGGTAGTCTGTGGGACATGAAGTACAGTGGGGTTAAGGGTTCTCATATATATAAAGGATACTACCTACTTTTCAAATTCTTTAGCTATAAGCAACAATGAATTATCCTTTCTCTTCTTTTCAATTTTGAATTCTTTGAATAGGTTTAAGACAGGTTTTTCATTCTGTTCTTGTACTCGTATAGCCTTAGTTTGCTGTTTTCATCTGTACAAGCATGCTTGGATTATACGAGCTCTTGCTTATTGCTTCAGCAGCTATTTATTCCTTTTTCTTTCAAGAGCAATAGCGCTCTAGTTCTAGTTCAATAATGCAGTAAGTATGGATTTAGCTATTCAAGCTGGTAGCTTAGAGCTGTTTGCATTATAATTCGTAAGGATTAGTAAGAGCAGCAAGTTTATTCTATAAATAGGCGCATTCTTTTTTCCTGCTGAGCTCTTTTATTTTCTTTATCTATTATGCTTATACAATAAGCTGTGCATTATGTTTGAACTCTAAGTTATGCCTGAGATCTCTTATAGAAAGGAGATGAGTAGATAGAGAAGGAGTAATATAAGTTCTAATTGTAAGCTAATAAATAATGCATTGAGCTTGCAAGCTAATATTACGAAGAAATGAATTCCTTTTTCTAATATTTCTTATATTAATTAATAATTCTATACAGAAGCTAATATAGCTTAGATTTATATAAGCTGTAGCAGAAAGTTTAATTATATTGGATATAAGTTTATAATTAAATTATAGAGTAAAATGCTTTTGATAAATAGTATTCTGCAGAGAAAAATAGCATAATTAATAAGATCTGTGCTTCTTATAATAATCTAATCAGCATGCTCTATCTGAATATATCTAGCTATATTAATCCTTTGAATCAAAAGCTTGCTAATTGCATTATTTCAAAAGCGAAAAATATAAAAAGATAAAAATAAGAAACTATTAATATATATAAGAAATAAAGATTAAAAATTATAATAATATTATCTAATATCAAACTTTAATCAATATTTTATATCTAATCAGAAATATCTCTATTAATTAGCAGAACTATTAATAAAGAAAATCCTAATATAGCATAGAACAGCTAATTCAATCTCTTATTATTTATTACAAAACAGATCTCATGCATATTCTATTTACAAACTGAATCTCTCTTAAGCACTTGAATCTTTTCGATCTCTACAATATTGTTTTCTGCAGAATACGGAAGGCATTCCAGCTGTAGCACTTTTAACTCAAGGATCTCGAACTAGAAAGACAAAGAAATATCGGAGAAAGCAATAACTAAAAGGGAAGATAGCTTTCATATCTAAGAGCTCTTCCAATCAGATACTCAGTTCGGCTAACTATCTAGCTAATAACTATTATAGTTAGAACTTCAGATTCTTCTTTTATAGTAAGCTTGCTGATAATGAATTAATATTATTTGCTTGTATGAAAGTTTTTTTATAGCTGAAGCGATTTAACTAGTAGTATTAGATTAAAGGAATTAATAATACTCAAGTATTCAACTTTATGAAAAGCTTCTATATAGATATAATTATTGCTGGAGAAGTAAAGAGATTTACTATAAATGCTAAAACTTGAAATGAATAGAAGAAGCAACTATTAGTTGCTTATCGCTCTTGAAATCATCTTCAGGCATATTGTTATGACTCATCCAACATGCAGGTCACAGAACCGGTTACGAGTAACAGGGACCAGGTGTCAAGGACTCAACATTCTGACAAAGCATTGATTACATAATCCAGGGTTAGGGTTGTAAAGGAGGGAGGATCGTTGGGCTCGCTAGCGATCCCAACGAGCTTCACACCTTGGATCGCTAGACTCGCCAGCGATCCTAACAAGCCATACTGAAGAGCTGAATATATAAGAATACATTCATTACTATTAAATAGATTCAGTATATAGCTCTTCAGTTGTTAATCTAAGTATTCAGTTTCATATACTAAGTAGCTTCAAAGGCAGTGAACACTTGCATCGCTTATTAGAACTTGTACAGTTCCATATTCAAGAACTTAATACTTTAATACCGCTCTTATTAGCATAAACCCCTTCGTATACTTAGGAATCTTCGGATTGCTGCAGTGCTCATTACATTTTGATAACTCTTGTTCAAGAACGGTTCAGTATTACCCTCTTGAGCAATACGGAATACGATAGCTCCTCCAGGAACCCCTTCGTCCTCGCGCGCTCCTACCTAGGAAGAACTGGTCAACCAGGTGTACCAGCTCACTCAGCGTATCTAGGATCTGCGCAAGCAATAGCAGGCTCAGAGCGCTACCATTGCCAACCAACAAGCTCAGCTAGCCCAACAAGCTCAGCTAGCCCAACAGGCTCAGCAAGCGCAGTTCACCCCTACAACTATCAATAGTACTGGAAAAGCGTACAAGATGAATAAGCTCGCTATATACAATGGCAATCAGAAGATGCTGCATGGATTCCTTACTCACTGCAGAGCGTATTTCTTGCACTACGCAACCCAGTTTACTATGGAATCTGAAAAGATTATTCTTACAGAAACTCGTCTCAAGAAGAATGCTCTCATCTAATATAAGCCTTCTCTATATAACCACTTGGAATATCAGAGCGATTCCGATATGCATATCCAGAGTATCAAGAATATATTTGATTCTTTTAAGAGCTTCGAAAAAGCTTTCAAAGAAATCTTTGGTAATCTTAATAAAGAATGCACTATAGCTCAGCAGCTTATAGATCTCAAGCAGACTAAGTCAGCTTCTGCTTATATAGTTAGATTCAAGCAACTCTCAGTGCAACTCCTGTAGAAAGATAAGAATCTCATAGAGTACTATTATAAGAAACTCAAGGATAATATTAAAGATGAAATCTTCAAGCAGAATTAGCTAGAGAACTTTGCAATATTCTCTAATTAAGCTATTCGTATTAATAACTGTCTGTATGAATGACGGATGAAGAAGTCCAAGAAAGGAAGAAGCTAAACTTAGAGATTTCCAGCTAATATAAGCAAGAAATTCTAAAATAAGAATAGCAGTCAATATAGCAGTACAGCCTAAAGCAGCACTATGCATGCTAATCCTATGAAACTTAATGCAGCTAACAGGCAGTATAGCAAGAGGAACAGCATTATTTGCTACAATTGCA